AATTAAATTAAATGAATATTGAAGTACCTACCTATGTTTGGAGGTATACTAGAATCTTGGAACTAATATGGACCAAATAAGAACATGTAGATTCAAATTAAATGGTATCTGACTGAGTGTAGAAGTTTCCTTGCGGTTCCGAACGTTTATTGTATTAAATTAATTGTACTATGCGACTCTATATTCTGTGTGTATAAATAGCGATCCGATGTATCTGGAATAGAAGTGATTTTGGGACGACGTTGCAGTGCTAATCCGTAAAAAGGAAAGACACACTCCCGCCAGACTGAAACCTCTTCGCTAGCAGCCATTCGGGCCCGGCACTTGTGAGTATAGGAACGTCGTGTTCTGCTCCTTGTGACTGCGAGAAGTCTATCCAGTTGTTGGGTATTCTTCGAACTTAGGATCAGTCATTGGTCTTAAGGGCAAATCACGCTGTGTGGTTGTGCCAGCACATAGTTCTAGCCCTCCATAGGGGTCTGTGTGTTTCGGTTTTAATTTACTTTGATTCAAACCCCCAATTCTTGATATACCCAGATCAATACAAACCAAAGCACAAATCGTGCTGAATCTACCTTGATCAAAGGAATATATCGAACCCTTAGAACGATTCAAATTGATTGATCAAAGCTTCTTACTTAGCTCTCAAAGCTTTGCGGAACCTTTGCCAACGCTACCCCTTGCTATTAAATAAATTTGATAGCAGTGAACTCGCATATTGTGTATTAGATTGGTTGGTTGGAGTGCCCATTAGATTCCTTCCTTTCTCTTTCACACAAAAACGAGGCAAGCTCGTTACCGAGGATGGACTAGCAGTTTGGCAAGGACGCATCTATGTCCCCAAGGACAAAGAGCTCAGAGGACGAATCATACAGGCACATCATGACGCCCAGACAGCAGGACACCCTGGCCGCTATAAAACTATCGAGTTAATTACACGCAACTACTGGTGGCCAGGAATCAGTCGAGACGTCAGGATCTACGTGGAAGGCTGTGAAAAATGTCAGGCCACAAAGACACATCGTACAAAACCCGTAGGACCATTACATCCACATGACGTACCATCCGAGCCTTGGGAAATCATAGGAACAGATATGATTGGCGAATTACCAGAGTCTGGAGGGTATAATGCCATCAGCGTGTTTGTTGATCACTTCACAAAGAGGTTACGGCTCTTTGCCACACATACTACGATAACATCTGAAGGAATGGCATGTGTCTATCGTGACAAAGTATTCCCGATCCATGGAATGCCCCGGAAGATTGTCCACGATCGCGGCCCTCAGTACCATGCCCGCTTCATGAAGGAACTGTACAAGTTGCTAGGAATCGAAAGCAACTATACAACTGCATACCATCCTCAGACTAATGGCCAGACGGAACGGATAAATCAAGAAATTGAACATTACATCCGTCTTTTTGTGAATCATCATCAGAGTGATTGGCACGAATGGCTTCCTATGATGGAGTTTGCATATAACAATCGAGTACACTCAGCTACAAAGGTTTCGCCCTTCTACGCAGACAATGGCAGACACCCATACAAAGGAACCACACCAAAGATGACGTCACAAAACCCAACAGCACAGGAGTTTGCCGATAGTATGAAACGGATCAGGGAAGAAGTAGGATCGGCGCTGAAAAAAGCCGCTGAGGACATGAAGCGCCAATATGACAAACACCGGAATGAAGCGATAGAGTATAAGACTGGTGATAAAGTCTGGCTTGAAGGAACCAACATAACGACAGATCGCCCAATGAAGAAACTCGGGGATAAACGATTTGGACCGTTTAAAGTTCTTGAAAAGATCGGATCCAGCTCATACAAACTCGACATCCCTCGCACATGGAAAAGAGTCCATAATGTCTTCAACGAAACACACCTATCCCCATACCATGAACCCCAATTCCCGACACAACCCCGAAATACCGAGCCACCTCCAGAAGTAGTTGGAGAAGAAGAAGAGTACGAAGTAGAAGAGGTTGTGGATGCACGCAAGTATCGGAATGGCATCCAGTACAAGGTAAAATGGAAAGGTTACGGACCACATGAAATGACGTGGGAACCTGCAGCTAATATGACGAATGCCAAAGAAGCTGTTCAGGACTTCCACAAGAGGTATCCTAACAAGCCCAGGCCTCGAACCCTTAAACAGATCGAGATTCCGATTGCTCAATTTCCCACTGAATTGTTCCGACAAATACCTACACCAGACATAGAACCAGTCCCAAGTACCATGCCATCTGAAGCACTTGTCAACCGACTTGCGCGTCATGGAATTCGCGCCTTAAAGGGGGGGTAATGTTACGATCACTTCTTTTTCATCTTATCTTTCTCCTTATCCCTTGTCTTATCTTTTATCTTTTGTCTTATCTTCTATCTCCCTTATCCTATATCTTGTCTTATCTTGTCACCTGACCTATTATTTATGCTTACTGATACAACATGCGCTTTTCATTTACTTATATTAAACACAGCAGTCTCACAACACGTATACAGCATGGCGATCGAGCTTTCATTACTTACACATTGCTTTACTTATGTTCTACTCATGTTTACCACTAACCCAGGGCGTTGGGCATTACTAGGGCAGAGGGTTGTTCACTAGTATATAGGCTGTAGCTACTTGCTGTATTTCCTTAGCTTTGATCTCGTCTATTCTACCTGGTTTAGCCCAGAACTTTGCTTACTTCCTTTATCGCCTTACTGTTTGAGGTTTTCTTGAGTGTGACACCTGGTGACACCCGTTACTAGAACCAGTCGCTGACATTGGTATGTCATACGTGAATGGTCATCCTTCGGATGTAGTCCGAGTCTGGTATAATCCTGCTTGACAAACAGGTAGACTGTTATCCGAAGGTAGTATCGGGGATGGGTAAACTAACCAACTTGTGGTAGTATGGGTATATGGTCCCTTCAACTTATTAGACTGATTCAGTATTGACTTTGACTGTCAATCTGGGTCTCAATTACAGTCCTCTCGATACAAATCTATACGTGAAAATGTCACAATTCACAGCATAGACGTCTAGCCAAAATTTAGGCGTGTCACCGTGCCAGAGGTCACAAGGTGTCTAAGGGTGGAAGGTCGAGTGGGACAGTAGTGAAGTTATTAACAACACCGCCGTTACGCTGTTAGTCCCTGGAGATCAAGAGTATAGAAGGGAGGAGCTAAGTAGCAGCCAAGTCGGAGCGGCGGTATCGCCAGTGACGAGGAGCGAACCAAAGAACGTCTAAGTCCTAAGGTAGAGTAGAACGTACTTCAAGGCATTGAGCCTGAAGACTTAGAGAAGGGCTAAGCTGGGAAGGAAGATCTAAGTTGATAATTAAACTGAGGAACTACAGTAGCGTACAGGTAGTATTTATATCTATGGAGCAGCGCATCGGTGCGGAGCGCCAGACTAACTACTAGGAGCTATACGTGTAGTACCTGCAGGGTAAAGTAAAAGACAATAAGGAGGGACTAGAACGAAAGGGTATGCGTAGCGAGAAAGAACAATAAGAGTGAGATTACAATAAACGGTGGATCTTCGGAATACCGAGTGGCGGAATGGGGCCCCAAGGCATGGACTTGACATTTTGGTGCTTTCAGCGCTGGGATCTGCTGGGATCTGCTCTCAGCCCTTAGCCGAATATCCAGGTTTTGCAGATGAATGTCAGTAGCGTGATCAAACCGTGCTTTTTCAAAGCATGACTGTTCATTTTTCGTTTTCAAAAAGTTTTTGACGTGTTGCTAATAAGCTCTAGTACTGCCTCATTTTGCATGTGGTCACACATGCACTAACTCAACATGTCTTTCTTTACCATTGCTTCATTGAAACAATTGTGAGCAGATGTGCAAAGTGAAAAGCAATCTGCTGTTAATTCCATGATCCCACAAGGTCATAGCCACATCCTAGGTGTCTATATTTTACACATTTTATAGAGGTGTAATAGCTGATGCTATTACATACAGTGAAAGATAATGTTAAGAAATGATTGTTATGACTATGATGACCCTAAACACAAAGCCAAGCAAGGTGTAGGGCCCCAGAGGGGTACACTAGTACCGGAAAAGCAGTCAATAACCACCATCATCTTGATTTTTCGCACGACTAAAATCGTCGAAACAAGCCTCAGTGGGGGTGTTAAAGTTGCTTAATAGAAAGGTCAACATATCACCGAGGGGTTCATAATGTCTCGACAAGGTCTCGGCGAGGGTAGAAAAAGAGTGCATAAAATCATACGGAGATGTAGAAAAGGAAATGTTCGATGCGATCTGGTTGTTTGCCCTATTCGAAGGAGTATAGTCGATGATTTGGAGGTTGTTTGTTCAACAAAACCACTACACTCAAGACCTCAAGGGAGAGGAACAGAAAAATTCACCACTGATCAGAAAGGTCATCCGAAAAGTATTTGTTGAATTCACCATGTTCTGGTTATCTGGTTGCTCTGAAATTTGATCTGTGGTTCAGCATGGCCTTGCTGTACCCTATCTGCAAATCTGGTGGCTATCAAATGCATTTGGCACTCTGGAGGTCAAGCCTGATGATGACTAGTCTGACCTTGCACTCATTTCCCGGCCTGAAATGTGCTGGCTTGCAGCCGGTGATCCTACTTAGTTGCACCTCTGTGGATGTTTTCTTGATGTTTTTCCTGGAGGTGTTTATGCATGTGTCTGCAAGAGGCTGAAAGCTTTGGTGGTAATACCTAGTCTGAAGAATGAAGATTGGGCTCAAGAGGCATCATGCACATGCATTGTTGAGGTTTTTTTCCTGCTTTTTCCTCAGCAAGCCTGGGAAGTAGATATTAATAATTACCCCCCTGTAGTAGAAATGTGTGTTCCATTACTGTAATCTAAGTAGAGGATGTACAGTATGGTAACCTGGTTGTTCAGGACTCGGACCTAGCCAGTATAATTCAACTATCCTATCCGGAAAAGCATATTCAAAGGATGTAACGTCGAGGCGCGAAACCGAGACAAGCACAGTCAATTCCCTCTTAACCCATATCTCAAGGCCTCATAAACCACACTCCCTTACATATAGAGTGTCGCATAGGGTTTACGGTGAATAATGCAAAATATTTACACTTTATTATACGAAAGTTAATTTTCCCACAACTAAATTGTCTGGTTTCACATCTTCAACAATGTATTCAACTCCTTCAGCCGCTTATCCCACCCATCCACTTTCTTGAGTGTCCGTTCGAGAGAGGCAATCTCCTTGTTGAATCCCAGCCACAATTCTCCTTCGTCTCCTTCGGCTTCGGCCATAGGCGTGAGCACTGCGTCTTGGCCGATATGGGCCAGAGTCCATCGACCGGTGTCATTTCCTAGTACGTTTAACACTTGGGTATGGTATTTCATAAGAGAGGGTCTGTGTACGCAACATCGGACTCAATCTCACAAAATACTTGATAGATTGTTTATAAACTTACCTTAAGGAAATCGTGATTAGAGTGATACCCAAAGATCTTGCATGCTGATACATTCGACCCTCAACATCACTGGACACTGCACTGGTGCATTCTGCATGAAGATGTTGATTAGGAAGAGTCTCCAATGTAAACACGCCGGACGCACCATCCAAAATGGCAAACTTTGGTCGATGATAAAATACCCTGGCCATGGCCATCTTTTATCCATGAACGTTAGGTTCCATTACAATAACGAGGACGGAGCCCGCGCAACTGACCCTTTGTTTCTCGCCACCACTCAATACATCTCTCCATTCCTTCCTCGTACTCCATCCGCCTTCTCGCTCAGGGAGATATGACAGAAAAACACTTTCCAGTATATCCCTAATGTTATTCCCCGAACCGCCTCCCCGAGGCTCAATACTCATATCCTTCTCCAAGAAATCGGCGTAGGAGTCTGGGTAGATGACCTGGTCGAGTAGCGTACCCACAGGCATATAGACTCGCTGGGGAACAACCATCAGCGACTGAGGTCTAAACACCTTGCCGTTTTCGTTAGATGGGCCCCACAAGCCTGCCAACACCCTTGCTATGGCCGTCTTGCCTACCCCATTGCTCCCGGTAATCATGAGATGCTCGCCAGATCCTTCTCGCAGCCACAATGAAAGATCGCGTATGAGGACAGACTGTGATTTAACGTGGACAGATTCGGCCGAATCGGATAATATATGGGACTCGTTGAGCGAGGTCCCTTGAGCAGGAGTCCCAATATCAACGTGTTCTAGTCCTATTATATTATTCGTGATATCACCCGATGAAGACGGAAAGTTGGACCCAGTCGAGACCGGTTTGACTGCGTATAGACTTGAAACGAGCGAGTATAGTCTCTCTGTTACACCAGCAAGCTCTAGGACATCTTTGTAAGCGTACATTAGCCTCCCCCCGGCATCTGCAAGAGAGAGAAGGAGTCTACGGTTGGAGATGTATGTTTCAGTACGTGAAGCAATCACTTCATTCCCGTCGCTCGATGCGGACAGGCTGGAACCCGGATTCGAGCCAAACTGTGCTGCTGGACGACGTCGACGGGTGAACAAGAGAGGCACCGCAATGAGGCCATATCCTGCTGCAGACCAAAGGTATTTGATAACATAATCTTCCGTCCATTCGTATGCTATTCGAATCTCAATACGACGATTTCACTCAGCAGATTGTCGAAACGCAGGACAACATAGTTTACATACCTTGTAAACAGAATTGACGTGCCGTATGAGATTCATGTAAGCTCTGGTCAGAATATCCCTTTCTCGAGCACCTCCATCGTAAAAACTATGGAAGTCGTTGTTAATTCTGAATAGCTGTGTGACAAGACGATTACCCACGCAATCTCCTCGCCTTCTCTTCCAAGTCTGCCCATCCCTGCACGATAATCGCCTTCGAGTTTGGCTTCAACGGCGGATAATTTTCCAAAAGCAGGTGTAACAGCTTTGAGGATGCGCACCTGTATTATTTCATGAGCTGGTATAGCATAACATACTTGAGCACCAAGAGAGCGAACCGTAGCATAATAGGTCCCAAATAGCAGTATTGTACCCCTGAGCCCAAGAGAACGGCTCAATTGGCTGGTGAAAAGAACCAAATCAAGCGTGGGTTTCATGAGATTCCCGCTTTAAGGAATCTTGTCAGCGACGACTGTATAAATAAGAAGTTACTTGAACTTACTACAGACCACTAACACCCTCAGCCCAAGCTTCGATATCTGCAGTGATGTATTGGTCCACTCCCTCGATACTGCCAGCATTACCGGTGTCTTGTCCTTCGCCCAATAAATCCCGTTTAGCACCAACACCAAGTCCAAGTCGGTAATACCTCAAATCTGGGTATTTCGAGAGATACAAGTCATGGATATACCTGGTGAGACGAGTACGGATCCGCAAAGCCAGTGTAGACTGCAAGTGTTTGATCTAGAAATCGAGTGAGAGAAATTCGTGCAACACGTCCAATAAAACAGACCATGACATTCGTGTATGTGCTTGGTACAGCCAGGGCGAACCAGAGTCCCAGTCCACGCAGGAAGCCCCGCGCGTCAGCTCGGACCTATAGGACGATGCCATTAAGCATGTGGAGACACACTTAGCAATGGTACTTACAAGATCTCTTACAATGATACCATCCAATCGTGCCACTGCAACGCTCAGGACTGTGCGAGCGACGAGGAAGAAGGAGTGAACAGCAAGGATGAAGGCTTCTTTGGATTTCCATGAGGGTATGGCTATATGGAACAAGAGAGCACGAAGCGCGCGGACAAATTTGGGGTCGAGGAGACCCTTCGATTTCTTAGAGTCGGAGGATTGAAGAGGAAAGTGTTTTGCATTTGACGCTAGAATATCTGCAGCAGTATCATGTATCGAAACCTAAGTATATTGTTAGTGCTACGTAGAAAGTACTATAGATTTCCTGCAAATGTTTACCTTGGCCAGCCGGTTACGATACGGAACCAACAACGTCTTCGAGCCGTCGCGTTCTTTGATGTAAATCTGCTGCAATACTGCTGTCAGTTCTGCAGCAGACAAACGTTTTCCAGCGGTCGCATCTCTCAACCTGGACATATGAAGGAGTATATCCATCACCATCATGATTCATGGATAATCATCGAGGTTATAAATACAGACCTTTCAAAAGAATCCTTTGGTAAGGTTATCAATCGTGTACGCAGAATGAGAAGGATGAATATGATCTGTAAAAGCCTATTAGATGGTCGAAGAGTGGAAAGAACAGCCATGTACAGTGCCAACCGGCACTTCTCCAACAGGTCAAGTTTGAGTGGAAAAAAATAGTTAAAATCATAACAAAAATAGTTTTGGAATGAAACCAACCAAAAGAATGCTATTCACGTCGAGAAAGAAATATGTTCCGCATTTGGCAATGCTTTCCCACGGTGTTCACTTTCTCGACTCAGAAAAAATCAAGAGTATTGGAGTGATAGATGCATACAAGTATGCAAACTTTCCTTTGGAAGTATTCCTACATGCTCTAATTTCTACTGTTTCCTCAGACATGGCATGCTGTCAAGAAATATACCAGCCATTGCCGTATACCTGTGACAATCAAGCTGGAACATCATGTCCTTACGATGTAGTGACCACGTGTACCTTCCATATATGGAAGGCACCTTCCTAATTAGGCGATGACTAAGCTGGTTCATTTTCGGTCAGTGGGGGTAAAAATAAAAGTTGACCATAGGCTTAGCAAAGCACAAGCCAGGTATATAGATCTTCTACAAGTCAAATGAGCATAATTTGGCTATATTCCGATGTTAACTACAAGCTCTGAAAAAATTCTAAGAATTTGTACTTTTTACGGTTGATCGGGTGATGAGAAGTGCCTGTTGGCACTGTACGAACAACTTCGGAGCGGAGCCAAAATGATGGAGTCCATGTTAGGATAATGCATGTGATTCTGCTCTCAAGCCAATGAGAGCGACCGAGGGGCACAATCAGTAGTGTAAGAGGAACGGAGCTGAAGGAGGAAAGAGATGAGACACTGGCAATCGAATGCAGTTGAAGAAAATCTGAACAAATGCGGCACGACAGAGAAATAAATCAAATAAAAAAGGCAACGGTTGAGCGCTGAAGCGCTGAAGATCAATTTCGCAGAACTCGACTGGGGATTGAACATTTGCACACTATATTATACAACAATAATCAATACTACACTATAGGCTATAGCTACGTGACAATTCCGTGTACAACATGCATTTATGTCAAACGACCGGAAGTTTACACCTTAATATCGAAGGACGAACTTTGCCAACCCTCCCTGTGCTTCTCGACATCAGACTTATGCTTCACTGTATCCTTGAAACTCTTCACTTGATCCTTCCCCTCCTCGAATATCTCTTTTGCCTGCTCAGCAATCTGTTTCGTGTCCGTGACATTTGGCATTGCCTCTGCATCAACATTAACCCCAGTGTCATCTAAAGCTTGGCCGGTTGCACTCCTCAACCTTTTCGACAAACTTTCGGACGCGGTACCATCAGGTCCTTTCTTCTCTCCACTGAGAATTTGAGGCTCCGCACCCATGGCGAACTTTCGCTCCCTTTCCTTATCTTCACCAGTTTCAAGGTCAACTTGTCTCTCCGCCGCTACCACGCCGGTACCAGTGGCTTGCCAGTCGGTATATTGGCCTCTGCGACGAGAATCCAAACCCAACCTTTTCATCCTTCCAACCTCCGACCAGACAGCAGCTCCAATCGATGCACCACTTCCAAGTCCGGTGTCTTTGAAAACTTCAGCCCGCTCAGAAATGTCGTAAGCCAAGCCGTCCAATCCCTCGAATATCTGACGGAGGTGTTCTGCCACAAAACCTTCCAACGCAGATTTCAATCTAAGTGCCATGATGGGCTTGAACATGGCAATCATAACACCATGGTTGGAGTCTTTGATATCCAGTTCGAATTCGTCGGTGATGCGTACATCGAGATGCTCGATAACATGGAAGGCACGGTGTAACGACCTTTGAGAAACGGTTTTGGTGGCGGTAGCAAGAGGTGCGGGCACAGGATGGTTCGTCAGCGATGATCCTGGCGTAACCTTCGCATTCCGGGACGCGGAGCTACTGACTGGAGCAAGAGTCGTAGTGGCAGAGGCAGGAATAAGGCGCATTTTCACATCGACATCAATCCCTTTGGGAGGGAGCGTAAGTGACAAACGTCCTGTATACTCCGCAGGGCCGATAGTGGCAGTTTTATCTTTATAATAGAACGAGATGTCGGATACTGCTAATTGGATAGCCTGAATGCGAATCTGAGTAAGGGTTCCCAACTGCGTTTTGGACTCGGGCTGGACTGGAGCATCTGGTGCAGACGCCGGTGCCACTATGTCGATATCGGTGATATTACGAATGTACATATGAGATGGCAGGAGGTTGAAGGACGACACGTCCAAGTTTTCGAGAACGAGCTCGGACTCGGCATCTTTGTATTCCGTTCTGGAAAATGAGAGTCAGCACAACGTCCCCCACGGAGTAATAATGAAATACCTGGGAATCGGAACATCTTTCATCATACTCAATGCTCGGGGAAGATAGACTCTGAACAAATCTTGCCAAAACCAAGTCAGCTGTTCCACGACAGCTTGCATGCCAGTCTGCGCCTGGTCTCCGACCTCGATTAGACCAGTTTCGATGGCTTCTCCAAGTTTCAGGTGAGCATCCCTCAACCTGTTCAGATCCTCATCACTCTTAAGCCCGTTCTGAATCTTCTGGATCTGGCCTTTCATTGCTTCCACATCATTCTTCCAGGTCCGTCCAAACTCGGAGTCTTGGTCGAGCATGTCTTTCCACCTGATACGAAGATCTTTACGAACACGTTTATTCTCGTCGGAGCGAATGTATCCTGATTCGTCCAAATCGCGATGCAGATGAGTGAAGAAGTCATCAAACCACGAACGCAGATCTTGATCGTCCCGGATATCGACCGCGCACTTGCGAATGGTAGAGACCAGTTTAGAAAGCGAGTCGGTATGCGCAAGACGTGACAAAAGCGTTTCAATCGCCTGCAATGCCTTGGTGATATGTTTATCGGTGGTGTTATCGTCAACTAGCGAGTCAAGAGAAGATGCAGCGTTGGTAGCCGAATTAAATCCTCTGCTGATCCACTTTTGCACAGTACTAAAAAGTGTATCAAGCGATCGATGATACTCTTCGTCGTTCTGGGCACGTTCACACATCTGGAACAATCGTGAATAAATCATACGAATACATGTCATGCAGTGGACATACTTTGTAGAAAGCATTGTGTAACTTGGCCGAAGTACGGTCAGACAACTCTGAAGCTTTAGCGACAGACTTTTGCCCGGCACCGATGACGGAACTGCCAGCGCCCTTAACCGTATCCATGCCATGTTCAAACGCAACCTGTAGATCCTCTTCCTGCTTGAGCCGCTCTTTGTCGCGGCCGAGCGTATCTCTCTTGCCTGACTGAACTTCTTCATCAACCTCTCTCAAGCTGTCCTTTGCACGAGATGCTTGATTTTCAACGACTTCAGCGGCGTCAGCGAGCGAGAGCCGAGCAAAGGAAGTAAAGTCTTCGAAGAGAGAGGAACCCTCGGACGACAAACCCGACCAGATGATAGAAAGGATTGTGCGGATAGATTCACGCGCGTCCTGTGCGTCTTTCAATGCCTCATCGGTGTTTGGTTTGATATTGACATCAACAGATGTGTCGGAAAGATCGCCTTGGGACAGATGCCAAATGGCTTCCTGCAACAGGTTATCCTCTACAGGTCGTTAGAGACTGTTGACACTATCGTAGACGAGTAGCTTACTGTTCTTATGTTCACCCAAAAGTTGATAAGCGGTGGCAACATCGCGAAGACGCTGTGCGACGATATGACCTTGTGTACTGAAGGCGCCATCCGAGATTATATCTTTCTTGAGCCACTCGAGGAAGTTGTCCACTTGATGGTGAGATGGCAATTTGCCAGCGTCGAAAGCAGCGAGTATATCAATGAGTTTATCCATAGAAATTTTGATTGGGATTTGGTATGTGAGATTTCCATTTGCCTGGAGGAGAAGCTTTTAACGAGTCCATTTGACTCTGATGACTCCATGCTGACGCGTTGTTTCAGCAAGAAATCGGAATCCGCATAGGTGACTGCATACATAGCGTCACTTCTTTTGGCACCAATACTTAAGCCGGCAATTCGCGGCCGAAGTATGCCGTGCCCTAGTTGCGAGAATCAGCTTTGGCTCCAGAATCGCGTAAATTACTCAGGTGTGCTAATACAGGTGTGACTGTTGTCAGTCAAGATAGGCAATGATACAGAAGTATTAACGTCGGAATTATATGTATGCTACACTTTATTGTAAATGGTCAATAATAAGATGATAAAATAATAGTTTTCGCAAAAGAATGGAAGATATGCAAATGAAAGCGAATGTGGTTATGAACGTTCATCGTAAAATTAGTAAAATATAAATGTAGCCATTGATTCAACCGAGTTCTCGCAATGTATCTAGTAATCATTCAGATTGGGGTATTACGATGCTGTTCTCCTCTGGCACGTCGGGGATTAACACCAGATGCCAGTAGCCGCTCCCAGTGTTCATGTCCCTCCTCGTGTCCGTCCTCGGACACCCAATCTCCTGTAAATGGATCTCGCTCAAAGTCACCATCTTGGTAACCGTATCGATGTTTCAGAAGCTGAAGCAAAGGATTGCGTAGAGCAGGATCCATTCGCACAGATTCTCCTGGAAGGTAGCTCCCGACCTTGTGTCGCGAGAGACTCTCTTCGAAAAGAGCTTCTTCGTAGGTACAACCACAATTTAATGTATCCTTCGGAGCATTGCGTGGTGGGTAAGCCCTTCGCTCTCTGCGCGAATCATGCCAAGCACACAGTGCGTTACCAGCGCGGTTCAAGGAGCAGAGGTACTTTGTTCGCGCAGTGGTGCGGGCCGCCCAGGAAGCTTTGAAAAAAGCAGAGGCAGGCGGAGAGTAGGGATAGTCTGTGTTTCGTGAGGAAGTACTTGCCAGTTGAGCTTGAAGCACCCTGATATGCTCCTGATCATGGTGGTGTCGTTCCTCAAGCTCTGCTATTTTTCGATGCAAACATTCTACAGAAGCAAGAGAATGCGAGGTTGAATCGTTATATGTCGTTGCATCGCCTATAGGCGTGGTCGTGTCGTCATAAGAATAGATCGCCGTAGATGATGATGGTGTACCAGAAGGAAAACCTCCATGATCTGCGTCAGACGAGTAATGGTATGGTATATCTCCTGCAACTCCGGGATACAGTGATAGATCAGACGTCTCGTTGATTGACATCTGGCTTTGATGCCAGGACATAGAGGCCAATTGGACGTCTGATTGTTGAGGAGACATAGTCACAAATCGTGTATCGGTCCCAGAGGGACCAATTCCGAGTCCAACAGCCCCGTTGAAGCTTGACGAAGAAGCAGAAGATGACCTACTTAGTTGCTGAAACGAGCTCACAGTATTAGCAAAAATGCGAACGCTTTGTCACAAAAACAGTCATCCTCACCGAAGAATTATACATTGCAGACTGGTAGTGAGGACCACCATCCGACGATCGACGTTCGTTCGATCCGGATCGATTGCTCCAGTTATCAAAACCCGAACCAGAAGTGCCAGACATTCCGATTGTATCCTCACGAGACAGTTCAGGATAAGGCCTAATTCGAGGGCTTTCTGACTTAGCCACCCTTTGACGAACAGACTGGGAAGTGAGGGCAGAGGCCGCGATAAATGGAGAAGAGGGAGGTGACAGCAGCGACGAGAATTCCGTATGACTTTCCTCTTTGACTTCAGGCATTTTAAAATCCATAATGCCGTCAGATGCATTGGATTCAGGCCAAGGAAAGAAGTCAGCAGTCTCGCCGGTGTGCATGGCTAAGCAGTGCAAAAGGAGAATAGAAAGAGAGAGAGAAAATATAGATCAAGGAAAACGACCAAGGCTTTAAATGTCAGTGCAATGCATTGCTGCCTGGGGGATAAGATGAGGTTCAAACCAGATCAGATTATCATGTTACTTAGAAGTTATTTCCAGCGAACTGACAACAGGGCAGTGAGGAAGATGATCAGATACGCGACCAGCCGGAAGATCTTGGACTTAAGACTGATTAGAGCGGTAGGACTAGTACAGTGTATCTGATGATCCTCGTCAGATCAATCCATAGCGAAAAATTGTAACAAACTTTGTATACGTGTTATGAATAAACCGTAAACCCTCCGATACTCCGATTTCACTCATCGTTTCCATATGCAAGATTACGCTCGTAGTGACGGATAGCCCAAGAGACAATTAATTGCACTGCAACGCATGATCGGCATAACCTGGACTGAAATGCAAACATTGAGTCATAAGCGCCCGTATGCATTCTGTAACTAAGTAGGAGAGAGAGAGAAAAACGGAGGCATTCAATTTGTCGGAACGGTCCATTGAAGTTATCACTCTGACAACGGATCCTTAAGGAGAGCCTTTGTATCCATAATCATTACCAACACAAAGAATTCCAAAGAGCAGAGCTTGAACTTTGAAGAAAGACGGTGATCAGGTATAAGTTACCCGAGGAGACAGAGAAAGAGTTGCCAAGGGATAGAAACGCGTTTGATTGACAATGACTAAGAAAGATTTCCACACCCAGGTCTTCGACACAAATCACATCCATCAAGTTGACCTAAGAATCCACGCTTGAGTCATGGCGGACTACTCTATTCCAAGGTTTCCCAGAGGGTGGACTAAAATAGCCAATGATTTCGTGAGCATTGACAGTGATGCGAAAGCCAACAATTTCACTTGATGTCAGCTGGGAGTTCGACAACTCCACCTTCATCTACGTTCAGAAATTTTGTCAGCTCGACGGCCGGGAGATCGGGACAGCTAAATCATAGTTATTGAGGGATATGAGATAGCTGATGGAAATAACATACATCCTAAACAATCTGGACAAGGGAAAACAGCGAACAACAGGGCCTTCTGTCTGCGACCGTTCTAATTCGCAGCTGTACTGAATAATCTCTACCATTCGGCATTTTTCAGATCCAATGACAGAAGGTTCTGATTTTGACGAGGAAACAAGAGACATGCATGGAAGTTTTGAACAGAATTTGGTACATATGTAATAGGCGGAACGGAATAAGCAAGGTTGTGGCGTGAGAACAGATAAAACGTGGGACGGTGGGAGGTGCAAGAAAATGAATCGAAAGATTTTTCTTTCCAAAACTCCTTTACATCCTACTCTTCCATCATGGTCTTCAAAGTTGCTGGTGCGTTCAGAACTTCACTCGAGAGTCCTCTATATCAAATCTTGTGCTATCAGATGTATCGCTCGCGGCTTTCGGTCGTAAAGAGATCGAAATTTCTGAGGTTGGGATCACTATCGATTGCAAGTTTCAGAGCTGATGATTTTACTCCAGAACGAGATGCCAGGGCTCATGTACATGAGGGCTAAGGTGACTCACAGTCAAAATAAGCTCTGAATCACCACCGATCATTGCGATTGCAGTATGGACCGTCTCAACCTTTGAAAGGTACACGGATCGCAGGATGCCTCCACATGTAAGCTATTGTATTCATCCATATGTCTTGTTATTCAAAAGCAATTCAGGACGATTCAAACTGCTATCCTCATCGAGACTTTGACTCATCTCGGTGCGGAGGTTACATGGTCGTCTTGCGTGAGTCGAAATCTCTAATGCGATAGCCTAAATTAAGCTCAGTGTCTTTGATTAGAATATTTTTTCCACTCAAGACCATGCTGCCGCCGCGTATGTACTCGTTCGTATCACATATAACTTTAGAAAACTGATCCCGGCCTGTTATAGCATTGCCGCTACTGGCGTCCCTGTCTTTGCCTGGAAAGGTGAAACCGAGGACGAGTACAATTGGTGCATAGAGCAGACTATCAAGGGGTTCTCCGGTGGACAGCCTTTAAACATGATTCTCGATGATGGAGGTGATCTTACCACTATGGTACATGAAAAGTTCCCCGAGCTTCTACCTGGTACGTTCATTCTCTCTTCCCGTAGGTTTTGTTGTCGATCCTTCCCTATCTATATCGCAGGAATTCGCGGAATTTCTGAAGAGACTACTACCGGTGTTCACCACTTGTACAAGGCTTTCCGTGAGGGCAAATTGAAAGTTCCCGCCATAAACGTCAACGACTCTGTTACCAAGTCCAAGTTCGATAATCTGTATGGTTGCCGAGAGTCTCTCGTGGACGGAATCAAGCGGGCAACAGATGTGATGCTTGCTGGAAAGGTTGCCGTCGTTGCAGGCTTTGGTGATGTCGGCAAAGGTGTATGTACTATATCACTCATCTCTACCTATTCTTAAATTTTTTTGCTAGTGTGCTGAATCACTCAGGTCCTATGGTGCACGCGTGTTAATCACTGAGATTGATCCCATCAACGCTCTGCAGGCCGCTATGGCTGGATACGAGGTGACGACTATGGAGGATGCTGCTCCTCGATCCAATGTCTTTGTTACCACCACTGGAAATAGGGATATCATTACTGCCGCACATTTCACTGTCATGCCCGAAGATGCGATCGTTTGCAAGTAAGTCATGTTATTTTCTCTTGATCTCGTAACCCTAATATGATTGTCGCAGCATCGGTCACTTTGACATTGAAATCGACGTAGCTTGGTTGAAGGCTAATGCTAAATCAGTCTCCAACGTGAAGCCTCAGGTAGACCGATACACAATGTCTTCTGGCCGTCACATCATCCTTCTTGCTGAGGGTCGTTTGGTGAACTTGGGGTACGTCTACGCGTAGTTACTTGCGCGGTTGATTTTCTGACGGTTGTTCTGCAGGTGTGCTACTGGACATCCATCCTTTGTGATGTCTTGTTCATTCACTAATCAGGTTCTTGCTCAAATTGCCCTCTGGACTACACCTGAGAAGTTTCCACTCGGTGTCCACATCTTGCCTAAAAATCTTGATGAGGAGGTTGCACGGGCACATCTCGATCATTTGAAAGTGAAGCTTACCACCCTTTCTGAAACCCAATCCAAGTATCTGGATATTCCTGTCAATGGCCCTTACAAGGCTGATCACTACAGGTAACGTCAATCATTTACAAGCTCTATATATGATTCTGAATCTGTGCCTCTAGGTACTAATCATAGTATCAGTAATTGGATGCTGATGGCCTCAACGAGCCCTCGCCACAACCTTATCGGAAGCATAGGGATCTTCAACGTCCTTGTCTCGAGCGGATGCCCTAATATCTGTTCCGTATTATAAAAAAGCTATGCATTGGCAGGGTGCATTGGATAAGAGGACGCCAAGTTTGTCATCGAGGATGGTGGTTGGAAGGAAGAAAGACAGTAGGAAGAGTTTAATACATAGGGCAAGGCCTCAACGAGCCTGTGATTGTAGCATATAGAATCCGCAACTCGAAAAAGTTCCTGTACATACACTGGTACAAACTGATAATCAGATAAATCGTGAACGATGCATAAATGGTGGATTGATCATAAGGAGCCAAGTAACCCTCATCGGAGATTTATGATATGACCATCTTTTGACAGTTCTGTTTGTTCTTCGTTCTCAGCTTCATCTAGGAATTCTGGCTGATCGGTGAGTGCGCACAGAATAGTTCGTACAAGTGGCTTCAATGTACATTCGTGAAATGACTATTTACTCGGTAGAATCAAGACTCATTTGTCAATATGCCTTCCTCCGACGATGGTGCTAGCGTCTCACCACTTGGACCCATAGATCCAGCATCTCTAACAGAAGGAGGCTCTTCTGCTGAGAACGAGAAAGCAGCGCCTTGGATCGTTAGGAAACTGGTTGGGGTATGTCTTGATTTTTTCTGATAATCTGACAACTCTCTAGTAGTTTTGTTGGAAACCGGTTGCTGACTTCGTGTTTGATAAGTCCATGACCGGCCGTATTGTCATGTCTTCGTACGAGTCCCTCCGAGCTGCAGGAACCAGTGTTATCTGTCTTTCACCTGTACGCCCTCACATCTTGGTTTACACAGCTCAGGATCACACTTATTCTTTGTACTTACTTAGTGGGGAGATCAATCTCCCTTGACGCTCCCCTGTATACGGTTTCGGGATATAGCCGTGCATACTGTGATTGCTGCCACGGTGACTTGTTCTTCTTTCTACTCCACCCGTCTTGATACCACCTCGACTTCACTGCCTGAGTGATCATCATCACTCCCCTTTATATAGTGACATTCATACTTACATCAGACCCGTTTTCTTAGGGTGGTTTTGCTGCAATAGCCAGTCCAGTGATGGGACCCGTCAGTGATCTGGTGGTGTCGTCTTTTGGAGATACGATTTTGGTCGAACTCGGTCTTCATGCCGGGTTCGAGCTGACAACGAAGGCTGCCAATGATCTTATTATTGAGCATGGAATCAAGCATGCTATACCGATACATTCCAGCCGATTAGAAACGACTGGCGTAAAAGTCCTGCTCATCACCCTCAAATTCAAGCATACAATAGAAGATGCTGCATTAGGATTTTTTCGTAGTAGTGTTCACAAGTAAGGATACCAGAAGTCTTTCCGTTTATCACTCTCACGTGTTTCATGCTGTAGAGATGCCGATCTTTTTGCTGTGGTGAAGGATTATCTGGCGGTAGAGAAAGGCTGGTTTTCCCCATATCTATTTGCCAGTAGTCGCCGCCCGATCATTCCCAGATCGATGAAGCCTGATGTCGTTTTTTGTCATGGGCCTTTCTTGCAAGGTGAATGGTATAACTTGTTCTTTCTCAATGTCTCAATGCCGACTCTTATTCAGGTGACTATCGGGTCGGGGAGACGCTGTTGAACGAATCTGCATCTATAATAAACTTTTGCCAAGGTCCCACCATACCTGAAGCGTCCCGGGAGACTCCCAAACAGCACTCACTTTCCGACCTCAAAGACTTGAAGATTCCATCCCTTTCGAATGTCTTCTCTCGTTCGCGCACACCCTCCCCGAATCCCCAATTAACACGTTTACCTACACCTCCTGTCCCGCGACGCATGGTAATATTGGTTGTGGGCCTCAAGCCACATCGGAAACTCTGGACAACTTCCGCACGTCCAGAAGAGAGTGTAATCAACTATATTCTTCTCAATGGTTGTCCTGCGATAGTTGTACCTGTGAAAGTCGGCGCGCCACTCATCGCTTGGGATGCCTTGACGTTGGAGCAGTTGTGGGACGTGGAGATTCCGTCGACCGATGATGCGCCTAGTGCCTCAGGCAAATTTGAGGGCATAGTAAATGTGATTTCCGAATTTTTGGATCTCTGTGTGGACTGGGGTCGGATTGAAATTCAGGGAGATAGGGATCATGATCTAATGACTGGTGCTGAACAGGATAAGGATAAGGTTAGAAATGCTTTACGGCTACTTGTTGCTGCTGCAACAAGAAGCAAAGATAGCAAAGAGGTGAAAAAGGAAGTGGACGCTGACAGGGCCGGAATTGCAATGTGGCGAATACCCTGAAAAGTTTACTGTACTCATTCTGTCACAGACTCATTTCCAGATAATGTTGAAATCTGTATGTATAACTATATGGTGTACATTGTCCAATCCAATTTGAGTTGTACAGAAACACAGTAGAACTGTAAAAGAACAACCCAAGCAAGGCATGTGTCCCCGCAGGGAGCAATTTATTCAAGCAATGAGGTGAGATTCATGTCCATTCAAAATTTGAAGTTTTGACGACCATATACTTTGAAAACCCTCACAACACAATACGCAAAAAAATCGAAACGAGTAATGTAGTAGTAGTAGTAGGGTAGTGTGGGAGGTATCGGAAAAATGAAGACGAGATATTAGTTGAAGAAAAGAAGAGGAAATAGTGAATGGTATAGATGCAATGGAGATGGACAATAAGATAGCAGTTGCAATTCACTGAGAATGACCATATCTCCACCACAAATTGAAAGATGCAAACGTATCATCTTATATAAGATATACTTGTGCTTGAGGTGAATAGTAAAGCCAGGAATCACAATGTCGTTCCGATTTTTCATTCATGGCGCTCCGGGTCCTGCCCCACTGCCTCTGCCACCTCCTCTTGTCAACCCAGCAGCAGCTAAACCCCTAGAAGCGAACCCTCCTCCCCCTCGTCCGCGACCACGAAATGATCCACCGCGTTCTGGATGTGGCTGAGAATTCGTAGGTGAGGTAACTGAGTCCGGCGCCGACTGAGAAGCCGCTCGTTCTCTCTGTTCCCTTTCCCTCGTCTCTCGATCTGTAGCTTGTTTCAGTTCTGGGATGTTGCCATTGAGACTCTGTAGAATGTAAGCGACATTGATGAGCAGAGTAAGAAATCTAAATTTTAGCTGGGACAGAGTTACTAACCTGTCCACTTCTTTCTAGCCCCCGTCTCATAGTCTCTTCATCTCCAAACTCGACATAGGCAAGCTTTTGTGCACGACCTGCTCCGGTTGTGTTAGGGAAATGGACTTTGGTAACCTGCAAGAGATAGCATTAGTCGTACAGTAATTAAAAAAATGTTAACACTAACCCCTCCGCCGTCCTTTACGCCTTGGGCATAAAATTCTCTTAACTCATTTTCCGACGTAGTCGCATTCATCCTCATGAAGATCGTCCAAGGATTTCTCTGGGGTCTAGCTGATTTCGGTGTTCGAACACCCCCGGAGAGGGTTCCAGTCACAGACGCAGGCGATTTGAGTTGGTCAATAGGACTCTTCGTATCGTCGATGGTAGCGGAAGCAGAGGCTGGTACGGAACCCTCTATCAAACCCAATGAGCGAACCAATCACGTATAGTTATTAGATAAGCTTACCACCTGCTGCTGCCGCCGCCGCCTTTTCCCTGTTTCGCTCCTTCTTCTCTTTCCTCTTCTGTTTATCCCTTTCAGCTTTCTCCAACTTGGCCGTCTCCTTATCTTTAGCTCCACTCCCATCCTGATCGCCCTCTTTTTCGCCTTTGACACCCTCTTTTTGATCCCTGGGCTCAGAGGAGGGAGTGCCTGTTCCGCTCGCTGCTTTTGATGACGTCCCAGTAGATCCTTTACCTGCCAAGTGAGGCGGCACGGCACGATCAACCGCCTGATTTGAGATAGAGGTAGTAGCAACCGCATTGGTTCTTCCGATGGTATTAGAGCTGTTCGGAGGAACAGGAGCAGGTGTCGCGGGTTTTGAATGGACAGTGGACGGTGGCACTGGGGATACTACTTTGGGTGCAGGGGTGGCAGATTTCGAGGATGGCTTGTGATTGGGAGAAAGAGTATTGCTTGGATTCGCAGAAGTGGGCGTAGCAGGAACAGTAGCGGAGCGGCGATAGGCATAGTTAAAGCCTAGTGATGAAGAGTTCACATAGTGTAGCAATATAAGATGCTTTGAAGTCACTAACCTTGACTTTTCAACTCCGCGCTAACTCTGCCCTCTCTCACATCTAAAATGAGTGAACCGTACGCAGCATCACAAAGATTCCAATTCCAACAATTTTTCCACATCGGCTCATCCTGCGCAGCCAGTGCCTCTTTTGCAGTTGTTACTCCGGTAGGAGCACCGCCCGGCCCTATTGGGGGTGGTATTCTCTCTACGACATTAAGCGCCTTGTCCAGCAAAACTCGCTGATTTTCATCCACGACTACGTCCACCTGAGCCTTAACACTTTCCCAAACTTTGTCAAACGTCTCCTTGCCAAGTAACAACTTCCTGCGAAATCCTTCGTAGTCCGCCAACACACTAAACTCGTTCCAGGAAGTGGAGTAGCGGAAGTGTAAACCGGCACTGATGGTGAGATCGGCTTTACACACTAAGGCAAGCTGGGCAATTATGCCTTCCCGTCCTGGGCTGGCATGTGTGACGAGTAGGCGGGTTTCGGACGGGTCGTGTACGCGTTGGGCCGTGTCGACCAGTTCACCAAGCTGTAGAGTGGTAGTCCACATGGTGCCCTGACCTCCTGCAATGGTTGCACTTCCATCCCCATTATCAAACATTTTATGAGGCACAACAGCCCCTCCAAGACCAAGCAATCGAAGTTTGACGCCCCCCAGGTCGAGCAAATGTGTGGTAGCCTCGTCAAGGATATTTAAATTTGGCACCTCGTATGTTTTAGCCCGGAACTTTTCCATTATAACGATATCTTCACATGCACCCCAAACAGTATACACCGGCACGTTCAGCCTGAGATTACCAGAAAGCAACAAAGGAAATTCAGAAAGAATGGAAATGTCAACACTGTTTCGCAAGGGAGAATTTTGTTGGAGCAAATGTGTCCTTTGCGCACTGGCGACGAGGGGAGAATACATTGTAAGGTGCCTCAGAGTCCTGTCGTTTATCCGGTCGAGTGAAGTTGCTTCGAAAAAGCCAAAATCACCGGTGTGTATGACGGCTACTGCGTTAACTTCTCGGGCCAGGTCGTTTATGGCGGAAAGTCGACCACGGATGTCAGCGATACAGAGAATGCGGCCATGAGCAGTGTCGAATGTTTTGGTGGTGGTGTTGACCATGGTGAGTCGAAAAGAAGGAGGGCAAACTTTCGTATCACGTAATCACGCTTCAAGACTTTTGGCCCTCTGATTTATAATTATACGCGAATGAATTGTGCCCGAGAGCTCAGAGCAATCCCCATTGTCATTAGATTTACTGAATCCAAAATGTAACTCGGAAGCTTGAGGTCTGAGGGTGTACTCCTAAGATAATCAAAGTTCAAACTTCAAACGTTCAAGCCGCAAAGCGCGGCAGGAACTGGCAGGAATCAGGACAAAGAATGTACTAATCACGAACAAACTCGTACGGATTTTGAGACCCAACAGCCTGAAGAATCCAGGAACTTGAAAGCTGTCTTGAAGCTGTCCGCCTCCATCTGCAAGTTTGCTGATGTCTGTCCACTTACAGAAGGCCGCGGATTCTTAGCATATGGAGTTACTGGTTGCGGTATTCAGAAAACATTACAATATATCGTACGAAGATCTATGTCATGAAACTCGAACCCGAGGCACGCGACAGTTGTCAGTAGTCTGGGGTGAACTCGAGGTAAAGGTGAGGCGGTGGCAAGGAAAGACAAGGCTAATACTCAAAAATAGTATCAGCCTGAGGGTTGCTGTCCTTAATCGTACGATAATCGATCAATGTTTGAAAAATTTACATGATGATGTGTATCGAATGGCATTGGCCGAACGGGGAAAACAAATGTGTCTGCGATATCTTACGCCCAGACACCCAGTAGACGACGCGAAAGATATCAGGTTTGCTGCGATGGGGTGAGAAGCGGCCGCATAAAAGACTTGAAGGAATTGGCCGGAGTAACAGTAGGGTGGGACGAAAAGACTGAAGCAAAGGACTGTAGTAGAACCGAGTATATCTATGTACTCTTGAGGCGGATTCGCTTTTGTTTCGCGACGCTGGGTAGAGGACTTCGTGGAAAAGTTTCGAAACTTTGGGGGCAAGTATTGTGGTCACGTGGTATCCAATATTAAAAGTAACCAGAGAGGGTTTAATCTGACCATATTCCCCTCTCTTTTTTCTTATCTCAAAATGTCGTCAAAAGGTAAACAACTTGCTAGATGTACTCGATCTTTACTGATTAACTTTAGCTATCCGGGAATACGACGCAAAGCTCTTGTTGACTTACTGGTTGACGCGCTCCCCGCTGATTGACCCAGCTTTGGAAGGACAGCTGGGTCCAAGCGCGACGGGGAGCGTTCCCAGGGTTGCCCAGATGCTGCTGAATGAAGAGACAGGCTTACTGACTAGCGAAGACGCTTTACCAGCTTGGACTAAGGAGTCTGGTGTCAAATTCGTTGCCAAACCTGATCAACTGATTAAACGTCGAGGAAAGGCCGGCCTTCTCGCACTCAACAAATCTCGTCAAGAGGCTGTAACATGGATTAAAGAGCGTGCAGGAAAAGTTCAAAAGGTCGAGTCGGTCGAGGGTCCTTTGACCTCCTTCATTCTGGAGCCATTCCTCCCTCATCCGGCAGACAGCGAGTACTATGTCTGTATCAACTCCGATCGCTCTGGCGATACTATCCTCTTCACCCACGAAGGTGGTGTTGATGTAGGCGATGTCGACGCCAAGGCCCTCAAGCTGCTTATCCCTGTACCTACTGCTGCAGCCCCACAAACTTTCCCTGGCAAGAAGGCAGTCATTAATACCTTACTTTCTCATGTTCCAACTCAGGCGCGCAAGGATGCTCTCGCAGACTTTATCATTCGTCTTTACAGCGTTTATGTTGATCTGCAGTATGCTTACCTCGAAATCAATCCTCTGATCTGTATGGAAAACTCGGTAGGTAAAGTCGAGATTCATTATCTCGACATGGCCGCGAAGCTCGACCAGACCGCAGAGTCTATCGTGGGCCAAAAATGGGCCATCGCTCGAGACCTGGCCATCTACGAGGGTATTGCTTCCTCTGGCTCCGGCAAAGTCACTGCCGACCGCGGGCCTCCAATGGCATTCCCTGCACCTTTCGGCCGTTCTTTGACCAAAGAGGAAGCCTACATCCAGAAACTTGATGCGTCCACCGGGGCCTCCCTTAAACTCACTGTTCTGAATGCAGAAGGACGGGTATGGACTATGGTTGCCGGAGGAGGTGCATCTGTTGTCTATTCTGATGCCATTGCTGCTGCTGGTTTTGCTAACGAGCTCGCAAACTATGGTGAATACTCTGGCGCACCAACTGAAGGCCAGACATACGAGTACGCCAAGACCGTCATCGATTTGATGACTCGCGGTGCCGTGAACGAGCAAGGCAAAATCCTCATCATCGGTGGAGGTATTGCGAACTTCACCAACGTCGCGGCGACCTTTAAGGGTATCATCCGTGCTCTAAAAGAGTACAAGTCTCCCTTGATTCGCGCCAAGGTGTCCATATACGTACGTCGTGGTGGACCAAACTACCAGGAGGGTCTCAAGGTTTGTACAACGTACAACTGTTGAACTGCTATGATTACTTATCATTGTATAGGCCATGCGTCTCCTTGGTGAATCCCTAGGTGTTCCTATCCATGTATTCGGGCCAGAAACACACATTACGGCCATTGTCCCCCTCGCCTTAGGTCTTGTCAAAGCTGGCGACACCGCTGCTCCCAAATCCGTTTCACAAACCGCCCCTGCCACACCTCCAGCTAAAGCTACTGAGATCGCAGCCGAGAATCCCCCTGTTGGGTCTATTGGCCCTGATGGCGAACGTACCCAAATCAACGACCAAATCGTTCACTTTGATTCGGTCTCAACATCATCAGCAGGTCGTCCATGGTACCGTCCCTTCGACTCGAACACGCGTTCCTTCGTGTATGGTCTACAGCCCCGTGCGATCCAGGGCATGCTCGATTTCGATTTCTCGTGCGGTCGTTCGACACCCTCTGTCGCTGCGATGATCTATCCCTTTGGTGGTCACCACATCCAAAAATTCTACTGGGGCACCAAAGAAACTCTTCTTCCCGTGTACACATCCGTCGACGAAGCATTCAAGGACAACAAACACACAGATGTCGACTGCGTTGTCAATTTTGCCTCATCTCGTTCCGTTTACTCCTCCACCATGGACATGCTCCGCCACCCTATTCATTCTCAACGCATCAAATCTATTGCTCTGATCGCCGAAGGTGTTCCAGAAAGACACTCACGCGAAATTCTTTATGAAGCTCAGCAAAAGGGTGTATTGATCATCGGACCTGCCACTGTTGGTGGTATCAAGCCTGGTTGTTTCCGTATCGGTAACTCGGGTGGTATGATGGACAACATTATCGCGTCCAAGCTGTACCGCGCCGGTTCAGTGGGATATGTTTCTAAGTCTGGTGGTATGTCGAACGAGTTGAACAACATTTTGTCCTTCACCACCAATGGTGTTTATGAGGGCATTGCTATTGGTGGAGACCGCTACCCCGGATCGACATTTATTGATCATCTCTTAAGATACGAGAAGGACCCAGAGTGCAAGCTCATGGTGTTGTTGGGAGAAGTTGGTGGTGTGGAAGAATACCGTGTTATTGAGGCTGTCAAGCAGGGCAAGATCACCAAGCCGATAGTTGCATGGGCCATTGGCACCTGCGCTGGGATGTTCAAAACGGAAGTCCAATTCGGTCATGCTGGGTCCCTCGCTGGATCTGATGTTGAGACTGCCGAAGCCAAGGTGTGTATATCGTTCTTGCAAAAATTTTACCTTTCAAATCTTTACTCTACATTTCTAGAACCGTGCCATGGCCGCTGCAGGTTTCATCGTTCCGCCAACTTTCGAGGATCTTCCGGATACCATATCCAAACTCTACCAGTCTCTGGTTCAAAAAGGAACAATTGTGCCTCAGGTTGAAAGGGATCCACCAGTGATCCCGATGGACTACAAGTGGGCTACTGAACTGGGTATGTTTTTTGATGTTCCTGAACCTATCCTCTAACCCTATGTCTTACTAGGATTGATCCGTAAACCCGCTGCCTTTATCTCAACCATCTCTGATGAACGAGGGCAAGAACTCTTGTACGCTGGTATGCGCATCTCCGACGTCTTCAAAGAAGACATTGGGTTAGGAGGCGTTGTGAGTTTGTTGTGGTTCAAGTACGTCCCTCTTGAATCTTTGTCATATCAAATATTTACGGCCTGTATCTTTCGTCAGACGTCGTCTGCCTATATATGCCACCAAGTTCATCGAGATGGTCCTCATGCTGACAGCCGACCATGGTCCCGCTGTCAGTGGTGCCATGAACACTATTGTCGCTACCCGTGCAGGAAAGGATCTGATTTCAAGTTTGGCAAGTGGTTTGCTGACTATTGGTAGTCGGTAAGTGTTTGGGTATGCTCAATTCTGTCTGTAATTAAACAATGTCTTGTAGCTTTGGAGGTGCCCTTGATGAAGCTGCTTCCATGTTCACTAACGCACGTGACCGTGGCTTGACCCCAAGAGAGTTTGTTGACCAGAGCAGGAAAGCGAACAAACTGAGTACGTCTAGGATATTTCTTTTGTAAATACCACTAATTTTTGTCTTTCTCACAGTTTCTGGCATTGGACACAAAATCAAATCCGTCAACAACCCGGATTTACGTGTGGAACTCGTAAAAGAATACGTGAACAAAAACTTCCCATCACACTCATTGCTCGACTACGCGCTCGCAGTGGAAAAGGTAACAACGAGCAAGAAGGACACTGTGAGTTTCTACTCGCTATCTCTCGTCGCCTCACCTAATGTTGGTTGTCCCTAGCTTATCCTCAATGTCGACGGTTGCATCGCGGTCTGCTTCGTCGATCTCCTTCGGGATTCAGGCGCATTCACCCCCGAGGAAGCAGAGGAGTACATCAAAATCGGTACTCTGAACGGTCTCTTTGTCCTCGGTCGTTCCATCGGTTTCATTGGACATCATCTCGACCAGAAACGTCTCCGTGCACCACTCTATCGCCACCCCGCGGACGATATCTTCATCAACATGGCGGATGTGAGTCAGCCGAGAGTCTTAGGAAGGATGCAGCAGTAGAGAGTCCAAAATTTTGTTTTATTCCTGTTCAAATCTTGGTTCCAAAAATTTTGCATCCTTGTTTCGTTGCTCAACACATACCGTTTTGCGTTATCACATAAATGTTACAACCATCACATCAATATATAGAATAATTCGCTACGTACAGTCTTGCTACAATGTGACGATTTCATCTCAATTTCGCGCCACCCCATATCTCAGTCCGTTCCCTCTCTTCAATTCAGTGGTAATTCACAAATGGTATTTATACGGTTCCGATTGACTGGTTCATATACGCATGATCTTCCTTGACCTTCAACACGAAACAACGCTAACACAGAATCCGTGGAAGCCTGTGTTAAGCACAGATTGTTAATCGTCAATGTATGCCGGACAGCCCAAACTCAAGATATCGATCCCCCGGATTACATCCTCCAATTATATCTGTAGAGGAACGATGATAAATAAGCAATGAGGACCCAAATTTCCGAGATACTCACAGATGTTGTAGAATTCTGTTTTTGTTACAGAGGGTAATGCATCCGGGCGAGCCCCTAGGGCAACCCCAAAGCGCTAGAAGTAACATAGTCAGAAAGATAGTGGAACGAAGTATCACCGCGGCTTACCTTTGGGTAAATTCGGTTTCTGGGCCTCAACTGAAGCTTGTATAGCTTCGGAACATTACTGATCCCCTCAGAATTAAGATGATCTTGAAATTGTTTGTGGTTATCAAGGAACACATCCACATTTTCAAGAACATTATAAAATGTAGGAGCACGTTGAATATCACCATTCCCAAGCAAAGTTCGAAAATTTACTCCCTAGGTGATTGTACAAATCAAAATAGGAAATTCGTATGAATTCAGACGCACCAGCATTGAAGAAGTTCTTTCTAGAAGCACTTTCACGTTTGTGGAACCTTTCAAGTTGAGCCCCATCCCTTCACCCATCATGCTAAATGAAGCGCCTGGTCGTTTCATCACCCAGTTCATGAGATACACAAGAACGACAGCATGCTTATTCTCTCGATTGAGAACAGCAGACCAGTCTTGCAAAATACTAGGGATGCCTGCATAGTCTGCTATATTGGATGTCTCGATACGGTCAAACGCCGGGTTGATCCCGAACAAGTCAGGATTCAACTCTCCCTTTTGAAGTAGCCCAGAAGCGACATGAGCATCAAGTTGTGAAACATGTATATCTATATGGAATTTCTCGACACGACGGGCAAATTCCGTGAATTGGGCTTTGACGTGAAAGAAAAGGCATCCGTAGATATCAGCATGGTCAAGACCATAAGCTTGTCCGGTCTTCAACACTTCGTTGACATCCCAGCTGGATAGTGGGTTTGCATTGTCCATGGTAACCCATTTTCCCGAAGCAGTGAACAAGAGCCTAAAAAACGGCAGTCTTAACGAAGATGAGGACGAGGCCAAGAAAGACACGTACCGATTAGGGTCTTGGAAGGTTTCCGAACCAACATGGTCGGCGAAGTGTAGTAAAACTCCACTTTCACGAAACCGCAAGAACGATAGACGATGGGAAGGTTGCAAACCAGACAGGTATCGATCACGGTAATCTACTCGATGAGGACTCAGCATGACGTCGTGCATAGCTTTGCGACTATCGTTAAGTGTGTGTGTAGCCCTAAGCATGGCAAGTGGCTCGCCGAAAATTTTGACAGCAGATTGTGCAATAGATAAGCTCCCAGCTCCTCGTATCGGAAAGGATTTCTTGCGTACATCATTCGGGCTTAATCTGCTGATAAACGATACGAACATGGGCGATTGATACACGGACATGACATCGCCGTAGACTGTTTTTATGCATTGAAAGAGCTCGGAGGAGTCGGATGAGCGAAGCGCGAAGCGCGGCAGAATACATGAGATGTACAGCGGTTTCTGCAGCAAGCTCAGGCGGATTGCCATGTCGCAAGAGGGCGTACAAGATAAGAATATTCCTAGTGCTGACAAGATCACTACGGTCGTTCAGTAGAATTTTGCAGTGACCTTCGTAGTTATCTGGAAGACCATTGACCGTCATTACCATATTCCGTATATCACCTGAGGCTGAAGGATAGAATATTTCAATCGTGATTCACGTATAAGCAGACATACTTACCGGCGAAGCACAAATTGAAATCTTTATCGACACTTTCAAGAACCCCTTCGTTGTGTTCTAGCTGGAGACAGTTCACTGCCGGTGTGTTTCCCCAGAGATACTCTGGAGCCCAATGAGCCCCGAAATGTGATTGAGTATCACCCCCTACGAATGCTGGTGACCGATTTTCAGTGATCCAAGCGGGCTTCCAATCCAGACGGTTGTAAGGATGCTTGCAATACTTTTTGTGAGAAGACCAATGCGCTTCTTGGCATTGTCTAGAGCAGTACTATAAGAAAGAGATAGTTCTATGATAGGCAAGCTGTAAGTAGCATGGATGCGTACTCGAACCAATCGACACTGGAGAAAAGGCGCATTCAATGAACTATAACTTTGCCAGTTTTATAAGAGACCACGTACGTTTGAGCAGGTAAGAGTTCCTCGTCTGTTACAGATTACTGAGTTCGAGCATGATAGCAAGACAGAGCATTTCACGTCGCGCGAAGATTTTATTGGCATCTGGAGAGAACGTTGCGGTGAAGACTAGCAAAACGTAGAGCTTGAGTGAATGATTGGCCGCAATACTTTATACAAGCACAAGAATTGAACATGAGGCCAAGCTTAATAGACGTCGATGAGGCGTTAGAAAAATCGAATTTGTCTATGCATGTCCACTAGAACTTAGAAGTCAACAAAAACAGTTAAGAACGTAAATGAGTCGTCGATGAGGCGTCTTGAGGCGTTGGAATAACGTCTATGCATGTCCACTAGGATTTAAGTAGGATTTAAGAAAAACAGTCAGGAATGAAAATGCAAACAGGATATGGAAAATAAGGGAAGGAAACAACCAATTAAATCGACTCTGCATACATATGCGTACATGTATGTACATGCGTGGTGGAATTACACGCACGAAGTTTCGTCGAGGATTCTTTATGTCCGGGCCGGGGCCGGGGACCCCCGAATAACTTCTACCTAAACGCCCATCGCCAGCAAAATTTAGTATGTATATTGCATGCCTAGTGTACAAGAAACTTTCTTTGATATCTCTTTTAGTTGTCCGTACGCGCTTTTGACTACATCACCATCCCAGATCTTTACCCTTCCCTTTCCTTTTCCCGTCGAATTTACTGCCCGAGAGTGGGACTGGGAATGGAATATCCATATGATCGTCCGTGGTTGTCTCGTAATTCCACTGCTCGTCCGGACGCACTAGCCCGATGTCCAGTTCGTCCAATTCTCCGGGCTGATTAGAGAGAAGACTGCTAAATCCTTTCAACTGCGGACTATTTGTATCTTCATCATTCCAGGTTGTACCTTGTACCCAACTCGCAGTCGTAGGTGGCGTCGCATATTTGGTGGTGGTGCTCCCACTACTGCTCGTGGCTGCTTCGAAGCGGTGACTATGGTTTCTATGCCTATCGCTTCCTCCTTTACTGGTCCCATCTTTGAGCTTATGCTTCAAATTATGGGCACTGCGGCTATCGGACCTGGTTTCGATTGGCAGAGATTCGCTGAAGCCATAATCTCTCGCCGCGCCACTGTTATCTGGTGTCAACTTCGAGGTCATGTATATGTGCTCAAGGTATTGCTGCATTTCAATATTGTCGTCATCGGCCTCGAGGTCTGCCATTGGATCATGACAGGGGTAGTCATCGAGATCAGGAGGAAGGTCAATGGTGCGCTTGAAGCTAGATGGCGCCGCAGGGACTTTCAGCTCTCCGGGCGGAGTGTCGGTGCGAGTTATGGGCGCGGATGAATGTCTAGATTTGTGCGAGGAGGCCATGATAATTATGAAATGAACTCGAGCCGCAATTTATGTGGCGCAAGTCTGGGGCAGAAAGAGGTACATCCTTTTTTTCTACTGTGAATTTATATCTGTCTTCCGGTGCTTCTTCGCCACGTTCAATCTTTTATGGTGATTTGCGTGTACAGCCCTAGGCGACAAAGATGTATCTTCGAAACAAGTATTGTTCTGTTCTTGTTTCGCCATTGGACCATATGTTAAAATAAGTTTCAATCTAGATTGCAAATTACAAGGATTATTCTTGAATTGGTTAGAATGCCTTGCACCTCACGCGTGGTTGATAAGATGAGGAAGCATCAGAAAAAGGAAGCATTGGTCTCTGGAAAACTGGACCCACACCAGACCTACGTTGAGTCTACATGTCTAGATCTACATGATACTTTTTGGTGACAAAACGATGCAGGTTGTTAATGAGTTTCTTGTTGGAAGTTGCTTGTTACCAACATCATTTTATTGCCGTGAGTGAAAAAAAAACGACACTTGGTAGGTCAAAATTTGAACGCACTCTGAGTCAGAAGCCACTGCGGTGTACCGTTGTATGTATTTCAAAAGAAGAGTGGTATGTATAAGCAAGCGCGGTACCGTACGTCAAACAGATAGGCGCCGACGCTGCAGTCGGGCGCTTGTGAGTTGACTGACACCTCTCATGCTCTTCACTCAATGTAAATTCTGGCCTGCGAGACTTAGACTACTTGTCTTCGTCTAGCGCCACAGATTTCTCTCAAATATAAACACGAAAGCATTTTTGCAAAACCCAAAACGGCACAACTCTCTCATCCACATAATCGATGGCAGGCCGACTTGTACGTCGTTGCTATCAGCTCCATGAACAAGCGCGAAATCTACATCATTGAGCAGAACTTGACGGGCATTGTCTATAGGGCGTAGCTGTCTGTGGACAAACGAAAATGATAGTAGTCAGTCTGCTAACCTTACCGTGTCAACTGTATGACTCTGGTATAGACAGGGGGCAGAAGCCTTTTCCCAAATCATGCGCATACTTCCATAAGATCAAGTGTGTCTCGATAATTCGATGATAACCCAAAGTAAAATTAGCTCGGCACGCTCTCCTGCTACTGTTCCACTATTCCGTCAGAAGGAATATGTACCTCATGGTTGGCGCGCGCTAGGAACAAACAAAGCTTTCCATCTCTTCTAAGGCTAAAGAAAGACTTCACGAGAGTTCAGGCCGTTGCTATATACAGTGTACTCTCTATTTCACGTTTGTGGCAATATCCAGTTGATCGAATGTTACAGCGGATGTCACAATAGGCGATGTCTTTAACGCTCTTTAACGCTCTCAGTATACCAAGACACAGTGAATGCCGCACACACTCCCTCATGCAACGGCCTTAGCAAACCGTCCAAATTTACTCGTGTTTTCCTGATGTTGAATTCGAGCAGCCGTCATTGGACACAAGCTATTGACCAATAGCTATTGTTGAGTGATCCGATGCCTTGCGAATGCATTGTGCCTAACTTCCTTGTATCAGGCTTTTTGCATCTCTTCTCGAACGAGGGGGAACGATACATCTGTCAAGAGCCAGCGTGTTCGCTGTCTACCCGGCGCCGAAAAAAACTGTACTATCCAAGTATTGATAAATTGAAAGCCGCTACGTTACTGGCCTTCGAGATCACTGATTTGAAAGATGGATGGTCTATAGTTTCACAAACAACTCATGAACCAGCGGGACACCAGGCAGTTGGAAATTGATCTCCGGAACCTGCATATCCTTTGGGAATCGTGCTCCCTCCCGTATAAAAGTTCGAGGGGTCAACAGTCTATTTCCCCAGCTAAAGGTAGTCAACTCAATTTGGCCCTTCACGAATCACCCGCAATATGTACAAATTCGTCGCACTCTTTGCTCTCCTCAACGCCACCTTGGTCTCGTCCGTTGCTCTTACCCCGAGAGCGCCAGCTGCTACCGTCGCACACAAGGGCCTCTTCAGCGACGTGGCGAACGCGATCTTAGTCTTCACCACATGCAACGAAGTCAACCTGCAAAACTGTCTGACTTGGACGTCTACCACTTTACCTGTCGGTTGCACTAGCCTCATCGCCAATGGGCAGGGCGACCTTGTAGAAAGTGTAGCAACTCCAAGTGGTATCGAATGTACCCTTTTCACGTGAGTACTATCTGGTTTACCTGTATTCGTCACTACCCTAGTTCGCCTATTGAACCCGTTCTTGTAGTGGAGAGGCTTGCACTGGCACGTCGCAGCTGATCAACGGTACTATCGACGATTTGAGCGTTGTCGGCTTTTCCAAGATTGCGAACTCGTTTACCTGCCAATCTAGCTAGATCAACTGCACGGAGGTTTCACTTCCCTTTCGTGTAATAGTTCATGGTACGCTCCTTCAATGGTAAATTCGCCTGGTCGATGTGATGGTCATTAATTATACCTAGGTTGCCAAATACTTCATTAGGTAGAACGGATTGTACTTACATGAGCGCCGTCGTTTTGAACATGTACGATACGAAATTCATTGAAAATAAATGCAACCTTGTTTTACTTTTGCATGGAACCTTTCTAAGCTTGAAGTTTGTACAGTCTGAAGTCGTTGGCAAAAAAAACAAACACATAATGATGAGAGTGGGATTTGAACCCACGCCACGAATGACTAGAGATTTGCAAACAGCCTAAATCTAGCGCCTTAGACCACTCGGCCATCTCACCATAAATAACGGATTGAGAGTTGGCATGATCTTGTCTCGCTATTGATATTGAAGCCTCATTTTTGGGTAAGGACAGGGCAAGGATCTGGCCGTAGACGAGACTCTTAAACATGTACCGGTGGACCTCCGTCGACTCTGGAGTCTGAACAATATCCTTTTTCATTTACGCACGTGAAATTGACTCTGTTCTAATTCCGGCCGAATCCGTTCCGCAATTTCCTCGGTTCTCCTTACACTTGTCACTTAAGAGTTCCTGGAAATCTCATTGCGCAACAATGAACATCTACTCTACAGCACACAAATCTCTAATGACGCGTCGCTCTCCTTTTATGATGACTATTCTACCCCGACAACATCTACAGTGTACTATCGACCGAAGATGTCTTTCAACAACTAGTCGACCTGGTCCCGCTGCAGCAGAGCCTCCAAATGTTACCATATATTCTGGAACTTCTCGTCCACGACCGTATCATTTGAAACACCCGCCTCCTGCGCTGAAAAGAGATTTACCTCGATTACAGGTACGTTAGAAAGACCTTTTGAGAGTAGTAATGGACGTATCGTTTGCTTCTTTTAGAAAACTTGGCCTGCAATCCTTGCTTTTGCCGTCATCGGGGTGGCTGGATGGACTGCTTTCCTCACATTTGTGACAAACCAGGAAAAGATCTCAAGCTCGGTTGTTCAACAGATCATGCGGGAGCTACGAGAGGATGAGGAATTGCGGGCGGTTCTCGGAGACGCTATACGAATGCAAGGTGAATGGTGGCTGAATGGCGATCCGAGAATCATTGGTTCGGTCTGTGTTATAGTAACGCTATCAGCGAGGCGAGCTCATTCAGGTTTGTTCAGATTAGCACCATGCAAGGAAATATCGATGTTAGCTTTAGAGTCAAAGGGTCCAAAGGTGCGCATACAGTCAATCATCTGGGTAATAACGGCTAACTATTTCTCTATAGGTGCTGGCACGGTCTATTTCACCAGTATCCGCCGTGAAAAGGGCGTTCCGTTCGAAATCCGTGCGTGTTCAACCTGATTTACCCGCTTCTTCTGTCAACGCGTTTGCTGATAATGTCCCACCTGCTAGTTCGCTTTAAAGTCATCGCAGATGACGGTCCAATTATCTCCAAGGTCAAGGACGTCACTCATTGATCGAAAAAAACTATTCCACCGATTCTGTACATGTATCCGTTAATCCTACATACAACCCTCGGACAAAAACAACTAATGAAATATACGTCCCTATGTCTATGATTGTGGCATAATTTCATTATGCATATGCGACTTGGGAGCAGACTTTGCACAGTCGAATGGCAGATGCAGCTCTCGCACTGGGAATAAAATCCGGACGACTGTTTCGAGCATCTTCCTTCTCACTGAAGTACCCACTTGCCGACGGTCTGGCAACAAAGACCAAACTTCTTAACATTCTTCTTTAGAATTCGATTTCACGCGTAAATCTATCTGTATGGGGTCGAATGAAGAGGCGTTCCAAAACCTTTGTGCACATCAAAGCTCCAGGGGTAAGGCATACTCCTAATAATAGGTTCATAAGCTAACAAGTATTTTATCGTGACAGGTTGTGTCGGTTGTTGCAGTAATTGGTCGCTATTGAATTGCCCCACCCAATCTAGCTTCCTCCTACATCTACTGGGCCATGCCCAAATATACCCGAGTGCGTGGTTTCTATCCCCCGCTCCCGTATCTTACGTTTCATGAATTCGTCGAAGTTGACCATGAACGTGCGAAACTGCCCCCAATTCTCTGGATCATCGAATGAAAAAGGCACTGTTTCGTCGAACTCCTTCATCCATCCTCGCTCCTGCGCAGTGAGCTCATACGAAGAATTAGAAGGGATGCCTCCGAACTCTTCCAGGTCTGGTAGATCTGTCGGCTGGTGCTGCTGCCGATGCCGAGGTCGAACCGGTTGGAAGGTATCATACTCCGACAGCTCTTCAAGCACGACTGCGAACGACGGCTCTCGTCTCGGTTTGTACACTCGATTAGCTTTGGGCGCGTTCAACAGAGCCGGATCGTTCACTGCGTTCCCCACCAACTCCAGTGGCGTTTCGTAACGCCGCAATGGTTTCGGTCCTGAGTTACATACTCGTGGGGCGGTTGCAACTTTAGCCTTGGTGTCTGCGATGGCCTGAAGCAGTTTCTGAGACATGGCGCGTTCCAGTCTGCGATGAGTCTGACGATCTTTAAATGTGAGGGTTGACGGAAGGGAGGTTGATGCCGGTGTAATCACATTACGCTTGAGTCGTAGCGGAGAACGCAAGGCGGAGGCGGGATAAGGAGCGACACCCGTCGGGTTTTCAGTCTCGACTTGGGCTTGTGCTGCTTTCTTCCGTGTTTGAGATCGTGTAAGTGGCATGGTGACTCGGTGACTGAGCGATGATATAAGTTGGGAAAATTTGGCGGCGATCACAGTGCTGTTCAGGTCCTTTTATCGAGTTTCTTTGATTGAGCGCTCAGTGATATTCCCGTTGTGGCGAAGAGTTGTTGGGCCACCGGTGGCCCGCAGCTACTTCCTATTGTCTCATAAAGAGTGTTTTGGCTTTGGAAAATGAATTGACTGTCGCCTGGTGACGCATTTGTGATCAACAAGCCTTTCGGTTGGCAGCACTCCTTTGTTCTCAGACATAAGTCCCTTTCACTAAAAATCCTTTTTTGGACATGTCAATTGAGGTCAACAATGCATTTTCGCATACTTTGGAATGCAGAAAGTTCTGCCTTGCAGCACTCTGGCCAGGTCGGAGCCGTAAATATCATTCCACCAAAGGAATTTAGTGAGGTTTACTAACGCAAAATCTGATTACTTTGAACTTCCAACTTAAATCATACCTCTTGGGCCGACGATTGTGAGCGCTCAACAAGTCTTGTTCGAGAAATACTATCTCAGTTATCCCATCTGCATATGTACGTGTTATCTTAGTGAGAAGTGCGATATGATCCATTCCCAGTGGTTCATCCCGCTATCTTTATGTCCTCCTCGGCCACATTTTGCCGGTTTTCTTCAAGTTGTCCTTCTTCCTTCTTTAAAGCAGAATCGAAATCTACTCTTCGCATCATCGCACAAAGCACAAGCTGCATTATCGCCACTCCCACAAGAGTATAACATCCCTTTTTCCATGCAGACACATACGCATTAATAAGAACATTGCGCACAGGATTCTCTGGTGCCAGCGAAGATATGCTTGAGATTACGTCGGAGGGGTTAAGTGAAATAGTGGAGTTGGCACTGCCGTGTTGGATGAAGGAGGAAGCTATCGCGGACCTTCGTACGGTTTGTTGATAGGCGTTGTTGATAACTGGACACAGAAAATGAGTCGACACAGTCGGATAGAAAATGACAGTAGTTACCGGTACCAACAACAGCAACGCCCAGCGTCCCACCTAGCGTCGGAGCAGCCCCTACTAGGGCCGTCACTGTAGATAACTCATCTGCGGGTAAGCCGACTTGCGCAATAACCATCGTTATTTGTGTTGCCTAACAAAAATTGAAATTAGGTGCGACATGAAAATACTGATGAGAGGTATCATACAGATCCAAAGCCCAGCCCCGATATCAATGAATACCCTACGATCCTCCCGATGGTGCTCTTTTCGTTTAACGTGGACATCAAACCCTGTACAGTGTATGATCAGAGCGCGCCTGGCCAAGCACAACACTTCGACTCGCCATTCCAATTGGAATGATAGCAATTCCACAGGTGCACATTGTCCTCACATATCCATATTTGGACGCAGTCGCATTTACTGCTGAACTGGATATTGCCGCCATAGCGAGGAAGGGAATGATAAGCGCAGAAGAAATGACTGTTGAAAGGCCAATAACTTGTAGGAAAACTGCGTAGCGATGAATAAGAGATAGTTTACTGACTTGTTAAAGCAATATGACGTACTAGGAATGTAGAAAATCTAGGGAGAGAAAGAATCAGAACTGTTTTTTTTTTTTTCAGGTGTTCAAGACGGCAGGTCTCGCTCACCATTGCAAAATTATGGAAGAAAAGAAGAGTTCTGGTTATCATCATGATCGGAACGTTTCTCCAACCCCATCTCACGAATAGTCTTCCAGGTGCGATCGGCATTTTGGCATATCGGCCTTCCACGACACAAAACGCGATACCAGAAACGCCTAAAGCACACAGCATACCTACTATGAGAGAAGAACCCCAGGGCACCGTTTGTCCTCCGGAGTTGAGTGCGACCACAAGGAAGGAAAGGCACGAGACGAGAGTAATCATCCCGAGCAGGTCAACTTTGAAAAACACATCGCGTAGGGAACGAATGTGCATCGTAGAAGAGACCTTTGGGGAAGGAAAGCGTAACCAGCGCAAAACAAGGAAAGTGACTAGAAGGATGTTGTGGCGGCGGTTACTCAATAGCCATAACGATTGTACAAAATCGACACTCACTGACTGGACTGAATGGTGCATTGATGAGAAATCTGAATTGGAGAGTCAAGTTAGGATATGTAGTTCGACCAAATTTCGAAGAGATGAGCACTTGCATCCATCGCCAATTCCCGGAGTTTGCCAGAGCACCACCAAGGATCGGTCCTACCGCGTCCGATATGATGAAGACGGCATTGATGAGGTTCATGTATGTCGCACGCTGGCGTTCATGGGTAAGTTCTTCACGAAAGGGGAAGCTTCAAACGACCTGCTCGCACTAGACACAGTTCCACTCACGCGAAACCAAAATGCAAACCACAGACATTAGTCCTGCACCCCCGATACCACTGATCAGCCTCCCAACGACGATCTGGGTGAGAGTTTTGCTCGTCCCAGCTATGATATTACCCAGGGCGAAGATCCACAGCTCGATGAGGAGTAAACGTTTACTTCCAACCACATCCTGCGTCAAGAATTTCGCATCAGTTGATACTATTTTTTCAACGTTGAGCACAAACAAACCGCGATTCTTCCTATGATTGGCTGAACGACGGTGGTAGTGAGAAAGTACGAAGTAGATATCCAGGTCAAGGAAGATTTGATGTTCAATGCTGCACCAATGCTCGCAACTGAAGTAGCGACAATGGTTTCCTCTCACGAAATAGGTAAGTACTAGCGTTAGAATCTCAAACAATGAAAGTAAATTTCTACCTATTGCGAATAAGAACATCGCGAGGCCCAAGCTAAATATATTGTCGCAGTCAGAGCTCATTCTAATGTACTCAGTGCGAACTCGAGAAAATGGAGGAATACCTCAACAGAATAAGCCCAACCTGCAAAGACGACATATCGTCAAATTTTGGAAATGTTGGTTGGATCTCATTGTGTTGCACTTCTACTATTTCTTTGTCCAGAGAAGCTGGTTGTTCAGCGACGAGAATATCACCCATGGCTGTACGAGTCAGAATCAGGTTTGGCGTTCAACTTCGCATTCAATGTCGGGTCGTTTTTATGGGAGCAAGCATGGGTGTATGACTAAGAGCCTCACCCGGTTGAATCCGCGAGGAATTCTCCAAGCGTACATGGTTTGTATTCTGATTTTCCAGGCGATATGCTGGGGACAGGAAGTATTGCAAGGTATGGTTTAGCTGAGGAGGAGTAAACTATTTCGAAGACTCGCGATCGGGACCGATCGGAAATTGTCGGAATTGGCAGCTTACGTGTTTTTGCCGCACACCAGCGCACACCTCCTAGTTCTCTTGATTAAAATACGAAGTACTTACAGTATACATATGCACCGGGATTTCAAAAATTTCACGTTTAATCTCTCAGTGCGCGCTTCACGTTCGTAGTAAGGTCTTCAAAAGACATGAACGCCTTCCTGCTCCCTTTCAAAACCGATCATGTTCACAGCGGTGTGCATGTGCATCTTCGTTCGCCACTCAGTATATATCAACAACCCTTTGAGGCTCCTCATACAGATCCAATAGAGGTAAGTCTGCATTTGGTAACCTACGAAAGTACCCTGCCAGCCAAAGCTGGGCTGATTCCCACCGGGACCTACTGCAATGAGCTGGTCGCTTGTAATTGAAGAGGGGTGAATAGTGACTCGGTCGCCTTGAGTCATGCTCAGGACTTGATGAACATGTAATCTCATCTAATATCGAAATGGATTCCCGCAATATACTACACCATTCTGACGAGAATCAATACACGGCGTCCGAGTCGAAATCACTCGAGGTAATTGAAATTTGGTGCCCGTCCACATCATTTGATGATAGTACATATTTGTCGGACACTGCATATATGCAGTACCAGAATGTACCCAGTCGTACCTAGTTGAGGTCAGTCTACGAACGTGCGCGCCATGAGAGGGTTTAGCGGGCAGCTCCATGTGCTGGTAAATCTAGAGGCGGTGGTAGCGGTGAGGGTTTCATGTGCTAGTACTTCACTCTACTTCACTCTGAAGGCCTGGAAGTTCATTAGTCCATGGAAAAAGACCCACAAGTCTAGGGGCTTTATGTGGTTATAACTTGAAGGAAGCGGAAGACGGAGGGCGTGAGAATTTGACGGAATCTTATCTGGAATTCCAAAATTTTACGGCATATGTACGGCCCATTTGCTTAAATTGCCAGTTGACGACAATTCTATCGCTTCACTCCACCGCCTACTTGATTCTCCGTTCCACTTTCATTAGGCCTCAGACGGTCAGCACGAACGTGCTATAAACCAGGTGAAAATAAAACCTGAGCTTCCTGCGTCAACAATCTCACACTAACTTTTTTACCCCCTAGATCCGGTATGTCTTCAGCTCAAGAAAACGAGCGAGAAGTTTCTGGGAGCGTTCCCCTCGAGGAAATCGAGCGATCAGGAAAGCCTGCGTTTGTTCTTTCTCTCACCGAGGTCAAATTACTGGGTGAGTGCAAGCTTCATGTTCATTGTGCAGGATCAGAGTGCTAATTCGGACTCTGGCCTTATAGGAATCGCAGGGGTTGGATTTTTTCTCGATGGTATCTTGCCTATTTTCCTACGTCCCTTCCCGTACTAGTCAGTTTAATTCTTCCCACTCCAGCTTATGACCTCTTTATCATCAATCCTGTCCTGACAATGCTCCAATATCGTCTATATGGCGGGAACGCACTTCCTGTTGGACTCCGTGAGTTTCATCCTCGCTCATCTTGCTCGTGCTTCGACTCATTTCGATATGGGTTCAAGATGGATTTGTCAATGCCTCTGCGAATATAGGAAGCGTTATTGGTCAATTCACATTCGGATACCTCGCAGACGCCTTGGGTCGTTCAGCAATCTACGGCAAAGAACTTATGCTCATCATTTTTGCGACTATCATGTGCCTTACTACCCCAACGGGCTCACTATCTCCCAACAGCTCGCTCATATATCTGGGTATTTTTCGTATCATTCTTGGAATTGGCGTCGGTGGGGATTATCCGATGTCCGCCTCTGTCACTTCCGACCGTTCGAATCTGTACAAGCGCGGAACAATGCTAGCGTATATCTTCGCTAATCAAGGATGGGGCAGCTTTATAGGCTCCTTGAACACTGTTATTGTTCTTGCCTGCTACAAACATGTCATGAATGACGAGGGCGAGACGAGTAAGGCTGACGGTGTTTGGAGGATAGTCGTTGCCCTCAGTCTTATTCCGGCCTTTGCAACACTTTATCAGCGACTCACGATGCCGGAAAGTACGCGATACACTGAAGCAAGACGTATGGCGGAAAATCAAGAAGCGGATCTCGAAAAAGAGGTTCGGGCGCTCAAGAATGTCGGACACAACACGGAGGGCATAGCTGCTTCTTCATCACTTTCTGGATCCGATATTGAGAAGGAGGACCGGACTCAGGAATCAACTGTGCCTCCATCCCAAAATGGTCCCGCGAACCCAGAGGCCATCGCAACAAAGAAGGACAAGGCCCAGATTGGAGAATTCATTGCATATTTTTCCGAATGGCGTCATGCCAAACATCTCATCGGAACCTGTGTTTGTTGGTTTTTACTTGATATCGCGTACGTTCACCCGTAATCAATCTATCAATTATGAACTAACACTATGTCTTCTAGCTTCTACGGCATCAATCTCAATCAGAATGTTGTCCTTACTCAGATTGGGTTTGCTGGAAAGACGGGGTCCGATTGGGAAAAGTTATTCAAGGTCTCCACTGGGAATTTGATCGTAACAGCGCTCGGATTTGTTCCAGGTCAGTGCTGGGTTACCTCGACGTCGTATCAACATCGCTGATGGGTTTACTCAAGGATACTACGCCACTGTCCTCACCATTGAAAAACTCGGGAGGAAATGGATCCAGATCCAGGGTTTCTTGCTCGCTGCACTGTTCCGTAAGATTTTGTTTCAACCTATGTTGTAACTGGGAATCGGCTTACCCTGCTTTGCTCAGTTGGTATCCTTGCTGGAAAGTTCAACACCTTGAGCCACGCCGCCTTCATCGTGAACTTTGCGCTCCTTCAGGTAAATACTTTCTAATCCTACTTTCCATATAGAGACTCACCCTTCCTTGTGATTAGTTTTTCTTTAATTTTGGAGCCAATGCTACAACCTACGTGAGTTTCATCCTTGAAGCTTCCCATCGTTCTTACACGAGATAATTATTTGCGTTAGTGCTATCCTGCTGAGGTTTTTCCTACGAGGTTCCGTGCGTTTGCCCATGGCGTCAGTGCTGCATCTGGCAAAGCAGGCGCTATCATTTCCGCGCTCGCATTCAACGCTCTTAGTCAAGATATCGGTACCCCCGCTGTCCTTTGGAGTATGTCATATTTCCAACCTACTCTCACATTTAACTGATGTTCATACATTTAGTTTTCTTCGGATGCTGCATAGCAGGCGCATTCTTTACACTTCTGCTTCCTGAAGTGAAAGGACGAGATCCTGACTTGGTTCTTGCTCAAGAAATTCGTGAGGCAAGAGCAAATCAGCAGGTGTTAAAAGGTGTCACGTAGTGATCCCCACTTAATTAAGGTTTGTCGTTATAAATACATGTAACTGTAGTTCTGGATGATGGCACCTCCTCACCAGTGTCAATACATACAGTACGTCTCAAAAAGTGTAAAGTAGTACGGACTACATATTACCGTAACGTTCATAGTCGTACCAGGTCGTACTCATGTTGTACATTTTACCACTAGAATACCAGTGTGCACACAGGTATTTGTATGAAGTCGTGAGAATTTGAGATGTCTAGATTTGCCGTGCATTGACGATTTTCCGGTCCTTTCGAACGCTGTCTACGATGGTCGACAATATCAAAGATTGGACGACCAACACAACGAATGACCGAGTGAATTAAGTAACACTAGAAGGCGAAGCAAATAATCAGAGGTCCATGAATAGCGAGGACACTACGAACAGCGATTACAACTCTACATATATGTACAACAACCATCATATCTTGGAGGGGGGAATGGTCTTTTTGCCCTTGACTGCAGCACTCGTCTGATCCAGCCCTCTTTCCACCCATAAGTCATATGAAATGTGTTCTGAAGGCTGTAGATGTCGTTGATGGGCAACAGATGTTCCACTCCGTTTCATATCACCTTCAATACCACCACCCACATTATCACTACCACCGGACGCTCTAGGCAACGAAAGCCCCCTCTTGAGAGATCGTTTCTTTTCCAACTTGGCCGGACGACGCCCAGATGTGTGACCTTGACCTCCAGGCTCACGCCCCCTGCCGATACTATCTTTATCTGAATCTCTTTCTAGCGGACCCCTTGACTTTCGCGCAGGACGGCTGTGTTCTAGTGCCGTCTTCCATCCTGTCCCAAACCCAAAATCATCTGCATGCTCAGGCTTCGATCCAGGACCACGTAGGATTGGTGTGTGGCGCCCAGAAGAGCTTCCACCTCCATTGCCATGATCTTGACTGGAAAGACTTTTCTTGCTAGCATTGGGATTGAAAGACGCTGAATCGGAGTCAGGCGTAGGTATGCGATCGACGAATCTTTTGGAAGCAAAGCCTGGGTTCGGTGCTGCGAGATTGAATTCCTCGAAGCCACTTGAACGAAGGGGTGCGAATCCATTGAAGTTCCCGGCAATGTGATTGTCTTTCTCCGAAGGCATTACGGCTGAAAGGAGACTCTCTTCTGAAGCGTACCTGCGTAAACCACCTCCTTGTCCACTGACCAAAGCCGCCTTATTGATTGCCACACTATTTGTGCCCGTAGGACTGACGGGACTCAACCCAGGACTCGGGCTCCGCATGCGCCATTTGCCTCTCACGTAGACTTTATCCTCTGCCAGTACCGCCAAAGCCCCGACCTGATAAACACCTTTGGTAGGATGATATCTTGTCGGCGAAGGATTTTTCGAAAAAGACATTTCGAGCTCGTCACCAAGCATTTGGGCGGGATCAAAATAGTTTTGTTTACGAGTGGGTTGACGACCACGGGTATCAACATCGGACCGAGGGAGAGCAGGAGGAGACGAGGATGGCGGACTGAGTGGTCGGCGTGAGTCTAAAGAGTTCAAAATCTGGGTAGCAGTACTGGCAAGAGGGCTTGCGTTATTTTCCACATAGACAAAGCCTTCAAGGACAGCGGGACTAAGGCTTCTCGATTGTGCCTGAGAGCTACCGGGAGAAGGAATACTTGCAAATTCGATGGGACTCTGTACACCGTTTGACTCAGGGCTATCGTAATCATCTTCGAGGAGACTGTCCCTCCTCCTTCGGGCGTACCGCATTGGGGACGGGCTTCGTTCCTTCGCTATCGAAATTCTGGACGAAGAGAATCCTCCATGGGTAACACCTCCTTGAGCAATGTTGGAGCTTGACTGTACTACTCCACCTCCGTTAACCAATTGTCCTGATGCACTAACGCCAAAGCCAAACTCTCTATCTAGCGCGTCAACTAAGCCCGGATTATTTGGGTCATCGTACCCGTCATCAACGTAAACTCGCTCGTCATCCTCGTATCCTGGTTCGGCGTACCCCCAACCCATGTCTACAGGTCTATCGGTTGCCTCTGTACGTGCTGAATATGTTGTGGGAGACACATATACTGCTTCAACATCTTTGAACAATCTGTTGCCTTCATCGTCTGAATCATCATTATCGAAAGGGTGAATGTGCATTGGAGCCTGGTCCTGTGCATTGCTCTGAAGAATGGGCTGCTGTTGCTTATAGTTGTAGTCTTTCGGCGGTAATGTGGGAGGGAGTAAAGGTATGGTTGGGGAAGTTCCAGGAGAAGCGATCTTACGTATGTTGAGCGGAAGCGGAGGTTCAACATACATTGGTAGAGGAGGAGTCGGGGCCCAAGCTACCGCACGCGGACTAGTGCTCCTACTGTCGAAACCTATATTGCCCATGAGGCGGGGAGAGTTTACGCGAGGATTACTGTATCCTCCGGGAATGAGGGCACTTGGGTGGCTTGTAAGGTTGATTGATGCGGGTGATGGAACTGGGGTCGGCATAGATAGAGGAGGAGGCACGACAGGCGATGCAGAGAACGATGACGCGGGAGAATCAGCCTGAAAAGTGTCATTGGCATTGAATGAAGAAAAATCACCGCTCTTCCTCACCTCCATGCCTCTCCCGCTCGATTGAGCATACTTTGATAACTTCCCACCCGCATCCTTCTCCAGACTTGAAATACTCGAAATCGAGAGCGTTCTCAGCACTTGTTTTCCTTTTCCTTTCCACTTCGATACTCCGCGTTCGTTACCGCTGGACCTCGTAGAGGAATGCGATGAAGCGATAGAAGCTCGCGAGGGTTGATTGGTCAGGGTTCCGGATAAAGAAGGGGGGAGACCAACTTCATGGGTGTTGAAAATCTTCGCCTCATTAGGCGGACGCAGGGGTGGAGAGATCAAGTCTGTGACATTATCGTCATTCGGCGATATGAATTGTTGAGGGAATGAGGTTGTATCTTGGATATTATTCTGCATCTTCTGCTTCCCTCTCCACTTTTCACTCCTTAGTTCATACGGGATTTCGTCCTCTTCTCTCACTCTAATGCCTACTGTAGGCGAATTCGGCGCCGTCTCACCTCGCATTGGCTGTTTGCCTCTTCGTTTTTCCATCCTATACGCTAGTTCGGCAGCTATGCGATCATTGGTATTGGTTTTGAGATCCAAGTCGCCAGAAGATGATCTCTCGTGTCCGAAACCATGCTGCAATGGTTTGGAGCCATGACTGAGCGTAGCAGACGGTGTCAATGAGCGGGTAGGAATGTGAAGAGGGTGTAAAGGAGGAGGAATAGGAGGACTTAATGGTGCCTTTGATGGTGCCACTGATAGCATAGTTGAACCTATTGTTGATGAGGGAGGCGGTACCGGTAGTGGTCGTCTTGTCCCGCTTACACCGACATTGGCACCAGAAAGGGTTCTGCTGGTAAATTCTGAGGCAGACTCTTGTGTGGCGGGTGTAGATACAGTCGACGCTGATGTCGACGACGCGGAGGAATAATGGTCTTCTGCAAAAATGGCTGTAGGTGCAGTAGACACTGAAGAGTTTGTCCCAGACGTCGCAGACATCATGGCTTGCGGCCCTATCAGTGGCGAAGCACGATAAGGCCTTTTTGTCGTTATATTTTGGGCGGATCCACTAGAAGAGGGAGTAGAGTTTGGGGAAGAAGAGTTTGGGGTGGGAGCTACTGCAGCAGCCGAAAAATTCAAATTTGCGGTTGTTATACGTATGAGCGATGAGGAGGCCGTGCGGGTGTCCACTTGTCCAGAGTGAAAGACCGTCGCCGGGGCCGGTTCCGACCCAGTGTTAGTCAACATGTGTCCAGTGATAAGCGAGTTTCCACTCCCAGGTGCTGATGAACCTGGATGTATTGTACGCGAAAAGTCAGAAACAGTTTCTCCTCGTCTACGATTGTGAATGTCACTGTTGGCCGCAACGACAGAACGAGGATACAGAGTCTGCGCAGTCTGCGCCTTGGCTTGTAGCATCTGGATGGTAGATTTCATGGCCTTCTCCTGCGCATCGTTTAGTTGATTGTCTAGAGGTTCAGTAGGATTTGCAATGTGCAGCCGTAGGGTAGGCCGTGCAGACGCCGACTGTCCTCTTCTTCTTCCTCTTGTCAATTCCTCCTTCAGTTCTGACGGTGGAGGACTTCGCTGATGAAATGGGTAATCATTTGACACTACGGCTGCCGTCTGTCTTTCATTAGTCTCAGATAGATTGGGGTGAACAAGGCTAGCAAGCTCTGCAGGAGACTTGTACGATGTTGGAGAAGGTGTCGTGGAATTCGAACCCAGGAACTCTGAATTACTTTTCTCCAATGAAGGTGAATACAAGCCTGACACTGAAAGGGCCATTGACTATATTCTGATGCCATTAAGATAGACACAGATTTTACAAGTCAATGCGAAAGGAAGAGTGAGTAAAGCTTCAAAACGCACCAAAACTTCTTGAAGACAATGGCCGTCAACAAGAAAGCCAATAATTATACCCAAGGGCCAAGGTGCAATAACCGCCGTCGTTTGCGTTGCCAAATCTGGCGATTAGGTAAAATACAGTTCGACTCGTGTCGCCGTGTCGTTTCTCTTGCTGCTTACCACTATCATACGGCACCACCTATTTAAATGCTTCTAAAGCCTACAAAAAAGCTCAAGGATAATAAATATCCTGTCTACCCGGATCATTTGCAACCACAGTTGGCATTTTATTATGCATTTATGACCGTATGCGTTACTCTGAAACGCGATTTTTAGCAATGTCATTTCAACTCCAGAAATGCCTTGACAATATCTAGGCTGACAAGATCATCGACTCAGTAATTGAGGGTCATCTTACTTATGGAACGAAGGTCTGTCCGAGGCTTGTCCTTGCCATCTTTCACCACACTTAACTCAGGCATCGTTTGATGCTGTCTAATTCAAGAAGCTGCTTATCAGCGACAGCATCTAAAAGCAGACGAAGCTTGAGGCGATGCACTCACTCTATGATGATTTGCATGAAACCCACGCCCACCACGTCTACCACACCACACCCACACGGGCCGGGGCCACAGGGCTTTCCTTAAGACGGCTCTAATTGGGTTCTGTTTAGTGCCTGCGACTCTGCCAGTGAGCATCCTCATGCACCTTCATGCACTCTATGTACTTACCACTGTGTACCATAGGGTACATACCAACAGCATCAATCAACTGTGTGTAGATTATTCTCCGCTGTCGGGTCACTGTTGATTTACTACGCGGTGTACAATAATGTTTTTTTCTCATCGTTCGCCGAATAAACGTTAGTCTTCGGAAGTTTCTCCCTGCGGTTTGCGGTCACGGTTTCGGATAACAAATACTTCGCCCTCAAATCCCCACCCACTATTTTTTGTAAGCATGTGCATACATCCTGGAATCTCATCACAAAATTCTAAATCCGGCATTCATTCGCGGGACCTTCAAGGATTGATATGACAGATCCTCGCTTTTCGGTTTCGCGGTATAGTATCCTCATGATATTTAGAGTGTGAGCATACACCCAAATCATGTACCTTACCCCATAAATACTGAATTTGACTTATAGCGGGGCAGAAAATCAGGATCATCGAGGCGTATGATGCTGGAGCTCGCGCTGAAACCTTGAACCACTACATATGTCTCACGTGCTCTTTCCGGTGTGTTTGTCAGAGCCCACCGGCGACCAAAAAAGGGCAAATTCGTGTTTGCCTATCGACTCGCATAGATGAGGCCTTTGAATTGGCCGAGCCAGCTATAGGGGCCGTTCCTCCCTCCGTATAATTGTGACTAGCGAAATAGTACTCAAAACCTCTGCCACACGGAAGAGGTGCGCATTACTCAATACTACTACTTCAACCGCCAGTCAGTGTTCTGACAGCGTTGAACTTCATACTCAGCGGTGAGTTGCCCAGTCAATTTTTATTCATCATGTATGCTCCAGAGCCAGTGTTTTTGTCTAGGGACCGTGTAATAATACACTTCCTTCTTTCCAGCCTCTCTCTTAGCCTATTACAAGACAACTCGAATAAAAGAGGGCAAACAGGGGTGAGCCTCTGAGTTATCTTGCCGTCAGAACCAACAAGTTCAACTCGATTGAACGCTCACAGACGTTTACAGAGTGTCGCTGTGATTCATTGTTCGATATTGTATCACATAACTTTCTTGTGTTGCCTTCGAGTTTCGGATCCCAGAGATATACAAGTAATATCTACGTATGTACCTTTGCTTGAGTAGATAGATACACTGTGGTTCAATTTGATGCAAAAAAATTCTGAATTTCACATTTTTGCAAGGGATAGCGGTACCGTCAAACCTTCACATCATGAAATACTTGACAAAGTAAATCACCAAGTATGTACTGTTGAAGTATTATCTATGTGGTGATTCCGAGTCACGCTTTGGCGCGAGAAGACGCTTTGATCAGCTTTGATCAGATTCTATGTGTGTCAGCATCTCCCACGTGGAAAATTCTCTTCGTGGCAACCTCAGCTTCGCTCTTTGATCTCTGCCAACAACAAGTGGTCAACACAGCTGAAGACGGCGGAAAGGAGGGCGTTCTTATCTGTCTTTTCTTTTTCCAGAATCCAATCGGCCAACATAACTCTCACCTCCTCTTTCGCCGTAGAAGGTCATATATAATGTCTTCCACAACCTCTGCGAGCAATGGTGCTTTGCAAAGCGGTGGATCTAAAGTATCTTCACCCTCGACCTCTTCTATTCCACAATCTGCACCTGCCGGTCTTTTATCCATGACCCAACCACCGCAAGCGTCTACCTCTTTTTTCAAGATTGCCTCGGGAGAAGTCGTGACCTTTGCATGGTCTTTTTCCGGCGTCCTTGCTACTCCCACCTCACTGACCGTTAACGCTGTTGGAGCCAACTCATTCACATATTCTCTCACAAGTCTACCAGGAACAGCGTCGAGTTACATATGGACACCGTACGACTACCAACAAAGTCATTTAGCTACTCCTTTGGCCCAGACTACGTATACTCTCGAAATCTTCGATGAGAGAGGTCTGGGTGCGACGATAAGGCCTGGCTATCTGAGCCCTAACACAGCGTTGACTTTTGCCTTGTACACACCTCAGCCTTACACACCACTTGCCAGTGCGTCTATTTTTATCCAGGCCTAGGCTATCATTGATCTTCTTTAGGCTGGCAATGTACAGTGTGTAGTGGCTCTAATTCGTCCTTTACTGCACATCCGGCGTATGTTGCACTTATCGCGACTTTCCTTGTCATGTTTCTATCGGGATTCGGGTTGCTTAGAAATGCGGTTGCGTACACGAGAAGATAAATCGTTCTCTGATTCGCTGAACTCTATTTTTGGCTGAAAGTGTGGAAGAGAGGTGGCTCACACTCGCATTTGGTTGGACTCTTATGGACTTGCTGTTGATCGACTGACGCTATCATGTTACCGGACTCAGGAACTTATGAATCATTCTACGTTATCCAACTTCATTCTTCTCCCCCAATAGGCCTTCATTTTTTCATCCCTCATCATATCGTTCTTACCGTATTCGCCTGCACATTTATTTCATCGATCCCGTCTTTCGCACATAACCTCCGGTTTCTAGCTTTCATTCCCTTACATCACTTGATCCAGTAATACGTCCATACACTAGAAAGTGGAAAGTATCCTTGTTCCTTAGCAGTCACCGCTGATGCAAATGATTGATAGTCAGGAGTGACCCATCTTCTGACTACATATCATGAACGTATGTACTTTACTGTTGATTCTATATCAATCACCTTTCCGCATTAAACTTGTCAGTAATCGAAAAATACACTACTTCGTGCTAAATCATGTCTCTTTCACGACACAGTAAGTCTATTAGTTCATTTGACCTCGGAGAGCTCACCCATGCTATCGATCAGTCGATGCTGAGGAAGTGATTCAGAAATCCAAAGACGCTCCTCACACCCAGGCCTACCGTCAAGTTCACGAAAGACGGTCCGTCCATCAATCTTGGAGCCGCGATGAAGATGCCCAAGGAGTGACAAAATATTCTTTGCCTGAAGTTGGGATTCCATCCAAAGCTGCCTACCAACTGCTTCACGATGAGACCCAACTCGACGGAAACCCTTTGCTCAACCTTGCTTCGTCAGTCCCTTCATTTCGTATTCGTGCATCGATATCCCTGACGATGGATCTTTAAACGCAGATTCGTACATACCTGGATGCCGGAAGAAGCTAACAAGTATGGCAGTCTCTAGTACTCGTATTATCAGCATGATACTGACCATCCAGGCTCATCATGGAAAATATCAACAAGAATCAGGTCGATATGGATGAATACCCGGCTGCCACGATCATTCACAACCGTTGCATCTCAATGAGTTCGTCCATTCCCCTGTGGCATCGATCTCTGTACTCATGCTGTATGTGTGCAACTTTAGTTGCGTCGCTATGGAAGGCCCCGTCCACGGGCAAAGTGATCGGGACTTCCACTGCGGGGTCATCCGAGGCAATTATGTTGGGAGGTCTCGCAATGAAAAAACGATGGCAAGAAGCCCGTAAAGCAGCCAAAAAGGACTTTTATCATCCCAACATCGTATTTGGATCTAACGCTCAGGTCGCTTTGGAGAAGTTTGCGCGGTAAGTCCAATGTCGCTCGTCATTCAAATGTGATAATTAAATGATGTTATTGTCATTGTAGATACTTCGATGTCGAATGCCGTCTCGTTCCTGTCAAAGCCAGCAGCAACTACGTGATGGATCCAAAGGATGCCATACAGTTCATTGACGAAAATACGATTGGAGTCATGGTCATACTTGGTTCAACGTACACTGGCCATTTCGAGAACGTAGCGGAGATGAGTGAATTGCGTGAGTGCTTGATATTAATTTTCCTTCGGCGTCGGTACCTCATCGCGATTCAGTTGATAAACTTCAAGAAGAGACTGGATTGGATATCCCAATTCACGTTGACGGTGCCTCTGGCGCATTCGTCGCTCCGTTTGTCTACCCATCATTGAAATGGGGTTTTGATATTCCCCGTGTCGTTTCCATTAACACTTCTGGACACAAGTTCGGTCTCGTTTACGCTGGGATTGGTTGGGTGTTATGGCGAGACGAATCTTTCTTAAACAAGGATCTTGTCTTTCAGCTTCGTGCGTATCGATCCGTTGTTGAAATAATATCTTACCGCTGAACTTCTTGTAGATTACCTCGGAAACGTTGAATATTCTTTCACACTGTAAGTGCCATACATATATCAAGTGGTCACCCCTTCTTGTCCACTGAATTATGCTATAGAAACTTTTCGAAACCTGCCTCACCTATCATTGCCCAAATGTTCAACTTCCTCAACCTTGGTTTTGAAGGATACCGTAAAATCGCGATCAAGGATCTTCGTAACGCCAGGCTACTTTCTAGGGCATTGGAAAATACGTACTTCAAGGTTTGTAAGCTTGACCATGACTGGGTGTAAGGTGGTTGTTAATTTATGCTACTGGTCCCAGGTGCTAAGCAATATTCATCGTGTCTTACCCGGGCGAGATGAAGATGACGATCCGGAATCGTATGAACCGGGCTTGCCTGTTGTTTCATTCAAGTAAGGTGTCAAAATCTCGGAGAGAGCGTTTGTCCTCACATATTTCTTCCAGATTATCGGATGATTTTAAAGAAAAATATCCGCACGTCCAGCAAGTTTGGATTCAAGTACGTCGAACACGTTGTGAAATGTAAATGAAATAAGCTCACGATCCTGATCCCGCTTCAGTCTATGCTCAGGACGAAAGGCTGGATTGTGCCCAATTACAATGTACCCGATCAGTTCTTTGTATCAATGCTCCACAACTGACACTCTTTAACAGGGCCCAGAAGGAGAAAAAGACACTGAAATGCTGCGCGTTGTCGGTAAGTATTTCTCTTGTTTTGATATATCTGTCTTGGATTTCATATTCTGCAATAGTCCGCGAAACGTTGAGCGAAGACTTGACCGAAAGACTGATTGCTGATATCATCGATACTACTGAGTCAATGATGTGTATGTCTGCTCCCTCACTCTGGCTATATAAATGTGACTTAAGGTTTTCGCGGGGTTTTGACTAGCTGAATCCGGTAGCCAAATTCTACTGGCATTAAGTCAGAGTTCGCACCAAGCCGATAGAGAACATGGTCGACCTGACAAGTCCAACTTCGGTGATACTGCTGAGGATGCACAGGAGCAAGCTGGATTCTCAAGGCAATGTTGATTCAATGAAGACTTGCAACATGTCACTAAATATGTACTATATGTCCTTACTCCAAGTTGGATGGTTGGGAGTGCAAGGGGACCATTGATGATGTCATTTCAATGACGTAATTTTTGTTCTGGTATAAGTAGGCCGTCTTGTCTTAGTTAAAGTTATCGATTCCAACAATGACTAGTAAAGTTTCCTCCAACTATGATGTTTGCCTTTACTTTTTGGCTATGTGAGTCCTACTAGACAAGAGCAAAATTTTGAAACTCATGCACGTTCTGCAGAATTTTGCCTCCACTTTCCGTCTTGTTCAGTGAGTATAAGGTCCTCCATTGCGGGAAGTCTTCTTCTCAAACTGAGCCTGTTCTCTATCAGAGCGAGGTTGTGCAGCTGGTTAGTGTTGCATGAAGTATCTTTTTCCGGCTAGCGTGTGTGACCTGTTTTCCCAGATTTTTGGATCAACATCTGCCTAAGTATCTTGGGATGGATTCCAGGAATTATTCATGCATGGTAAGCAAATTGACATGTACACTCTGAATGCAGAATTAGCATCGATAGGTATTGATTTCACGATTTAGGTATATCATTTCACGGAGTGAAGGTGTAATGTGATATTTACATGAAGCAATGGGCCCGCCCAGGCCAAACATATACGTACATCCAGACTCTGAAGACCCCCAAGAATCGACGATTGGACACTCATGATAACCTATTATATCTATGAATCTACCTTATTACACCTTACTACTATAACTACGTTTGACATTTTCTCCCCAAATAAGTAATAAGTGAATCCTGGTCATTCAAATCGTAGGGAACTTTTGGCATTGAATATCTGTGAGTTGAACATGATGAGCGATCGATGAGCGCTTGAGCTCTCAGGGAAGAGTCACTTATTGAAAATTGACCCAACTCCTCCCTGTCTTTAGCAAGCTCAGCAATGTAAGGCTTCGCTTCATTGTTGATAACATATTCGCTGAATTCGGTAGTCATTTATGGTAGGAAACTTTTAACTTTTCTCGTCATGAGAGAGACGAGGAGAGACGCAAAAGAAGCCGAGGTTCGATTGGGTTGGGTGGGAAGCCCTGCTGAACTCCCTTCCTTGGCTCCCTCGTCACCATCTGCAAAGCGGAGCTCCGAGTCGAAGGTTGAAAAAAAAGAACCAAAGGCGCATACGAACTCAGTCGTGTACACGTAGGTACACGTGTGGAACCTTCCTCCCGAAGGAGTCTTTTCAGGTCTTTTCACCTCAAAGAGTCAGGAGATTGGCATTTTAGGGGATTCGGAATGCGCAAGGATTACGAAAAGCATATCGTATGGCACTCAGCGCTCAGAATCACAGAACTAAGATTCTTGAATGTTGCTTGCTGTCAATGTTTACGAGTAAATGTAACGAATTTCAGCGGCATAATGGATGTGAAGTCATGGGACTTGCTTTTTACACCCGGAGCCTTAAACCTCACGTATAATACGCAGTAAATATATCGGTATGCTCAGTGTGAGGCGTAAACAATGATCGACTATACAACGGAATGAAGATGGGCCGGATTTAAGGAATTAAGGTGAACGTATTATAATACGCATCGGCCTGCATCAGTGAAGGCATTGTAGCCTATTGTAGCGGGGAACCACTCGTAGCCTTTATTCGTAATTGGAGAAGACAATTTGTGCTCATCCAGATAGATAGATAGATAGATTTCATGCCGATTGTCATTGAAGCAGCTTCAAATTCAGGCCCCAAAGATTGAGGCAGCTTCTCCTCAATACCTATCAAATTGTATACAATACACGTCTGTTTTCTGGTTCTTCTGATATTTGTAGAAGACTTACCAGGTGCGCAATACTAGCAATGTTGGAGAACCTCTTGGATTAGTGATTAGTACTTTAGTAGTTCATGGTTCGTGACAAAAATGGAAATCATCTCATTCACGTGGTGGTCGATTTTCTGTTAGAACCACGGTCTGCTTATGTATTCGAAGAATATGTCTGATTCGAGAAGAGCTAAGTAAAAGGAAAGGAAAGGAGAGTTTATCACACGGCTCGATCCAAAAGTTGAACGCCGGTTCCACAAAGCACTTGCAGCATCGTCTGCGGGTGAAACGACGAGGAGTCGCAATTTAGGAACTCAAAGACAACCATGACCGGTAGTGACAGATATCTCAACCAATTACTAACACAATATGCAATTAGGTGGTACCATATAACCAAGATGTAGTATATGTCCGAGACGAATACTATGGAGGAATGTAAGTAATGTTTGTTCAACAGTTCGAACGGAACCAGAGAAGATGAACGAAAGTAGCACAATGTGTGCCTTTTACGACAGATAAGAAGAGCGCGAAGGAAAGATTTAGTAACACATATTGGGATGGGCAGATAGTATGACAGAGATCGCGGGACATGAGTCATGAAGAAAAGGTGCCAAAAGAGTGACAGTACAACAGAGGTAGTGTAAAGGAGACGAATGGAAATGAGCGTCAGTTGATTTATGTGAAGGAGCGTGATTGATACATGGAAGATAGAGAATGTCCGTCCGCGATGAGAACGAATAGTCACCCAACTGTTTTCGTTGGATTGGGCAACGATGATGGGATTGTGTTACAATGGATGATACAGAGCTGGGGGAATGGGTCCGCTTTTTGAAGTCGATATAATCCAAAAAGAAATGGCCCTGTTTGCACAGTATCCAAACGCGCGCGAAAATACCCTGTGTCAAGGGCCCCAAACAAAAGAAGGGGCTTTTCAGACCGCTCCGAGCAAAAAATAACTACAAAAAATCCTGAGTGATTTTTGTTGAGATTACTGGGAAAAGACCGTACCGATATTGCCTCCGGAGCGTGCCCAGTAATTTGAGAGCGACCGGATAAAGCACGGTGCTTCACTAATGAGCAAAAAAAAAAGAAAAGGAAGAGAAGGAGAATATGCCGGGCAATAGCGAACAGCAGGTAAGCAAGGTGTAATGTTGTTAACAATATGCAAGAATCAAGAGACTTTGTACACGAGAAAGCCTGTGACAAAGAAGATGATAATAACACAACACAGCAAAGAAATTTTGGAAGCAGTCAAGTCTATGTATGCAAAAGATACTTATGTATATGATAAATGCAAATGAAAGGAGGGGCAAATGCAGGAGATTGAAAAACATCGAGAGAAAAAAAAAATCAATTTCACAATTAAGCAATTAAGATTGAATCCAGCTTATCGCGACACTGCCGGCGCCTTTGATGGATACGTTCGCTTGAAGACGACAAACCTGCACATTCGTCTTTATCAGCACTTCGAGTCTGCACAAAAAAAAGGGTGAATTACCATATCACTGACGGATCTATTTCTCCAATCAACAACTAAATCACCATTGGGCTGCCTCTCAAACTTCTTCAACTCTCCAAAACTCTCGCACCAGATTTTCACAGCTTGATAGGCACGACTGTCATCCGACTCTATCCCGCTGATCACTAATTTGCGTTTTTTGCCTCGATTAATGCCTTTGGTAGGGGAGCGCATGCCACCCATGCTACCAATGGAGACAGTACCCAGAGTCAGTCCAAGGGATCGACGCTTTTTCTTGGCAAGCGATTGACGTTCAGGGGAAGAGTTAGACGTAGAATTACTCGAATCAGCGGTCGATGAACTGAATGTAGAAGTAGCGGTAGCAGTGGTACCACTTCTCTCCCTCCGAGTGATAATTATTCCTGCATTGACCTCATTAGATAAAACCACTGGAGAGTTGAGAACGCTTGATAGAGTCACGGAATCCACGGAAGACAGAGTCCTGGCTGGAGCGGTTGTATTAATGGTAGTCAAATCATCTTTAGCAAATGGATCAGAAACAACCTGTCCCAGCTCATCAACGTTTAGCGGTGGAACGGGAGGGACAGAATCTGGAGACATGGAATGCGGTGAGACAGCCAACGAAGTGGAAGAACCAAGGGTGAACCGCGAGATCAGGCCAGACATTCTTCCGCCTTTGGTCTTCGGAACTTTATTGGGCGACTTGAGCAATTGACGTGGAGGGGAGGAGGGAGGCATCCGAGGTGGAGATGATGGAGGTTGAGACACAGCAGAAGCAGTAGTGCTTGTGCTCGTATTGATCATGGAGATCTTCCTATTCCTGGGGGTCTTTGGGCTCCCCACACTTGGTGGTAAGTCACCAGGACCAATCAGAGACTGCGTACCAACCAAAGTTGGTGTTGCGCCTCTTGGAACACTAGATTCAATTTGCGAATGCGTCGACGGAAGGTACGTAAAACTTTGAGCAGCTAGTGGGGAGGATGGCGCCTTGGGCAATCGGAATCCATACACTTGAGCATAACTACCCCTAACCATTTGGGTGTCGTCATCCATACCGGTAGGCGTCGAAGGAAAATCACTCCCGCGCTCGCCAGATACTGATTTGCCGGTTTGTGAGGACGGTCTGGGTCTTGGAGTTCTAGGAGAGATGGGAGCTGACGGTAAATCAAGCCCAGCGGCAACGGCAATCAAATCCGGGTCCATGTCCTCCATGTCCTCTTCATTCTCCGTTTCGGTCTCGGAGCCTGAATCATCATTCCAGCTGGATGTAGAACCGGAATATGCAGGAGTAGAAGGCTCTGACGTGCCTGCCGTTGAGCCTGAATCTATAGTAGGAAAGTTTTTAGGTTTCAGGGACAGGTCGAGAGGGGCAGGGCGATATTGAGTCGTTCTGGATTTGGTCGGAGAAGGGGGAGCAGAAGGGGCGGAAGGAGCCGCATTTGCCGGTGATACTGGCAATGAAGCAGATGGAGCGAGTGGCACGGGAGGGATCTGGGAAGCTGTATTTCCAGCCATTCTGGCAATAAAACTGGCTAATCTTTGACGTCTTCCTGGTGTTACCGGAGGAACCGACATATCCTCACCTTGAGATTTCTTTGGATCAGATTGTGATTGTGATGGCGAAGAAGGGCTAGGAATGGACGATGCTGCTGCATTCAAACTTTTTCGCTTGGTGATATTCAAGGATAGATAATTCCTCCTTGGTACATCATCTGCTGTGGGTGATATCAGTCCACCAGCGTCTGCTAGACCGATATACGAGCCCGAACGAGATGCAGAGAAGGGAGTGCTCGGCGTCGGTGGAGGGGCATGAACTCCCATCATTTTTGGGAGTCCCCAGTTCAGATTCGAGGAAACATCAGTAGAAATCTTGGGTCCCAGAGACCGTAAGTCGACCACGGAAGACGCTGGAGACCACTTTGATTGTTCAAAATCGATATTGTCCTGCTCTCTCTCGGAAGCGGACGGATCAGAATATTCTTTTTCGGAATGATCGCGGTCATAAACGGACGGGAGATTGAGCAGTCTACGTTCAACCTCACTCGAGTCTAAGGCCTCAATGTATACCGCATTCCTTAAAACGGTTGAACCTGCTCGAGACCGATTGCGTGAATCACTCGCTGGAGCTGCTGAGGATCCTGCACGGTACGTAGAGGAAGGGATGATCTCAAGCGAAGGATCTGGAAAAGGTGACGGGGTAGAGCTGTAAGGAGATAGAGGAGCTGATGCGGTGGGGAAAGACGTCGGATGGGAGTAGCTGTGCTGATGACCACTGTTAGAACTACCCGGCCTAGATAGAGAAGTGGAAAACAGGTTTCCAGCACTTGCGTAACGCCGCATAACTCCCGCCGAAAGAGCTTCGGAGCCCAACGGAGAAGACAAAGTAGACCCAAGTGGAATGCGAAAATCCAAGCCCGGACGAGAACCGAGGGAAGGTTGTCTGGTCAGACGAGCAGCTGGTCTATTCGTCTCTCCACTGACTCTACTGAAGTATCCGTCAACGTCGGGGTCTACATCCGCGTCAATGTCGGTGTCATTTAAAAGGGGCAAACTCGACTTGTGGCCAATGGTAGGACTATTTTTACCAGCGACCATAGTCGGTAGATGGTACCCACCAGCCAGGGAAACGATTGAAGGCTGTCTACTTCGGATACCAGGACCCGAATGAGAATATGCTACAGTTGGCGACTGCGTCCGCGAAAAGGAGGAAGCACGCGACAAAGAGGTTGAGCTTGGAAACACAGGAGACGTCGAGAGAAAAGGCGTAACGGGAGTGTTTGGGGTGATCGGAGTGACTGGAACGGAAGACGTCGAGCTAGCCGTCGTGTAAGACGATACGGTGGACGTGGAGAAATTGGGGATATGAGAGATGTTAGACGGCGAATTGGACGCGAGAAGTCCATGAGATTCTGGTGACAACAATGTTGTAGAAGCAGGTGGGGCTGGAAGAGGCTGTACGGAAATCAGCTGAAAACGCCGCAAAAGCGTAAAGCTCGAAAGATACAGTACCTTGTTTCTTCCGTCTATCTCTTCGTCGCTATCTACCTCAGAAGAACCGAAGTCATCGAAATCATCTGTGCGCCTGCCTGGCTTGAAAGTCATGGGAGGCAAATTGACCAGGTCGACTTCATAAGGCGACGGGTACACGGAGGACGCGCTATTTGTAGACACGTCCCCAGCATCGTCCTCGGGCTCGAGTTGGTATAGTAATTGACTATCAACTGCTCCGTAGTAGAAGATTGGCTGTATATCTTTTAGACAGGAATCGAGACACATACCAGTTGACATGTTCAATGAATGATATGTATCTGACGCGTCGAACAGTAGTAATCAACACGTAGAGTTTGAAGAATCCTGGTTTTCAGGTCTTGTGAACACCGATTCCAGCAACGGCCAAGTCGTCGAGGAGACTATCACGAGGCGAATGGCGGCGGTGGCAATAGGCTTGTAAATGTTGTAACTTGTTAACGGCAGTAGAAGAGTACTAGGAGTCAATGAAGACGACCAGCACAAGAAAAATCTTTGAGGGGAACCTGAATCCGAGTCAGAAGTCAAGTTCGCGAAACGGAAACACTGGCGGTAAGTCGTGGGCTTTGTATATAGGGCAGACTTCAGCTGTACTTTTCTTCCCATCACTTGTAAAACCTCGAGTTCAAAAAATCTTGAGATCTATCAATTAGACCCATTTGGCATGTTATGTCATCTATGCTTCTATGGGAATCTTCTTTAGATTTCGCTATTTTTGCCCGAATTTAGTCCTTTTTTTCCTTTCTTCGGTTTCTTCACATTTCCTTTCATGTAATCACAGTTCGCGAGCACATGGAACGAGGAAAACTCCGCGTCTCTTTTCGTTACCTCAACTGTATTATAGCTAACTTGCCGATGCCCAGTCTGGATGTCGTCCAGGTCAAACAGAAAAAGACATCTCTTCTGTAGTCCGCGGCAACCAATTCCATTCTTCTCAACCACAGCAATTTCAACTTTGAAGCAGAATCTCGAAACTATCTGCGTCTGATGTACTATCCTTGGACGCTGTCTGCTCCCATCGTTTTATCGACACAACCTCCTGTATGTCAACAACCATCTGGATAAAATCAGGTCCCTCCATATTAACAGCTTTGACATCAAATTCCTCACTTCCAGAGAGGCTGTCTTACCACTCCCCCGATGCAACTCGATATTCCGACTACTACATACAAACTACAGAGTATAGTATACTTCGCTGTACATTTCGGCGGCTATCGCTCCACAGACTTCGTGCGAGCAGTGGGTCCGATGTGGTTCGATCTTCCGCCTTGTTCCGCTCCCCCAACCCTGCGCGCAAGGGCCTTTCTTTCTTTGAATCATGAATTCCCAGGATCACCCTCGGACTAAAAGCGTGATGATCAACGGTGAACGACTCTGCATCTGAAGCTCTTTGAGGCCTCCCCGTTTCCCAACGGTCCTGTATATTCCAAAATAATTCCACGACATTCCACTCTTCTGTTCTTCTCCTCTCGAATGACAAGCTCTCATTTTCTCACAAAATCACTGGTAATTCAGTGCAAAACTCCGAAATTCTCGAGATAGTCGGCCACGAGTAACGCGAAATTAACTGATGCAAACCGGACTGCTCATTCTAATTTTTTATGAAGCGCTAGTAGACGACGGCAAGCATCCTGATTCGATATTTCCCCGATTTTTTCTCTCATTCCCATTCACCGGCAGTACACTCATAAATCAACCCCGTCGCATACCACTCGCAGGGTTCAGAACAGGAGTCCACAACTGTCCACAAGTTCACAAAGGTTTTCTTGTCCGGAAAGAAGGTTAGTCAAATTCGCTCATGCATTTCACTTGATCAACTGAATCTCCCGAGGCTACTAAACTACCTGGTAGTTCTGCTTTTCCATTCCTCCCACAGAGCCAGTCAGAAAGCCTCCGTCAGGATTCCAGGTGGAAGAAAAACCTTCAGTCGTACTAATAACTCCGCAAACTCCGTAGTACGGCGTATACCGAGCGCTGACCGTCGGGTTTGTCGGCGGCGATCATCTATCGATCTTCATCACCTTGCATCTATGTGTTGAATTTACTAGTTCGCTCTTCTTCTCATACACTTTCGATTCTTTAGTAACTCTTTGTTTCCCCACCATTTTCTAGTCTATATTGATGATCACTACCATTACCTACTGGAAGCCCCGTCGAATGGGATTGTGATATGTAGGAGCCTGGAGGGCCACAGACTGAGATACTCGACCTATACTCGACCCACCAAAGCTTGCCAACCAGGGTCAGTTCCAGGCGAAGCTTTGCCACCCTTTGGTATCTCACTGGCATGAGTACTTCCAGAATTCAAGTTAATGTACATTCAGTCGAGGCAAGCTGACCGTGATATATATTTCAGAATGCGTCACTGTGTGCTCGACATGGTTCCCGTAGATGGCTCAAATTTTCACATCAATCCGGTATTAACCTTGAAATTCTTTTCAACGATCCATCAGGTTACACATATCCCTACTAACTCACGGTTCCCTTGAGGATGGTACTCATATGTACCCAGTAGATAGGTACGAATATAGTTTCCCCCATTCCCCTTCAGATGTTCACTGCATTCAAGCAGCTCCAAGCCCTGCTGGACCTCCCCACCTTCCACGGTTCTGTCACACGCAAGTGGAAATACATATACATGCAACAGGAATAAAACATTAACCCATACGTATGCGAAATGAACGTAGGTGCGATACCTATGATATTGGCTCAGTCTAGGACTTCCAACTCTCTTGATTTTGTCGTGAAGTTTCAAATCTTAATTCCCATGAATTTCACATGAAGCTTCAGACCCCAATATGATCACAACCCGCGTTCAAATATTGCTGGGGCTCTTTTAGCACAGGTTTGAATTCAAGATCATCTATAGTATTAGTGAATGGTCGCAGCACAATCCGTGATAAATGCGACGTTCACCTCAGGCTGTGACATGCGACGATTTTCGGCTTGTAGCGCGCTCAAGACAGAACAGAACTTATTGGACATACTTATCTGTGTTTGTGTTCATCTCGATTCGCTCGCCGTATGAACAGTTCGGGGTAAGGGTGGGTTTTCAAAGACATATACTCGAAGCAGCTCCTGCGGTAACAAAGGTACATAATCAAGAATATTCAAGATACTCGCAGATTACTTGTGACGAGACCAAATTTCTTAAGTGTGTCAGCATGTACGCAATCTCAATCAGGTGTAAGGTCTAAGTGCTGCCGTCTTTCCTTGATCCTTGTTCCGTCTTCGCTGCCTCACCGGACAAAGTTCAAGAGAGTTCTTCTCTCCGGTGCTATCGTCATCGCCAACGCGCCACCACAAACTAGGAGGCGCAAGTCACTGTAATTTTAGACTCAAGTGCATCTTCAAGCTTCTTCATCGCTCATCCTTCTTCCTACTTCATCCCAGGCTTTATATCTGGTTCTACTAGTATGCTATGTATACTCGTCGTTCTTTCACCCTTTACCCCTTCTTTTCAAGTCCTCCGACCAGATACATTGGCGTAATTTCATGGATCATTCCGAGTTTTTCAATTAGTCAACCTTCTCCCCCTTAGCCTTCAGCGATCAAGAAGTAAATTACCAGTATAAAACATGTTGTCCGTCAAGGGTTGAAGCCATCCTCTAACGCTCGAGCTCCTCAGGACGCATTCCGAGTTTTAATTATCCCCGTGAAATCTCACTCCTTTACGTTTGTCTTCCGTTGCAAAAGGTGCCCACGATGCTATATCGGCGCCGTCTTCAAGTCGAGGCTTCATGAGTTTTTATGAATCAACAACCTCAAATTAGTAGGGTAGGCTGTCTTCCAGGGTACCATAGACAATGTCCGAGTTGCCCAGCATTGGAGCAGAAGCATGTAGCTGTCAAGGCGAAAAACCCGGGACTTACAGTGGCATCATTCGATCTCTGCATGATAGTGGGCAAGTATCGTATCTTTCGCGAAGCTACAGTTTAATCCTGCACCTCAACATATCTGCAAACATTCATAAGTAAAAAGAGAACTTCTTGAGTAAATAAGTCACGGTCAATTCTCGAGCTTGTTGAGAGGTAGAACAGACGTGAACTTGTCTAGACTTTTCCGTATGTTGGGTTGAGCTACGAGGGCTTATGATACTCAAGCAAAGAAATCCCAAATAGGAAACCTGGATAACCTTTGAAATTTGAATTCCTGTGATGTCGCTGGGGAACAGTGAAATAATCTGAAAAGGATCAAGTTTGCTTTGAGTATGGGACTCTATCAGCCATAGCGGGTCCGAATTGATAAATAACCTCGACTAAACATTAGATTACTTACCCAAATTCGAGCCGTTCGACATCCGTTCGGAAGAGACCGATTTCTTTGGTTATTTTCGAGTTCTGAGTATGAAATGTAGCCCGGCCCATGCATAGGAGTAAGATTTAAGAAAAGAAGAGAACCGTACCATACGCTATCTCCGCGATCCTTATGAGAGGTGGAGAATTGTCTGACAGAAAACATACATAAAGATAGGCTATCACCTCTGCTCCGGATTAATTCCGGCATAGGATAAATCTGAGTTAGGATCGTTCAAACCTGGATTTCACCAATTTTCGATGCCTTGAACATTAGATGAATACGACATTGTGGAATGGAGATAATTGGCCACTCACCGTCATATATTAGCAATGAGTATACATAGTCCTGCCATCAAGGCTTATGTTTTTTGGTCTCCCACTGTACTTATTGACAGACTATTGATGACGATGGGCGGAAAGAGCTGCCAGTGTTGTGACATGAGAAACCACCAAGTTTACGAAGCAACTCCAGGAACTCTTAATTTATGAGCATTCTCTCCTTCAAAAATTGAATGAATATTGAATAAGATGGGCGCTCATTGATATTGACACGAGAAGGACCGGTGGACCATGGAGCTGAGGAAGCAAGACTGGCCTCTACTTGTCATTGTCAACGTCAGCATGCAGTGCACTCGGAGAACTGAGATAGGAATTGTGGTACTGAGGATTGGGACGACTCGGGCAACTCTCATCTATACATTTCAAGACAGGGCTGGAATTGTCTTTGCGATATGTAAAGCTGGCAAGGATAAATCGACGCTGCTAGTAAATTCAGCCCGCTAGCATTGGCAGCAGAACAAAGTTGACTCACATATCGTATTACTATGGGATACCGATGGGGTGTCAACCACAGTAAGGTTTCCTGGGAAGAGTCCTGATTGTAGACATTCGTCTGAACATGGTGATGAGAGTCAAGGATCTGTAGTTGCACGGTCTCGAGCTGTCTCGAGGCGCAGTTTTTCAGATCTTTCTTGAGGAAAAAGCGGTCAGATACTACTTAGCAGTCAGTCAAAAAAATTAGTAAAGTATCTGAGTTAGATCCAGATGTCGTTTCTCCATGATCTTGCTTGAGCAATGGCTATTAAATGGATATTGTGAGATGGTTTAGATTGTGGGCCGTAGACCCTAATTTTTCCAAATTATCCATCCTAGTCATCATTTTTTAGTAATATATCCCCTTTTAGCGATCTTTTTACTGTCAGTTGATTAGTCACTTCTTGTGCTCGCTCTCGACAACCATCATCTTCTGGTGACAAAAACTGGGTGTTTCTCTCTTGACAACCTTCGTCTTACAGTAAAAACTATCACTCCCAGTGAATAATTCCCACTACCTCTGTAGAGGTTGAAGGGTTTAGTAGACTCAGTTTTTTTTTGGTCATTCACTTTTCAAGTTGATTATACTACTGCTGGAGACAGCTGGAGACTCTGGGTTGGGCAGATGCATCTACATGCGGCGCGCCCCATGCGCGCCGCTTTTTCTATCTACAATACAAGTACATTAGCCATCACCAATCAAGGTGTGGTCCCATTGTAGTACAGACCTCTACAAACACTACCTCTTACTACTCATCCCTGCATCTGCGTTCAGTCCATCTTGTACTTAGTGCTCACACAGACACACATTGACTGGTAGCGGGCCCTGCCGTTCACCGGCGCTACTTCGTTATTGTGAGATGGTTTAGATTGTGGGCCGTAGGCGCCTAATTCATCTGCTTCACGGGCGCTTGTTAATGGAACTGCCCTTACGCAGACCAGACGTTCAGACTAGCGAAAATAGGCAAAGGAGAGGTAGAGGTACAGTTCTAAGGAGAGCTCTGGCCTGTTTATTTTGCAAAACAAAAATAATCCACATATCATACCTGTTTCGTGGGGTCAGCGGCCTCGTGGCACTGACAGCCAAGGGCGAGTCGCGCTTCATGAACTTGATTCTATCATCGTTTTTCTCCCGTATACTCTCCTGTTCAGCTACCGAACATTGTTGCACTCAATCTGTAGCAGTGTACGAGCCTGTAGTGTAATCTGTTTATGAAGGAAGTGTGGTAGGAATCGACGGGTCGGAACTCGGAGCGAGAAAAGTAGAGGAGCTGCCCCTAGCTGACCTCTACCTAAAACTTTAGTTCTAAGTACTAAGTACGACATCTACTTTTCAAGTACAGGTATTTTCGCTTGCTGTTGAATGTCCTCACGCAGACGTTATTAGGACTGGAAAATGATCAGTAAGAATGATATCATACTTCTAAATGGATATTATCAACTGGAGTATTACAGGATACAGTGTGCATAAGCGGCATAAATTCAACATGGCATTGGTTTCAAAAATCGCATACTTGTGGAGACCAGAAAGTTCTGAAATCCACCTCTGCATGAGTACTTGTCAGTACTGCGGAATAATCTCCGTTGGCGTGGATAACAACGAGTATCGGACACCGGGAGGGCAAGGCTGCAGCTGCTTCTTCCCGAAAAGGACCACGTTCAAGCAGTCCGACTCTGCACCGGACATCGTATCGTCAAAGCTCGATGCTTCCGCCGTATCGCTCTCTATTGCCAGATAGTATGGAATTTCCATCTCGCAATCCTTCTCGTCGGAGTTGCCGTTGAAGCCCCCTACTAAATCATGATCATCCTTCATCGCGATATCACTCGTGTCTCCCATAACCATCACGGAACCATTCGACCCTTGACCGTTCTGAAGGCCTTCGGTCATCATCCTATCATACCACTGGTAGGTAAGGTTATGCTGCTGCATCATCTCCGTGGTTTGTTCCTTATAAGCTTCGTCCGCAAGATGGGTAAGTTTTGCCTGTTGTTGCGCTTGGATCTGCGACATCACCCCCTCCGGCAAGACTGATTCTCGACGCAACGAGTTACCGATCCGGACCCAGCCTATCTCTGAACCAAAAGGCTCGGCGTCGTCTGGTTCTGCGAACGGGTGGGTTTCGGTAGGGATGTGAGTTATAGTCTCGCTCTCTAGTGTCTTTGGGTGTTGAATAGGTTCCGTCGAAGACTCTACTGCTGTAAAGGCGGGAGTGGCGGGTCTGCGCGGCGTTTTCTTCTTGCTTGCCAGCGGGCCTTGCTTGGTAGGACATTGACTGGAGCCTGCTCCTGGTGTACCCGAGGTTTTAGTTCGACTACTAATCACATGGTTGCGAAGACCAAGTTTTTTGGTCGGTGTTTGGCTGTCAGCCGCGGCTGTGGTAGACGTAGATGCAGCTGCAGCTGCACGCTTAGCTTGGGCGCGGGTTAAAGCGACCATCTCTAGATGAATGCAGGGAGAGTGGTTTAGTTGGGAACGGATGTTGAGATCGAGTGGCTAAACTTGTGCATTTGTCTTTATCCCTTTCATTAGTAGGAGCTTGGACGTTCCGGTAATCCGGTTTGGCCTTTGACCTTGCGCCTTTGTTCTTTCGTTTGGTGTCCAAGGTAGGTGTCACAAGTCAACATTAAACCCTTGGCCATGAAAGAAAAGGTACTAGCTGGGCTCTATTGTTCAATAAATATACTACGACCACTGATGTCGATGAATAATCGCATATACATCTAGAACCAAAGGTGCTCGGAGTGTGACAATTGTATGGTTGCACTTTCAGACTGACCTTCGCCTGAGGTTGACGGAGGTATACTTCACATTGCTAGCAATGCTCGAAGGAAATTTGCAAAATTGCGACTACACGGAATATATCATGTGACCAGCGATATGCCTGATATGGTTCCAGCGCGGTCATATGACGATTCCGTCTTTCTGGTGTGCGCATGTACTTACATTAGGTATGTACATAGTTGACATATTCTGTCAGCGATACGCCGAATGAGCCTGAGTCTTGCTCTACAAGAGCCAATGATATTATTCTTCAAAGAGGGTGATACGTCGGGGGTTGTGTGTAGAATTAGATGTACCCTTTGGGTGCCAGAATAAATAGTAAGTAAAACCTTTGTCAGACAACAAAATCCAGCTTCCTGCGTGTCTCCCAGAAGATACCAAGAAAAAGCAAGCGAAACACCAACAATAATAACTTGAACACCTGAATGTGAAGCATTGAAAAAGTGACCACGAGTACCTCACTTTCGTGTGGAAAAATCAACATCTTTCCAGCCTTTGAGTAAGGTTCGTTGGATACTGTGTGAGCCAGGTTGACTGTCAGGACCGTGATCAGAATGCGTGTATGCGTCATTGGCTTGAATGAGCTCCTGGGCATTACGACGATCAGCCGGAGCAAATGGCTATAACTCCCCTTAGTTTCTTTTTCGGATAAATCACAAATTTCGAGAGCTTGTACGCACCTGATTCCAAGGACCGAAAACATATTCAGAAGGATCGGGGTTAGGGTGCTTAAATCATAAATCAGCCTCGACATTTATATATTGATAGCTCAACGGATTACAACAACTCACAGCAGTAATTTCATGTAGTTCTCTTTGAATCATGAAACAGAAATCATCAAGGTCTGTGGATTGCACTGTCAATATGAAACCTATCCCGATTATCCAAGAAAACATACCCAAGTCATTGAGATCATAATTGAAGGGGTTTTCACTGCATACTCAAAGAATGAGCCAACGGAAACTCAGATTTTACAAAACACTAACATTTCTTGGCCGATTTCGAGAAAGCCGAGATAGAGGAACGTAGTGAATGCGGTCCCAGGAATAGTCAGCCAACCAAAAGTTGATACAATTTGGAACTGAATTGCACTCTGCATTAGAAATTTCACAATAATTTGACTGTGACAGGCTTACGGGTAATGCCAAGAGATATATCCTGAAGAGTGAGACCATTGAGGGGCCAGGGGGCATAGAAACAAAGAACAAACCCACCAAATAGAGATACGAAGATGAGCTTGATAGGCAAATGGAAGGGGAGTGTCCGCGATACGTTCCAGATTGCTCAGAGTGTCCTGGATACTATTGATAGTACCAACAAAAGTTCCAGCGACAGGAGCTGGGATATTCCCGGCCCTGATCATAACATTGGCATAACTGAGCATGCAAGTGAGTAGGCTTGCACTCTTACGAATAACAGCCGCACACGTACTTCATCAAGAAAAGTGAAATTTCCACCGGAACATTGCTATCACAAGGTCTAGGCTTACGCTTCTTTCCAAAGACTGCGCGCATATCAACATTCTGGCTACCTGGAAGGAGAATGTGGATACATGTACTTGAAAGCGGAACGAAGGATTCAGATGTATACCTGGGCTTTTCCTAAACGGCTTGGCGATCAACTTGAATATCTTCAAGAAAGGGAAATAATCGGTGAATCCGGCCCGCGGAGGGTTTCTGGAAGGCTTGAGAGGACGATGAACGTCAACGACAGGCAAAACCTTCTCAGGGTCGAAGACCTTGTTGTGCTTGCGAAGAGAGCCGAAAAAGGTCGATGATGTTTCCTCTTTGTAGTTCGAACCCATAGTATGCGAGGAATTGCTCCTAGTTCCGGCAGCGCGTTGTGGGTTGTGTTCGAGTGGATATTCGCCGTCTTCGGATGCGTGCCACATTGGAAGTAAATCGCGCTCCGTGGATCCTCCATTCGCGTATCGAGGCAGAAAGCAGATCAAAGGATAAAGGTCTTGATAGTAGACACCAGATTCGCCACGAAGGTAATGCTGATAGATAGTAAAATCAGATAATACACAAGCAGCAGCGAACCAAGTGCACCTTGATGGAAACAGAAAGCGCTTGCACCTGTGTAACCAACAGTTAGCGATAGTGAAATTATCCCCAGAGGTAACGCGTTACGCACCAGATTGACCATGGACTTCTTTTCGATTATACATTCGAGCTGTGTCGGGGCGCGACCTCCAGGGGGTGCAGGTCTGTCGTTGGAAATGTGGATCCAAATCTAATATTACTCTTCAGTTTTGGAAAGAGCGTTGCAATTTTAGAGGACCCACTGTCATTGCCAGAGTCCTAGAATAGGTCCCAATGTTTGTCCACATCTTCCGTCCATCAGAGTATCTATACTCAAACTTGAGAGCCATGCTGTAGACGAGAATGCTAGAGCATACCGTTCATATGCAGAAGAAGTTCGGAAAGAGATGACGAGACCGAGGACGGTACCCAGCACACCGAGTAAACCATTGTTCAGAACCAGTTCGTGGTCTGTGAGTTTCGAGATTGCAGCCACCACTGGTGGTAGATCAGCTTTTGAAGGAGAGAACTAACGAATTTCTCGTACTAGTAGCTACTGCTGAGAAAAATAGAGTTTCTGGCCAAATGTCGTTAATGACAGTAGCCAAAAACTTTTTCCTCAATGACATTCCGCTGGAATACATGGGATTTGATGCGACCATCTTGAAGAGTCAGTGGGTCGTTGTAGAGGGAAGAAAAAGAAAGAAACAGGGGTGGCCAGGGATGGCGTGGCCGGTTTTATTGCTATGAGGCGTAGAAACGAAAACGTAAGGGTAATTGAATTCTTCGGAAATCCAATCACCGTAAGTCAAGGCTACAGAAACGAAAACTCAAAAAATGCAGCACGGCTGAAGATGTGAAGAGATGAAGGGTGCTCCAATGTCAAACCACCGCGAATGTGTCGAAAGGGGGGAGTTGAAGAAACAACAGAGGAGGGTTATATACATTTGATAGGAACGGATCAATTCAATCGTTCGGGCGCCAAATCATTCTAGTTTCATGTGCCAAATAAGCAGTGGCGACGAAGCTATCTTCCAGAAGATACATGGCAATATATAATATGTATTCGCAGGTACTCGCTTTCTCTGGTGAAGAACAAATGGGGTCTAGATGCATCCCATACTGAGCGATAGTATCCGTCTCCTGTTGTGAATTCCAGCGAGGTACAGCAGGGTACAGCGCCCAACGTTCCCTCGAATATGATCTTGTGGGACTCACCTCAACATGTCAGTCTGATTTTCCATCGATTATTGATCACACACTGTTCAACATTTATATCGGTCTATGAATGATGGTGATGTTCTACTACTATGTGGTATTCAAGAGCTGTGTACGATACTTACTTGCCTCGCCGCACAGATATCTCCGACGAATCATCATGATAGAACGGGATGAAACCCGCGCTGGCCCTCTATCCTTCTTGGATCGAACTGTATCCACAAATAATCATAGGGCATGTACTTAGTCGTAGGTAAACCGACACGGTCCGAACCCAAAATTGCAATGGGATACATACTTGGGGTTTTCACCTAGTCGACATCCAAGCTCAGCGCTCAAGCGCTCAACTACCGTCTACGTACCTAACAACATCGGTCGTCGATCTCCGTTTAGCCTCGGCGCACAAGTCTGGTATGTAACTACAGAGACTCAGGTGTGTATAGATCGTAGTGCTACTTCGGTCTGTTAAAAATTCCGAGTTCTTGATGAACTCTCTACCCTCAGGCTGGAGCCTCAGTAAAGCATTGTAACGACTCAGTCAAGCACTGCGGAGACCAGGAACACAGTAAGACTTATTCCATCCAATAGTTGCGGGATGTGCCTCATCGGTTTATAATAATACCGCAGGGATCAAAAAGCGAGCCTCCAAAGCGTATAGAAAGCTCCAAGTTTGAATTCAACTTTTAGGAAAAGTCACAAGTCCGTACTAATGGCAACATTATATTCATATCCGGGAGAAGGGGAGGACGGAAAAAGTTGTTGACTTTTGTGGAAGGTCCCAAAGCACTTTAGAATACCGGGTTGGAGAAGCGCACGACCAGACGCTGAGAGCCATTGTTCATGATAACCAGATCGCACTTCAAACGGTCATACCAATCATAAAAATACATACTATGTCTTCTTCATTTTGCAGTCCTACTATAATTGGTGCCTTGAATTCTGTATATTCGATCGACAGATAAATATAGCGAGAAGTTGGAAGCATCCATGGTCACGGAATTTGAGAAACTGAACTTGTTTTGAAGGAAGACAGGTTTGCGCGTTTCACTCAATTCCGAGAGTCAATATTGAAATGATCCAGCCGCATTGCTCCTTGATGACTCTACTGAGCGATGCTCATCAAACTTCCGACGAACGTCATGACCTGAGGTAAGGAGGAAGTTCAGAAAGATGGGCAGAAGAACCAATGAGAAGTATTGCTCACTAAACGTGGTCTCACATCTACAATATCCTCTGGTACCAAGAAAATCAAGGCATTCATCTTACGTGCAATGGAGATTGCCAATTTTGCTGCCAGAAATAATCAGCCTTAAGGTCACATCGAGGCGGTATAGTACAATTACCGTTTGCCCTTCTTTCCTCGAAGTCCCCAGTTTCACCAACGTCCACTACCAGCGCCGGGTCGACGATACCCGGTCTGATTGCCTCTAATAGCGACAAGAAGAATAGGCCAGTTGTTATCGACGGGTCTTTAAAACTTCGAATGGTTTTGACCGAAGGATTCCCCTTTTGCGCTGTGACGTTAGCCCATTTGAGCATTTCGGTGTCAGATATGGGGCGCCCGGCCGATGCGGAAGATTTGGATAGCGAAGTGAGTGTTTTGGTGATGCTCATTCTGAGAAGAAGCATTCACGGACCATGCACACAATGTACAAAGGCACTTACCGCATTAACTGCCACACAAGTCCCAACACCAGCGTCTTCTGACCATCCGTTATGTCTGCACCCTGAATACCGACTAGATGCATTCCATGCCCTTTTCCAAGTTCCACGACGTAGTTGGTGTTCTCCACAGCCTTGAACCGTGAAAGCGTACTTTGATTAGGTTTTACACCAATGTCCACATCCTCGTCATCTCCATCTCCGGAAGGAGCCCACGATGCATGGCCGGCACCTTCCTTAGGTTTGGAAACACGTCGCCAAACGACAGATCCAGGGAATATCTTGTCGAAAGCTTGAATAATGATCAAGCCGTCTTTGAGATTCTCGAAGAGGTTGAACACACCCGGCTCCACACCGAGAGAGTTCAGCCAAAGCGTAAACACACGCGCTTCACGCTCTCCTTCTGCATCGAAGTCATCGACTACACCGTAGTCCTTTGCTTCCTGCTCATCCAACGGCTCGAGCCCTGGGTATGTGTTGAACAAGTTCGCAACAAATGCCAAGTTCAATCGAGGGTTACCGGAAACCAAGGATGAAGGAGTGAGATACTTTCTACATCCGATGGAGTCTGCATTTTGTAAGACTTGCTCAGCTCGGGTACGAAGATCGGGAGTTTGTAATGGAGAAAGTGAACACGAGGCGGGTTGGAGCTGATGTAACAGGACGGTATAGTTCTCGCCATCAGAGACATCCCTGCTAAAGTTGTTTACACGACGTTTCCAACCTGCCGCTTTGAGATGATAGTTAAACCATCTCAGCAAGATCTGATCAGGCGTCAGCCGGAGGAGGTCGTCAATTGTCTCGCCGTCTTCACAGAGGCGGTACAACTCTGGGTGTAGCTTTATATCCACCTGGGCGAGCAGACCTCTACGAATGATCTGCCAGATCAGTCCAAGGATAAGATGTTCCCTCCCTTCTGCAATATCAGAGGAACCGATATTGACAACCGAACATCCGATGGCCTTTGCGGAAGTGATGACGATATTGTTGTTCTCGGTGATCTGGAAGGCGTTCAAGGGCTTGCGCCCGGATGGTTTATTTAGGACACGAGTGTCGATGGTATCGGGGACAGAGTCGTTGATGAGTTTGCAAAGGATAAGGCCGTCTTTGCATTCGTCGAATAGTTGCATGGTGGTTGTAGGTATTGGATAACGAGAACCTATGTCAGCGTCGTTTTCTATAACCTGCTCAGGTAGTTGAGGCAAATTATCAACCTTCAGGCGATCGCGTAGCTCACCAGGTTGATATGATTCGTAAACTCTGAACGCTCATCCTCGTTAAGGGTGTGACTGACATTAGCATTAGATCCCTGCACGGTGACTTTTCCTGCCTTGGCTGAGATGCCTGACTTGGCTTGCGTCCGCAGTTTAACATTGAGCTATGGAGGACATGAAATTGGGCCCGATGTCTGATAACCTCGACACGGACCTCGACAAAATCTTCAAGTTCTACTTTTCCGCTTGCATCAACACTGACATGCTTCAGCGTTTCTCTCGCAGTATCATACGATTCTCCACTGGCTTGTAGAGACCGCAGGACAGCAGACTTATCGACGCGACCAGGTGTGTCGGTATGTATCGCACTGCACAGAATGGACAAAAGAAGTTCATGAAATTGGCCGATCTGGACGAGATAAGTAGTAGGACTCACTTGAATCGATTTATCAGATCGAACATTTCATCTCGCGTAACTTCAGGAAACTTCTTTTGAAGTTTTAGTGCCTCCATTGGTGGGACGAGTTTAAGTTGTGACGGTGGCTATGCGGCCCAGGTAAGTTAGAGGTTTTTGTACACCGTGACATCATGAAGAGCCTTTTTATAATACAGTGCGCAGCGCGACCAACCACTGCGCTATTCAACATGATACATTACTTTCAATTTCATAGTCAGAAACATCGTTCAATGCTGGTACATGTAACAGGAAACTAGGTATTCGATTCGCCGGTGTCAATTCCGCGGTTCTTCCTCCTCCTCGAGTCCGTGATTTAGAATATGCTACAGCTGCGTACGAGGCAAAGGATCGACTGCGGAAGGCCTTTGTCAACGAGATTCCAGCATAGCTTGCGCAGAAAAAGCAAAAGTATATTCCCGTTCTTCAACTGATCAACTCAGACGAGGCCTCCATCACGGCGCAACTTGATTCAACAATGCGTTCCACGTCGATGGCCAGGTCCTATCTGACCAATCTGCGCTAATGCCGCGAATGGATGCACGACCGCTGGCTTTCCGCACGGAGAGTGTTAGACGATTGATCATTACCGAAGTGATTCTGTCGGGAAGTGAGGTGAGTAATATTACATGAACGGTACTTGTGGAATAGACTTTACATCATGCTAGGCCTATGTGTCCGCTCGAATCAACCAACCATTATGCACTATAACCACAGATGTGACTCACTGTGTATTCATGAATTTCAAGCCAGGCTAGAATGATGACTCGTTACTACGAGGAAGCAACAGAATAATCACGCCCTCACCCTTTCGTTCAAACTTAGAATCAACCAAACGATGTTTCCTGACAATATTGCGCAGAAATAGATAATACCATCCCTCTGGATCGTCGAGAGCAAGACCGAATTTGCTGGGCGGAATCTAGCTTCTCCAAAGGGCGTTGGAGAGTCGCTTCCGTTAGGCCAAACAGAGCATCCATAATCGACAGTGATGACAAGCGTAGTAAGGAATACTATACTGTCAAATATAATAGAGCACAGGAGATATGCCAGGTCCATTTCCGGGTTCGAATATAATATACACACTGGAGGCTATGAATAATTGGCATTCGTACGATTGCCAATAAAACTCACCATGGAATTGGTCAATAGGTATATTAGGCAAAGGCAAGCCCAGGTTCTGCCCCGGCTGGCTCATCGCATAGATTACAATAACGAACTGAGCCATGATGATGGCCCAGAGAGCGATAGTCAAAGAACGGCGACTGACCAATGCGTTTACGCTAAATTAAATTGGATATGAGAACGGCGGAATAATTAAAAGAGATTGGGTTATCTATGTAGAATGTCATAAGGAAGTCAATTTAAACCTGACTCACCGTATTAACAGTACAATTTCAGCAGGGATAGTAACTAACAGCGTCTGGACCCACTCGACGATGGCGAATCGATTACATCTTCCATATCAAACAATGAGCAACATAACTTCCACTACTTCCAAAAGGGCACATACATCTAAGAGTGTTCAGTCAAAGCTTCTCAAGGGATTCATGGACATACCTCTATGGTCCAAAGAGGAGAAAAATACGCTGTAGCACATGAAATTGAAGTCAATGAGTGCATCCGGCTTGGATATGAGCATTACCGAAAAGGGTTATAACACAAAACCCCATGGGAATGTATCTTGTCTGAAATTATGAATATCAATAGAGCTCTCGTCGTTCACGGGAAGCCCAGCGTACAAGGAGAAACAAGTAGAACACTGTATCAGCACCAGAAGATTAGCATTTTCAACCTGAGGTTCAGATGAAATTTGGGCGTACCATGCCCTTTCCTAACCCCATTCCATATGTACTCGAACTCCTCTTGCCAGGTTAGGATGAAGTCGTAAAAGAGAACAGTACAGCACGCAGTGTAGTACCACTTGAAGGCTTGCCTATGCCGCACAGGAAATGGTGTGTGTTATATTGAAGAGGAAAAGCGGGGTTCATCCCAACTGATCCAACTTACAAATCATGCGCTAGCGGCGTCACATCCTCGAAACCTGTCGTCGTCAGGCTCTCGGCGCCCATGGGCTAGTGGTAACACTAGAGCAGGTACTCGCCCTTGCAGAGGGATAAGACGGGTGTGGTGAGGAAAGAAATGCGAAGCCATATTTAATATCCATGACATTAGTTTCTGCGACCCATGTGTACTTTCATTTCGTTGATAATGAGTACGAGATTAGTACGATCTGTCAAATATTCCGGGAGCAACAAAGGAGCCTACTATAAAGTTTCAGATATCCGGACCCTGGGTATCCCATAAACTGAAAATGAGTTGTTATACTACGGAGTGACCTTGATTCCCCGAGCTTGACGTTGGCAACATTTATGGGAGACTGATTGTCAGTTCAAATTGTCAAATCTGAATCGTGATTATCGGGATCGAGAAGATGATAGTAGGAGGAAAACGGGACTCACACCAGACGAAAAGAGCGGCTTCAAGCAAATGTTCGGATGACGACCTGTGATGAATAGGCATTCTTGAATCTTCAGTTTCCACCTGGTTCCACTGGCTGCATAAGGATAGACTACTCGAAGTGTCAAAGATAGGACACAGCTCCGAATGCCTCTAGCCAAAGCATTGTAGGCATGATGTATGATGTATTGTTGAATGTCCTTCGCAATTGGCATCTGAAAAATGGGTTGCACTGATAACACGAAGGTTTGTACTGTGAAATTCCTTAATTTGCCCCATTATTCTTCGGAATTCAATGGAGTCATCAGTCAAGATGTTGAACAAGATACTCAAGACTTACGGGAGGCGGAAGACACACAATGCCTTCACAGAAGGGACACAGAAACAACGATCGGATGCTAGCGAGGGAACCCTCGAAGTCGCAAACCAGGTTGCAAGACAACCAGTCAGCGGCAACAAGTCGAGTCTGTCTCTTCCGTTGATACAATATTTCCATAATTTCAGTGAAGACGGAGATAGCAGGACCAGTAAGGGCAGAAAAGGTGGAATATTTTAGCATGGCACTGATTTCCACTGTGGATCCCGGTTACGACGAAGGCGAAGGGAGGAGAATAGCCATGGGAAAATAGCACTGTCATCCGTTGGCGAAACGTTGCGTTACTTTGAGGAGCGTATTGTCCTGTACTGGATTAGACTGTACGAGTGGCGCTAACGAAGCATTGGGCGCCTAGTTTCGACACACATCTTTTTCCTGTTCCTCGTCATACTATAGAACTTGAAGCTTGATGGGTTTTCTTGGTTGGCTGAAGGGTCTGCTTGATCCCGTACCGGTCGATTTGCATCACCCATCATCATATCAATACGAGGGTAACACAGATGTGGATGTAGCTCCTCCAGCGTATGCGGCTCCTGCATTTGAGTTATTCGGCCATGAGTCTCGCATCACTTTCCAAGGAACTCCAGGCTTTCCTACGGAACTTGTAACCGGTTCTCCACCATGCTTCGACCTTGACGGCGCCTCTCCTGTGTTTTTTGGGTGCGTTCGGAACCACTCTATTCTCACTAGTCATTTAATTTTGGAATAGATCTGCCCATTTTGCCGACTCCTCTATTCACCCATGTAAGATTGCACCTGCATTAAATCCAAGTGCCTGTCGCGTTCCCTATGGTGGTAAAGAGCACCATCATGACGGACCATACGCTCTTCTTCCTTTTGATCCAGAGACTATGGAGCTTATTCCCACCTCTGGTGGGCGCATTCCGAATGGAAGAATGCCCATAGTGGGTGGACACGAAAGGGACCATAATGTCAAACTTTACCATGCTGTTGCAACGGTGTATGCCCGTGGTGGTATAGTGAGAGTTCCTGGAAAGACCGCTCCTCATTTGTGGGTTTTGATATCATCATTTGCATATCCGAGTCGGGACCTCACGTACGTATCATTCTAATGAACTTATATCTGGCTGCAACTTCGCTTGGGGTGGGATAGAACGAGTTTTCCGAAGCAATTATGAAATTCTGTGAGTTAAGAGTCACCTCTAGCCATCACGCGCTCTTATCATTTCTAGCTGTTGGAAGGAAGGTCATTCCGACAATGACAACCTTGGAGTAATTAAATCTGGTAGTAATACATCACAGAAGATTTCTTCGAATTTGGGGAAGCGCTAAGTATATTTCGCCTGTGGTAGATTGGCATGACCTTGAGCTTGATCATTGAAGCGTTCTTGATTTATGCTAAGATTTCACTCTTTGTTTACCATGACTACAACTTCCGATGTATCATTAACCAATTCCATCCATGATCATATTTACTGCTACTGCGGCTTTGAATTCGAGCACTGAGTACTATAACTACTATTACCGCATGGTACGAGGGATTTCATCCCCACGTGGCATGTCAAAGCTGAATATCGCGGTCAATATTCTGTTCGATTATTTGAACCAGCACTATCCAGTTGCAGCAGACATGAATCCCGTACCTGACTCTATCGAATTCAAACCCTCCTCAAGTAAAGCCATTGTCTCTTTATTTATTGGCTTGGAGCTCTCTGGCGCTATCGGGATGGCAGTCATCCTCTTCACTGCAATCTTTTCGCATCAAGTCAAGCGCTTGGCGACGTGGTATACGTTCTGCGCTTCTTGGACTATCTCGTGTCTTTCATACTCCCTGCTTTTCTTTGCTGGTGAAATAAACTCGCCTGAGCCAAGAAAATCAATCTGTGTTCTTCAAGCGGCATTGATGTATTCTGTTCCTACTCTGTACGTTCATTGCAATAGGGTATTGTTCAACCTAGAAACTCACTGGACACAAATTAGGACGGCTGCGAGCACCCTGGCTCTTCTTGTGCACGTATGTCATCGCTATCAAGTTTCAATCTTACATCAACTGACGCACTCTTCTCTTCAGTCATGGTACAATGTTCACTTCGGCCTATCGAAACCTCCTCTAGAGTCAAATCCACGCGTCATCATGACTGTAGGTCACCAATTACCTTGTTTAGGATATTGCCGTTTCATCCAAACTCAATACTAATCAGATGCTCTCTGCGCCATTTCTTTTGTGGACCTTACTGCTGATCGGCTTCCTCTCGGTGCGCATACCCTAATTTTACACTTGCCTCTTCTGATCAGGTACCATGTACATAGTTGGGTATCAAGAGCCCGTCGTTAGTGCATAACTTTGGTCTCTACTGCACCTTCATGCAAATTCTGCCGTGAGCAAGCTCGGATGGAGCTTCTGAAATGTTAATAGTTGCTGACATTTACTCTTTGTAGAGCTAAAATTTCATCCTTATTCGTCATCATAACCACTTTCTCTACTATCCCTATTCAAGGTGAATTTATGCGCATATATTCGCATGACTGATTCAAAATTTATTCATGCAGTATCCCTGGGGATCTCGTTATGCAGGAACTTTGACCGTAGCTCCAGCAGCAGCACAATATCTGTCCAAACTCTCAAGATGGTGGTTCGCGTGTTCACGTTTAGCTTTCTCATCCTTATTGGATTTGTGTACGTGTTGTCAATGAGTTCATGCTTCCAAGTGTTCCCCTGATAGTATCCCCAGCGAAGGACTCATACACCTTCTGACACTGTATCGCAACAGTGCAGTGGATATGATCATGGCTCTCTGTGAGATAAGTTTTTGAATCAACAGCTCTTGAACTAAAATCCCCTCTAGTGCCCGTATCCGGTGTACTGATATTCGGGATTCAAAACGTAGGTAGCCTTTTCTTGAACATTGAATCTCGAACTATGCGCCTCATTTCAAGTCATATTGTGCTTAAAGATGTCTTTAGGATCTTTTCCAATCGTGGCTTGCTTGGACTGGATTACCTTTTTGTTCTCGAAGGACGAAAATGGTAGATATTGCACACACTGCACCGACTTCTAAGAAATAAACCTAACCAGATCGGATCGAAAATCTTGCAACCGTAATCTCCACACATCTGGGGCAATTCTTTTCCTTCTACTCCTCTCGTCATCCTCGCAATGATATTTCCCATGCAACTGCAATACTGATGAAACGAGCAGTTGCACTGTCTGTGACAGTCTGGTCACGAACGGTTCTGAGTATAGCACCCTGTACGGAAGTGCCAAAAGATGGCAAAAAGCATACACACTAGATTAGACTGAAAGCGGTATATAGATATAAATCCAGTCAATTGAGTATAAAGTAATACAGGGCTCGAAAATTCGTTCGAGCGCATCCGGACTTGAAGACCCGCGTTTTGAAAGTGCTTTTCGGAGATTGGTAGCTCAAGAGCTCGAGTGCCCCAGTCCAGCCCAGTCCAAGCATGTGAGACGCGGGCGAGATTCGGGCGATATCAGTTACAAAGTGTTGGCTAGTACGAATGTCACTGAGTCAGACGCGCTGTGACATCCTCACGTGTCCTAGTGACCCTCAGGCGCTTAAGGCCTTGGAGGTTACTTGACGCGTAATTTTGGGTCGCACTCGGACGAGGGAGGGGAGGAAGATAAAACAGTCCTCAGGTGCGCTTACTATTATAGCTCCAATGGGAAATTCTCAAACTTGTGCATCAGGCAAATTCGACATTTACTCCAGTTGGTTATGAAAAAGGGCATCGAACTCCAGCCACGACTTCAGTCTTTACTTACGTCGAACGAACCTCCTTTTGACTCGGATGTACCTACCGTCACTGGAATGCTCCAAGAGCGACTGGCTCACATCTTCGAGCTGGAGCAACAACTGGTTAAAATGCGTATAGAAGCACACGTGTACGAATCCCTTCTTTCAGGCATGCGAAGACTTCCACCCGAACTCTTGACTGAGATATTTGTCCATTATACGGCTCCAATTCGGCAGCGCGACTATCGTCTTTCCATTTACTCTTGCTATCCTAGAGCAAATGCTCCACATCAATCATCCCCCATGGTCCTCAGTCATGTCTGCAGAAAATGGCGCCTTGTAGCACTATCTACTCCACTGTTGTGGACTGCTATCTCGATTCCTCATAGGACTCCTCTTGGATGTATCAACTATGCTAGTCTAGTCCAACGGTGTCTCACCAATTCCCAAATATCACCATTGTACATCACCCTTTCGGTTCTCAGCTCCGCTCAGATGCAACATCGTTCTCCTGCAGCCAAAGGTCTCAGGAATGCGGGTGCGTTAGAAACGCTGGACAAGTTCATGCCGGAGATATACAGATGGCGATATCTCCATTTCGATATCTTGACCAGCCAAACTATGTTATTGGAACGCAATTTCCCTCCTATACCACCTACCGGGGCGCCCAACATGTACAAAATATTCTTCCGCGCATTTTCGGCGGACTTGGACTCTCCTGAGGTCCTGTGGGCGTTGGAGCTCATACGCGCATCCCCCAACCTTCATAAAATCACGTTCCTCGCACCGATATTGAATCTTGGGGCGGCGTCTTGGATACATTTACAGTACTTCGAATCGAGACGTGGAATGCGATTAAGCGATTTGTTTTTGATATTCATTGGATGTCCATCTCTTCGAAGTTGTATTGCTTGCTTTGAGCTCGAGGAGGAAGGTCCTTCTCTCCCATCGTTTGGAGAGTCAGACCCGCTTATTCAATCATCCCATTTGCACACACTGCAGCTTACCCATCTTCGGCATGCAGAACTGTTAGCAATCTTGCAATGGCTCACGCTACCTTCCCTTACTGATCTCACCCTTGCTGGACACCATGTGTCGGATACATGGCCTAGCGAGCTCTTTCAATCTTTTCTCGTGAGATCTGCATGCAAACTGAGCACCTTGTCGTTATCCCGCTTTTCCTACTCGGACACCAATATCATGGATCATCTTCGACTCCCGAACATTCACGACACGTTGGAACACTTGGAGCTCGACAAATGGAAGACCCCCATATCCCCAGAGCTGTTAAATTTTCTCACCTTCAGATTTACCTCCGACTCACCCGTCAACTTCTTGGTTCTTCCAAAACTGATTGATGTTACATTCGCTATTCATGCCATTGTTCAAGCTGTCCGCTTGCGAGAGTTCTTTCTTTCTCGGTGGTATGAGCGTAGTCGCAATCATGCTCCCTTTCCGGTTGCAGCTTTACAAAGAATGTCCATTGTCCTTCTAGTTCCGTATTTGCCCAACGCGACGGTGTCTGGAGAACAGATACGGCGCGTATTCAGTAGAATCGAAGAGGCCGTTGACATCGACCTGGAGACTTGCGTGGTTGACGGTGGAACGGACTACCCGGAGATTGACAAACTGGGTGACTGGGATGAGATATAATTTCTATGGTTATCGGGAAATCTAGTTCACTTTGATAATTATTAGTTATGTAATTAGTTAGGTATTGCTGTTTCGATAGTAGCTGAAGCTGATACGGAATATAAAGGGAACACACAAGGATTTACCGAAATTTTACTAGCGATGATGAGAGCTCTCAGATGGCGGAGCCAGAGTTTAATATACACATTTCTCTCAAATCCGAAGTTTCAAAAAGGCAATGATCAAATCTGTAGAGTACATATAGTAGATGAGTATGTACTAAGTAATAGATAAGTATGACAGACAGTACATGATAAATGTGGTACCAGGACAAGGAGAGATAGTACATTCTGTAAGCAGGAGAACCCAATATAGTATCGTAATAACATAGTAGAGGTGCAATGCGTAAAGAACATAGAGGATAGAAAGACATGAGCATCGTATAGAGGCACTATTATTATGAAGAGTCGCAATCATCTAGGTAGATGGTTCCAGTGAGAAATTCACGGAAAAACAAACAAAGAAACAGAAAGCACGATCGAAGCTCAAGACTAACGCGAAACCGAAAAGAATGTATGAGATACACACAGATGAAGAGACAGATAAGAGAAATACAAGTATCCGGAGAAACAGCCGCGAGAACAGTGAACGTAAAACAAATCCTCACTTAGACCCCTTTTTTCCTCCGACCTTCCTTTTGCCACCTCCTCCTCGCCCAGTATTAAGCTGTAAACTGTTGCCACGTTTTAATAGCAGCTGTTCCTGCAGTTTCACCGCGCTATATTTGAGCACCTCTTCTTCTCTCGCTTTATGTGATTCGGAATAGTGGGCGAAAATCTCGGTAAAGGAGGGAGAAGAAGTTGGAAATGATTTCGGCTTAGTCAGGTTGGTGGCGGAGGATGCCCTGAAGAAGTCAAATGTAAATTCAAAACTGAACGAATGTAACAGGACTACTACTCACCGGCATTCGCGACAAACGTATTCTCCTCCAATGGTTTCATATAACAGATCGATATGTTTAAACGATAGCTGCTTTATAGGCGCAACACCCGGGCCAGAGGTGTTCTGATCAGTTTGATCCTGACCATGGCCATTGCTGATCGGGGGAGCAGTAGCCCAGGACTTCCAAGTCCCACTACCATTTGTGTCTATAGTGCTTGTATACCAGCCGTCCGATCCAGAGCGTCCAGGATACGAGTTGGAAGCATTCCTCCATCCGTCAGAACGAGCCTTTTCGTTTGTGCGTTGTTTAGAAGTATCAACAGGTTCGAAGAAAGGTTTCTTAGGCAGTCCTGGGTGAAGTTGTATGGCAGAGTCAACAGGTTTCATAGGAAGACCAGGGTAAGGTTGTACGGGATGTGCATGAGAAGGGGTGATGAGAATACGTTTTGAACTGGGTTTTGCGTTGGTGGGGGTATCAAGGTTTTCGTGTGAATCAGTTGGAGGAGCGGTAGAATGATGACCTTGATGGCTCTGTTCCACCGTTGACTTAGGGTTCGGTTGAGAAAGAGGCGCCGGCGCGACGGGAGATGACGGTGACACGGGTGAAATAGACATCGGAATGGCTGATTGAGGTGGTGTAGTTGATCGTTGAGATAATCTATGCATGCCGTTCATATGAGAAGTACTCCCTTGAGTTTTCACAGATGGATAAGCATAGGAAGGGGTATGCAATTGGGGATAGGAGAGCTCGCCATATCTCTCCATGCGTCCGTCCCTCCGCCGTTCTACAAACATCCCATTACGACTGTCAAAATCCACAGGCGAAGCCACGACTTGTCCATCCCTCATCACCTTCACCAGCTTGTGTGGTTGTGGATGTGAATGGTCAATATCCCGTGGATAGAGATGTTCCGATGCCGATGAGGAGAGATCGCGCTCATCGTTGCCATTACCTTTCCGTTTCAGATGATTAATACTATTTCTGCTTAAATAACCGTTTGCAATTCCAGAATCGTAGGGCGTGATATGAGTGCCATGGAGACGCGGCGAACTATTAGGAGAGCTAGCGTATGTTCTCCGGTGCTCGACCGAAGTTGCAAGCCAAGGGCGAGACGATGACGATGACGAATCGGGATGAACGTGAACGGAGCCCCTTTGGCGCTGATCATGGTGACTATTATTGCCATACGGTGTGATGGCGAAGGGGGAAGGCGACAAGAGCCTATGAATTGAATCTGGTCGCTGAGGGTTTTCTACAATTCTGGCGCTTTCTCGTTCTTCGCCCTCCTCGACTTCGTCACTTAGATCTACTTTGGTCATTTCTTGGCGATCTTGACCCTCCTTTATCACGCCTATCTCCCTAGTTGCCGCCTCTGTTTTCAATTGCTTCCACTGATTATGCAAAAGCGATGAATTCGACGAGGGAGATAGAGTGACCACCGGTGAAGTCGACATCGGATTTCCCGAATCGGGATTACTGATGGATTTTGTATTGGTAGCCGGATTTTGGTCAAGAACACCCATGTCCAACCGAGGGACACTTCTACTAGATCTTCCTGTCGTGGTTATCTTTTGAGAGCCATCGTGCCCTTGCGCGACAGTAGAAAGGCCACTATTTAGCAGAACTGAAGGTGACGACGGGCGAGGAGATTCTGCCGCAGATTGTGGTCTGGAAGGAGCCTGCGAATATGACGTGGACGCAGGTCGTGAACGGGAGGTAGGAACTTGAAGTATAGATTCGGGGGCTTTTTCTTCGTTACCATACCCCAGGCTCGGACCCCTCGCACTAGTAGGCGAATTGAGATCCTGTCGCAAAAAGTCGGTCTTTTGGTATGGGTTATCGGGCGTTGAAAGAGGCCTGTAAACATCCGAATCTTGTTGCCACTCCTGTGTATCAGACCTTGGTAAAGGTCTGTACTCAGTGAAAGGAGAACGGCTCTCTTTTCGCGCCATCGGTGTCATGACGAGCGTCACCGGCTCAACAGGAAGTAGTAATGGAGATGGAGTTTTGGTAAAAGAATTCACGATTTCCGATTCATCTCTGATGGGAGACGAAGCTTTTGAACCTGCTAGCGATGGTACCTTTGAACCCGTTGGGCACATCACCACAGACGGAGCATTGGACGACGGCCTCAGATAGGCTGAACGGTCATGTCCAGATTCTGGTTCACGATGAAGTGATCCAGAAAGGTCCTCCGCAGACATGACCGACCTAGATCGACGATCTTGACATTCATTCTGAGGATCATTACGAGTTTCAGGAAATTGTCGACTTGTACTGGCAACGGGATGATCCACACGCCGTGGTGGAGATGTAGGCAATGTAGGGCGTACAGGAGGCGAGAATGGTTGCGGGGAGGGCATCGAAGGACCCGTTGGTGGAGGGGATATTGGCAAAACACTATCATCAGCATCGAAGTTCACAACGTCCTGACGATGAGGAGAGCGCCGTAGTTGGGGCGATGGCGGCCGGATGGGAGTAGCGATCTATAGCGTTGGTCAGTATCAAGCAGGTGGCATACATTGTCCATGTTCTCGGATCAAAATGATAAGAACGAATAACAAGACCAGATAGAGAGAAAACGTAGCGAGGGTTGAACTTACCTGAAACTCGTGCTGAGATTGTCCTGAGTCCGTCCTATTCTCTTCCGGTCCTGTCTCTTTAAATGTGTCCGGAGTCTCTTTGCGCACACCGTTCGTTGAATGTCTCTCCAGGTCATACACCTTTCCCCGAAGCTCTTCAACCTCCTTCTCCCTCTCCTTCCTCCCTTTCTTCTCCCTCTTCCTCGCCTCGTCAAGCTCAAACGCTCTCTCTCTCTCGCCCTTCAAGGATTCTTCCGCAATACCCAATTTGATTCTTGCCTTTTCTTCTCGTTCGAGCAAGTCCTCAAATTCCCGTCGAAGAGCAGTGTACGTTGTTTGACAAGAGTCATATGTGGAACGGAGTTCAGTGTGCGTGATTTGAAGATGATTATGGGTAGCGAGGAGAGATGTATGGGTGGCTTGAAGCTGAGAATGTGCATTGAGAAGGGTGTTGTATGATGCACTCAAAGACAGGTGTTCGTTCTGGAGCTTTTGTAGATGCTCTGAGTGAGATCGTGAATGATTTTGCGGATGCGAGCCAGTAGCTAGACCTGCGACCTGCATCTTGAGGTCATCACGCTCCCTCCGAAGTCGGTCGATGAGATCATTCGACGTCTGTTCCGTATCGTGACTCCCATCCTCCTGATCCTCATATTTCCTCCTGCCCTCCTGAAGCTCTATTTGTGAATGAGCTACAGGTTCAGGCACTTCTGGTAGTCTCTGGCTCTCTGCCCTTCTCCGCAATTCATCTATCTGATTTTCGAGATCTCTGGACTTTAGTCGGTACATTTCCCGTTCCCTTCTAATTCTGTCAGCGTCCCTCTGAAAGCTCTCCATCCGCAACTTGTACGCATCGCTTTCTTTCCTCACTCCGTCAACATAATCGGCCCAAACCCTTATTTGACCTGCATGTGCTGTGTGCAGTTTTGCGACCTCCGAATCAACAGAGGTGAGGATGGTGTTCCAGGTATGCTCCAGAGTGCGCTGAGTGGTAGAAAGAATAGCCTGTGTGGCAGTTTGGGCAGTGGCGGCGGTAGAGGCAGAGTTTGACGACGTCGGATGAGCTGGGTGAGAAGGGTACGATGGTATCAAATGGAGTCCTTGTGAGAGTTGAGCAGTCGTGAGAGGGGGGGTGGGTACAAATGGTATTGAAGGCGTGGGGAGAGCATGTTGCGATTGTGCACTGGAAGTAGGAGCGGGATGTGCACGATGTGTTTGACGAGGAGACATATGAGGATGTGTCGCATGCTCATTATTCGCAGAAGATCTTGCGGCATATCCTTCCGAAGGACCCAAACCTGGGAAATTGGGTCCGCCGACGGAGGCTGGAACACGATGCAAAGATACCGGTGAGATGTTTACGCTTTGCGGTGAAGCCGTGAGACCGTTATGGATAATGTGCGAGCCGAGTGCAGATCCTGATGCTCGCCTATGTTGCGTGAAATAACCTATGTTCATTGCATTTTGGAAACCGTTGAACGAGTTTGACGAACCCGAACTTCCTACGAGGTGTTTTCCGGAGCCTGATCCTGAACTACCACTAGCCGGTCCTACTAACACAGCCGGAGCGGTTGCTGGCGGGGGACCATGGGAGGAATGTGGAGTGTTATGAACGACAGAACTAGGTCCTGGTGGTACGTGTGGTATACCGGAACTTGTATTTGGATTTTGAGAGGTGTCCGCTGGAATTCCTGTACTTTAGTGATTCCAGTTATAAGCAGAAATGATATATGGGACTTACTACTCTGATTTCGTATCTGATTTTGGTTCGAAGAGTGATTTTGGTGCGGTGGATGAGGACGAGATATAACGCCAGAAACTGGAATATAAGTAAACTCTGTGGGCGGACCTGTGGGTGCCACTGAAGTCGCTGTTCCCGTTGCAGGACCTTGAGCCAGGTTGTGATTATGTTTCGGTATATTCGTGGCCTGTACGTGACTTGTATTCGCAGTAGTCAGAGGCGGCGAGATAGATACAATGCTCGGCGAGCTTGTCACCGACGCCGACGACGATGGCCGACTGCCTGGCCTCGGCGTTGAAGTTGGGTGTCCTGCAGGATGTGAAGGGCGTATTGGCAATCCGAAATGAGCAGATTGAGAGGGAAGCTGAGAGATTGACTTTGTGCTATTTCCATTATCGTAATTGAAGTTCAATTTCGGAAGATTACTTTGACTTTGTGAAGACTAAAGATATAGATAAGTAATTCAATGACAAAGGAATAGTGGTGGTTGTTGTACTCGCCTGAGGTCGCCTATTATCCTGGAATTCTTGGTCATACATGTCATACCTCAAGTTTTATTATCAGTGCGCGGCCAAAGCTCTCCGAACAGCATGAAGCTGAATGGACACCCGGTATAAGAATGAAAGCAGAAAGCAAAGTGTGTACAATCTGTCACACCGCCGCGTGACATTATTCCGTCGGGCGTTATCCGCTACACGCTCATTCCGTCGTAAATACCTTCATCGCTAATCCAGCTGCACTCCACCTGCAACAGAGATATTTATGCTCTGCGAAAATTCGATGTTATTCCCTCATTCTGCATTTGATCTTCTTTTGATTCAATCAAATTATGCACAGCTATATGTAGTCTCCGACCATTACTCCTAGACAGTAAAAATATACATAAATCTTTACTCAATTCAGAGCAGCAACTTTCAATCCAATCAAATAAGTGCCTCAGCAGCTGATTTTGGAGGGGCAAGTTTTACCCCAGCTACAAGTCTTACTGTCCCAGGTTCTTGAATGCAGTGCGGCGCTCTCGAGCTAGAGAATCAGTTAGGCGGAATAGGTTAGCATAGCATGTTCAATACGGTACCACTAGGTATCAATCAATTCGCGATTCCATTATTGTTATTAACTCGAATTTCTGAACCCGTCGGGCTTCTGGCGAACTTGAAATGGACATTGGAATCGATGTACACAACGTTATATAAGATCATAATTGCGTAGACCCATCCTAACGAAACCCCTGGGACATCCTGTACTTGATCAAGTGCATTCAACGACAGCGATGAAAAAGGACTTCATCACAAAATGCGTCTGTTCACGTCAAGCAACGCAAAAGAACTTAGTATCAGTCATAGGGAGTCTAAGTATATGTACCAAGGATTAGTATATGAAACGCAGAGTAGCAATGCAACCATACTTGAAAGATTTTGTCTCCTTTGTCACCTATGAAGCCTCGAACCCCTCTTTTACGTAGATAAATAGATCCCTCTCCACGGGGAGGGTCCTGCTTATCATAGAAATCTACAATTTCAGCTATGCATTCTTCATCGTCGCGTTCGCCGCATTGCTTGAATGGACCTTTGAAAAAGTATCTTTTCATGATCCCGGTATAATGATGAGTCTGATCTGGATATTCAAATGCCATGTTTTGAATTCGGCCCTCTGTCCAACTCCATGTTTCCCTGGCTGCTCTTCTAATCAGAGCTTCGAGAAGATCTTTATCGCGTTGTTCAAACGGGAACCAATGTTGTCCTTTGAGTTTCCCCTTGTCGATGAACGAAATGTGCACAACTTCACGCGGGTTCATGGGAGGAGGCGAGAACGATTCTGCTTTTACGGCGGGCGATTCTGCTTTTACGGCGGGCGATTCTGCTTTTACGGCGGGCGATTCTGCTTTTACGGCGGGCGATTCTGCTTTTACGGCGGGCGATTCTGCTTTTACGGCGGGCGATTCTGCTTTTACGGCGGGCGATTCTTGCTTTACCGCCTGGGTACCAGGTTCTAATTTGATCTTTTTATTGGGAGGCTCTGAGGGAGAGCCTTCATCGGAACCCGCACGGGCCTAGTAGAATAATCAAACCAGTTTAATTACTTCATGAAGACGTGAAAGCGGAACATACGTTGAATCGAGGTGCAGCATATACAACAGAAAGAAGGGAAAAAAAGGCGACATAAGCCCAGAGGGCGAAACACATCGCGAGTTGGAACGGAAATTGTAGAAAAACTCGAAAGGCAACAACCAAAAAGGCTGCGGAAAAGGGAAGAAAGAAATTGGGAATGATAGAGAGATCGTTGGTGCTTGGGTAGAAAGAACAACAAAAGTGAAGTCGGGGTTTGACTGACCAGCAGTGGTAGAAGGGAATGATGGGAATAAGGGGGGATTCGCACCTTCTAAGCTCTTTTAATGCCACTTGCGAAAATATTAGTACTACCAACAGGAGGAGCTGATGCCACACCCAGTTCCTCATCCCTTCATAGATGCTCCTTAGTAAATTAACGCACCCCGTTGGCGTTCTTCAATTAGTTCAACTTCATGAAATTTGTAAGTTCACACAATGATAAGAAATGATTGATTATTTCAGTGGATAGATATTAAGCAGAGAAGACTTGTGGCACTTACTGGGGAAGTTTGTGTAAGATAGAAATAGCAAGCGGAAAAGCTTAGGGACGATGCGATATGGTGAGGGAGAGGACCCCATCTGAATTAGCTCCAAGCCAAAATCATAGCATACTTCAGGCCACCTGGGTGGGTGGAGTTTTGCAGGTGCTTCCAGGGTCCTTGAGGGATGCTGTTCAGTGCTGTTCAAGGCTGTTTTGGGACAGGTAAAGTGCAGGGTTGGAGTCGGAGTCACTGTTAGATGAGTAAAAGGGCTGCATCCGGATCCCTTTTGTCCCATAAGGCATAAATGTGACCCTGCGCCGCCGTCAGAACAGACAGAGACAACTTTAAAAGGAAATTTTGCAAAGGCACTTGAGGTATGGATGCTCAATGACCATTGCAAGCAAGGTGAGATATATAGAGAAGCTTCTTTTTCGCCGCAAGACTTATCCCTGCTCACCGGCATTTTCTAAGGCTGTTGTACTCTCTCTCTATCCTTTTCTGACTTCATAAGCCCATGTATATAGATCAAACTACTCGAAGTCGGACCCTGTTCAGATACACCAGAAGTATATCGCCGCTTTCTAAGGCATCCATACTGCCCCTCCATTGATCTTCTAAAATATGCCAGACCATCGCAACGATACATACATTCGAAATGAACGACACTGGCCTGATTGTCAATCAGAGTAAGACTACAAAGATCATTGACACTGTGAATTGAGATTTGAATGATTGTAGACCACTTACATCGTAAATTTTCTGATCTTTTTGTTTGCCATTTTGAGTCATTGAATAAATGGATCCAGATACCGTAGGTTGTCCCTCTGCTGAGGAGCCAGGAAACGTGGCTTCACCCAGGCAGTTTTCTAGCTCGCAATCCAAAAAAGGACCCTTGAAAAGGAATCTGAAAATGAGAGGACCATTGAAGTGGATACGGTCGTCAGGATAGTTGAACTTCAGATTTCCGATCTTATCCTCTGTCCATCCCCATTTCTTCATGGCCGCCCGTTTGATCAGCATTTCGATACGACCCTGATCATATTGATTGAGTGTCTGTCTGTTGTTCAGAACACCCCTCAAAGCCCCCTTGACAATGAACGAAATATGGACCTCTGGGCTTTTAGACTGGATGTCAGCATTAGAATGTGTCCTTTTGGGGAGTCGCGAGCCAGACGCTTCGTCAGAACTCGCGCGGGCCTAGTATAGTATACAAGTTAGTATACTACGTGGTATCAGCGTGAAAACGAAACGTACGTTGAAATGAGGTGCTGCATATACGACAGAGACAAAACATAGGGACAAGGCAAGGTAGGCCCAGACGACATTGCAGCGCATCGCGGTCAAAAAGTTTTGCGAGGTGGATTATGAAAGAGGCGGAATGATATATGAATAGGTCGCTGGTTCTTTGAGCCCGCAAAAGACAACAGGAGAGCGTCGGGAGGTTCGGGTAACTGACCAGCAGTATGGGAGGAGAGAGAGAGAGATACACAGATGAGGCGGGAGATAGCATGTGTAACTGATTGTAAATACTTTTTGGAAACGCGGACTGTCCAGATCTACATAAATAAACGCGCAACACATAATCATTGAACCATAACCTCAAGCGCCCAAGCAAAATTTCCTTTCAAAGTTGTCTCTGTCCATTCCGACGGCGGAGCAAGGTCACATTTATGCGTAACAGTGGCGACTCCGACTCCAACCCTCTCCAACCCTGCTGCACTCAAAACAGCCTGGAACAGCCTCCATCAAGGACCCTGCGGCGAAACTAGGCGAAACTCCACCCGCCCAGGTGACCTGAAGTACTTACTTACACTACGATTGAATTCTCCTTTCCAGGGAGTGGCAGCCAGTGGCAGAGGCGCAGTTATTCTTTCGTGCCAGACACGTATTGAACTCTTGCATTCAAGTTTGTTACATTTGTGTTACAAGGATCTTCCGGGTAGTGAAGGGTTCCTTGCTCATGAACAATTGAGATCCGATGAGCCTTAAGCTTTCAAATGTGATATATCTTGATGATAACATTAAACTGTACAGAGGACAGCATACAGCTGCCAGTGGCACACTCACGCAATTTTGTATTGAAAACGGCGACTGTTAGAGAAACGAGAAACTTGGATCTTAATCCAAATCCATCGCCATTTCACCGGGAGGATCGGGGAAGCACAACGCATTCTCCTCTGCACATGCTTCGTCGTCGTCTTCGTTCCAATCACTAAGCGTCTCCCACTCATTGTCAAACTCAATATCAATGCTCAACTCACGATCTCCATCCTCCTTCTCGGTCAAAGGCATGAAAGACGTTAGAGGCGGGGCCTGCATTTCAGTGATAGTATTATGGGTGATAGGTTGTACCCATCTGCGCTCACGTAACCGTTTATGACGCTCCCGATCCTCTTCAATTCGCTTGAAAATTTCTGGCCGGGGGAGTGGTGCGAATGACTTTCGAACAGTTGGAGCGTCGTTATCAAACTCTCCAGAATCAGTGCGGTTATCGAACGAAGAGATGACAGAGTCCAAGATTTGAGGATCAATTACTCGTTTTGACCGCCAAGTTTCGAGAATCTAACAACGGGAAAAGGTTCATGAGTTTTTCGAGTACTTGAATGCGCTGGAAACGTACTTGTTTCGTGCTGACCAGGTTCGGTGATCCTTCTACTCCCGGAGGAACGACGTTTTCGACTATCGTCCCCAAATCCCTCGCCACAAGGTCCACATACATGTTACTCGACGCCTTCTCAGTGTTCCCTATCGCGTTCGCGTGCGTTTTTACCAAGAGACATGTTTCGCATAGTGAGTCAAGGAAATACAGAATGTTGATTCGTGAGTTGATGGAGCCCTGAGATTCAAAAAATCATATTCACTTTCGAATCATCCAGTATCATAGAGAAAGCAGATGATACCTTCTGAGTTTCCTCGACTATGCAGTCCCACAAATCTTCTCCACAGCGAGGGAAGAATTTGACTGCGAACGAGACCACTTTTCTAATAGAATGCTGAGAACTGTGATGAGCGATTTGAGGATTTAGTTGTAGAGAACTTCACCAGCACTCACGCATCCAGCCGTCGCAGTAAAGCCACAAACTGCATACGAACTTCGAAAGGATCCATGATCGTCACGTTGTTTTTGAAGAAGGTATTTTCAGCAGACTTCGAAGTGCGGGATCAAGAGCGGTGATGATCTTGTGATGAGAACGTTCAAGTTGCTACTCGAAATTGTACATAGACAGACATAAAACCCGATATTGTACATATACATAGAGTTGGATGATAGAGAAAGATAGAGTCATAATGCGTTCTAAACAGATGAATAACTATGCGGGTTATATATACTGTATATATGTATGTGAATGAATATTGTAATGCAAAGAATGAAAAAAATACAACATAGTGAACATGTGCATATCCAGCTTAGAAGGTTTTCAAAGGACGTATTCATATCGTGGAGGTTTCATTGGACGGGACGTTTGCTTTCAACAACTTCTGGAGACGGAATACCTGATCTAACGACAATCCAGCGACATCTGAGTACGCCACCGGATGCTGAGAGGTACAATGGTTCATGAGAACATCCAAATCTACTTGACGAGCATACATGAGTGGTAAAGGGGATGAGCAACGCCAGCGTGTATGAGGTTTTCTGGAGCTATAAAATTCACTGAGTACGCTAGACAGATCTAGGGTGACCACGAGAATTGCGCACCAGCAAGCTCGACAATAGATGATTCCGTCGTAATTGAAATACATGCGATTGAGGTCTTGAAGGTTCAGGCGTGGTATATCGAGTTTGAAGGATGATGTGATTGCTTTCTGCTGGACAGCAGTAAAGGATGCGGCTGTACGATCCCCTTGAACGAGAGATTCCGAGGGGATACGGACTTCTTCCACAGTCTCCTCGTTAAATAGGAGCTTCTTTCCGACAAGGCCCAGGCTGGGCGTGGGCGATTCTCTACCGAAATCCATTTCGCTGTTCGAATCGTCTTCCGAAATATCCATATCACATTCCCCTTCACTGTCATCGGAGTTGGTCTCATTGGACAACCGCCGAGTCATGTCAATAGTAGAAGGGTCTCGCGATGAACGCGAAGGAGCTCTACCTTCGAACAACGAATCATCCAGGAATGTTTCGAAGGCAGTCACACAAGAGCTGTGGGAAGAGAGAGAATCTGTAGATAGTCGCCTTCTTTTCGAAGAGGACGAACTGCAAACAGACCCTTGGTCGGAACCGGTGGGCGAAGGGGGTCGAGAGGGCCGGCTAGAATGGGACGGCAATGCTAAGTTTGAGACCGGTGTCTTAAACGAAGATGCAAGAGGTTTCGAGGGGGGGTCAGGAGATGAAGAGGTTAAATGGATATCAGTAGGGAAAAACATCTGACACCCCGAGATGGGAGGAGGCGGCGGCGAAGGTGAAACAGAGGATTCGTTTGGATATACAAGACTGCACCAGTCATCTGTTTCAACTGGGCTAACATTCAAAAGATGTCGATTTACAGTATTTGATGACGGAAAAGTGCCAGACGCTGGAGGAGTCGGAAGCTGTATGTTACCGGAATACCCGTTGTAATCTCCTTCAGCATCGTCCTCTCGGGGTCGCTTCTCTGCTTTACCGGCTTCAATAACTGAATACGACGCAGACGCACATTTGAGTTCGAGGTCCCGAGCGCGCTCTAATGCAATATCTCGCTCTCGTTGCATTTTTAATAAGTGTGTTCTCATAACTTCTTTGTCCTTTCTTTCTTTGTACAGCGCAGTGTTCCATGCTGATTGGAGATGTGTTAATCCAGAATATAAATTCTGCACCGTGAAATCGAAGAAAGATTTGAGTGGTGAGGGTAACGGCTGTGGCCGCGGTTGGACCTGGGATATGCTGGCCTTGGAAGATAGCAAATTTCCGGGCTGTGGTTGGGTCGCCCTCGCAGTTGGTGAAAGTTTGACACTATGATGAGGATTTGTCCTCGGAAGATACGTATGATTAGTCCCCTCATGAAAGTTGGCAGTCGGCGAGATTTGAGGTAATAAAGGACCAAAGCGCATTGAGTCTGGAGGAATGTGAGGATTCTGTTTGTCTGCGAACAATGACCTCTGAATAGGCCTTCGAGGAGGAAAATATGGGTAGGGTCTAGACGTTTCGTGCATAGAACGAGAACCAGAGGAATATGGAGAGGAAGAATAAGAAGGCTTCATGTCGATGGCGATGAAATCGGTAGAAGGCTGCACGAAGAGAATGAGCGTCAACTAATGAAAGGTGAAGGGAAAGTCGTGCCTGAACAGAATTGAATGCTTCCTTGGAGGCAGCTGGGTGAATGTGCTATCAGATCAACAAGTTAGATTCACAGAACAATGTCCTGCTTAAAACTCACTGCTATCGGTCGTTTTTGCGATTTTTGGAGGCTATCGGGACGTTTAGCGGAACCATTTGTCTGACACCATGGTTATTAATCTTCTACCAATGTATAAAGGACATGCAACGACAAACCTGCAAAGTAGTTGCCGAAAACAGATGGTCATTCATTGTGTAGTATTGCGTTTAAGATATGGTGCAACCAGCCAGCGGTTGAAGCAAGGTGAGACTAGGACTCCGAAGGGCTGCAGGTCAAAGAGCACTCTTTAATGGAGAAGGATATTTACATACGCGCACCTGTACCATTCCAAAAGACAATTAGTGCCACATGTCTCCTGAGATAAAAGACAATAAAACAATAGGCTAATCACTTCCGAAGCCTTCTTGACTCTTGAGCAATACGAAAACTTCAAAGCATCGCCGAGTCCCAGACAATTAGCTCACATGAAGCAGCTGAAGGCTAAAGACAAAAAGACTTTGGTGACGGGCGACTGATAAGCAGTGAGCGATCCAGGATTCAATTGAGTAAGTACTGTAGATGGATGTATTTGCCAACTGCCTTATCCGGCAGACCTTCGAAGTCACAAAATCGATAATCATTCGTAGACTGGGAAAAAGTTAGAGTCGGGATCACCATATACAGAGTGCCGAATAGCAGTTGCCGTTTCAGCCGACAGAAATTCGAGCTCCGATGTCCGCTCTTTCGGCTGTACCCAGACTCTTTTCTGCTACAGCCGTGCATGACAATGCCAATCGAGCCTGGCGACAACTCTCAAACACAGTTTCCATATTCGTCATATAACAACTTGATACCCTCTCAATCAACGCCGCCCAACTTTTTGTCAACTTTCAGTGACAATGCGAATACTCTTCCTGATGTTTCTCCGTCAAGTACCTTCGAAAACGAAACGCCAGCATCGGAAGTAGGCGAACGACAGACCTGCTCTGTTCGTAGATGTCTTCAGCTGCTCCCTCCAGATTCGACAAAGAAGATGTGTGAAAATTGTCGACTGAATCACCGTCGTTATTCCAGAGACAAACGCCTGAAAAGGAAATTGGAAAAGGCAGCTCTGATAAAGAAAATCCTGTCCAAAGATGGTCAAGGAGCGCCTTCGGAAGGATCCGGAGTGGGCCACTGCGCTACTGATGATGCCGAACCAAGCATTAGAGAAGAACAATCCGAGACTGGATTTCCTTCCGCGTCGCCAACAGTTATATCGCAGGTTCCTATCATACTTGACCCGCGCATTCTTGCACCTCAGTCCTTTCCTAGCTCGTCTTCCGCTCTTGCAGGTGCTTTGGGCCCACCTTCTTTTGATGTAAATCCTTCCGAGCACCCCGCCCCTCTGAATGATATTCACGACATTCCTCCAACACCCGGTGTCAATGATTCTGTTCCAGAACCAATGTTAGCTACCAATGAAGGATTTGATACCTCTCGATGCTGCTCTGTCAAAGGATGCACATTTGTTCTCTCTCGTAAGTCGTATCTCCCGAGTTGTGGTAAATATGCTTTCAGTTAACCTTCCCGATCTACAGCGGACTATTCCTTCAAGATGTGTATTCAATGTAGAAACCGTTCAAAACAACAAAATGTATCGAATCGGCGAAAATGGAAAGCAGAAGGATTGGCATCCGACCAGGGAGTCAAAGTGCTCCGGGCTCATGAGGACGAGAGAAGGAAACTGCATGGATTACCTGTTCGTATGCTCATCATCTACTCCCTTTTTTTGTACTCATCAGTGCTATAAATCTTCGCTCAGCCTTTAGATGGCTCGCCGAACGAATTGCGAACTTGGGAGCAATCTGTTGTTGACGGAAAAGTCCAACTCCCACTTCCGTATGTTACAATGCTTGTCGGAGCCGCAGCTGATCCCACCAATAATCCTCAACTCCCTACTTCTCTAGCGGATGATCATGTTACGGGTATTTTGTCCGAGGGGCCAAGCGATACATCTGATCCACTCTTAGATTCTTCGTCGCTCGGTGTTGCTCTCAACAAACAAACAATGCTCATCCCTCCGGCTGATATGGTTGTCAGCTCTTCCACCCCTCTTCCGCCACACATGTGCACTGTATCTCATTGTCGTACTGTCCTGCCTGGGACGTATTTGTACAAACGATGCGAGAAGCACCGCGTGCAGAACAGGATGCATGGGAGGTTACGAGTGGAGAGGGAGAAGTCAGGATTGCTTCCCGGCAAAGGTTTGAATCACGCTACTGCTCATGGTTCAGAAGGGGGTATTGCAGGCGAAACTACTGTTGATGACCGCGACCAAGCCACAGATGACGATGACGGGGACAGTGATAATGACCAAATAGACGAAGATGGACTGGATCAACAATTAGAAACCGAGGATGTTGCAAGCATTAATGGCTACAACCACAACACGGACAACGGAGACATATTGGACACAGAACGAAGGGTCAGGCAGCATGCTAGTAAACTTATGATGGCCAAGATTGCAGCGGATAGAAGGCGGGAGAAGAACAGAGCTAGAAGACATAAGCATGAAGCTAAGAAGGTATTGACTGGAAAAGCCCCAACCAAGCGCAAAACTGCAACATCGCGAGCGAAATTTGACGTCAAAGAAAAAGATAACTCAAATGTTCTAACCCCTAGAATCGCGGTCAGCGTCTCCGTCTCCGCAGAACCTTGCACCGTTGAGGAGGTCCCAAATAAGTCCAAGGAAGTTTTACAATTGGAAGTCGACGTTGCAAAAACAAGTGAGATGGTTGATTCTTCAAATGACGATGCATGTACCAAGCCTTCAGCGGTAAGTTTTATATCGAATTTTGTTGGGAGCTGACCTCGATGAACCTTAGAATAAGAAACGTAAACTGTCCACATGCATGGAAAAAGGATGCATGAATCTTCTTAATCCGCATCAAAGATGGCGGATGTGCCAATCATGTCGTCCCTCTCGAGCAAGCCTTCGACGGGAACTTGTCCTGAACATGATAAGTAGTAGTTCAGCAGGACACAACGAAGAATCTTCGACAGCCTCTGAAGTTAGTGTTGACAAGGTTGAGACCACGGACGCTGCATCAAAAAACAGTGCTGATAAGATCAACTCTCCTACTCACACTGCTACCTCAGTTCCTCGAGACACCGCTGTATACCCATACCCGTATCCATCATATCACTATACGACCTATCCACATCACTACACACACACAAACACCTCTGCTATGTCGTCTTTGGTTGTCGCACCGACAACTGTGCCATATTCAAATCCGTACATGTACCCTTACCCGTACGGGTACCATCACACAAGTGTCTCTTCACCTTCTTCCTTCGCCACATCCTCACTTCCGTTTATCATCTCCCCCGTCCCTGTTACCGCTTCTGCTACCTCTGTTTCTGCATCCGCCTCTTCAACAAAGAAAAAACGGAGAAAAGTTAAGAAGGAAGGCCTCGCTCCTGCAGAAGCGGTGGCTAGCCCTTCCTCTCAGGTAGTCGACAACGACAGACAGGATGCACTTTCAGACGCCACTACAGGCACGGAAACGGAAGCCATGAGCGGGGAGCCTCAGGCTGGCTCGCAAACTAGCGATCGTAGGATGGATGTTGACACAAACAATACTTCTTCTTCCCAAGCTGTCTGCGAATCATCGATAGTCGATCCTTCAGAACATACAGCACCTTCAGATGATTTCGCATTTCCAGGTAGTCTTTCGCGTCCTATACCGAGTCATCCCCCCGCTACCCCACTACCAGAACTCCTTGACAATCCAACCAAGTTTATAATGGTTGATGGACGTACGTTGGCTTCGAAATCGTCTTCCATCAAAACTGCAGCACGAACAGATCCGAGTAATGCTCATTCCCGGAATAGTTCCTCGCAGAGTCAAGCATTCCTTACTTGTATGAATAAGTTTTCTGTCAGTCCCCAACCAAACTCTCCTCTCATGATGAACAAGGGTAATTCTGATCTTGCCTCCACCGGCAATGGTAACACATTGGGTGTTTTCTCGGTCGCAAGTATGGGTGCTGCTCCTGCTTCGAGTTATGGGATATTCAAAATCTCCGCACCATCGGCTCCCGCTACCTCTCAAGCTCAAGCTGGAGAATTGTCGACTACCGATCTAGGAATGAGCGTTGCCTCAGATTTAGTTCCGAGTGTGGAGGTGACGCCTGTTGAAGATTCGAGGAAAAGAAATCATTCAGAGGTCGAGTCTGAAGTCGGTCCAAATAACTCTAGCATCGGAGGACAAGCGAAAGACACGGAACAAGTAGATCAACATCCGCCCCCGCGGCGGAAAAGGCCCAGTCGAGCGAAGAAACAGGAGAAGCTCGAGCCCGAAGAAGCCACGACCCACAATACCTACTCTGGCTATATACCTCCTAGTTACATGTACTCCTCCAACCACATGCACCCATCGAGATATTATGCTGGTTATGTTTCTACCCCTCCCAATCCTTCCGCCCAAACGGCAACTACGTATATACCGTTGAACTCAAGCCCGGCTTCTGCATCGACATCGCCATCCAACTTGCCGACCCCAGCGACACCGCATGCTGCGCCTACTTATGCATATTATCCTCCACATTCATACATGCAGGCGCCTGGCTACCATGACCCATATATCATTTCTTCACCTTCTTCGTATCCTCCGCCATATACATACCCGTATAGTGGCTTATATACCTATCCCTCACATGCGAGTTATACTGGTTACGGTGCTTCTGCTTATCCCGGCTATCCAGCATACCCCTCGCAGAGCACAGAATACTGTATGCCCGATATCCCGCTTGGATCCAACCCCTCAAAGTCTAAATCAAAGTATGCAGAGGTTTTGGAAACCAGAGCATCGATGAAGAGTAAAGAGAAAGTTGGGAAGGGAAATAAACCTCTCTCTGGTGAGGGTATAGCGCCTGCAAGTGATGATGTTCCGGAGAACGAAGTAGAAGCAAAGACATTGCAAATAGAGACACGATCAGGCCCCCCTGTGACCTCGTCTGCGATATCAGAAGTCAGTCATATTATAATTGCTTTCTGCTTTCTGATAATCTGATCCCCTTTGTCCAAAAATTTTTGCAGCGTATCTGCCACACTAAATCATGTCGGCGTGCAATCCCGCAAGATGTTAGTGGGAATTTGTGTTCATATTGTCGAGCCCGGTTCAAGAAACACCAACTGAGAGCGAAGCAAAGGTTCAAACTAGAACCTCGAAAAGTGGTTGTGGGTGTGCTCCCCAAGCCGAATAAAGGTTCTTCCGATGAAGATGAAGATGGCATTAAGATAATATAAACATCACAATAGTTCAAGTGTACGATTCTTATACTATGTACATTGATCAAATTGTACGTTTGTGCTGAATAGTGTTTGAACAAGCAACCAGTTACTAGTTCGAAACCGATATCATTCTTTAGTTATGCGCCCCATGATCTCCACTCGCGAGAAAATTCAACCAACCAGAATTTGATCCCACCAACCACATTAATGAGTGTACCAGCCTCGTACGATTTCTCATGTCTCCTGCGTTTGATCCCAAGAAAGACCTCGTCGAGCTCAAAGGCAAAGTTATAATCGTTACTGGCGCAAAGTAAGCTGCATCAAATTTTCTGTGTCTCATTTCATTTGAATACTCACTCATTGTATCCTTCGTTTGTCCCTCCCAGTCGACAATCTGGACTAGGCTACTCGACTGTCAAACACCTTGTGCGCGAGGGAGCGAAAGTTTACAGTGCCGCGAGGAATGAACAACAGTCATTGGAGTCCATCGAGAAACTCAAAGAGGATCTCCGTCTCGGTCAAGATGGTCCTGGAAGTGATGGTCAAGTGCATTTCTTGAAGCTCGACCTTGGGGATCCCAGGAATGTGAAGAAAGTTGCAGAAGATTTCATGGCCAAGGAGAGTCGGTTAGATGTGCTAGTGAACAATGCGGCCATGTGAGTGATACAGGCTGTGCATTGTAGATTGTTCGAAAATATTGAGTGAATCTGGATCAACAGGGTTATGGCGCCGTTCGAGAAGACCAGCGATGGCAGTCTTTCCGTTCCTTGGACGAAGTTTTAATATTTACCTATAATCCCACAGGCATCTCGAAAGTTGTGGTCACGAAGTACGTTTTCTTCTATGGATTTCCTGGTACAGTCTGAAGGATATCGCCAGCTTAATCAGTCCTTTCGTATTCACACAAACTCTGCTGCCACTCTTGACCAAGACTGCGCAAGAAGAAGATTCTGACGTCCGCATTATCAATGTGGGTTTTGTTTATATATTCTCCTCTCTCTCTTGCTCAGCATACTCTTCCCTAGGTCTCTTCAATTACACATTACATCGTACCCAGCATCAAGAAGCTAGAGACGGTCGAAGATTTGAACCAGGAATTTCATGGGCGTCCTGTGGCGAAGTTTTTTCGCTATGGTTCGTTTACTTACCGGTCTGCGGAATTACATCCCCCCTGAAAAGCCTCTATAGCTCATACAAAATTGCTCATCATCATCTGGGCTCGTGCGCTACATAAACATCTCAACTCTTTATCTTCCATTACTCCTGGAGCCTCACGAATAACAGTCATGTCTCTCAATCCCGGAAATATCGACACGTTCAGCAATCGTTGGCCGCTACCATGGCTATGGCGGCCTCTCGTCCGCATGTTGATGACTGCACCGAATGTAGATGTTGGAGTATACCCAATGGTATTTGCTGCTGCCGGTAAGACGATACACGAAGATAGAGAAAAGTATACCGGGGCTTATATGAGTGAGAAGAGAGATGTTGTGGACCCGAGTAGCAACGCAAGGAGTGACAAATTAGCTGAAGAATTGTGGACCTTGTTGCAAAAGATAATGAAAGATATGGCACTTTGAAGTCGATAGGGATGAAATTTTGTCTTCTTTCGCATTAGCGCGTCAACAACCCCCCCAGTGCTTACAGCACTCGCAGTCCATTCACTAGTAGCACCCTTCTCTAAATTTGCTACGATGCTCAGGCTCTATACATATGTAGAGGATTGCATGCTACTCAATATAGAATGAGCAGTCGCAGTTATTTGTACCCCAGTGCAACTTTTCGAGCTCAAAATGCCTCCGCAATCACCATTTGGAAAATGAACGCAGTAAAATACAATTACAATAATAAACTACTAGAGTAATAGCAATATTATCAGAATTCTAAGGCAGTCCGAAACTAATTCGTAAATGTCACCAAAACCGCCTGCGTCGCGAGGAGATCAATTCCAATGGATATATCATAACGTTCCACGGAGTGGTTTCCGCTCACTCGTGCGTCGGAGGTTTCGTATGTCTGACCACCCCAAGTCAGTCCACTGGTGTCATCCGCATAGCTGAGTGGGTTTCAAGTCAAAAGTAGGTTTTTGATAGTGAGAATCGGAATTCAAAGCTTCAGCTCGAGAACAAAAAGGTGAACGTACCCTATCTCCAAACGCTTCACGGTCATTTCAGAAGGCGCATTCCCAGTGTTAGTCCCATTCACAAAATCCAAGTCAAGATGAACACTCGTTCGCTCGGTGGTCGTATTAGTGAAATATCCCTCCGAATTAATGAACAGCGCCTTGGATACCTCCCCTTTGCTTGTGTAAAAAGCGTATCCAGAGACGGTGGTACTGTTCAAAGATATTTCCGCAACTGAGACGTTGCCCTTTTTGCCTATAGCCTCCGCGATGATGATGGCGGCGTAGTACAAGGGTTGTACGTGAGGTGGGAGAGGTTCATCCAGAGTAGTTCCATCAATGATAGAGATGTTGAGTGTGACAGGTTGGATCTTTTTGATATGTCAATCTCAGAAGAACGACACAGTCAGATGGGACATACAAAGTTGTATCTGTATCCGACACCCTCGTGGAAGAAGAGTCTGTCGACGCTTAGTTGTGAACTGAAAAGGATAACATATCGGCCATAGCATCAAACGATAGTGAGGAAGGCGCACGCGAAGAAGACATAATCCAAAGCCCACAATACGGCCCCTAGGAGTTTCGTTAGCCATTTGCATTGTGCAAAGTTTATATCTGCGCACCAGCTGAATTGGAGATACCCGGAGCGCCCTGAAAAACGGTAAACGATATGACAGACTCAAGGTAGCGAGAGTTTCCGCTTACATGACGCGCATAACTGTTTGTTTCTATACGCCTTTACCACTGCGATATCGGCGGTGAATGCAGACATATTACCACGGATATACTCTTTTGTCATGAGGTCTTGGAGACAGTTAGAAATGGTGCCGCAAGAGGTGGCGACGCCGTTGTACAGGTGTTGGGAGTAGCTTCCAGAGGCAGAAAAGTTTAGGTGAGATGGTAGTAACACGAAGGAACAAACCTACGTATCAATTTGCATCCCCGCAGATGAAGACAACAATACATTGTCAAAAAGCTGTTGTGGAGTCCAATCGCTGGTGGAGTGGTTCGCGGAAGCAAAAGAACCTCCCCAAAACTTGATAGTGTTGTCCTCATTTATTGGCACGACAGCAGACACATTGGCTACCAGAGTGGTCCACCTGCAAAGATACAAGATGAGACTTGATGGACGAGATTTGTTCAATGCTATACTTACTCTGAGACGTATTGGGCAACGCTGTAATTATCAGACCCGAAATAATCTTCAACGTAATCGTTTGCCTCATTTCCAATTTCTAAGGCATCCAGGACAAGGCCACTTGAGGCAGGGAATGAGTTGAAAGCATCCGCGATCGCTTTAGCTTCTAAATATGCACCAGTAGCATTCAACTCTCTCAAGTTGACCCCCCAGGTAACGTGGGTGCCTGTAGTGCATAAGTTTATGATCCGGGGAATTACAGTAAGCAACGAACCAGGCGGAAGATGCCTAGCAGCACGGTAGAATGCCTCGCCCACGACGTCAGAGTCCGCTTCAGGGTATGGCGTAGTCGAGGTCGGAGACTCAAAAACGGATTCGGTTTCCTGGAAAGTTCAAACCGTGCATTAATGTCTTCAAGCAATTGGAAAGAGTAGTGGAGTGATTACCTTGAGGCCTGATTGAAAATTAGTACGATCTGCTGAGTCTGCGCCAATTCTCAGCCTGGGTGGTTCGCCAGCAATATCTTCAATGTTTGTAAGAGCATTGTAAAAGAACTCATTCCTAGTGTCGAGCCCGGTCCAATCTGTCCAACGATCCTGTTCGATTGAGAACGAGAGGTAAGAAGGAGACACGAAGGACGCGTTGGATGGAGCAGCGAGAGATAATGAGACGTTGAAAGTGCTTGCCGGAATCGCAGCAAAGATCGTGCAAGAGAAAACAACAAAGGTGAACATGATGCTTGAGTGTTTGAAATGTGAACATTGCGATGGTGGGTTTTATAGTAAACTAAGTGAGGCAAATTTGTGCATATTGCATTTCAGATTTCGGGCGTCGGGTGACCCATGGTTAGACCCCATGGTGGGTACAAGTTAGGGACAAGTTAGGGACAGGTTAAGTGTCTACCAGTTTCCTCGGAGTGCGGTCCGATCCCCGTTTCTTGCTGAGTCCCGTGAGTTCGTCCCTGCGCAAATTAATCGAAGAAGATCGAAGTATTTTGAGCTGAGAGTGTAAACGAGTAATTGAGTAGTACTTGTTGGTATTACAAAAAATTTATCTGGGGAATATGGAACTAGGAAATGCAGTGTGGGGTCGTAGGAAGCGGGGAGATCTTATTATGTAACATTGCGGGGTATTTAGTTATTGCGATTATCCAATAATTGATCGGACTCATTGACGGCCCGGAGGCTTCCACAGCCCAGGACGATTCCATTGTCAATGTATCACATCGAGCATCTCCAGTTTCATCTCAGCTCCCATGGCTGCTGACATTCCCCACTTTCTTCTTAGTGATGGAACCAAAATTCCTTCAATAGGTCTCGGGTGAGTTCCCAACTACGAGTTCGAGGTACTGACCAAACTTGTTAATTTAGTTGCTGGATGGGTGCTCCCGGCGGTGCCGAAAGAGTGTACGAGATGTGCAAGAAAGCCATCTCGGTGAGTTTCATTGCAGAAGCCTGAGATTTTGACTCGAACTTGATCTATTCAGATTGGTTATCGTCATTTCGACACGGTGCGCATGATCATTGCTGTCTTGAGCTAAATCTAATATCTCGATCAGGCCTCAGGATATGGTCTGTAGGATCGTCTCAAACTCAGAGTCGACGACAGTGATCTTTGCCTGCGCAGCTAACGAGAAGGAAGTCGGGAAAGCTATCCGTGATTCCGGTATTCCTCGCAATGAATTTTATATCACTACCAAGCTTGGGTCAGGCTCTTGTTCAATTTTGCGCATCTATGATTTCTCATCGTTGCTTAGTTGGCAGCATCACCGAGTTAAAGAGTCTTTTGAGGAGAGTTTGAACAATTTGGACTGCGAATACATCGACCTGTACCTGATGCATTGGCCTCAAGCCCTTGAACCCGGCAAGTATTGTTTCTCAACAACATTTGCACTACGAATTCATCAAAACTAGGAACGAATAATGTTTTGCCTCCCGAAGCTAAGCCCACTATTGTCGATACCTGGAAGGAAATGGAAAAGCTTCTGGGGACTGGTAAACTTCATCATTCCAGTTCTTTGTTCGCAAGCTCGAATGCGTTTATTTATGTAGGCAAGGTCAAGACGTTGGGAGTATCCAACTTTTCGATCAAGACCCTTGAACAACTACTTCCTCAATGCTCAATCCGACCTGCCGTTAATCAAGTGGAAATCCATCCTTTCTTGCCGCAAAATGCATTGAAAGCATTCTGCGAATCACAAAACATCTTGTTAACCGCTTATTCTCCACTCGGTACGTTGAAACTAACTATTACTCATTTGACTGCGAGGTTTTCAAACTCGTGCGGCAGGACAACGAGTAGATCTTCCTATTGGCCTCTTTAAAAACACCACAATACAGAAGCTCGCCGAAAAGTTGAAGGTCGATATCGGCCAAATGTTGATTAGCTGGGGAGTGCAAAGGAAAACTGTAGTGGTCGCTAAAACGGAAAACGAGGCGCGCTTGAAGCAGAACATAACGGTACGTTCTTCAAAATTGAAAATCCATCACCGTGCCTGCGCCAAATGACATTTATTCTGTTCAGGTCGTGAAATTGTCGGCCGAGGATATGAAGATTCTTGATGAAGTTCACCGAGAGTCTGGATGTCATCGCACTCTGTGTCATGCTGATCCTAGTCGAACAGGAGGTGTTCTATTTGGATGGACCTATGAACAATTGGGTTGGGACTTGGTGAAGGGTGGAATTGTTCCTACGTACTGATACTAGTAGCAAAGCTACTCGCTAAGGGACACCATGTTAAAGCGTACCTATTAATCCCACTGATTTTAAGGTTGACTCGCTGACTGACCAACGTAGTGCGATTCGAGAGAAGAAGGCCGCTCAGTTCAAACAACTCTATCAAAGCCACCAGAGTCAACTCGACGTCGTGATCATCGACGATATCTCTACAGCCCAGTTCCCCGAGGCATTGAAGTTGTGCGGACTTGTTTGGACGGAATTAGACTTGATTGACTTATTGTAAGTCTTACTGTATGTGTTTCTTCGAAGCAAATATTTCTACGTTTCTGACGGCTCTAGGGAGTTCACAAGCAGGTGTCACATTACATACAGTAGTTATAAGTACAGGTCTTTCCGAGCAACTTTGAGGAACATGTGTCCCACCTCACTGAGTGTCCATATCAACGTCTCCACTTTGATTTCGGCCGTCCTTGTTGTCCGTCATCAACTCCAGCAAATCTTCATCATTGAAGAGCTCCTCATAAGGGATGTCTTCGAAATCAGCAAACGCCGCCTGACGTTCGCATTCCTCCGCATATGCTTCCAATTCCGCTTGCTCTAACTCTTCAGGAGTCATCTCAACCATTTCTTGCATGTCCTGATTCACAGGCTGAAAGCTAGACTGGGTGGGTTCAGGCTCTACAGAAATAACGTCAAGAATTGTGAAAAGGATGAGAAGAGAAAACATACCATGCAGCTCGTGTTCCCATTCGGCAGCGTCCTCCATGTCGGGATCGAAGGAAGAACCAACTTCGGAATAGTAAGAGCGTAGGTAGGCATGACGCTGTTTATGCGATTGGTTAATCATGATGCGTTGGTATAACTAGATAGGTGTTAAGTGAGTCTCGTGGCATATACGAAAGTTAGTACCACGTACCTCATCCTGCATAAGATCCCCATCGCTTTCTTCCATATCATCGTCCATGGCCACGTTGAATACATCGCTATTAGGACTTGACTTCCTCTTCGAAGCATGGGCCTTTGCTCTAGCTCTCTCCGCTCGTTTCAAACAACGCTGCTTGAAACGGTCCCTCAGCATTGCTTTCTGCGAGTCTGCCCCTGTAGTATTAGGTGAACCAATCGTCCTCGACCCCGTATTAGGGGCAAAGATAGGCCGTGATCGTTGTGGCCCGCTAGACACTCGGCTTTTATACTGAGACTGTCTCCGTGCTTGTGCATCGGCGACTGGAGAAGAGAACGGGGAGCTTTGATCATGAGCTAATGGCGAAGAATTGAGTGGTTTGTGATTGCTTCGGGCAAAGGATTGAGACTTTGTGCGATGGGATATAGGAGTTGAAGGCGAGTAGTGAACCGGTGATGAGAATAAAAGGTCCATACTGAGAGAGGTAGCTTGGAGTCTGGGTTTGAAATGGTCAGTCGAGGAATTGACCACCGCGGAGTTGCTTGGAGGATTGTCGTGAAGAGAAAGACCCGACGTTGGAGTCAACGATGAGATCAGGCACGACTTGTCACATCACATGACTCCCATATCTCGTGATCTGTCTTAGTAATACATACCTGCGTCACTGCGGTACTGTAACATACTCTCTGATCATGATGATCAGTCTATACGATCTATCTCTCTGGGTTAGAAGCTTACAAGAATCCAATATCCATTTCCATTTCCAAGAATTGAATGAGAATCTGCCTTCTGCCAAAATGTGTTCCTCTTTCTGTCCTTAGGCACGCTTTCATCGGTGGCAGATTGGAAACGCTGGATTGAACAAATAATTTTGTTACATATCTCTGTAAACAGGGCGGACTTATGCAGCATTGAAGAAGGCTCTCAAGCTACGTAGTGAGTGTGAACCTTAGGGCCCCCAGTGTCGTTATTCACGATGTGGTCAGTGTACAATATTGCAATGCTGGTCGTCTCGTGCTTTTTTTTTAGTTAGACTCTGTCAGACTGCATCTTGGCTGATGGTTCGCTTTTCTTTTCCCCGGAGTACAGAGACGAATCTTGCACTTTAAACGAAGAGATTTCGTTGCCGGCAGAGAGGCTTTTACTAGCTTCCGTCAAAAATACACATCTACTGGCAACCTCCTTCGATGTTCCTCGAATGCGTGATTTCACTTACCTTACTTATGCTGATGTCGCGAAGGGTGACTATGACTTTGCTATGGCTACAGATCATGCGAATCAGGCAAATGAAACAGATTTTCTGTATGATCTCAGAGTCACCAAACTTCCACTAGCACTGGTTGGTTCTGACGGAGGAGTTCGTAGTTACTGGTGTCGACCTCGGATTTCGTATCAACAACTGGTGTAATTCTTACTTTCTGCACGGAGTGATATTGACAATTCTCTTTGTGTTTTTAGAGATCCTCAATTTGTCCAAGCATCCTGATAGTTATAGATATATTTCCTGAGGAAACGTGAATGGACACTCTAGCCGACCTTAGCTAGACCTCCTGAGCAACCGTGACCTACCTACTTGTGACCCTGATAACATTATCCGGTCGTCCAACGATTGCCCCGACGGTCCGTCGCAGACTAGTCAGGCCATCGCATCAGAACGAACATTTGAAATTCTGAGCTCAGCCTAGCCTTAGTCACATCCCACTCTTGACACTCCTTTCTTCCCCCAACAAGCTCTCGACGCCCAGAAGCACAGACCGTCCAAGGAGGTTGTAGGGACTAAATCTCGGATTTGTCGTATCATGCGGGGCTTGCTATTTTCGACATTGTGAGTTGACCACAAACATCCCAAGACTCTTCGTTCAGATCGTTTCTCTTTCTTTCAAAGTCCCACCTTCACTTGTTTTTTTGGGCTCACAAATGGCCTTCAAATTACCATGGCGGACACGATCACGCTCAACGTAGCGACAACCCTCAGTTATGTGACGGAATCAACGGATCCCTCCAATTGGCTTCTGCGCAATGTTTATGCCAACGGCACCACTCAAATAGGCGGAGTACAGTCGGGAACGGGCACAGCCAGTTTTACTTTTCAATCACCAGGGTGCGTTTCCGGTATTAGGTAGCCAAGATTGTTGAAAATGTTAACTCTATATACCAGCCCGCATTTTCTTCAAGCAGTAGCCTAGTACGTACGGGCCCTTCTAGTCGCGATCATTCAAAGTAAAACTTACTCGTTGGAAAGCAACGATTCTACTTCTGCAGTCACTTCTCAACCTTTCTATACTGGCAATCTGTTTACACCTGTTTCGAGCTCAGGTGCATCGTGAGTGCAATTTCATCCACCTGATGTCGTCATCGCTTCGAATGACTGAACTTTGATCTGTTATAGTTCGTCTGCTGCATCAGCATCAGCATCGAGGTTCGTTCGTCCAAGGTTTTATTTTCTTCTCGCTCATTTCGGTCTTTTTTGCTTCTCAGCACGTCATGTCCTTCCTCATCCTCCTCGGTCTCTGCCTCACCTAATGTCGGAGCAATTGCCGGTGGAATCATTGGCGGGCTTGGGTTCCTTTCCGCATTGATATTCTTCGTGCTGTGGTTCCGACTACGCAGAGATTACAACCGAAAACCAAATTTTGGTCAAACCGTGAAAGAAGCTAATGGCGGTGGTGTTGTTCTTACTCCCATTATCGTTCCGCCATATCAAGGTCCACCCCCAACTCAAGCTGCCTCCACTTCGATTTCCCCCACCTCTACTACGGATTTGAGTTCTCCCATTTCTCGACTGCAAGGTACCATAAAAAGGAGACTACCTGAAGTTCCCATGTCGGGTGTAGCGACGGGGCCAATGGATTCGGCAACCAGCCCAGGGAGCCAGAGCCAATCAACGTTCCCGTCCTCGTATTCGCAACATGCACGCACTGATTCTGCTGGTGAAGGAGGCGTCGTGCGGGAGCTTTCTGACTTGAGAAGGGAGGTGCAATGGTTGAGAAATGACATCCACGGACCCCCTCCCAGCTACTAGTCGATTTTCATGACTTGCCTATATAGTGAACTCTGATACATTAGTAATACCTTCGTTTCGATTTTTCCCTTTCACTTCGTCGAAATCCTTTGATTTGGACTCAATTAATTCGACGACTTTCTCTACTGATAACTTGGCTCGTCCTTTCATCTCAGATACATATCCTCTTGGAATTTAGCACTCGTACATAGTATTGGGTATATATTCGACTGTGAATCCATAGACCGATTCGGTCATGATTGGAATCGGTTTTCTCTCTTAAGATTGAGTAGCCTTTCTCACTCAAATCGGTATATGAGAAGGTCACACCTCGGACATTTGCATTTTCACTCACAAAAAGGGATGATTGCAAGCCTGGCAAGTGCTTCCACATAGGCAAGTTTTTTGTCCAATAGACAGGGGTCAGGACAAGTAGATGCAGTAGGATGAGGTTTAGAAACCCTCTATGAGATTGTCCTCGTGCGATTAGTATTTGTTCAGGGGTCAGAACATATACCGGGGCTATCGAAAGTGGAAGTGTTTTCTTTCCTCGATTTCTGCCAGGGTGTGTGTGTTTGTGTTCTCGACGAAGCCTATTATTCCTATTTCGTGGTGCAAGTAATCGAAAGGCCAGGAACCGAGGCAAGCAGGGCCAACTCTTCCCACTCCTCTTTTGCATTTCCCCAGGCATGTGCTCTTGAGACAGGATTATTACTTCCATCGCCTACTACCGGAAGGAATCAACTTCCTTACCAGTTCATCGAAATTCGGGCTACTTATTGAACACTCGTTGTCCGAAATTTGCCCGGCAGTGGAAATCAAGGGCAACTGACAATATGTGCGACAACATGAGATAGTTGATGTATCGAATAAGATCGAACAGTACTAGTAGTATGGCCACCACAGTCCAACACCTCGGGGAATTGTCCAGCAACTTTTGGGAATTATGGTGCATCGAGGACCTACTTATGTATCGATATGAACTCGTTATCTATACCCCGAAATACATCCACCGAGAATTCGATCCTGAGAAGTGGGGTAGAGCAGAGATAGAGTACCCAGTACATGGCGTCACAATAAGGAAATAAGTTCCGAGGTAACGCACCCGCAGTAAATAAAACTGTTTAAAGGATAGGTTTTCCTTATTTCCTGTTCATACAGTCACACTGATCTTTGACGAGCTTTGACGACTGCGAAGTTATCGAGTACAATGCCCAATTTCTATGCCTTAGTCTCCATAAATGTCGGGGCCGTGTCCCTTGGGAGATGGCCGCATTCCACAAGTTACAGCGTATTCAAAAAACCTTGTCAGTAGCGTAAAAAACGAGATAAAATAAAATAAAATCGAAAAGGTACCCGACGTTTTAGCCGACCGCTTGGAGCCGCTTGGCGAGCGCGCTGTCACTCGCGCCTTTCAACAATGTAGTATGATCGTGGATCTTTTGCTTCTGAGGTAGGACTAACAGATGCTGATGCCTCTGGAGAGTCTGACCGTGCCGGGAGGAGCTCCATCGACATTGTGATCTTGAGTGGACTTATTACCCTTTGTTACCTCCACCCTCTTCCACCACGGAAGATCGTTGTCGAAAGGCGTGAGTGACAGCGCACTCGCCAAGCGGCTCCAGGCGGTCGGCTAAAACGTCGGGTACCTTTTCGATTTTATTTTATTTTATCTCGTTTTTTACGCTACTGACAAGGTTTTTTGAATACGCTGTAATGGCATCTTGAAGAATTCATCGTTAATGGTTTTCATGACAGCAAGCGTGTATGGGGCCGTGGGCATTTGATGGACCAAACAACGGCCAATTCTAGCCCGCTGGTTTCTTCCAGGCGTCTTCCTCTTTCCTCTTACTTTTTTCCTCGTTACTTACCACAAAGCCATGATTGCTCGTCTTCCTCTCGCTCTCGCTGTCGCATCAGCGCTTGTCCATGTCGCATCAGCTCAGCTTCAAGTCCTCAGTCCTGGTGGAGATAATTTGTGGTGGGGTGAGTTCCATGTTCTTTCCAGCGTTTTCGCACATAATAACCTTCTCGCAGTTGCGGATAACGAGAATCTGCTTGTATGGAACTGTAACGAGTCTCAGGAGCAAACTTTCACTGTCTTGTATGTATCTTCTCTTAGCGTGGAGTTTCCCTCATTTTCCTTCAACAGAGTTGATAATCCTAACATGGCCTCAGCTCTCGCAATGTAAGGTTCACTCCTCAATCAATAGCTCGCATAGGCTAATCCAATTTCATGACTAGTATTGCTGAGCAGCCGAACTATGTGTGTTCGTTGTTGGTTACCAAAGACCAGATGGGCGGTCTCCCCGTTGGTACCGGTTACGTTGTTCAGTTGGCAAATCCATTAAATGGCACCGATGTGCGTATATATTGCTCGTGTGTATGTGCATTTTACAACGATTTATCCAGGTCTACGCACAATCTTCTGCTTTTGAGATCAAAGCCGCTGGCAGTGCATATCCCAGTACTACTGTCTCCCCGGAAAGCGCCACGTTCACTCCCTCCAGCTCTGGATCTTCTAGCTCTGCTACTACTACCAGTAGCGACTCAACTTCTTCCTCTTCTAATGATGGCTTTGGGGTCAAAGCCTCTATGAGTGCTGTTGTCGTTGGTGCAATTATGGGGATGTTCATGCTCTAAATTCAGACCTTGTTTAGAGATTAGACATTTTTTATCGAGCTCATTTCCTTGAATAGTAGTATCATACTTTCATGTCTTCTTATGATCTATTGTCGTTGTCTTTTTTCCCACTTATCTACTCTCCCTGTCACTCCCTTCTAATAACATTCGTTTGAACATTGCGTTACAATGCCATGCCCGGATTTGGTGGGATCGATAATCGTTATAATCTGTACTTTCACATCCACGCGATGTTTTGATTGGGCAGTAATGGTGTGGGAGCTTAGATTCCATGGTATGTCATTCTCGATGTAACCCGACCCTGGAGACCCAACACCCTTGCGAATTGTCAAACCACGCAACCTTCAAATACCGGTGCTCATCCTACAATACTCTCCTCGGTATTCCCTCATGGCTAACGCCCCGCTTTCCCCCTCATATTGACTGAATGTTAGTCCCTTGTCTTTTCGACGTATGCTTTACTGACTATACCACAGGGATCTTGCTAAAACCGTTTCCCTCGTATCATTCAGTATGCTGCCACTTCCTTAATCTGCATTACAATCTTTGAATTTTACTAGCATTGCTCTACTATGACTACTTCCTCACAATAGAGGGAGAAGTTAATCTGTTCTGGACGTACCGTTCCCTGACCTGGGCCCCAGTCATGTTTTACCTTACTCGGTATTTCAGCATTTTAGGGTCCATCCCTATTATGTTAGGACATTTTTGGTTGGGCCACGTCAAGGTGAATGGATCATAGTTCTGACATTTACTGTTTCCTGACTGCCGAAGTTGTGAGTATCGACAAGTCTTCCCGATCCAAGAGCTCAATCCAGCAGATGCTTGAGCTTTCAAACCTACCATCAATATTATTCTCTGGCTCTTCAAATGTTCATCGGTGGTGCGTTCGAACAATTATGAATTACGATGTGTGATTCCAATTCCAGGTATCTTGTCAGTTTTGCTGTTGCTCCGCACGTACGCTCTCTTTGAACGTAACTTCAAAGTGCTCGTTTTGCTAGTGGCTGTTGGATTGGCTTTGGTAATCTTTGGTATCGTAGGTCTCTTTTTTATCACTGAATTACCCGTCAATTTCACCACTACTATATAGGTTGTTCTTGCCTGGGGAAGAAATGAGATCCAATTTCCAGCCACGGTCACGATGAACCAAGCCGGCTGTCGATTCTGGCTAGACCAACGAGAGTATGCTCGCTTTCATGGATACATATGGTGTCTCACGTCCTCCTGATTTACAGCGCATCGTGTAAGAAGGGCTGTTCTTTTTGACGGGTCTTAAGCGATAATATCTATCTAGGCCTTGCCTTAGTCTGGGGAGGAATGCTTCTATTTGACTTTCTAGTCTTCTCGTTGACATTGTACAAAGCTTTAACTCTTCAACGAGACAGTAGAATGACGCTTCTTTCTGTCCTGATGCGCGACGGTATGTTTTTCGTGTCTATCTTCTCTGAATCCTATTCAAATTCCATGATCGTAGGTACCATATACTTTGGGTTAGTAGGGCTCTATTAATATTTCAGTCCTGTCTTCACGTACGGTCCCCGGTTCTCATAGAGTTATGGCCATCTCTATCATAGGAAATATGCTGACTTTTTTGGTGAGTCTTGCAGTGACTTTATTTTCCTTGCTCCCACATTGAATCATCTTTCAGTTGGGCAGCGTGCGTCCCCGGCCCTTATTTGAATAAGTATCTGGGCGTTTGCTAACGCTAGCATAAGGATAGTCTCAAACACGGGGAATGGCTACCACCTTCACAAATTCGTAAGTTGCTACGTTCATATTTGAAACTGCCGAATATTTGACGTCTCGTGCATTCAGAATTTCTTCAATAATGATTTCTCGTTTGATGTTCAATTTAAGGGATCCTAGCTTATCGAGCGTCTTGCGACCCTCTCTACGTTCGTTGGTATTGCCTCCTATAGCAGTGCCAACTCTTGACTCTGAGTGCCTCTCATTTGAAGGAGATGCAACCGTTTAGACGAGTCCTTATCTCAAAAAGTTCGTTTAGCTATTGGAATTGTCCTGTCGTGGGATTCTGAAGTTGAAAATACTCCCGGGAGATAAGTCGTTATGCTTCAGATGCTGAACGTCATGGCAGAGAAGGCCTACGTATAGGTCGACGTATTTGCATTCTCAACTTTTTTACATGTCATATGCTCGTCCCTTTGCAGCCAACTAGGGCCCAAGCATGGACCTACATCAAAAACGTCTATCCGGGCGCCCTTCATTTGGTTCATTGTATACTTATTAATCGTCGTTCTCCCACTCGCTCTACTTGGCTTTGTGTCTGATTCTGTTCAAAGGACTCAAAGAACAACGATTGTTTGAGTTGTGGCAACTCGTGGTATCTCTTTATACTCGAGTTGGGGTTATGTGCAGCTAAAGGAATGATTATTGAGAACTTTGTATTCAATGCATGCTCACGTATAGACCCTTTGTTCTGTCATTATTGAGACCACGTTTATGATCTTCTCTAAATAAACCGTATTCAGCCCACCAATCGTGATCTCTCACACCGCTCAAGACTGCAGGTTCAAGGCCATCATCTTTCATATGGCCTCGAAAAATCCGACGATCCAGAATTCCCCTCACGAACTTCTTCGCGCCATATTTGCTACTCTAACACCAGGGGAGGTGGCAGAGTGTGCGCTGGTATGCAAAGTATGGTCTTCACCCGCTCGAGGTCGTTTATACGAACACATAGACGTGCGTAAATCACCAAACAAGATGACCTACGTTACCCGCAGTGCCATGCTGTGCCAGACACTGGACGCAAACCCTGCACTAAGATCTATCGTGCACTCTCTATGTCTTGTGTCTCATTTCCCTTCCACTATCCTCCCGGAAGTTCGGGCGGTCTTTCTACAATACGCTGCAGTTCCGAGCATTCCTTCATTCATAAACATGCTTCCTCACCTACAAAATTTAGAGAAAATTTCCTTTCATACAAACGTTTCACTCCCTCCATCAGAGCATCTCCTCATACTACAAGCATTTGGAAAACTTCCCCTACTGAGGCACATGCGGTATTTTGCGGCCTTCCCTGGACCAGTGCGCAAACCGTCCCAGTTCATTCAAATGTTGAATGGGCTTCCTCCTCAGCGAGAGAGGAGGCCGCAGTTACTGACTTTGGATTTGAGGAATATCACGGAGTTAGGAAGCTTTCGTGCGAGTCTCGAGGACTTGGAGTGGACTTTTCATCCTCGATCTCCACTCGACCTTACCCATCTCAGGGCGCTGAGTGTCAGCACCTACCGAGCAGCAAAATATTTTATGCGCGAGGTCAGTGGGACCCTCGAAAGCTTGACATTTACCTCGGCGTCGCGAATATTGGGCGGTGTGTTATAACGCTTGCAGATGACCTATATTCCTAACAGTGGATTCATAGACACAGAAAGCCAACCACCTATCACACTACCTGCTATGAAATATCTTTGCATCCCTTCTGAGACAATCGACATTTCCCTCATTGCCAATATTCACTGTCCATATCTGGAATGTATCACGTTAATATGGCAGACTGAGACGGATTTAGACCCAGAATTCATGAGTGACTCCGAGTCTCCTCTATTTCTTATTGACCGTTGTATCACCAATAGATCAAATTATCCGATTTTGAAGGAGATTATGGTGCTAGTCAACGAAGAAGCTAGTGGAAGACGCACAGATATTTCCCAAATACAGAAGATGCTTCCTCGATGTACTGGACGCGCAATAAATTTTGAGCTTGGAGAATGGCAGGTGGGTCATGATTCTTGTGGATGATTTATTTTCTCATACTAAAAAAAATTGAGTTCAGGAGCGGGATTTCGAGTAAAGAATAAAATTTGTATACAATCACTTTGGATACGACGGCATACCATGCAATCGATTCCATTGAAAGGAGCCTAATTCTAAATTTGGCACGTCCCTGTACCCAGCAGCGCAATTCGGCCCAGCTGAGAGCTCGACCCAACTCGAATTCGAGGCCAGGTGCACACCGCTAGCTATAGTCCTTCACTCAACTTAGTGAATGATTCTGGGATTGAATAGAAATTGTTCTTTGTTCTGATTGTAGCAACCCTAAGTCATTTAATACAATTTCCTCTTGAAAGAAAGCAACTGTCTCGCTGATACTGCCAGTGTTATGTCGACGTAAGTTATACTTCCCCAGAGTCCTGACGAAGGACGCCGACAATGCTGGTTACTGCAAGATGGACTCAAGCTGAGCATTGAATTTGAATGTTGCTCAAAGAAGATGCAGATGCATGGGTACTTGCTATATATAGCTCTTTGCCTTCAAGTATATGTTTTGAGCTCGCTCGGGGGGACTATGTAAGAGTGTTAAATTAGACGCTGAAGTCCAGACCACGAATTTTCGGCGCTTGAAATTACGGTCGTCTTTTGCCTTTGCCTGGCCTTTGCACAATTCGAACCCCTTGAAATGGCGCCAGGACGAGCCAGAGGAGGGAACCATCGACGGAACTTTGCTTCAACTTGTGTAATCTTTACTTGACCTGGATCTGTGACCAACTATTTCAAGCTTAATAAGTGGCTAATGAAGGTTATGGTTTGTTTTATATTTGAAGCCTTTCATCGCGTTTTGAAGCACTGATATCATAGTGGCTATGAAGGACCTTCATATCGATGTAAAATACGGCGAAAGGCTTTCCCTACCATTTCTGACTTTGATAGTATCGTTGGATCCCGGTTGGATACTCAATTCGTCAAAATTGACAAATTCCAGGAAGGGCTATGTCCTTAATTATGAGTTTTGGAAAGCAAGCAATACTGTTGCGATCCTTTGCTCAAGGGCTTCGTCAAAAGAGAGAAGTTGGAGGGTATTATGAATGTCTTACACTCCGGAGGTGAGCTACCAATACAGCACTACCTTCTCTCGTTCTTATGTAACATCGTTGGCTTTCATAGCATACTTGCGTCATGTCACTTGTCTTCTTATGTCAAACGAGTTCTTAAGTCTTGAAACTGGTCTAATAGAATTACGAAAAACTTCTACTTTGCTTCTGGTAAGTATCATTTCTTTTGTCGTATATACACACACCCATACAATTGGGCTCTTAGGGCCTATCTATCTCAACAGTCTGCGAATGGAAATACATGAGAGACCTCATTGCGGAAACAATTGGCGTTTCGAAACCCCGTATAGCTTCTTCATTTCTTCTCGCGGATTGCCTCGTTCAAGGTTATGTCTATGTATGTTTGTTTTTCCTGAGCTTGAGCTTGGTGAAGTTCTCGCGCTTTCGGCGTATTCAACTTGTTTTTGGATTCAGCCCCGCATACGTGGATGTTTCGGCCCTATTTTGAATCTTCCGACAGTATAAGACGCTTTGCTTTCCGCATTCTCCTTCCGTTCGCCCTGGCAATAACCGGATGACTCTAACCTTGACCCAAGTATCACGGATGGATATCAATAGGGATATCCAGGGATGTCACTACCTGGGGAATTCAAGAACCTAGTCGAAATTATCCTAGGAAGGCTAGGTTCCGCTGAAAGAATCGGCGGAGCAGGTTGTGTTCCCTTATCTTCGAGATCTGTTCGCTTTGTCGCTTCTGCAAACTCACCGCATCAAGTGTTGAAATATATGTGTCTATGGTGAGTTCTTACATGCGTACTGTACTATATGCATTTTCTCTAGACTATCGTTAGCTCCTCAGACTGCATTATCTGCTAGTTCAATCCGCTTTTTAGCCTGCCCTTGTTTTTGGGCAAGCCGGGCAGCTCTGGCATGAAGTTACGCGTTTCAGCGCACTGCCGTTTGTCGCTCAGGAACCAATTGTGTCGGCTCAGCGCTCAACTGCCACGAAACAATACCTTTGTCTTTAGTCTTGCTTACATATCTTACATTGCGAGAATCATAACGTCAGATTTTATGAATATTACTCAGTAAGTATTCTATCCTATCCTTAGGCCACGACCTCATCCCAGGCCTCTGTGTGTCCAGCAATATCCTTGCCATAGTTATGTGCGTGCGGCCTTGACGTGGTGGTCCTCGGACCAGGATCCTGTGCATAAGGATATACTGTATCTATCGACATTTACATTCCCTTTTTCGAGTTGATCTTGTTCTAACTGTTCATGGTCAGCGAATAGCTCGATTTTGCGATTTCCATCCCACACTATGTCGCTCCAACTAGTGCCCGGCTGTGATGTTTGGGTGGCTGCATTTCTTCTTTCTTTCAACTATCCTCCAAGGTAAACCTTTGACACCCAAGCGGTAGCGTACAGCAACTGACAGTGAGGTGTTTTTTGTCACAACGGTCACTCCTGTTTAATTTATGTTCCTGTGACAACAACGACAGACGGAGCTCTTACCACTGCCATCCGTGCCTTCAATACTGGTCAATTTTGCAGTCACTGTCGATCGAATTTGGCTTCTTCTGGAGCTTCGACAACGTCTTCTTCGCTTCTTGGCTCGTATTGCTCTTGTGCCTGTACACGGCTATCACCTATAGAGCTCAATTTGAGTCTCGAGAAACTCATCAGTCATCCTCATCAAATTCAACATGCATTTTCGAAGCAGATAACCGGCTGGTATGGGTACCGTATGGTTATATCAGTACTAGTACTGTATGTACATTGTGCAGTATCCTCGTTTAGCCTCACCAATTGACTGATGTTTCCGGCCTTCCAGGCTTGTCACTTTTAGCTCATTTAGCATTGATCTGCTAAACTTCAATTACGGTGATTCTTACCGATCAAGTCCACAAATGTATCCCTTCTATTTCCTCTTCGCGTACAGGGCGAAATCCATAAGTTCTAGCTCCTTCGGACCTTTATCTTCATAAACCACTCGCAGCTTCCGCCAGAATCGCCCATCTATCGTTTATCTCCTCGGTGACTTCCAAAGGCTTAAGTACAGACAGAAAGCTAGAGAGTGCCGTCTTTGTCTCTGTTTTCTTTGTCCGATATTTATACCCTTATGTTTTGGCCGTCGTCGTCGTCAGTTTTTGAGCGGGCATGGTGAGTCTTTTCAACTTGTTTAGAGCGTATTATCTCAGATCAGTATAGTGCCTTCAAACACGAACAACGACAGGCAAGCGTGAACGCTGCCTCGAAACTATTTTCGTCACCCCTCACATCTTCCGAGGAGAAACTTCATGCTTTACCGATATCTGAACTCGTGTCAGGTTGCAAATCTGGCGATATATCTCCTTTTGAGATCATCAGCACGTATGGGAAGAAGGCGCTTGAGGCTCAACGGTTGACCAACTGTGTCGCAGAACTTATGCTGGATGATGCCACCCGCTACGTCTCAGCCGCCTCTTGGGGCCCTGCAGTAGACTCAGATTCATATTCGAGCGATTTGGTGCGAAGCAAACCACTCTTTGGTGTTCCAGTGAGTGTCAAAGGTACGACGGATACGGTTAAGTTTTTATCAACGTCGACGAACAATTGAAATTGTTTCAGATTGCATTGATATCGCCGGCCACGACACGACAGTGGGTCTTGCTCGTCGAGTAGGTAAACCGGTGGAACGTTCTTCGGCCATCGTCCGGCTGTTAGAAGATGCCGGTGCAATAGTCATTGCGAAAACTACCGTCCCCACTGCTCTATTCTCCGTTGACACCGATTCAAAGCTTTTCGGCACTACTTCGAATCCATATAGCCCTGACCATGGTGTAGGCGCGTCTACTGGCGGTGGCGCCGCCATGGTCGCATGTGGAGGGTCCAAGGTCGAGATTGGGTCGGATGTCGCTGGCAGTGTTCGTTTTCCAGCCCATTTTTGTGGAGTTTGGAGTTTAAAGGGCAGTGTGGGACGATGGCCTGTGACAGGAAACCAGTCGTCTATGATGGGCGTTGAAGCGGTTCCAACGCTGACCGGTCCTCTGACGCGAAGTTTAGAGGACCTTGAGCAGATATACAAGGGAGTGATTGATATGCGGCCTTGGGAGTACGATTATACAGTATGATTCCAATCATACTACATCAAATCATGTTGATAACACAAATCTTAGTGTGTACCGATACCTTGGCGTCCTATAAACCTTCAAGAAGAGGGCCGGCGATTAAAATGGGGTGTTGTTTGGACGGATGGTACGTCGGCGATTTCCCTCTCTTGGACATATATCTAAATGTTATTGCATGTATAAGGGGTCATTCCGCCTTCACCAGCTTGTAAAAGAGCTCTCATTTCAGTTGCCGATTCGTTGAGGGAACAGGGTCATGAGGTCGTGGATTTGTGGGTCGCTTTCATTCCTCTGAACTTCGCCGCTGGACTGACATGTACGTATCTAGCGTCCCTCCGAATATCCCAGAATTTCTAGAAGTTGGGTATCAACTGGCTTTCGGCGATTCAGGTAAGTGGATATGAAATTCTTCTCTAGGCTACACATCTAACTAATATCCTTCCAACAGGTCAACAGATACGAAGTAACCTCGTCCCCACAGAAACCGTCAACCCTGCTCTAGCGTCCTTCCTTAACCTGATTAATCTCCCCCGTATCTTCAAGAAGCTGCTTTCCAAGTTTTATTCCTACAAGGACCCGATCTACGCAAATTTGCTCAACGTCATGCATGCTAAGACGATTCCAGAAGAACGGGATTTGATTGTGAAGAGAGACCAATTTAGGGAGGCATGGCATGAACAATGGGCCAAGGAAGGTCTCGATTTTGTGATAACTGTTCCTGCACCCTTCCCTGCTGTAAAGCATGGCGAAGGTCTCAAGGCGTCTTTGATGACAGCCTCTTATTCATTCCTCTTTAACCTGGTGCGTCTTTCTGATGACTGTCTAATTTCTTGAAGTCAAATGTTAATTTTGTTCATCTATATCCTTTAGCTTGATTACGCCGCCGGAAGTCTACCCGTTACCAAGGTAGACAAAAATCTGGATGCATTACCAGCCAACTTCATGTCCTCCCCGGAATACAATGCCATGAATATGATCTGCAAAACGTCCTACACCGTTTACGATGCCGAATCAATGCATGGGCTTCCTGTAGGCGTTCAGATTATCGGGCAACGTTTAGAAGAAGAAAAGGTACTAGAAGGAATGAAAGTTATCCAGTCAGTCTTAATCCAGAAGGGTATTGCGTTCGAAGGCAAGTAATTGGCGCGGTCTACCTCTTCAACTTCCTTTTCGAGTTTCATTCGCTAGCTTGAATTTTTTATGCATTCGCTATTTCCCTTTGCTATCATTGTCACTGTCGCTCTTTGCAACCTCGGCTACTATTTCTGACATATGTGGTGGTACCTAGTCATTCATTCATTTCTTACTTTTGTATTATTCTTAATGGGACCTATGTTTTCTCTGGTGTCCCGTACATCGATTATTTTCTTCATTATTCGTATCACCAGCGACAGCTGCGCGTTTCTTGTGCATAGTGTATCTCTGTAATTGTAGTCTTACGTTACTTATAATCATCAGGTGTGGCATCATATATGTCGTTGAACATACTCGAATTTGAGTTGAAAGTCAGTTACTTTGCGGAAGCCGTACCCTTAACGTTACTTGGTAAAATTCTCCAGTCGATGAAGTGATGATATGACAGCTATCCAGTCAACGAGGAAACATGAGCGTCTCATCAGATTACATCCGAGGATCTTTGAATATTCTCCCCGTAATCTTAAGGCGTCAAGACGGAATCTGGGTAGTAAAGGGCACATGAAGTCACTACGCCAGCATATGAAGTGGAAGAAGATGGGGACCGCGATTTACCGATAAAGTAGGCAGGTATAAACCAGCGTTTGGGAACAGGAAAGCTCAGACGCAGACCTTTTTTATTTATTCACAAAACACCACAACCACCGATCCAAACAGGAACCAGAGGTTTTTCGTCTTTGCTATCCCCACTAGCACCCAACTCGTTTAATTTTTCCAATACTTTATCACCTTCTTCGTCATCTTTTCTGATTCGCCCGAAAACAACATATTTGCCTAGAATGGGTCAACGAATAGTCCTGAGTGATTCCTGTCGTAAACAACTTACCTTTCAATTTAGAATGTATTTTATCATCGGAGGATAATACAACAAAGAATTGCGATGTATTATTTGGGCTTTTCCCGCCAGAGTTAGCCATTGCGAGACTTCCTCTCTGCGGAAGCACTTGTAATCCGGCCTTCTCACTGGGAAACCTTGACCCAAATATCGACTACAGTGAATATCGTAAGACACCAGCACGGCATGACACTGACACTAAGGTTTTGTGTTCAAGACCAAGGCAAGTCCATGTCTGTTTTCATTCCAGATACAAGATTTACATGTAGAATAAAGGTCAAAGGCTTACCTCTCCTCCGCTACCGTCGCTGCGTGTGACGTCGCCTCCTTGAGCGACAAACCCTTTGACGACTCGATGTATCGGACATCCGAGGTAATGGAGTTTCTTGTTAGGCGCGCTTTTACAGAGCCCTCTGTCTCCGGTACATAAAGAGATGAAGTTCTGACGAGTCTTATTGAGTCCGGGAGAAGGATCTAGGTCGAAAGTTATACGACCTAGAAGTAGGGGTACGGGTGGGTCAAAACGGAGGTCTTGATTCGAAGATTTCTAATCAAAAGGGAAAGGGACGCATAGAGTTAAAAGATGTCAACTGACAGAAGATACTAGTCTATGTATGGGGTACTCAGTCTTTACATTGAGGTCTTGTAGAATCTCCCGCTGCTCATCTGATAACAGCTCAGGAAGTGCTGGAAGATCGAAGATGGGTCCATGTTTGGATATCAGTGAGCGTGTAAAGTCGTATGCATTCGTTTCTTTCTCGTGTTTTATTGTGTCTCCAGCAAAGATTTCCAGATACGCTGACATTCGAAGGATGCAAAGTATACTCAAAATGATAGTGGGGATGGAGAACGGTCACGAGGACACGTGGCGAGATAGTGGCCGTTTCCCGGCCGCGGACCCTTCACGAGGTTCAACATCTTGAACTCTTGAAACTTGGAAATTCTTTACCCCAAAACTGTACTCCCTGAGGTGTTGTATCCCAACTACTCGCTGGTTATATCAATCTGCGCCCTTCATAGTTCTTCAACTTCGTTTGTCAGTGTTTCACTTGAGGGCTTCTACACAGTTTTTCTATGTGGCCAGAAAATGTGCAATCTGATTTCGTATGACAATGCTTGGGCGGGACGGGAGGTATGCAGTCGTGAGTAGCTAGGAGCAATATTATGGTACCGGTGATAATTTCTGTTTTACTAGAATGCTGGGCTGCTCAATGGCCCTGGTAGGGTCCTCCGTTTCAGAATCTACGGTAACTTTCTTATTTTTATATTGTGTCATACGGTCTCTTTCGGTGCCGGCCTACAAGCTTCAAGTTATACTTAGGTTGCTACCCATTCGGATGGAGCAACGTTTGACATGTTTCATTCAAGAGCGCACTCATTATAGCACTGAGGACATCGAAGCCAGCCGGTCAAGTGAACGATGAACATCGATGAACGTCCGTTCTATCGCCGTAATTTATTCTGGATTTGCATATTGCCTGTTGAACCCTCTCAAGCCATGAAAATTAGCGTCGTGGGTTAAAACGAGCTTATCTCGTTTAATCAACTGCCAAGACCCAGGTTTTCCGTTAGGCCGCTAGCCTAAGAGGCCTAAGAGATAAGTTGGGAGTTCGCCGCGCATTCTTGTGTCACGGTTGAAGAAGTAATCCTCTATTTCCGACATACACGATTGAGGTAACGGAAACCTGCGGTGTTAAGTGAGCTATAAGAATACTGAGAGAATAAAATAAGCAAATCGTTGTCTTTTCTTGCGTTCGACCATGAGAGGGTCGGCCTCGGCCTTATTCAGCCGTTACGATGACGCGACGGCGCGGGACTTGGACACGTACCAAAAGGGGAAGAGGGCACAGCCACCAATTCTGAGTCTCTACTCGGAATTGTATCATGATCCTGCTTTCGAACATCCATCTCTCTCGTTAGTCATTCGTATATCTCTCTTTCGTGTTCTGAACACTCGCTCTTACCCACTAGCCAACTTGAGAAAAAATCTCTCTTCTACTGGCTCGTAAGCCACGGTGATATAGCTAATAGTTTCTTACCGAATTCAAGTACTGCCAAAGAGGCTTATATGGAACAAAATCTTCGACAGTTGAAACTAGACTTTAACGAACAAACAGAGGACTCTCTGCCACTTGAAGAAAACGAAGCTGAAGTACTCGAATGGGATTGGGATATCGAGCATGCGGATAGGAAAGCCGAAGCCAAAGCTGATGCTGCACTTCATGGCGCGCTACCCTTCGAAGTCGATAGAAAGGTGCTGAAGGACGTAGTCAGAGAGAACATGGGTGCTGAGGTTGTCAGGATCAAGTTTTTGAGTGCCGGTAAGTCTTCTTCACGTTATCTTGAATGCCGAAAACCAGCCTGAGCACATATATTCCTGAAGGAACATTCCATAAGGTTATTTGCCATTACTTCGCTGATATATGACCAGTCTTACCCCCCTCAGGCCTACTTGGTGACTTTAGCAGACCGGCAGCAAGTCGTCGCCAGAGTTGCCCGTAGGTTCATGCCCCGGCTTAAGACTGAATCCGAAGTGGCAACAATGCAGTATCTACGGGAACATACCTCTATACCTGTGCCAATAGTGTATCATTACGACTCTAACCCATACAATCGTCTCGGCGGAGAATTCATCATCATGTCCAAGGTTCGCACTATCGGAAGTAATTCTATACAATTGATGCTCACCTCATCGATAGGCTCGTGGAATCCCTTTAGCCAAGGTCTATCATTCTTTATCTTACAACGACCTGGTCAGGCTCTTGACGAACCTTGCGGAACTGGTCATTCCTCTATTTGCTCATCGCTTTCCCGAGCTCGGTTCTTTGTACTTCGGTCCTAATCCCCGCGCCAATACGGATGCTTCTGCACCTACGCCAAAGGCTCTTCAGATGCATTACTCTGCCTTCCCATTCTCGCCTACGCTTCCCCTGTCTCCCTTGCCGAGCGCGAAACCCTCTGGACAAAATTCTAGTTATGCGTTCCCTAAATCAACATCTCAGCAGGAATTTCACGTCGGACCCATCATCTCATGGCCATTTTTTGGCTCAAATCGTGGCGACCTAGTCCATCCAAACGAGATCAACCGTGGCCCATGGTCAACTACGCAATCCTACCTTGAGTCATGCGTCCAGCGAGAAGTGACTGGCGTCATTCGCGAGAACGAAGGCAAAGCCGCGCCACACAAACTGCATCTGGATCCAGATGAAATCATGTCCTCACGGCATCATCACGTTAAAGCTGTTCCCGGAGATGAAAGTGATGACAGCGATGAGTGGGACTTGGAGGAGAGCGAAGAGGAATGGGAGGGTCCTGGAGATGTGATGTATAGAGATTACAGGAGGATGCAGAGGACGACATTTTTGGTGGCCCATACCAAAGAAAGGGAAGACTGCGTAAGGAAGGAAATGGCACGGTGGTCAAGGCTCATGGAGCGACTGATGAAGCATGAGCGGGAGGTCAAGGGAGCTACTACGCAGTCACAGGCGTTGCTTCCAGAAGAATTTGGGTTAGACTGTCACGATCTCAGTTTGGAAAATGTATTCGTTGACAGCGTTGACCATCATAAAATTGTAAGTCTTCCATCAAATGCATATCTTGCGCTTACCGCAACTTTTTCTCTTAGACTTGTATTATTGATTGGGAATCAACAACTACTCGTCCTCTTTGGGCCTGTGCTCACCTTCCAGCGTTCCTACAGTTTAGCCCGTTCACAGGGAAAATATTTAGGGATGTAGTAGCCAAGATGGCATCATCTGCGCCTGTGTCTTCCTCGTCCACTCCAACCACTCGGCAAGGCCCGCGGCATTCTCAGCATCTCAGTCCCCAAGATAAAGCTCACCTTGCACGCGAGTGGCTACAATATGAGTCCTCAGGCATGCGCCTACGTATGGCACACCGCTTCATCGAATGGGACGGATGGGAAGAAGGTTTAGCAAATAGCATGCTTGGAGAAGAGGAACATGAGGAGAGTTGGTTTGTTGACGTTACCTATTATGACAGTAACTTAACCAGTCCACCGATGACCGGAAATGGGACTCATGCTGGTAGCGGTATGCAAACTGTCGGACAGCCATTCGGACTAGATCAGGTTGCAGAGGCTGCAGGCCCTTCTGGGTCTGGCGCAGGGCCTGGTGGCGGTGGCGGTGACGGTGACCAGGGTGGCGAAAGCATACTCGGATCTCCTCTTACCCGACGCAAGCCAACTTCGAAACTCAAGAAACTCCCATTTGTATCCGAATTCGAAAAGGAGCAAATGCTTGATACTACAGGCGACATATGTGGTGGTCGTGGTGGAGAGTTAGGAAGGAGATTAGAGGCGTGGTTGACTGTCAACGGACATGAACCCAATACGTCTGCGCCTATTGACGGTCCAAGGAGGAGGTGGCACAATGACGATGTGGATGGTGTGGAATCCGGGGAGCCGGCGTGATTGCAGTGACCGTATCACGCTCGTCGGGATTTTTCAATGGGTACTCTGTCGCGTCAACCTGCGTATCTGCTTTCCAAAAGATATTCCACTGCTAGCATCGATGCTCCAGTGTCTTTATTCCTGCTCTGCTGTTGTTTCATCCATGACGACTCATTTGGGGATTTTTTCCGGGGGTTCAATTGTCTTTACACTAAACTCGACACGGTACAAAAACCTGTAATACTAACACTGTACACAAGTAGCTGCATCTGTAAATTATAGCTCAACTGCGGGTGGTTTTTTGTAATATAAAGCTATATAGACGCTGCTCGCCACTCTTAGGTAGATAGATCCCATTGCACGCAATTTCTTTTTGTTTTTGGACAGATGTAAGCACGCGCAGTCTTCAATATCCATTGAAACGTCAGTCCAATGGAAAGACATCATCGATCTCGACAAGATCGTCATATCTAATTGTGTAGCTTTGATCAACCCTCTTCAAGTTCCCTTTTCCGAAATTTCTTAGGGAATCATGAAGTGATACTAAAACCCCTTCCTCTACTGTATTTGTACACAAATCACCCCACGCCAATTCCAAGGCCAAGATAAGTATGGTCAAACAGTCGCGGGAATTATCCGGTGTCGTAGCAGGTCGTAGCAGTATCCATTGCAACCTATTGCAATAATGTTTTCCTTGCCTTGAAACACTACTGCACTCCTAGGTGATGCATAATGAGTCCCTCTTCATCTCGCTGGTGGACTACAAACGCCTCATTTTCGCTACTCATATTTTGATGGCTGGTTCCTATTGCCGGTACCATTTCTATCTCCACATACTGCTCACCTTTTCTGCAAGATTGATTTATGAGAAGTATGTCATCACTGCCATTCAGAGACTTTTGCCTCTGTATGTGGATACAACGACCGCATCGCAAGAAAGTCCATCGAAGAAGGCTGATCCATAATTGCAGGATATCCTGCAATGAGCACAGAGTGAGTTTTTGAAACTTAGACAACCATCAGACACTAATTCCATGTTACCATTTGGGTCCCAAAAACTATTGCTCCAATGGGAGGAAGTACAGCCAGCGCTAGATTCGAGCGAATGTCTGGTGTTCTATCAAGAACAAACACAATGGAAACTCTAAGAATTTTATGTTAAAGTTGTGACCCTTTCAATTTTTTAAATTTGAAAACCTCACATTATTGCAATCAGTCCTCCGATGCTGAACACTATGAGGCGAACGATGAGGGGTGATATTTGCTCCTTCAAGTTGTTCCTGTTGTTGGTACTTTTGCCCTCACGGGACTGTGAAGCCCGCAGCATGAAGGTGCGGGGATGACGAGCAAAATCATGAGTAACAGATGTACGGGTTCTGTGCATGCTAATAACCAGATTACCTGTCAAAAAGAGTTAGAGACAGTTATGGCCAATATTAGTTGACTAAAGGAGAATTTACACTTATACTTACACAGCATGATCATGACTCCCAAAGCAAATATAAGGGTCAAAGAGGAAACTAGGATGGGACTGTGCATATTGTAGTTATTACGAAACTCTTGTTCGAGAATTCAAACACTGCATGTGGAAGACTTACGGAGCAGGATTGTTGAGGACACAGTACGGGGCCGATGCGAGGTCTCGTTGAACTAAGGATGGATTGACTCCACCAAGCTGTAAGGGGGTTTGAGGATCGGTTGGTTAATCAAAAGTGAACGAGATTACCAATGGACAAGTTGGAAAGAAAATTTGACTCACAATGAGAAATCCAACTGTCAATAGTACCCAGAGCACATATGGTGCTATCAATAACTAGTAACCGAAAAGCCAATTTCAGGTCAATTTCGGGTCATAGAAATCACTGAGCTTACAGAGACCATGACTTTACTTCCAACACTGCGCTTTCCTGAAGCTGCGAAACGGAACATTAACCAGACCTCTAGAAGCAGGGAAAATGTCGTTGCTCCTGTTCTATGATAATTTGGTCGTGAGCACCGCTGCAGCCGGTATCAATCGTCGCTTCAAGTTCTGAGAATACTCACAGAGGAGGGCTGGAGTAAACCAGTGCAGCTTGTGTCAAACACAGCCCATACGATGGTTTCTGATTCGGATTGAATTGTTTCATAGCAAAGAATAGGAGGCAGTATGAGAAGCTTGAGATCATCCAAGATATGCAGAAGCTGTACCATGTCCGAGAACGCTTGATTGGTCCGTTCCCGGTGCAATTGTTGGTCAATAACCGGAAAAACTGCGTTCGAGAAACAAAGGCAGTTACAAGGAGGAGAAGCATTCCTATCCCTCCAGAAAATTGAAGTGCAATGAATATTTTCGAAGTCAGGATATCAAGGGCGGTTGAGTTGTCAATGAGAACGTCGATGGTCACTTCACTGGCAAGGAAGGAAGGATTGAGACCCCGGACGAGTGGCAAAGCTGTTTGAGATGTGAAGCCCAGTAGATAAGTTCACATAATGTGTTTGACTCACAGTACTCCATGTTCCGAGCTATGTTCGTATGGAAAATTCAAATAGTAAGAGGTACGCCAATTCTTTGACTTGATATCTGAAGTATATATGTATGTATAGAGACTAAATCCAAAAAAGTCATGTCTGTATGAAGACTTTTAATCCCTAGGTTCTTGCTTGATGATTGCAGGTTTAGGTTGCGGAGGCAACGTCGTAGCTCGAGTTTGCCCAGGAGAGACTAGATTTCCCTTGGTTTCCCTCAGTATTGATTCCATCCATCAAATGTAGTGATCCCGACAAGTTCTGATAACTGGATGATTATGGTCAACATGAGTAGATTGATTCCGAACACCCATCATCCAAATTGTGCACCAAATCACAAGTCATCTCACACCTCGTTCTCACTCACTCTCTCGAAAGATTACAGCTCTCCTGGGTGATATCATGATCTGTTCTTCATCTTGTTGAAGAGTGTTTCCAGTTCCAAAATTGTTAAAGTTGGGCCCTATATCCATTTCTATCACTACACATTCCTCACTTTGTTGTCGGGTTTGGTACTCCTGAAAACTTTTTCCCTTGGTCACAGTGCTGTTATCCGAAGAATGTTGAGTTCTATGCATACAGCACCGGAAAAGCCATCGAATGAGGTTGAACCACAGCTGGACAAAGTCCTGAGAAAGAAGGGTGTGAGTTTTCTGCGGATACCAAGATGATTTGGGATTTTACAGTTTGGCTCCCAAATATCACCACTCCGATCGGAGGAAGGGTGGCCAATGCTAGATCTGCTCGGGAGCCTGCAGCTCTATTTAAAACAAATACAACAGATATCCTGCAAATCCTAGAATGAGTACTGCAGCTTATTCTCAGAAAGGAATTGAAATTGACGTTACTGCAATCAGTCCTGCTAAACCAAACACTATGAGACGAACGATAAGAGCTGACATTTGTTCCTTGTTCCTACTGCAGGAACTCTTGCCCTTATGATAATCACCATCATGCTCGCTTTGGGAGGGTATAAAGGCACTGGAAGGATGAGAAGAGCTCCGGGTGGCTTGTTTACGCATAGTGACAACCAAAACAACTGAATAAATAGATAAGAAGGCAGTAAGGAGTCAGCACAATAATAACGGGAATATGAACTGACTCAATACGACCATAACAGCCAAAGCGAAGGCAAGAGTTAGAGAGCAAACCAAAATGGGACTACTTAGGTTGTATGAGTTGCATAATAAGACCACATTGAACACAATGCTAGATATTTCTGTAGAGGGACCTACGGGACAGGGTTATCCAAGATGCAGTAGGGATCTATGGCTAAGTCCCGCTGGACTAGATGAGGTTCAACTCCACCGGCCTGCACGAACACCGAGAGAATGATTCGTGATGAAGCAGTTCAAGACTTTGAAAGAAGAAGTGTACACACAATGAGAAATCCAATTGTCAAGATGACCCAGAGAATATATGGCGCCAACAAAAGCTGGCGTATTGAATTAGTCTCATTATCTTTGCAATTACATTACAGAAAGGCGAGCTTACTGAATTTGTGACCTTCCGTCCACCAAACCACTTTCCTAAGGCGGCGGTACGGAACATTAACCATACATCTAGAAGGAGGGCAAATGTTGTTGCCCCAGTTCTGAATGGCGGACATATTCCATGAGCATCAGAGCGTGGATAATTTAGTAGGAGTGCACTCACAGAGGGGGGCTGGAATAAATCAATGCAGCCTGCGTCAAACAAAGCCCAAAGGTAGGTTTCTCATTTGGATTGAACTGCTCCATAGCGAAAAATAAGAGACAATAGGAGAAACATGATATGACCCAGGATATACAGAAGCTGTACCACGTCCGAGAACGATGGATTGGTTCGTTCGAGACCGTCACGGTGCAACCGTGGGTCAATCGTCGGGCGAACTGCGTGCGAGAAGCGAGGGCGGTTACAAGGAGAAGAAGCATTCCCATCCCACCAGAGAGTTGAAGCGCAATGAATGCCTTCACAGGTAGTAGATTGGTCGTTGACGAGCTGTTAACGGAAATATCCTTGATTGCTTCACTGGGCAGAAAGGAATGACTCGGACTGGGCATGAGCTGTAACGCTACTCGAGGCTGTGAGTTGGTAGGTAGGCAGGCCATGATCAGCAACTCACTAAGCTCCATATTGTCAAACCACTGTTTTTGCTAATTTTGAGAAGCGGCAAGTGGGCACTGGGGTGATTGACTTGCTGCTGATATAACGAGGCATTTGTGGGCGATGATCATCTCAGCTGGAGTTGTAACAAAGAACCCAGTCATTCAGATCATGACTTTCAAAATCTTTGATATATGATCCTTGGATGATAGTCCATAGCCTTGTTGGTCGGTCGTGGGTCCAAGGGAAGACCATCCACAGCCCGTTGATGAAACCATGGATATATGTTTTGTTACGAATCGGCGATGCCTCATGGGAATGTGCTGCAAAAGCTTACAGATCTCTATAGGCGCTTATAATAACACCGCTTATATCTTTCTTCAACTTATCGATCCTCCCATTCAATGACACCTGGGTAGTACTGACCTGCGATAACCTGTTCGAATTGCAGGCCGATTAAGGTCGACAGCAACAATCAATATCGGCTTTCAATTATTCTTGTTCAAACTTTCGACCTGATCTTAGCCGATAGAAATGTCAGATGCGCAGCTTTCCAGATTAATACATGGTTAATCACGACCTATGCAATCTCAGAATGGTTCTTGAAGCAGATGGATGTCGATATTGCAGATGATTGTATGATTGTGCCATACGGAATGTATTATCTCGTGAAATGGTAAATCGTGTTATCAAGGCATCCAGTACGACTAACTTTGGACCCCCCCCCCCATCTTTTACCTCTCGCCAGCCGTCAATTTCCTCGTTCTTATTCTGCTTGAAACTCCCTTTTCCACTCCTTTCGGAATCGTTGATTGCCACTTGATTTTCCATGCAAGCTAAAATCAAAGCATTCATTTCTCTGCAGCTCCTGGGCGCATTGTGTTTTTTTCTCGTTACAATAACCGCGGCATTTTCATCACGAGTCAAACGATACGCAACCTGGTACAGCTTTTGCGTCTCATGGATCATATCGAGTTTGAGTTATTCGTTACTCTTGATCGTGGATGCGTATGCCGGAGCGCAAGGATTTCACAGAGACTCCCATTTCGATGTGGGTAGTATGGAATGGAAAGCAAAGAGGGCATGTACGGTGCAGGCTGCATTGGTTTATGCCACTCCCGTTTTGTGAGTTGGTCAGACCTCTCAGTTCCAGTTATACTCGTTGTTTTGAACAGTTTGCAGGACAGGCTTTACGAGCTTGGCTATGTGTATACACGTATGTTCGCTCGAACTACGACTGGATCCCGTCTGAGAACATGCTGAATCACGTCAGGTTCTACTGTATGTTCGAGCTGCACTTAGAGTGCCTATGAGCCGAGTAAAAACAGTCACAACCACTATGGTACGATTTGTCGCACTACGTATTAATATCCAATCGACCATGTCGTGTTTTTATACGAACATAGCTCGTCGTCGGTCCTTATGTTATCTGGGTCGCTATGTTCGTTGTGCTGTTCCAGGTAAACAACTATCTTTACAGCGTCTAGTCACTGCTGATGTCTGTCGCGAAAACAGCTTGGACAAGCACAGCCAAATGCCGTACAACTGGAGCGTTGGGGGTATTATTGTCACTTGGCCTTGCCTCAGCCGTGAGTGCTGTCTCAATACCATCCATAGATTCATATTGCACTCCCTTTTCAACGTCCTTGTTGCTTGTTGAAGAAATATGACGTACGTTTAGTGTAGCCGTCTGCTCCAGCATCGCAATCCTAGCATCAATAAGTGTGGCCATTGTTGAAAGTAAGTCATGACAACTTTATTTAGTATAAGATGTGAATTCCGTCTCTTATAGCGTGGATGGCCATCGCGGTCCACAAATATCGGGATGCGCTCCCTCGAACTACCCATCCCATGACCTTTACTCTGCGAGTTCTACTATTTGGATTTGTCGACCTCTTCGCTCTAATGTCAGTGAATCTCTGCCCAATACTACACCATTAGTTGACAGATCGTATTTCCATAGCGTTGGGCTACTGCTGTTGATCCCTTCGACGCGGAAATTTGGTGCCAACTTCCTGCTTTCTTTGAGTCAGTGTTTGTATCCCCTCGCTTTCTCTTCCATCTGACACCTCGGTCATCAGTTCCCGTCTTGGGAATATCTATCTTTGGGTCCCAAACTGTACGTGCTCTATTGCTTTGAAGAGAGTATCTAACATACCATGTCTAGGACATTCTACGAGTTTGGATGTTCTGGAAGAAATCACCTTCTGAAACAGCTTCTTTGCCCACCTCAGCCTCTAGGTGTTCACATTATTCGGATGATTTCACGTTCCGCCAACCTAGTCTCAGCGGTAGGCGTGGACGTTGGCGTTCATCATCAAGCCTGAACGTTTCTAGTCATTTGCAGGCGTCGAATGAACATCATCATCATCATCCTTCGCTCGTGACCTCAAATTCTCATACACCGGCTGTTTCGGTTGAGGATGATACCATGAACGTCGACATTGAAAAGCCAAAGATGATCTTCCCCATCGACAAGCTGAATTCAATTGACGAAGAAGATTGTTTCGACTCCAACGATCTCGGTGCGGTGAGAACGACGAGGCGCGAGTAACATCCTATTTCATGCACTGTAACGAGTCAAGGACTTCAAACGACATAGACAGTCATGCCAATAGGTTTCCCTTCCCGGCTCTGTGCGCTACCGATATTTCAGGCGTAGGATTGATTGAAGAATGTACGACCGTCTGCCATATGATATTTAATGTGTTACCATAGAGCAATGTGTATCGTACTCATTCGGACTGATTTCATTTTCACATTTCATCAGTTGACCTCAAGATCACAAAAATTTTCGGACTTTAAGCTAACCGTATTATACATTGCAGAATTTGTGGTGCGTCTATGATTGTTTTTTTTTAATCAAAGAAGTCCTTTTGATCAATGCATGTCAGAAATGTAAGAATGTCCTGAAACAAGTATCAGCTTCAAGCTTTCATATAGGTTGCATACTACAACTTGGACAGATCGGGGGGTCCGGCGTCGCTTTTCGACATAATGTATCACGAAGTATTGAACTTTGCATGATACTATGAGATGGGTTCATTTGCTGCTATAGTCCCGACAACCATCAGCTACTGTCTTTTCTTTTCTTGATCACCTTCCATTCCCTAACCGCGCCAGCGCAGTATTCTTTTCCCGTCCTTGAAGGACGAAGGGCTTTTGTTCAAGTCTTTTTGTCTCTGATCCTTGTTGAGTTTGTGGTAGTATAATGGAGATGATTTCGACGTCGCCTTTCAGCGAAATGAGTGAAGCAACATCCGTCCTGGAAAGTGCGTTCGGCAATGATTGCTTCTGACCCAATTGTTACTTACTCTGACCAATTAATCCCGACAGTTATTCCCCCGGACTCTTCTCAACATGATGCCTCACTCATTATCCTGTTCTTCGTTCTTCAACTTATCGGCCTGGTCGGCAGTATATTCACCATAGTTATTGCACATTTCAGTCTTATCAGGCGCCATCTGACATGGTACAATTTCCTCGCATCGTGGATCATCTCTAGTCTCTCGTACAGTTTATTGCTATTTGCGGGCCAAATCAATCTATCAGGAGAAAAAAAGTCCGAGGTACCATTTGGGCTATGTGTGTTCCAAAGTTCAGTTATCTATGCATCACCTCCTCTGTGCGTGTGGTGTACAGCTTTGACAACTTGACAACTAATGAATATGAGGTTATATCTACAGTTCCGCCGCAACTATGCTGGGTATGGTGGCTCAGGTAAACCCTTTCCTCTAAGTATCATTTTCCTAGCACTGAACTGATCTTTTTAGTAGATCTGGTTCAGTGTGCATTTGATGCTCTTCAAGAGGCCTATGATAGCACAAAAACTTTTGACCAGAATTGTACATCGGATTTTTCGATCCCTCGATCTATCTTGAGCTCACCCTCGTTGTTGTTACAAGGTCTTGATTTTACCATACATGCTTTTTCTAGGCATATCTACTGAGGCATTGGTGGTAAGTCCTAATGTCTTCCACCTCTTTCCGAAGTTTATGCAAGCGCCTACTGCTCATAGTTCGGTCTTATATATCCTGACTCTGTGAGAGGTACGTACTGATTACTTTCTGTGCACTTTGATCTTCGCTCAAGAATTACTATTTCAGTGACTGGATCTGGGATGTATTGTAATTCTGGCTTGGCTATTCCGTGAGTGAAACGAAGCCGAACGCGCCTTCATTTGATTCGTCGTGATGACCGTGTTCTAGTGGAAGAATATCAGCTGGTGTTGTGGCCGTAGTATTGGTCCCAGTTGTAGTCATCGAAAGCGAGTTGATTCTCCTGATTTGACTAGTGGCTAATTTGACCTTTCATCGTCAGTCTTGATCATTGCTTCTCTTCGCAAGTTTTGGTCCGTATTTAAGAGTCCTGGTATTAGCCCGAGTATCAATACATTATCAATGATAATACGGGTGCTTTTGTTCAGCATTTTCGGCATATTGGCATTGGGGTAAGCACAGATAGTCTGGATTCTGACGATGTAGTTTCAACCTCATTTCAGATTAAGTCTCTTCTTTTTCTTCACCATCCATCACGGAGCAGCACTCAACATTGTGATTGCGTTCAGTGAGTGATTTCAGTTTCGACCTGTGTATGTCAGCCTAAACACGATAATATTCTCAGTCCCAGTCATGGCTGTCTTCACCTTTGCGTCACAAAAAGTTAGCTCCAGGCTATCATGCCAAAAATTAGATCTTTACTGAAATACTCCTCCGCAGGATCTCCTTGAAGTTTGGATGTTTCGGAAATGGAGGAAGAAAGGGAGCTCGGCTGTATTCGTTCACACAAGAGCTATGGCTGAATCTAACTCGACGCTTAGAAGTCCTGTATCTGTGTATGACGAGAAGGACCTCCCGCCTCTGCCTGCTTAAAGGAATGTCCTATACATGGATTGAGCTTTGACTTGTCGCTCTCAGTAGGATCACCACAACTTTGTCTACTGAGTTCCATATCAATATAGTGGTATTACAAATTGAATTATTCGTTGGCAAATAGTCTGTCAGAGCTGAAGCTCTGAAGACCCAACAATCAAACTTCTTTTTCCATTCCGCCGTCCCTTTGCTCATGCTTGAGCTTCCCCGCCAATTTCTGTTTGAACTTTTTGGCTTCATTCTCAGTACTCCTCCCAATCCACGCAACTTTCCTGGCCGCATCCCATTGCATGAGCCCACGATGCTTCCTATGTAAGTCCCCTTTTCGTCTATTATAGTCCTTTATTGCAGTTTTCACGTTCTTCACTCTCCCTCCTTTAACATCGCTACTTTCGCTACTCGATGATGGCGATGACGAAGACGAAGAGGAGGAGGAAGACATGAGTTCAGCATCACTGTCCAATCCTTCTTCATACAACATCTCCTTTGATACCTCTTCTGATTCTTCCGCCGCATCAAGCACCTCCATCACATCTGCAAGAGAAGGATCCTGATCTGCTAACCAGTGATGATATCCGCTTAGCCCAGGCCAAAATTGAACCTGCATCTCCAGCTCGCCGACCTTTTCCCCGATATCATCACTAGCATTAAATCGTCCTCTTACCATCGCATTTCCCTCATTCCGCCGTACAGAGATTCGTACAGTGACTTCCTCGAGGTCAGGAAGGTCTTTCAACCACAACGTGCCAAACGCAGGTGTCTTGTCTGGCCCGAGGGCAGTTTTTCGAAACTGAATAAGGAGACATGATGCGAACCGATTCTTGACTGCCAGACGGACCGGCCTATCCTTCTTCTGGTGCCAACCGTCATGCAGACTGTTAGGGAGAGCTTTGTCTCGACCGTACAGGGTGCGGAGTAATATCCTCGCGGATTTAAGGTCATCTGGAAGACTTCCCGATGCGCGCATTGTTTCGGATTTGACTTCTAGTGTGCCAACATCCCAGCCTAATGACGCTTTGGGAAAATATTCCTGAGATGGCTGAATCTGTACGCTGCGAAATACCAAAGAACACTTCAGTCTGCCATAGCCGATACCGCCGACAAGAGGGAACGTGTCGGTGATCTGTGATCTGCCACGTTTGACAAAAAGCTGCTGAAGTGGTAGGACAACAACACCGATGAGTGGATCGACCTCGTGCATCCGAGCGTCGCGGACAGCAATCATGACTACGGTAGTGGGCCAAGACTTGATAAATCGCTCCGTTCCAGCGTCATACTATGTCCAAATGTGAGCAGGATTGAAGATCATCGGCTGAGACACTCACATAGGGATTATTTGCCTTCATCTTTGTTCTTGTTTTGTATACTTTTGCATGGTTAATGATGATTGTGCAATACGGGCTAGGCATATCGTCACCCTCCTCTTCCTCGACGCCATCTTCACCATTCTTAGTCCCCTTTGAGCCGGACTGCCTCGGATTATCAACCTCCACACCGGTAATCTGCTCTATCCGCACACTCAATATACCGGCAGGCCATTCCCTAGTTGGCGGCGTGCCTGATACAATCTCTTCCGTCTTTTCACGTAAATCCTGCTTCTTCTGTTGTTCGACTTCACTTGCTTTTTCGCTATATTTCCGAGTCTCGGCTTCCCGCAGCTTGGCTTTTGCTTCTTCCGCGATGTCACTCTTGAGATCCTGCACGTTCTCGCCTTCTTTGTTGGCCATATGTTGTTCAAGCGTGGTTTTGAAAAAGTACCCGACAGACCAGGTGAGGCTTCCAGGCCAATGGGATCTCCCATCTTCGGCGAGGAAACGGTCCTGCCGATGGCCAATCCGATTACAGGTCTCGGAGGTATTCATGATATCGAACAAAGGTAATTCAATGGTTCCAAGATTATCATCTGCAGTAAAGCGATCTACAGAAAGTAAATATTCTAGGATTACAAACTGCAATAATGGCAAAACTTTTGACTTACCAGAATCCCATAATTGAAGTTTGAGCTTCTCTTGAGCGTTCAGCTCTGAAGGGGTGACTAACAATGCAGTACTTTCTTCCCATATGGGATGAGCTTCGTTCTGGATTATTCTACGCGGTGAGGGTTCGAAGAAAGTTCGTAAATCTTAGAAAACACCGATCAAGTACTGATCCACCGACCTCGTGGACCAAAGTGGCTTTCCCCACTTGCCCCAGCTAGCAGTCACATACACATCGCCTTTACGACCATTTTCGCTTTTCCATATCTCGATACCATCCCCATTCTTGAAGCCTGTTGCAGACTTGACAGTGATCCATACCACTCCACGCGCCTCTGTGTCCATTTTTTCTCTTCCCATCAACACTGTCTTCAAGTCCACGCTTAGGCTGTGCGGAGCTACGTATTCTGATATCGCGGCGTCGATGCTCTTCTGTAACCAACCTGAAAGACCGGGCATGTCCATCACGTTCAGGAAATTCTTCGCTAGTGGCGTGGCAGTAAGTTTGACTTTTGGTTGACCCATGAGGGTCAAAGTCATCAATGACAAAAACGGAGGATTCGGAGTGAGGTGGATTCTGACTCGAGCTGTACTGATTATTCCAGTGATATCTACCCATACGGGAAGAACGATTCCGCCTGTTAACCAGAACTGCATCAAGAGATGTAGATTCGCAGATCTTCCCTTCAAAGATGAGCTGGAAGAAGTAGCGCGATACGCTACTGCAACCTCAAAATTGACGAAATCGCCCTCTTCAGCAGCCATTCCGGGGCGGGCCTGGGTTGCATCCGCTCCATCCAGCCATCGGATACCCAGTATCCGCAGAGGCTCAGAGCCTTGGCCGATGTCAGCGACGCGTACTGCATGAATCATTTTCGGCAATGAAGCTTGTAGAGAGTCCTCGAGCATGTCGGAGACCGCAGTGAATAAAGCAGGATTCACAATGGGCCATAGAGTGTCTAAGAAAGAGTTGAGCCAGACAGCAGATTCTGGTCTTTCTTGAGCCGATGGTTTCGTCCATGGTTTCTAAATGCACATTTGATCAAAGAATTCGAAGTAGAATTCGACAACTTACCTCCTGCTGGTTATTATTGTTCTCATCCTTGGTCTCATAACGAAGGACAAGAAAGCCGGCAGCTATTGCCAATAGCGTGTACGCCACAACGCCAATATAGATGTCCAGGATACCAAAGCCCTCACCAGAAGTGCTCCTCGTAGATATTCTTGGTAGAATCTTCGATATAATCAGGGTTGTATATCCACCTATGGAAACAGAGATCGCAACAACTAATGCGGTACGCGTACGGTTGTGGTTGGGTTCTTCCCACCAGCCTTTGTTCGTCTCTTCCCATACAACTCGTTCCATTTCAGTATGCCGTTGTTGATCTGTTTCCTCAGTAGTCATATCCTCTGTCGCTTTCGAATCTGAACGAGAAGGTGGTATTTGCTCGAGTTCGATAGACGTGTTGTCGTGAATAGTGACAGGAAAATGAGTTATAGGGTCGGTGACTTCCCGCCCATTGGCCGTGGCCTTGGAATTTCCGCTTCGCTCTCCGTCACTATCACGCTGAGGGTTTTTTTTTTCAGGAGTAGGCATGCTGGAAGAGTTGTTCAACGTGAAGAATTGTATACTAAATAGACTGGCTTAACTTACCTGACGTCAAGTACTCCATCTAACCGTTCGCGTCATAGCTAATTAATACTGAAAAGATAATAGAATTTACTCCCTAGCAACAATCCTACGAATTCTTGATTTTGATATACATAGGATGTGTTCGAGAGCTTGCTGACTGTAAGTAAAGTATTCGGAACTCGATGACAGAAGAAGGAAGAGAACTGCATTTATCTGATAAGCGCCGTCTTCCGGACAAGCCGCGTGAGGCCGCGGGAAAATTCCTTCCCGCGAAAGTGTTTTCGATCCCAACTTAGAACTTAAGCACGTCCCTCTTCAAGAATTATCACAGCCGACCTTGCCTAACGCCACAGTAAATGGGGGGGCAACTTTACATGTCTCCGTCTTGTTAGTACACAGTCCCGGTTGAAATTTTCCCTTCAAGTGGCCGATCACGGTCGACTTCTTTCTTATTGAGATGAAGCAAACACCAGCCCCAATATGCATGCAGCACTATCTTCTATGTGATGGATGTCATTCCTTTGGAGTGAAAATGTGGGCTATTTTGAAGGTTTGGGGTTCACCTGCGGGCATATGATTTACTTGAAAGGCTGCCTTCAACTGGTGAATTTCAATTCGCGGACGATGGGCTATCGATGCAGATCTCAGTGAATAAATTTGATACTGTCAACAATCGCTGTCCGGTATTTATACTGGACCAGACAAGTAATCGCACTTCCACATTCCCCTTGGACGAATTTATTTCGAGTCCTTAAACAAGCACCTTTTCAACGTTGATTCGGGTTCCTCGTCATTTTTCGCAATGAACATTCCTATTCCGCCTATGCTTGCTCTCCAAGCGAAGCCTGGAAGCTTCCCTTTCGCTTCGAAATATGTTCCTCTACCACACAACTTCCAAACGATCCTTGGTTCACAGGTGCAGGATACAAACACCGGTCCAACCTCCTCAAACAGGAGTGCCACATCTACCAACGGATGGTTCGCACCGCTTTCTCCAGTAGATGGGCAAGGGGCTCCGGTATCTCCCATTTCTTTAAGCCCAAATCATGCCCAGATCTGGAGCACCAACGGCCAAGTATGTTCTTCTGTCTTAGCCTTTACGCTTGGAGCCTAATCCGATCGCTGATATGTCCAAAGATTTTTATTCGAGATCTTGAGTCCGCCTTTGGCACCTATGTCAATGGTACACGAATCAGTGGCGATGTTGCCCTCGCAGACAATGACGTCTTGGTGATTATGGTTTTTTTCCAGTTGTTACAAGTATCTGTTACCAGGGTCTCATCCTTGGAATTTGTAGACTCTGGGGATCGTAGTTGGGAGGAATGCCAACACCCCGACATATGTTACCGATGAGCATCTCAAGCCTGTCATTGCCAAAGTCACCTGTATTGGCATTTCTTCACGCGCGCGCCAGCGTCCTTGAAATTCTCTTTCTGGTCCACATCTGTCGCGCTTTATGTTCACTTCATTCTGTACACATGCATATTCACTGCAAACTACAGACATTCGCAGTAGCCATGAGATCTTCTGACACTTGTAAAACTTACAATTGGGCGTTCGTACTATAAGTCGATAGATCCACAAACTGCTTGCTGTAGAGGTACTAAATATGTAAATCTTGATTGATCATCGAACTTCGTTAAAAAATGCAAAATTGTGCCTGCTCGACTCCAGAAAAGACAATGAAGTCTCCTCACATACTCCGAAGGCGACGATAGACTACATACCTATATGATTGACGGTCAGTTTCAAGTATCGATTGCATCATTTTTTCTGCGAGAGGAAAACGCATTTCCTTTGCTATATCTTCCGAGAGCGTCTGTTACATGTGGTTGCTGTGTATCTAGGTCATCATTGGCTGTCTCCTTAGACATGAAGATCTTCATAGAAGACCCTTATCAATCTCATATAAACAAGAAACTCTTTGTTGTTGACTTCGATTCGAAAATGAACGCCATGAGGCTGCACGAGAAGAACAATGATCGTCGAAGTGTCCATTACTGGGTTGGTTCACAAGAGGTGTACAAGACTGGAATTCCGGGAACCACAGTCATTTAATTGACCAATCGTACTGCTGGCCTTAGGTAGAATATTTAGAATAATCAAAGTATCACCTAGGGAGGTATGCACGAGTCAGTCTAACTTTGAACGGCGGGAGATTTTGAAAGGGTCACTTCTCAGTATTCCGGTACAAGTTTCAAATGGACCATAGTATCTAATCTGAGAGCGAATACACCCCCGAATTTGAGTGGATCATCGACCACCTGGGCGAAAATCCAGTCCTGCGATTACCACTGCAATAGTACATCTCAAAATTGGAAAATTGTCCATGGAAATCATCCAGACGTCCCAATAAATTTCACTACCAGGAAACAGTATAATCTCGAGCAAAGACTCGCCTGTGGGTATAGAATGGGATAGTACAGACTACTCTGGAGTGAGGAACGAAATTCTACACACAACTCGTGGGTTGAGCGGAAGAGAGGGGATAAGGATAAAGTGGGTTGCCACCAACTCGGCTCAGAGATTGTGCAAAGATCGAAGTCACGAACGTGGATAACTTGGATCCAGGCGGAACGAAACCAGTGCTGGCCTCGTCAAAGTTCCTGGAGCATAAAAGATGACGCTAGATGGGAGCAACAGGACCCTAGAAAGTTTGAGACGTAGCGAAATTTCTGTAAGGTTACCAGCAAATCCTTGGGTCCCATCCCCAAACACACAGCTTCCGTTATCCTGCGAGGATCTTACGCGCTGATCTTAAAAAAAACCTCTGAACCTTCTCCTAAAATCACCGTGAGCAGAAGAGAAAGGACCCGCCGCATTGTTTGTTACGCCTTGGGCAGCATACGTATAGGCACAAAGCTTGTCGAGCCATTACGGTGGCCACAGAGGAAGCTTGAGTACCCTTCATACCGATTGATGATTGCAGTAACTTGGGCCTAGGTCTTAAGTGATATGAAGAGGGGTGTAGTATGTAGCGCCGATTGCCATTGCACAAGCAGTACACGAGAAAAGAGCCCTATTCTTAAAAGGAGCACCTTTGACAATATCCATGTGTTCATTTGAAGGTACCTTGCTCGTCCACCCAATAGCTTACGATTTGGTCCAGATGATAAGCCGTAAATCAGAACAACTCCGACAGCTCTTTCTCCACGATAACGAGATCTCTACATCCTCTTACCTCTTCATCCTATATGGGTCTTGATTCTCATGTTGAATGGCGGATTGAGTAACTTTGAAGTATACCACTGTCACTGCTGAAGTTGGAAGCGATATCCTCAAAGGGGTATGATGACGGATCCGATGCTACATTGCGCATTGTGACTTAGCTTACAACTCTAGCGTTATAACCCATCGTGAGGAGGCCTGAGCAGGCCTTTTTGACGGAAGGCGCCCATTGTCGCGGCTCACAAGAGCAGCGATCCAAGAGCCAATTATCATGATGTAGTGCTCATCGACAAACCTAAGCGGGGATTCGTTTAGAGGATTGGGAAGGCGAAGAGTCTTCTCTAGCCTGATCGCGAGGGTTTGAGGGAGACTCATAGTGGAGATTTGAAACTCCGACAGCAGTGCCGATAAAGGCCGATAAGTTCCGGTGTGCTTTTTTCCATGAACAAAACTATCTTCGCGAAAAAACAGCCGCTAGCCAGGCTGGAATGATAGCATAAAACGCTTCCCACTGAACAATGCTAAGATAGTACTACTAGTAACCCTTCGCGTGGTAATGAAGTTCAAAAAAATCGCCCAACACTTCCCCGATAAACAAGGCAAAGGAGACATAACTTGGAGAACATCATCCGCAGCCGTCTTTCCCAAGTCGTTTATGATAGAAAAGTTGCGTCGTGCACCACCCTCGCTACGGAAAAAGATTAAAGTATATGAAGTGTAAGCCTAAATTGAGCAAGGAAAAACCTAGAAGATATCGTTGCATTTCGTGAACATCATTTTGATCATTCGAAAACAAATTGTAAAACCGCGGTCCCGCCTCCTCCCTTCCCCGCACCTGCACCTCGTCACCCTCATCACCATCTCAAAGTGTCCATTGAAGCAAAAAAAAATGCTTCGGAACCAACAACCCGGAGTGAAACCGTGCTGTTGAACATGCAGGACCTGGATACGGTTTTCAAGGGAGTATTCGGGCAGCATTCTGTCAACACCGATTATTACAGGACCGGTTACTAACGAGAGGCGCGCGCAAAGCGGTAGAATGGCGAAAGTTACACCAAGCGATGACCGCAATAGATATGTACAGCACTGTGTACGTGTGTACGACGTTATGCGCAAATATAGGCATATTCCAGCAGTGCAGGCAAAAGCATTATGAGACTACACAGGTATCTGAGGAGGGCAAGTGCAGGCGGAGTGATAGAATGTCAAGCATATCGTAAGTCATAAAGGTCGATAGACCTCGAAAAACCACATTAGCATTTCGTGTCCAAGCCAGAAGGAAAGCTCAACAGGTCTTCGCATTGAACCGCCGCGACATTCAGCAGATGATACAGCAAGTGCAACCATGCGAGTCATCCTCCCTTTGCTGAGAGGTTGATGAGACTTCTGCGTTAGCTGCGGTTCCATGAATCGGCGTTGAGGATGCTTCGTCAACATCATCAGGGCTCGCTAAGACCGAGCTGAATCGGGCAACCAGTCTCGTCCTGGTGCCTTTGTTCTTCTTTTTCTCGTCCCCGCGATCTCCGGAATTGTTCAACCCAGGGACTGTGGGTCGAATGGCAAGATGGACAATGGTTGGCGGATGCGGAGTAATGGAAAGCGAGGATGAGGAAGTAGGGGTATGGATTGGAAAATCACATGCTGAAAAAATCAATGAGTACAATTAAGATAAGATATAATGAGAAATTCACCCTCTAGTGTATCTTCGTCTTGCAAAACTTTGCCTAGATGCAGGATCCTAAGATGGGATGGGGTGGATGGCCGTTCCTCTTGCCAATCTAGACGTAAGGAAGATTAACTTTGTCGTGTGAGAGCTTGAAGGAAAACACCGACCTGGCCCCGATGGCCATGTATTCCAGACCAGCTCCTTAACCCTGCCCACGGTCGTTTCCGGCTCAAAAGTCATCACTCTCCGCTTCCCAGAAATCATTAGGAAGCAGACGGAAACAATAGGCGCCTGTGGGATTGCTTGGATTTGACCTTCTGCAGCAATATCGGCAGTAACGGAAGGTGTTGTTCCTTCACCGTTTCCGTCTTGTGCTTCAATGCCAGCCTCAATGTCCGGACTATCTCCCATAGCCGTAGTATCTACCCTTGTATATGAGGTCCTTGCTGAATTTGTTGTACTGTAGCCCTGGCCTCGATTCAGTGTGCCGTAGAGGTACTGAATATACGGCGACGACTGCTGTTGTGGGGCAAGTCCTGAGACGGTGTAGTTACGTGGCAGACCGAGGTCAGTAGAAGGAGTAGAAGAAGCTTCTGTCGCTGTCGTTCTTGATATTCCCTGTGATCCGGCAGGCTGTTGTGCAAGGCTCTGATGAGCAGCTGTATTATTTGTCGTCAAGCCGACCTCGTCTTCGTTATCCTGGTCGGTCTGGTCGGTCTGGTATCCGTAGAACCGAGCAGCAGGTGAAAGAGTCGAAGAATTTGTTCGACCGGGGGAAGTAAAAGGACGAGGAATACTTTGTGGAAAAGTGCCGGCCATACGGTATTTATACAGTGCAGAAATTTCGTGTGGGGAAATGACAGCGGATTTGGTCCTGTAAACGATAGCCGACTATATGTAGTCCTTCAGTAAACTTCTGGTGTGGTGGATATTAGAAAAATTAGATGTATGCTTGAGGCTTGAGCGCTTGAGCTCCAAGTATCTACCCGTCAGATGATGAACCCTGTCGACTTTGTATGTAGTGAGACTTTTGGATTGATTCCCAGCTGTCTGTCAAAAACTGTTTGTAAAAAAGAGGAATGGAAAACGAAGATGGTCTACCAACCACTAAGATTTATATGTAGCCCCCCATTTTCAGCGGACAATCTTCTGAGGAGAGAAGTTTCTCGCAGGTCCGTTCTACGGGCAAGATCCGGCTTATCGGACCTCGGTCGTTCTAGATCTGAGCCACTAGCACGTGATTCAACGATGTGTCATTAGTCTGTGGTGACTTTACCTGACTTTACAGAGCCATGTATCATCTGTCTTATATCGATCCATCCTATCAGTAATTCGTCTATGGAGATGAGTTATGTACCCTTTTGTCTTGGATTTTCTCACATGAGTACAGCAATTAGTGCTCTACCATAATCGTAATTACGAGGGCAAAACAAACTGCAGACAATACTGTTACAATTTACGAAGTTCACAGAGGAATTCCACTGGGTCCTGGAAAAGGAAAACGACCATACCGATTCGACCTGATTTATTGAATACTCCTCCACAAGAAAATGAAGCCCGTTTTTTCACTCACATTCACAGCTCACGAATAGCCCTCGTCTAATGTGACATTTGCCCTGATCTCCCCCTCTTCTAGTCTAATCCATGTCTGTACCCCTCCCTTCGGCTCTGTCGAACTAAACACCAAATTCCGCACACCATACCCCCAGGAAGGGTCTCCATACCCTCCGTACCCAGCATGTTTGTCGAAACAGAATATAACGTTTTTGGTAGGTTCACGGATACACCATTCGTCCCCGTGGTCTGTGGTGATATGACGACATAACGCAGGTCGTGATGGAGTAGAAAGGAGGGACGTACCATGTCCAGATATTACCGCATGTAAGTTCTTGACATTTGCATTTAACGAGTTCCAAAACGCATTGTCTTGCCCGACATCGTCTTCGTCTGTGGTGCTTTGTGTCGATCCAGAACCCAAAATGTCCGCTGGTTTCGTACGAGAAATTAAATTGAGCCTCGATTATAAAACGAAAAGCAGTGTAAAGGACTATAGAAAAATATGGACATGTACCATTTAACCCGGGTTCCTTTGTGCTATTTAACCGTGCTTGAAGATTCTGTATTAAATGTCTGTGCACAACAGTCCAATGATGAGCTGCGTATGCAAATCAATCACTTTGACGTAGTACATAGGTAGACTTACGGTGGAATGTGCACAAACGCCAGTGCGCCACGGTTCTCTGCCGGACCCCAGGCGTCATTCATTGTCGCGCTCTCGCTCTCGATCCAGGCTGCAACGGATTCATCTACCCAGTCAGGAATGGCAGTGCTATTGTCGCCATAAGAGAAACCTCCTGTAAATAATCAATAGAGCTTCGACCAGAGAAGGGGGGGGGGTTTTACGTACCTCGAGAGTCAAAAAACCATAAAACGAGTACGGGGGACAGATCTAAATATTCTATTCAATTATATACTGCCCAGAAAAGAGACTGGTCTATACCAGACGCCTTCTCGTATACCTGTCAACGAACCATGATCATTGGGAACAATGCAATCGAAAAACACCTTACTGGAACCCAATAACTCCCTGGTCCCTCAACACCACCTACACCAGCAGGCGCAACTCGAGTATAAGTCAGCGGTGCAACTTGCTGCTCCCTAAGGATCTCCTGCAAATGTGTGATGTTCTTCTGATTGTCGTGGTTCTGAGATAAGGGAACGCAAGTACATAGAACCAAGTGTTCAACCATGGCATCATGTGAAAAGTCTATCGACTTACCCCTTGTGTAGAGCAGAACGGTATCTGTGCGGCATTTAGAGGGGCAACAATCCTGTCTATGAGCAGCGTTGCGTTATCTTTGAAGGCGTCTAAGGGGAGGAGATTCAGCTAGGTTCAAAGCAGATCGAGATACCTACTTTCACCCGTGATCAAGTCTCCGTTCAATACCCTATGTAGGCAAACGTTTCGTGATAACCAGTTGCAATGAAGCCTAATGAAGTCCCTACACGAAATCTGGCTTCTCACTTGGCAACACCTTTTCCATAAGCCTCGTACTATTCGCGTCCTGTTCGGGTCCCCAGGAGTCCCAAGGGTTTTCCCCCCAGTGCATATCAGAGAAGACAGTGAGCTTGAAGGTGCCGTCTGGGCGGAAAGTAATACGAGGTTTATCAGGATAAGGATCTTGAAGAATTCCGAGGTTTTCTGTAACGCGACGTTGAGGAATTAAGGCTTCTGAAATTCCCAGGTGTCAGTGGAAGAACTTCCAGTGTGGTAAGTAACTGGACATACTAAGATTTGGGACGGAAGCACCGTTTGAAGCTGTCCAACGGATGAGCCAGGCCAAAATGAAGGGAGGCGCGAAAGATTTCATGGCGAGAGCACAAACCAGAGAAGACTCCTTGGGAGCATCACGCACATGTCTCGGCCAGACGAGCTTCCAATCAACTTCAGCCTTCTAATGACCATCGAATTCAAATTTCAAAGTCACCAAAGTTATTGCAAGGCTTAACAAAGCAGTCGTGAGAACTTTGCGCCGGGCCGCTTATCCGCCGCCAATCGTGTAGTCCTCAGTCATTTTTCGTCGTTCGAATAACACTCTTCAAGAAAACGCGAAGTAAGTCATTTATGCACTGTTGAAGTCCAGAATCCCAATCCAATGTGCTTCGATTGTTGGCTATACGATTTTGAATGGGAAAGATTGGAGGATTTGGGGGCTGGAGGGCTGGATGGGTGGATTAAAAGGCGGATGTACTTTTTTAGGAACACAGTAGATTGACAATCGCATCTTTCTCTTCTGCACAGACATGGGGCTTCAAGAATACCAAATTGTCGGACGCCATCTTCCGACCGAGTCCGACCCGACTCCCAAAATCTATCGCATGCGCATCTTTGCGGCGAACGAGGTTGTTGCCAAGTCGAGGTTTTGGTATTTCTTGAGGTACGTGTATATTGCTCGACAGGAGAGTTCACTGCTGTCGCTTTCCCAAACTTATCAACAGGCTCACTGCTTGTTCTCTGTAGGCAATTGAAGAAGGTCAAGAAAGCCAATGGCGAGATCATTGGTGTCAACGTTGTTCGTATCTGGTTTTACAACTTTTTTAAGCCCCTTGCAGCCCTCAAGAGGCAGGCGGAATGGGATCGCTAATCTCTTTTGAAATATAGATCCATGAAAAGAAGCCGCTAAAGGTGAAAAACTTTGGCATTTGGCTCCGGTACGACTCTCGGTCTGGCACGCACAACATGTATAAGGAGTACCGTGAGCTGACGAGGGCGGATGCTGTGAAGAGCATGTACCAGGATATGGCTGCCAGGCATCGTGCGAGGTTCAGGTCGATTCATGTACGTTCATCTACAATTCACCGAGGTGCTTGAGCAAGGAAGAGTTAGGATGTTGACCGTCTCCTAGATTCTCCGTGTCGTGGAAATTGAAAAAACCGAAGACGTCCGTCGTCCCTACATCAAGCAACTCACGGTTCCGAAACTCAGATTCCCTCTCCCTCACCGCGTCTCCAAATTCAAGTCAACCTTTGTCGCTCACCGTCCTTCGACTTTCTAAGTCGGTCAATCGTTGGCGCCGAAGGGAGGTGTTGGTGTTTATGGTAGCAGATCCATTGCTATGCGCATTGTCCTCTATGTACTACTGCTATGTATGAACTATGCTCACGACAGAACTGCGAACACCCGTTTACCATACAATATACCAGACTTCGTCACTCCAGTGGTGCTGTGGTATGTATGAGTTTGTTATAGTTGAGCAGACCTGCCCTATTGATCTGGATTCGGAGGTGCCCAAACCGGAATCTGATTGATTACGGGGTATGCATTTAGAGTCACCAGCTGCTGTAGAACAAGTTGAGGACCAAAAATGATGAATGAGGCTTTATGTAGGCGGAAGTACTAGTGAGACTTTATTTAAGAGGCTTTTTTGATCTGATGATCATACATATGCTCATTCAGCCTCGTCTGCTACAGGCTTGTGCAAGGTAGTGCGAGCAGCAGGTTTGGACAGGTATTATATAGCAAACCTTCTTTCAAAAAAACCAAAAGAGCGTTGGACGAGATCTATGTACAGTAGGACAGAACGATGTGTGTTATCACTAGAGAAGTCTAATATCTACACAACGGTGGGAGACACTGGTCAAATGAAATGTACTGTAAGGTGGTGAAGAATAAGATACGAGTAGAGAATTGAAGGGTGGAATAGTCAATATCACTGGGAGGATTGAAGGGTGGGAATGGCCCGCGCATGCTGCATGGCATTGTAGTGTGCAGTCCAAAGAGGTGGCACTTCTTTCGATATCGACCCGTCCGCTCCATACAGCATGCTGTCATTAAGCATGAGGTGCATCATATGATTGTAAAATTCCAAGATATCTTTTGACTGGGACACAGCACCGACGAATGCCCTCCAACGTTGCTCTCTCTCCCGATCATTGCCCCAGTTGACTGTAGCTTGAAGTCCTGTGATTTGTATGAAGCCCGTTGTTTTCCTCTTAGGAAGTTGGAATGTTTGGAGAGATTCAACCTGGGTCCAATCGGATTTCATGGTAGCCACGAAACATTCTATGCCAATGCATATGGCCCAGTTCTCGTCTTTGGAGACGATGCCATTGAAACTTCGGTCAGATCTAGCGAAATTTCCATGAATACGAAGTGAGCCGCTTTCCCACTGGGGCATATCAGTCTTCCAAGTCCATCGCATGAGCCCAAGTCGACGGAATCGGTTGTCTTTATCCTTGCTATTACCTGCAATATAATTATAAGGTTAATTTTAGCCGGAAAAGGAATGAGGCCGATTGACTCACGGTATGGCAGCAATGACGGCACCTGCGTTTTAAGGTCGTAGGGAGGTGACAAAGTAATGGGAGAGGAAAATACTCCAAGTAGGACGGCAAAGATGATGGCCACAGCAGTTACACGCAGCATTGACGTTGTTGGAACTCAAACAGATGAGGATGCAAGGCGAGAGATATTCCGATAAGCGGTTGAGCTGAACTTTACTGATGTGGTCAAGATTCGACGCACGAATGATCAGCGAATGGGGCGAAGAAGGCGAAGAAAGGGATTTGCAGGATGAGTGATAGAAGAACGAGTTGTCACTGGTGTAAGAAGAAAAAAGTTAATCATGATTGAGTGCGTAAGATGCCCGAAATTTGACATTACCACTCTATAACGACCAGCGTATATAGCCTGCAGACTTCGAAGAGAGTTGAACGTTGAAAGAGTAAACAAGGTATGAAAATTTAAAAGTGAGGCATTTTCCGATTTATCTCATCCGACAGATTATTCCGATGGAAGGGCCTTCGCCTTGTAGTATGTGTTCCTAGATGCGTGTTCCTTGCAGACTAGTCCTGAAGTGTCCCGGTTTTCAAGTTGAGTAGGGGAATTATCCGTAGTCTATGCATGTCGATGTTCTAGCTCAAACATGATCTTGAACCTCAAGTATCTCTTTCGGATACCCAACACTTATTACCCCTCCTTGACCGACAGAGAATTGTCGTTTTCAAAAGCTCAAGGAACTGTTGACGTCCCGGTATAGTTTGCAGCTGACAAGCGTTACCTGCCAGTGTATGTACGCCGGATGGATTGGAGCGATAGTCAACAAACAAGTATAACCAGAGTATAACGTACGAGCTGCGATCTGATTTTCTCGGGGCCGCGCTAGTGTCACGGTACCCTCTAACTTTCCTTCATACATATATTCTTCACGAACATGATTTACATTCGAACATCGAACATTACTCATTCTTCCAGTCAACCATCCCGATGATCATACAAACGGATAAAGCTTTACAGGACGGGTCGAGGACGCTGAGAAATTTGTTGAAACGCAGTGGATATTCGGAAGAAATTGTGAGTTAGTTTCACTTCGACGTACTAAAATGAACCTAATTTCTCGATAGGACTCACCCCCAGATTATGAAGAAATCGAAGGAACTGACGCACTACACGAATCGACCCCAATATCAATATCAAACACTTCGTCATCCTCCACTGCGACCACACCGATACCAGGACCACCAGTATCGCTCGCTAGACCTCATTCTGCTCGCGCAGTCACCAACAATGCTTCCAAAAATAGTCCTGCTAACAATATCTCTATCAGTCACCCCTTTGGTTCTATCAACTGCGCATACACGGTTGATCCTACACTCACACAGTTCCCTTCATCCAGCAGAGGAACACGAATTCAGTCGAATGTCAAACTCAGAACGAATGTTGGCTCAATTGATGCCGATTTGACTCTAATGCATGGAGCAAAAGAGGACAACTCCACTCTGTCCAGTGCTACGATGGATATCTCGTCAAAGATGGGGACAGTGAACGTTACGCTCGTAAGTTCCTATTGGGAATATGCTCTCGTTACTCACCCATTAATTACCATGCAGCGAAGACCTTCCTCCGCCCTTCCAACCATCCGTCTATTCGCTTCCTCTCGCGCAGGCTCATTATCTGTACGAGTACCGGCCAACTTTCACGGGTTCATCACCGCATACACAAAAATCGGTCGTTTGACGCTGGAGCCTTCGCTACAGTCTTCGGCAGTGGTGCTCAAGGAGGAAATCAAAGTGAAGAGGGTGTTTATCGGTGACCCGAATGTATTGAGGGGCTCGGCGGATACTAGATTATTTCAGACGCGGATAAGGGAAACTAAAAATGGAGGATGGGAAGGTGATAGGATCGTGTTAAGAACACCGGTGGGAAATATAGAATTGGGATATATTGAAGAGAGACATGCCCATACTTCGCAATACGACGTCGTGACAGAGTCTAGAGCCGCATACGGCCGAGGACGAGGGCATAGAGGACATGGTGGACGTGGTGGACGTGGAGGCGGAGGTCGCGGCAGACGTGGCATTAATGAAGATGGTCGAGGTAACAATCAAGGTGTATTCTTCGCTCCAGAACCTTCTTCATCTTAAGGTATGTGTGCTCGTGTACTATAACGCGTTATTCAACTGATCAGGTTCGTAGCTGGCTTCATCCTTTGATTGAATTTGAAACGTTGCGTCAACCACGAGCCGCAACTTGATGATAGCTATCACGCAGCCATCGTCTCTGTGCCGTTAACTTGCCACTGTATACATATGGTTCATGGAACATTCATAGAAGGAGATAAAGGAGACTGCGCACGCTTAGTAACGTTCTCTTTGTGACTTGTACTTTTACTCACCGGAACTTGCAAACTCTTCTACCGCTGTGCTTGAACCTTCTGAGCTGTCCCCTCTGCGGACTACGCTTTGATACGGGATATAAAAAGTGTCCTTTGTCCAATTATCTTCTGTCTCATCAAGTTTTACACATACCTCACTAATGATTATCCCAACGAAAGAGCTCGACGACTCAGAGTACAACGGCAAACTTGATGACGATTCCCCGACAGAAACTGGTACAGTGCGTGGGGTAAATTTAAACGAAGTGGGTCCCCTTTCCGAATCAGCTACTATACTACTAAAGAATACCTAAAACAGGTCGAACCTCCGCCGGAATATTCACCGCCAAATCCATATTATCCAGATAAACAGAAAAAAAGCACCTATCCCGAGGTGGCTTCCAAACCTTCTGATGACCTCGAGCTGAAAGGCGTAAACTTTGTCTATAGACACATTTATTTCGATAGTATCTACGCTACGTATATCATTGACCCGAGCGTTCAAGATGTCTCTCAATCTATCCTTCCCGGAGCGAGCAGAGATGATAGGAGATCAAGATCGAGAACAGGGCCACGAAAAGGGAAAACCTTGAAGAACCTTTGCTTGCAGTCGGAATGTGGGGCGATCAATGTTGGCGTGAGTGTGTTTGATACCGAAATCGCAGCAATGGCAACAGAAGGAAAGAGAAGCCACCGGCCGAGAAAAGTGTTGTTGGATGTCCGGACAACGTTTGGACCGATTGATGTTAGATTGGTACGTGTCCTCGAAAATTAGATTGATTTATGCCTTTGAATGCTCTACTAGCGTTTAGCATCTTTACCTCCTCCTCCGGGCCTCCGAGTTTTCCCAGAGTCAACCGCAACTCGTCTCCCAATCAAGCTCTCCGCCTCATCCAAGTGCGGTCCCGTGCACATATCCCTCCCAGCTTCGTTCTATGGATTCATCTTCTTCTCGGTGCCTCTGGGTGAAATTGTTCTATCCACGCAGGTACAGAAAAATGTTAGCTGGGATCGTATGTTTAGCCGCACCATAACAAAGAACAGTGGATCTAGGACAGTTTTTGTTGGGGATTCTGAAGCGTTGAGAGGGAGAATTGAGGGTGGTAGTGATGGTCCAGATAGCGCAGATGATAGAGTAGACGTGGATGGACCTTGGAACGGAGATGAAGTTCATTTGGATGCTTGGTGCGGGTCGGTGCTTGTTGATTACGTTGATGAATGAATATCATCCTTTAGCTGAAAATTACAAGCTCAGAGAATATAAGGAACTGTGGTACCTTCAACCGTGGAGCAGTACGCTACGATCTCATCTCCTAGCTACTACAATCACCTCCCCAACAAAATTTAGGCACCTGTCCAGCGGACCGTCACTGCCTCCCTCTTTCCCGCATGCGAAGGCGGGAAGGTATCTGACAGCCTGCCGGTTACCATAAGTTCTTATGTTGGTTAGTATCTCGAAAGTAATGATGAGAAAACATGAATTTGAACAGGTAAACCTGTGGCCTCTATCGAGTCAACCCCCTCCAACATACGTCCTGCCACTGTATTTTTAGTCAGAGCTAGATTGTTCCCACCTACTAGACGCGACGATGCCCCCTCTTTCCGATGTTTGGCTACTTCTTGACAACTCCCAAATGACCTCATCATTCTCGATAGGTAACTGGGTCACAAGCCTGAGTGGAGGAGCGTGGCTGGGATCCACTGCCATAACCATTGGGAGCCCAGGTGGCAACATCGTAGTCTCTTTCCAAGGTACATAACAACTCATTCCTCAGAGAACTACATTCAACAATATTTAATCTGTAGGCACCTCGATATCATTTGCAGGTAACACTCCCTCTTCTTCCAATTCTCCAACCTGGTTCCTCGTTGGAATCGATTTGAATTCCCCGTACAATGTTTCATTCCCGAATCCCGGCATACTGCAAAGTTACACGCAATGGTATCAAACTCCGACACTCCCTGACGGACTGCACACCGTTAATCTATCCAGTATTGTTGTCAATTTGGACTATGCAATCATCACGGCCGGCGCCACGACACCTTTGAGTGGTTCTACCATTGTGGTGGATGACGAGAGTCCAGAGATCTTATACAACGGAAACGGATGGAAGACTAGTGACAGCGGGATAGATATCGGAGGCGGTTGGGTCAATGGGCTGCCTTTAGCAAATACCACTCACCGTACAAGCAACATGGGCGATGGGTTCAGTTTTCAATTTGCCGGCAAGTCAAAACTATGCTCCGAATCTCAAAATTTTAACCTCGTTGTAGGCAGTAATATTTCCGTCTATGGTGTTTTTGAGTGGACGGCCACTGGAAGTGTGGGCGTTGATTTTACACTCGACGGTGTTACAACTTCTTCTAGTCTCTTTGTTCCCGTCGGCTCCACCATCTCTCATCCGGAAATCCCAAATTATCTGCACTTCTCTTCTGGGACACTGAAAACAGGTAATCATACTCTCATTATGAGCATCACTGAATCCGATGGGAATCAGAGCTTTGTTCTTGATTACTTGACCTACGAGCCCTCATTCTCCTCACTTGTGGAAAAACCTAATTTCACTTCTCCCGCGAGCCCTGTGGCATCTGGATCGGAGATTTCTCCATCGGCATCGAACACGGGATCCCCAGTAGCAATGACGCACAAAAGGAATATTAGGGCAATTCTAGGGGGTGCAATCGGCGGTGTGCTGGGTGTAGTTCTGATTTTTGTTGTCCTGCGGTTTTCACTCTTGCGTAGGCGGATTCAGAAGGCAAATAGGGAGCAGCGCGTTGAAGGAATCAGTAAGTGATTTCCTCTCTCCCAATAAACTAGAGATACTTACGGTCTCTCTGCCTCAAGTTATCCAGCCAAGTGTTACTATTTATCAACGGCCTCTAAAGTCTACTAAGATTCACACAAGCCACATCACTCAATCAGTCACAAAAAGTCTTTCAGATCCTGGCCTGGAGGCACCCCCTCCACCTTATGATAAACTAAATTGAGTCCTGGTCTCAGGACTGCCGCTCCTGTGGAATTACTTGTGTGTGATTTGCGGCCGAGAAATTGGATTTAAAAAACACCCTGTCGGAACCAATAGCAGAGCACTGATGCAAGATGTCCTCATTATGTAGTATTTATGTCACTGTAACAGTTGTAGTGAGTTTGTATGTGGAGGGTAGCTAGAGAGGAGAGATGCAGAATACTTGCTGGATCACATTACTAATGCACATTGTCTGATATCTCTTCCTTCTCTTCCTTATAAAGAAAGATCCTTCTTTTGAATGTCGAGGTTCTTCATCGTTTGAAGGTTCAGGGTTCTAGCCTGGAAAATCTGCTTCGGGTCGCATACATAATCATGCAGTGGTCTTTTATGGATTCAAGTGGCCAGTAATAACTTGAAAGAAGATGGTTTCATGTAGTGAAATTCAATCAAACAAGGAATTATAACTGTTGGGTAAGACTAAGGTGACATTGGCTCTCAAAGATCGAAATCTGCCTATTAACCAAATTTTTGACTAACTCAGTTCATCATATGCAGGAGGTTCTTCCCAGCCAGAGATTCTTGTAGGAGCTGGTGGTGCAATGCTATCTGTATGGGTTGTAGCAAATTGTGGTGTTTGAATTTTTCGATGCAGATGCTGAAACGGTTGGAAGACTTGGTATAGAAAGGCGGTGGTGAATCCGATAATCTTCCTCGCAAAAAATAGGATAACCTACTGCTTTCCTGCAACCGCCGCTCAATATCTGCCCTGTGTCTCCGCCAACGCCATAGGAAAAACAACAGGGAGATGAATATACCTATCAAGCCACCAAGTACACCTCCCACAATTGCCCCAATATTCATGCCATTGTGGATCATTGCTCCTGTCATTCCCGTATTCGACGCCGACGATAAAGGACTATCAGGTGCAGACGAGGCAGAGGCAGTGAAATTCGGCTTCCCCGCGAGGAAGGAGAAGGACGGTTGATATGTCAAGTAATCGAGGATGAAGCTCTGGTTCCCATTGGCTTGGGTGATATTCATAATGAGAGTATGATTACCCGCAAGTAAATTTCCTGAAGAAAAGAGCTGATAGTTCAATATTTCTGGATGAACGACGACAGTATTGAGAGGAACAAAGAGACTAGAGGAAGTTGTTTCGCCGTCAAGGACAAAATCGACATCCACGTTGCCTGTAGCTGTCCACTCGAAGACGCCATAGACATTGATATTTGAACCTACAAATCGACAATATTGAGAATTGCGATTCACGTACTAACATTGCGACTGACCGGCGAATCTAAAGCTGAACCCGTCACCTACGTTGCTCGTTCGATGAGTAGTGTTCCCTAAAGGTGGTCCATTGACCCAACCACTTCCGAGAATTATCTCAGTGTCACTAGTCGCCCAACCATTCCCAGTATAGGTAATCTCTGAGCTTCTGTCGTCGACCACGATAGTGGAACCATTCAATTGCGTTGTAGCACCTGCGGTGATGATGGCGTAGTCCACATTCACGAAAATACTCGACAGGTTGACGAAATGCAACCCGTCAGGGAGTATTGGAGTTTGATACCATTGGGTGTAAATTTGTGTTCCAGCATCCGGAAATGAAACATTGTACGGGGAGTTCAAATCAATCCCAGCGAGGAACCAGGTTGGAGAAGTTGTACTAAGGGAAATGTCACCCGTGAATGATATCGAGGTGCCTAGTATAGAAAAGTATATTATTCAGCGCCGCACCCTGGAAGTGTTCATTCTGAATCATACCTTGGAAGGCGATGGAGATATCTCCGCCAATTGTCGAAGAGGTATTTCCTATCCAAGCCCCAGTGTTAGCTGGTAAGACTTTTTGACTTCCAGCCGAGAACGTCATTTGGGGATCGTCGAGAAGGAGCCAAACATCAGAAAGGGTAGACATTGATTGTATTTTCGGAGGGGCTTTGAGCAACAGATGAGATAAATGCCAAAAGGTGGACTAAGAAGGAAAAATCCAAAGAGAAGAGGGAAATGCAGTGAGCACAGCTGCAGTTCCTTACATTCTCGAGGCACTGTGTGGACTGGCTTAATGGCATGTCAAGTGCAAGAAACAAAACAAGGCAGTATCAATAACAGGAGCCTATGTATATGAAGTCACTTTTCGTTGGAAAATGACAGACGTGATCAAAATAACAGTAAATGTTCCTCCTTTGATGTTAGACGTGAGCTTTCAGCTATTGTTGCTTCCATGCAATGTGCACCGAACACTTGGTCCTGAAACTATTTGAAGCAAGAGAACATCATGAGATGGATTGATATAAAATATGCAGTATACTTCAACTTTTTGTGACTTGCAGGACGTGATATACCTCACCTCGCTGAATGTGTCGAACTTGAGGGGGGATTGCGCTATCGGAGTCGCAACTGCGACCGACGGGCTTTAACTGGATAATTTTGGAATGACAATGCCTACTAACAAGGATCAACGATGGAAGGGGTGTTAACAAAGAGGGTTCAAGAAAAGGAAAGGAAAGATAACGATATAGTCCCCTCAAAGAAGAGCCGGGGTTCAACATGCCACCCACATTGCATTTTATGCCAGTGCATGCCATGTATGAACAAGTCCAAGATTGCTGTGATCAGTGCATCAACAACAACCTTTCATCAAATCAGACCTAGATATGAAGCTACAATCAAGAAACGGACCACATGACACAGATAGACATATTCTTCGAAGTAAGTCGGGAGTTAGTACAGATCATTCTGAACACGATCTTCGTCCTGCACGAAATCCCGGAAGAAAGTCACGCGAAAAGGAATTTGAGAGATGGCAGGCGATATTCTTGCGTACGGGTGGGCGCGATGACACCAGATCTTCGAATCTTTGACTTGACGACGTTCTTATGTGAGGAGATTATCTGCTGGAAGAGGTCGAATCTGTCCAGTAACACCATAGTCAATGTTGAAAGCAAAGGATGTGCACAATAACTATAGAAAGACATTGAAATTGTAAGACGATCTATACATACAAATATCATCCAGTGGTGGAGGCGCGTGCAGCTTTCATTGCATTGTAGTATTTGTCCCACTCCGGCAACGCTTCCAGCCTCTCCCCCTTCTGATCCATCGAGTAAAGCATGTTATGTCGGAGCAAGATGGTAACCACATCGTTTAAGAACCCGAGATCATCATGAGACCCATATGCGGTGTGCTTGAATTCGTTTACGACTGCGACTTTCATCGAGCCGAGTCCCCAATTGACCTTAGCTCCAAGATCTGTGATTGGTATTTCGTTTCGTTCGGTCTTCCATTTAGGGCGCATGAATTCGTGGTAAACTTCAATTCCAATCATGCCATTCAAAGCTAACTCGAAGCATTCCGTGTGTATACATATGCCCCATCTCTCATTCTTGTCGACTTTGACGTTAGATCTGCTGTCGAGGACAGTAAGTTCGCCATCCTTCAGCACTCGCCGGATGAGCCAGAGGCGTAATCCAATAAAGCGAACCTTAGCTGCAAAAGTGATTCATTAGATAATATAGACAACGGGGCTGGAATCTGCATGCTCACAACCAACACGACGCTCGAGACCGGCGAATGAGGGGTAAGCTGGGAAAGCCACAGGGGAGGAAAGAACACCAAGTAGAATGGTGGAAATGATGAGTAGAACAGATAAACGCGAGGTCCACATTGTAGTTTGAATGCAAATTGTACGGAAACGGCGACGTAAACTACAAAGGGTTGAATCCTGTTGAATCATGGTCAGTTTGAACACAACACCTCACGATTTGACCAACCACTAAACTAAACAATTGCTAATGAACGAAAAAAGCTCAAGCAAAGACAGGAGATCAAAGGTACTTTTTCAAGGACGACAGTAGACCAGATCAAAGCATTAGATACATAGATCTACTATGTTGAACAAAACCGAAAGCTCACCACAGCGAACAATTTTGGCCGAAGAGGTGTTTGATTATTTTATAGCAGATTACACTGGTGGACGAGTCCATGAGTGAGGTAGAGGGATCGCCAAAAAGTCAACGCACCACAAGAGGTCCAGCCTGCAGATGGGGTGCACTGTTGAAACTTGAATTCTAACATGATGAAGATCGTGATCCGGCACACCGACGGCATAGCCACTTTTTACGTGACAGTCAGGAAACAGTCCTCTTCTCCGGTCGACCAGCTTCGACTAGGCGCTCTCTTATTGCACATTTTACAGTATCAGCTTTCGCGTCCAAGTTCTTGTCACTGTGCCCTTCACTTGAATAATAGCAAAACTCAATGCCGTTCGTTCAAGTGAAACCCAAGATCTTTCATGATAGGAAAACACACCGTCGGGGGAGCGTCGGATTCTTCAAAACGAGTTATGTACAAGGCAGTGCCAACTGATTTTCCAGAAAATTAACTCTTATAAAACTCCCTCTTTCTTGAAGTTCTGTCCCCTACAATTCTCTTCATCTTCCAGTACCTACTCAGTAATTGTTATACGTCTTCCCAATCACCGTCGTTCACTATGTTCAAACCTGCTGCACTCGCTGTCTTCGCTGCACTCTCCATTCAAAATACATCCTACTCCTCCTCCTCTGGGCCATTTGCCTTGTCGTGGAACAGCACATCTCCCTATGGTCAATCCTCTGGCCTTTTCGCCATGTTCGATGGAACCTACGGATCCGCGATGAATTTTACCAGCGGCACACCCTCTTCCTCTAATCTCACCGCTTCCTACAACGCTACCTCCGGCAAATTGTCGCTGGTCTGCGCTGGAGATGATTATCTAACGGGTTTGGTTGCCGCGTTAGTGTATGAGCCAGAGTTGACTCCTCCGACATATACGCTTCAGTGGGTAGATGACTCTGATGCGACATTGCCTGCGGGATCGAATAAGACAAGTTTGGTCCCCATGGATGGAGGGATTGTATCTACTGTGAGTGTATACCGACCATTTTCTCGACTCGCATGGCTTATTGTTCGGTTACATGTAGCTCGGCAGTGGTATCTTCAAAGAAGTGATTGTGGATGACATTGTTAGTGGACAGAATGTTACTGCTGTATGTGTTCCGTGATCTACAGATTCGCACGAACTCATTGCAATTGTTTCAAAGTTTGCCTGGGTTCAAGAAACCACCGCAGAGAACCAGGATGTCCAAGCTCATATTGTCATCGCAGATGGGAGCAATGTTACTTGCGAGGCATCGACCTCTTCTTGTTAAGTTCTTTCCTGCTCTGCATACGCCCTACTACCCTCGGCGATGGACGCATGTTTAGAAAAAAACATTATGACTTTCTTTTACCAAATGCACACATGTTCACCAAGTATCGCTCCTTTCTATTTATGTATGCAATACTTGCATTGATCCTACTTAATAGCAATAAATTATGTTATGCGAACTCGAAGACTCTGTCAGAAGGACAAGTTGGAGTGAGCTCGATCGTCATCTGGTTCATCCAGCTGGCGCTGTGTATATAGCTACTTCTTCCCTTTCCCCAAAGCATGCTCGCGGCCCGTTGCAGGTATCACCTGGACGGTCATTTCCATGAATACAGCGCGTCTCGTATATGAAGGATTCTCGCTACTTTCTCTAGATGAAGTTTGAGTACTTCTTCAAAATTTCCTTTGACCTAAATGCACTTATCGAGCCTCATCTTCCTACTCCCCGTCCTTAAAGTATCAGAAGTAGCAGCTGTAGCAGCTCCTACCCCTCCCACTTCGTCTTTAGGTCCCGTCGTCGACTTGGGGTACGCTGCATACGCTGGAAACAGCACCTCTCCTTCCGGGATCCTCAATTCCAACGTAACTTTCTTCGGCGGTATACCCTACGCCGAACCGCCACTTGGGGATCTTCGATGGAGGGCACCGAAGATGTTAGATGAAAATATTGTGGCTGGTACAGTCACAGATGCAAGAAACTGGGGTCCGCCGTGTATTCAAACCCCGGCTATGGTGGGTATAGGATCAGAGGATTGCTTGACGTTGAATATCTGGAAACCAACGAATCCGTCTGCCGAAGATAAACTCCCCGTGGCGGTTTATATTCATGTATGTGTTTAATTCTGGATGGTTGGATGCAATCCTGATCATTGTTCAACGGTACAGGGAGGAGGTTTCTATGCTGGTGTACGTTTCTATATCATCATCCGCCTTGTTATCAGCTAATCACCGTAAATCGTACCCGAAATCTATAGTCTCCTCAAGGTTTCCCCCTCTACGACTGGGTATCTCAACATCCAACAGGTCTCATCGGCGCATCTATCACCTACCGACTTGGGATGCTTGGCTTTTTCGCAGGACCTGACATCGACGGTGCATCCGACAACATCGATTTGAACGTCGGCCTTCTTGATCAGCGAGCGGGTTTAGAGTGGCTGAAGAGACATGTTAGCCAGTTCGGTGGGGATCCGGAGGATATGACGATCATCGGTGAGAGCGCTGGGGGTGCAAGTATAGTTATGCAGGTCACGGCGTATGGAGGTACGCTGCCATTGTTACTTTTGAATACACCGGTCGAGTTCAGGTTAATTTTGATCTTGAGCAGGAACGAAGCCTGTTCCCTTCGAACGTGTCGTCGCAGAATCGATTGGTTTCGGACCTACCATGACCAATGCTCAGATCGAGGAATATACTAGTACGTGCGGCTCTGCATGTTGAGTCACCTTAATTTTCTAACAGTATCTTTTTCAGACGCTTCTGCCAGTTTTGTTGGCTGCCCGACATCTGGGAATGAGATGTTTGCATGCATGCGAAATGCATCCGTAGGCAAGTACACATCCTTCTTCTCCATAATTCGATGCGTACGCTGAAAGAGTGCATTCTCACCCATAGGCGCAATCGTTGGCGCCATCAACTCCATCCCAGCAGGCAAATTTGCTCCAGTCGTTGAAGGACCAGGCGGATTCATGCCTGACCTTCCTTCCCGGTTGATTCATTCAGGTAATTTCAGCACTGTGGAGTCTGTTATCGCAGGTCATTGCACTGGGGACGGGAAAACCTTTGCCGGAGGCTCTCCTGACCAATTTGTAACCGATGAGAATATAAAGGATATTGTGTTTTCCAGGTGGCCAGGAGTTGTAAGTTCCTTTCGCAATGCCATCTACGTCTCGGGTGTGCGAGGACTGAATCGTTCTCATATTTACTCTCAAAGTCCAACGAGACACAAGATCTGGCATTGGCGATGTATCCAGCTCCGAACACAACAGATCCAGAAATCACTTCAGAGTGGGACCGTGCTTGGTTGATGGCAGGCGAAATTATTTTTACATGCATGTAGGTCCGAGTCTTTTTGTAAATTTGAGTCTGAATATTGACTCGCTAAACCACGTTTACAGGGATTGGCTTTTGGCGGAAGCCACGCTGAATCGCAGTGTCGAGTCTGTGTTCTCTTACGCGTAAGTCTTCGGTAGTTCTATGTAAAGGTCGAGAATGCCTTGATTGAGCTGTTTACTTCCTTCCAGGTGGAATGCCCCAGACACTGTACTATTTGACGCTAAACCCTACTTAGGCGCAATGCATACCTCGGATTTGTATTTCTTGTTCGATGGTAAGTAACTTTCCTCACCCTTCTTGTATGCCCAGCTTGCTGTCACTAATCGTTGGATGGGCAGGTACCAAGTGAGTGTTATGGGCTGAGGAAACGAAATACGACTCTTATTGTGCTTTGCTTGCAGCACTCTTGACAACGCAGGAAATTCTTTCACAGCCTTCAATGAAGTTCGTACATATCCATATCTCATACTCTGATTGTATAGAATGACATTAACCTTGTATTTTTAGAGTGAATCAGCATTGTCAAGGGAGGCCATCGCATATTGGACCTCATTTTCCCAATCTGGAGATCCTTCGTTGTCGAAGTTGTCTACTTCACCTGCATGGGAGGTTTTCGCACCTTTGGGGAATGTCTCGAACACGTTCAGCGACCTTGACAGCATCAATGCGACAAGGCAAAGACTTCTCATCGCACGGGGAAACGATATCGCCATCACAGCATCTCAGATGCAGTTTATATCGAGTGCGGAAAGAGAAAGGTGTATGTTCTGGATGAGCGAAGGTGTGACAAATCAGACGCGGGTGTAGGCTAAGGCAGTTAGCTCAGAATTGATGTGATTTGGATGTAATGATGTAGTAGGTTGTTTGCACGTGACTCCATCGATTATCTCTCGGTATCTGCCGGTTCTTTTATTGCTCCAAGTTGCCTCCGAATTACTCTCACTCTTCAACCACCATCTATAATCATGGCCAACTGCTACGTGAGTTAAAACTACCCTTCTTCACATCCTTTTTCCTATGCGCGGATTTCTTTCGCAATCGCGCTAACGATGACCTCGTTATAGTTCGATATTTCGATTGCCAACAAACCAGCCGGTCGTATTGTTTTTAAGCTGTACGACGACGTCGTTCCGAAAACCACTCACAACTTCCGTGAGCTCTGCCTTAAAGAACAAGGTCAAGGTTACACTGGCTCAAAATTCCACCGCATCATCCCCAACTTCATGCTCCAGGGTGGTGACTTCACTAGAGGTGACGGCACTGGCGGTAGGTCCATCTATGGAGAAAAGTTCGCAGGTATGTTCCCTCGCTTACCGTCTTTCCGCATATATACTCAGAATGCATCTTTTTAAGACGAAAACTTTACGAAGAAACACACCAAGCCTGGCCTGCTCTCCATGGCTAATGCTGGAAAGAATACCAACGGATCTCAGTTTTTCATTACCACTGTCGTTACTTCTTGGCTAGATGGTGCTCATGTCGTCTTCGGTCTGTGCTTTTTTTTCCTTTCTTGCCAATATTGACTAAAACTACGTAGGCGAGGTCGTTGAGGGAATGGACTTAGTTAAGCAGATCGAAGCATTGGGCTCTCCATCTGGAAAGCCGAGTGCTTCCGTTGCCATCGCTGCGAGTGGAACTGTGTAAGCTGTAGGTTGTCAAGTAAAGAAAGGGAAAGAAGATAACATTATCATAACTTGTGTTTAACGGCCCGCATTGAAATTCATTGCCTTGTACTGTTATCGATCGTGTTTGTGGTCCCAAAAATCTTGAGCTTGACAAGCGATTGCGCTGCGATGTCATGAACGTTTGTTGCTGTTCAGCCATTTTATTCCCTACATGTAGCAACCATAATGATAGCAACGAACAATCGCCTTATTCCACCTTTTTCATTACTGCAAACGTTACCCAAAGATACCCTTGAATTTAGATATATGAGGTGTACGGCCACATTCTTACTCGTCTGGAGTCTTGTCACTAATATAACAATATCGAAATACGATTCAATCATCCACGACTTCAATTCCTTCCAGATGAGCCACAAAGTCTTTCAATGTTCGTCAGTATGAATAATACGCCTAAAGGAATGTGAAACAATCAATCCTCACCAGAATTTTCTGCATGAGCGTGGCATCCAAATGTAAGTACATTGTTGTTGCCCTTCTTGAGTGTCAGGTTGATAGGGACCGTCGCAAACTTTCCTGCACGAGAGTTTTTGTCGGCGATCTTGATTTTTTCGCCATTCAGCCAGACATAAGCATCGCCGGCTGCAGAAAAACAGACATCAGACCTGTTCATAATACTCTGCTACATAGATTAAGGACAGTCTTACCAGTGGGGTCGCTGACTGTGTAGTGGATGGAAACCCATTGGGGCTCACCCGTGCCTTCAATGTTGTGAATTGTAACATTGCTCTGAGAGTCGACTGGAACGTCTCAAGATATCAGATCGAAGACAGTAACAGATAATGCGACGGCGTACTGTTGTGTACAGAACGCTCGCACGCTACGCAGGAATCTTCGACTACGAGGTATCTGCTTGAGACTAAATCGTTGAAAGCTGAATAGAAGTCTGCTTACAACCCCGGCGCATTATTAGACCGTCCGCAGCATTGTATCGCTTTCCAGTTGTTGACGTAGTAATAACACCTGAGAGGGAGTAAAAATTAATCAAGATCAAACGAAGTACAAGCTGTCACTTCAAGTTACCGGTGCTAACATCGACCTTCCAAAATGCGTAATCTTCCAGTGTGATCGTATGAGCGCTGTCGTCAACGGATATGGGAAGCCATTCATAATTGCTGGCGGCAGTCCCTTCAGAATCCCAAGCGTCACCCATGTATATGTACGTCGTTTGCTGGCTTCCAGAAATCTTGAGCTCAAAAGTGTTCTGAGAGTCGTAGGTGTTGGAAGACGAAGGGGCGATTCCGCTGGGTCCGTTCCAAGGACCAGCAATGTTGGTCGACCACCAGAATTGGTTGGCGCTACAGGATGTATTAGTTCCGAAATGTCATCGAGGAAAAACTGACTTTGCGGTATAGCCTGTCTTCGTGGACATGACTAGATAGTAGATTCCTGTTGGGGTCGAGGTTGGAATTTGGATGGGCAAAGATTGTATGGCCCTCACCTCCAGTGGATTTCATCAAACCAGGGGCCTCGTACGCGCCCTCTGTCAGATATATCAGATTCCCATTATCAACCTTCAAAAGCTTATAGTCACAAACCAAGATCAGTAACACGGGTGCCAATGGACACTGATGATCCTCCATTCTTGGAAAAAGGATGAACGATAAGGGACTGTGATATCAGAAAACATCCTTACAATCTCGTTGATTTGCAAGTTGTTAGAGTCTGCGCTAGTGAGGATGTAGGCTTCACCTAAGTATGAACAAAGATTGAGATTGTGTGCAAAATTTAGACTAGACACAGATGGCGCACCGGTGGTGTCAACGAAGATTCCTTCATCACTGTAGGTTCGTGCGTCGGGAGGAAGACTGAATGCCGAGCCATAGACGGAGTAGCCAGTGTTTATCGAAGACGATTCCAGCGCTTGGACCAATCTGTTGACCTGGCCCCAGATCTAACCAGGATGTGAGCTCAACACCCGAGCGAATGAAGGAAGAACATCACATAAAATTTACCGCCGGAAGTAAACAACTTAGGCCTATACATGAACTCTACAGCCGTGCTAGCGGGACCTTGAAATGTCCAGTTGAGAAGATCCGTCGAGGAGTAGATGTTGGGAACCTCGTTGCTCGCATAGGCAGACCCAACCTATTTGTAGATGAGGAGTGATTCTTCAGAAGAGTCAGCTTTTTCCCCTACCCAGTAGAAGGTAGTTCCCTCCTGCAAGATCTGTCCGCCGTGGGCATCAATTTTGTTACCAGATGTGTCGGTCCAGACAGCACCGGGGACAATCCAAGAAGCACCTAGTACGGCAGGCGCAAGAAGTATCGAGACACACAGGGCTCGAAAGTTAGCTCTGAGTTGACCGAGCATATTGATGGAGGAATTTTCAGTGAAATTCAGGTATTCTAGTCCTCCCGCTCTCTTTATATCGTCGTCTCCTTGACCACCTCATGACTGTGATATTTTCGCAGAAAGAACACAACAAGAACTTGTGGAAGGTTTTGCGGACAAATGAAGTTTTTCGGACGCATGGTTTAGGCGTCAGCTGGCTAATTGGACGATGTAATGATAATTATCGGAAAAATATTATTGTCAGGGCGGATGTGATTCTTTGCGTCCCTTCCAGAGCGTCGAATCCACGGGTATATCCTCCTTCAACGAGTGGAACGAAAAAGGTCCGCTGCGATATTTAGTGAGATATATCTTGGTATATATCCAGTATATACCCAACGCACCGTGATAATGATAGGATTCGGCGGATTCCTCCATATCATATGTACGATATGGCGAAACTGGCACGGTATCTTTACCAGTCGGACTGCTCGCTAGCCTCGACGCCCTACGTCTTCATGCCAGCTTTATAACTCAACCCAACAGCGAGGCAACCGGTTATAGTGCGAAGATCAGAGGTATAGTACTTGCTTGAGAAGGATTGAGCAGGAATTGATGATGAAAAGTCGGAGTCGATTGAAAGGAGAGACTGAAAGAGTACTTTAAGCAGAGTACTATAAGCAGAGGGCCAGGCTCAGCACGGAGGAAAGTCGCGTTACTCGGGTGTACTCGAGAGCTAGTCGTTTTTCCTCCTCTCCTGTGAGAATCTATGTCCGAATTGTGGGTAATAGGAATGACCTGAAGGTAAAATGCCTTATTCAAGGGAATTTGGAGACAATGAGGACCAGATGAAGACCAGATGAAGACCAGATGAGGACTACCGAGGGAGAGTAAACGCTTAATTATGACCGGCGTTTGTATGTTCGACACATCTCTTCACAAGCCAGCCAACATCTACCAACATGCCATGATGATGAATCACTTGGAATTACTTTGATTTTCCAAATAATCTGTTGCGCGCTGATCCTCGCTGATCCTGCGAAGTTCTCCAGGGTTCTCCATATCATAGGGTAATAAATTGTTGATCGCATCTGTGATGTTCAAGGGGCTCATGTTTTCCACTTATTTTCTCCAATCACTTTTTCTTTCTTTCCTTCCACCACGGGCACTACTAACCTCTACTTTCTCTTTCCGGCTTTCGATGATTGACGACTCCGATGACCCAAGGTCCATAGCATCTCAACTGTACTTCCTCGTTTTCCTCAAAGGCCATATCAGTCAACTCACCTTTGTACTTTCAGACTGCTACACAGCTACTTCCACATGCTAGCCATCTGTGAGCGTCGTTCCAAGTTCTGTTCAATTTTTGAAAGCGAGTCCTGACTCTGATCAGCCATTTTGTATTGGGACCATGCCTTGACATTGAGTAAGAGTCAACTTGCTTGCAAATTGTCGATCTCCGACAATTTCACCTTATGGTGTAGAATATGAAGTCCATTATCTATGGATAGGCCCGAAAACATGGAGTTCTTACTGGTTCTTTTTGAATCGGTATTTTGCGTTCTTCGCAAATATCACGGTAACTGTTTTCGAGTTCTACAATTTACCTCCGCAAGTAAGTTCCGTGATTGCAGAAACTTGTTAGTTCTCAATGTTGATCATGATATGTATACGCAGAGGTTTGTTTGGCCCGGTATTTGATATGTACAGTAACAGAATTTTATGGCCTACTTCCAGATGTAAGAGCTTTGGAATGTATCGACAATTGGTGCTTTTTATTCAACAAGTTATCGTCTGTGGTATGTGTCCTACGTCATACCGAGCATTACCTCTAGCCACTGATGACAAGCAGTACTTCTAACGATGCGAATCTATGCGTTATATGGGCGTAATGTCAAGATCCTAGGTTATATGCTTGGAAGCGCAACGATACTTGCCATAGTGGCTGCAGTAGGTCTTCTTGGGGTCTCTTATCACTATGCCAATGATTGCCATCTACTTTTATTTACAGTGGTCCCTATTCGGGCAAAAAAGTACTACAGCCACCTCTGGGTGTCATATTGGCAGTGATTTCACCACGTAGGGCACTTAGGGCACTTTCTTTAGCGTGAAATATGACTGATCAAAATTATCCTTTGCTTCAAAAGTTCCGTACGTGAGTAAAGGCGTGTTAATTGGGGCTAACAGAGCCTTGCATTGACAATAATATTCTTGCTTAGACTTGGCCACTGCTTGGGAGGCACTGTTTTGTTATGATACGATACTCTTTGGATTCACGTTATATCAGACTTACAAGTCCCGACATACCATGGGAATGTCACTGCACATTCCACTGGTATCTCTGATGCTTCGCGACGGTAAGTCTCCTCAACTACCTGGCTGAATATACTAAACATATTATATATTCAATAGGCGCTGTGTATTTTGCGTGAGTATCTATTAGCTACCAGCTTCCGATATCCAGCCGATATCCTGACTCGAATGTCTCAGCGTTATGGCCCTCGCAAACTTGTCAAACATATTAACCTTCTATGTACGCACCGCTTCCTGCTCGAGGAATTCCAATTTTCGATTGAAATTGTTCTCAGCTCGCAGGCGTAAGTTATCATGCAGTACGACTTCAAAGTTTGATCAAACTTCTGATGATCTACGTACTGCAGCCATTTTTGCGAGGGAGCCTATCAACTTTCGCAAGCTGCATGTCCGTGACCATGATGTCTCGTCTGATGTTAAATCTTCATAGTTCTGCAAGGATAGGCATTTTTTCAACTCTGCCTACGTTCCATCGTGGAGATGATTCCACTCTTCCGACGAATACCGACAGTTTCGAATTGGATACCTTGAGAACAGAGGACTTACTTTCTCGGCGGACCACAAGATATATGACAAACGATCTTACTCGATTAGAATCACCACCTATGTTATGACCTTCGTTCGTATCATATAATCTACGTGTCTACTGGTTCAAAAAGCAATATTGGAGCGCCCTTGGTATCCAGAATCCGAGTCATCCTCCATATCGAAATCCTCCTCATCGTCTGACCCAGAACTACCTTTGCCGGCACTGGTATCAGAGTCCGCCGCTTTCTCGTTACGTGTCTCCCCACCCCAATTTCCCCAGCGAGCCGTATTTGCAACATCATAATTGTGCTGATTGTAGCTCCGCCATTCGCTCTTCCAGTGCGGGATGGATTTCACCCATACCACGTTTTGAGACTGCTCCGTGTCGTATTTTCCAGCAAAGTCAAATTCTCCCATCCAGTGCATATGACCTTTGATTCGTCCGTCACCAAGGAACACGATATAGCCTTTGTTGTCTTTCCCGAATGATGATTCACCCTCTCCGGACTCCTCTCCTCGCCATAAGAATTCGACTTTGAAGCCAGCAGGAAACGATTCCGGTAGCGGGGACGACGTCGAGCGGAGTATGCCACTGATCCCTCCAAAATCGAACTTCCCCCACAAATGAGAGGATTTCATTGACTTGCAGATTTTGAGCGTGAAGAGCTCGTCTGGGAGGAATTGGCTCCACTGTTCTGACATGAAAGGAATCGCGACATCGAAACGGCCTCGGAATTCTCGATCCCTCAGATTGTTGATGGACTATATATTTCATTGAGATTAACACTTGTTACACTCACGAATGACAAACATACGTACTTTTAGTGCACTCTTGCCTTTGTTCGCCTTCTGCGTGGTTTTCTGAGATCTAGAAATTTGGAGCTCGACGGCGTCTCTCAGCTCTGGGACATCTTTGACAACTTTGGCTACAATCTTGCGCAAGTCGCCTTCAGGCATCACTTTGATTGCATCTCTGAGAGCTTTATCTGAGAGTCTCTTGACCATCGCACCACTATCGTCAGTTCCTGCCACTTTCGTCTCCGAAATCTCTTTGAGCTGCTTCATCAGCGCCGCATTCTTTCGAGACCTTTCTTCTTGCTCCTTTCGGACCCTCTCTCTCTCCAGAAGCCGCCGCTCCTCGTAAAGTCGTCCTGCCTCTAAATTAGCTTTATCGTACTCTTCTTTTAGCTCTTTCTCGACGAGCAAGATACTTTCCGGTACTTTGAGTTGATGATCCGCATCGAAAGCCTGTAAAAGATGCTTTTTGGCCGCTTCTTTGGTTTTATATTGTTTAAGGCCATAATGAATGAGCTGGGCGCAGTAAAAGGCACCGGAACGATCTCTGTGGGGAGAGGGTTGACGCTTGGCGACCTTTCCAGCTTTGGTGAGAACTGGCCCACTGGGTGGAGTGTAGGTTAGGAGACTATACAGAGACCCACTACTTTCACGAGTGAAGCGTTCTTTGCTAAAGCCACCGCTACCGGGAACTTCTACATAGAAGTCTGAGCCATAGAAGAAGTTTCCTCGAGTGACCGGAGAGGCAAACTGGCGAGTGGACATCATCTGGGTACTATGTAACAGTTAGAACTTGAATTTGAGCTTAGGGGTGTAAGTAATGAATATTGAATACTCACGCACATGTGACCGTGTAACCGTCATAACTGATGGAGAGGCTTTTACACTGGACTACCTATATAGTATTGTACATTGTATGTCACGGTAAGGTATACACGCTGGTACACGACCATACCCGTACGGTCAGCGTACGGTCTCGTCTGTCAATCTATGTGTCTCATAAGGAGAAAAGTGACCCATGCGGTGCACGTTGAGCAGCTCAGTGTGTCGCGTTGCTCCGTTCATGCAGTGATGGAAAGTGTAGGCGCCTAATTTGTCGAACCAACTTGAAGCAGTTGCACATACATAGGATATAACTCGAGCCAGTCCAAAATAAACAATCATCCAAATCTCTTCAACGTTCGTTTTCGCCATGGCACCTCTTCTCGGACGTCTCGGGAATTAAAATTTCCTTTTTAGAACATTATCGCGGACCGAATAACCGACTCGAGAAGCAAAGAAAATTGTCCCAAAATCGAACGGACACGATCGAATTGCTTATTTTGTTTTGTTGACGTTCCAGTGGATTTAAGACAGAAGACAACCAGTTTGAACAATCCCTTCTTCTTCCTGTCCTACCATCATCACCCCCGCCAAATTCATCGTTAACCTTAAGATTTAACACTAATTGATATCCATAACGTGTACCATTGGTACTTGTACGCAATCCACGCTTACATCTCTCGCCAGCTATTTCGCTTTTTTCGTTCCGGCTTTGCATCGCTATCTTGTAAAATGTCCGCGCCTCCTTCCCCAGCATTGGCCGACCGACTTCACGATACATCGTGTCATTCTCGTCAAACTTCTCATCAGTCTTCAGCTGATTCCACAGCTTCAATCCAGTCTCTGCACCTCGCCTCAGTACCGCTATCTGCCTTTTCTACTTCGCGTGTACCTGTCTCGCCGCCTTCTTCTCATTTAGCGACTTCGCCTCACCCCAGCTCCGATGCGACATCGTATCGCGTTTACCGACACGATCCAAACACGGTGGACGGTTCCGATGGCTCTGCTCTCGGAACCGGCGAGGTGGTGGGCCTTATGAGGACCATTAACCTGACCAGCAGTCCCACAACCTCTATCATTCCAGGTATGCTTTCTTTCGAGTAGCATTTTCTTATCGCTCATGTTCGGACTTAGAACGCGACCTGGAGGAAGGCGAGATTCTCGCGTCCCCGGCGAGTCCTAAGTCACCCGTTGGTAGAGCTCCACGTCAACGTGAAGAATCGTTTGGAGGTGCCCTACCTTCTTCCCCAGAGGTATTGCCTTCGGCCGCCTCGGGTCGACTTGTTGCTAGCCTTGCGCCTATACCTTCAAGTGGCGCCACTAGCTCGGCCGTCATCAACGCTCTTTCCAGTTTGCCTACTTCTAGCACACTCTCAAGCATCCTTAGCTCCTCTTCCTTCCACACTGCCTCTTCCTCTAGCTCGATTCCAACGTCAATTTCAAACTCAGGTTCAGCAAATAACTTGTCAATGTGCAATTCTGACTCGCAAGATTTCAACAACGAGACAAAATTCACCGCCCAGGTTAAACCACAACTCACTTCCCGCTCTGGCAATGTCCCTGAGACCGGACCTATTGATCTCGAAGCCCTTGAGAAGGATAGTGCCAACGCGACGCTAACTTTCAATGTCAACCACAGTGCTCCTGCGCATATACCCAGCTCTGACAGTGACCATGGTACTAGCAGATCATACGATGCTGCTGATGACCAGCAGAAATCACCGAACGTGTACATCAATGGCTTGCCGTCTCATTTCCCTGAAGAGCAGCTTTTCGAACTCGCAGCTCCCTTTGGTGAGATTCGAAGTGTGCGGAGTTTCACTAGACATGTCGGAGAGAAGGAAAGTGGTTACGGTTTTGTGCTGTAGGTTTCTCGTTTGAAATCAGACCCGCAGCGCCTTTCTTATGGCCCTTGGTATAGATTCGAAACTGTGGAAGCAGCTGAAAAATGCATCCAATCCCTTCGTCGTTTTAGAAATCTCCACCCAACGTTTTCAAAGGTAGAAAATCCCACCTTCTTAGTAATATTGACTAAATCTGCTCTCTTTCACCAGCAATCTCATAAAATACCCGGCTTGCCATATACACAATCATCCTTGCAGAGTGGGTGGACGCACGAAAACGATAACGGCCCAAGCCTCGCTCATGGCACTGGTGTGTGTTCTTCCGCTGCTGGTGGCGGGACCGGCATGAATCAAACCGGCGAGATTTCCTTCAAGACCAAAATGGAACATTTGCAGGATCCGAATAGCACAAATCTGTACATTGAAGGGTGCGCCGTTTCTTTTCTCTTGCTTACTCCCGTTCTTCTTGTGCATCCCTTTGATGAAACGTAAATCCTCATCGTCTTTCTAAGCCTCTTTCCTGTCAACAAAATTTGTCCCCTTGAAAAGCCATATTCTCTTCGTCCTTCCAGGCACTGACTGACCTTTCTCGTGACATCTTTTAGGCTTCCTTTAAGCATTGATGAACCAGTGAGCAAATTATCTTTCATAGCTTCCACTGCTTCCGATCGCAGCGTCCCATCGATCGTCGCCCGTTCCTTTTTTCGTTTACACTTTTTCACTTGCTATTTGTCATCTTCGCGACAGCCAAACTGACCTTCCTTCTCTATTCTTCATTTGCCTACTTTAGTCATTAGTTGCCCTCGTATCGCCCCATCGCATCAAGAGCAGCCGATTCTTTCAAACTAGATTGAGTAACCCTCCGAGAATCATTGCCTTCGTCAGGTTCGTGTTTTTCCTAAATCGCGTCACTATATGTACATTGCTAAAATTGTACTAGATTGGAAACTAGACATGGAGCTGAAGAAGTTGTTGAACGTTTACATGGACGAATGGTCCGTGGATGGAACGATCCCGGTAGCCGAATTTCGGTTCGATTTGCAGACACCAGCGAACAGCGAGAATTAAGGGTATGTAATTCCTGAAAATGCGTTCTGACCTCGCTGATATTTCTCTGATCAAAGCGTTCAGAACGTGTCATACGCGAAGACGACTCTGCTTCTCCTGCTAGACTCACCATTGCACAAGCAGCCTTGCTCAACCTTCGTGGCCGCGACCAGCTTCGTAACCAACAGCAGACTGGCGTTGACGCTCCTCTCATTGGAGCCAGCCGCTTGGTTCATGGATCCGCACCGACTGCAAACCAGGTCTACAACGATTTTTCGTCCAACGCCCACGACCTTTCTGCTGCTGCTGCAGGAGCATACCGGGGCTCCGCCAGTGACTTGACATCTGCAGCTCAGCTACTTGCAGGACTCAACAATGGTCCCCGTCGTGGAGTCAACCTTTCGCCTTACCACCAAACATCTCCTCTTCCGAATGTTCTGGGTCAGACCAACCAAGATCTGACTCCTGCTATGGCGGCTCTTCTTGACTCTCTACGCGGTAATGGGGCTCCTTGGACTGGTCATGATGATCGTTATACTGCTCCGCAACGCCAACCTCATACATTTCGCAACGCCCATAGCGCCCATTCCGTTCTTGGAGATGTTGATCTCAATCTCACTTTCACACCCGAGTATCAAAGCCGTGTCGGAGGCGGCGTAGCGCAAACCCGAAGCGGTTATACTCCTGCTGAAGAGCTCATTCTCAACGCACATGCACAAAGGCGCAAGAGTGTCCACATCGGAGGCGACGAACCTTCTTACCACCAACATGGTCAACACGTGGACGATGCGGGCTTCAATGTTGGTGTTCGTGGTTACCGCACGCAAGCATCTACCATGTCAATACAGCAACAACCGTCATCCTATTACCTTTCTTCAGGAAACTTGCCTGTCGTAGTCGAATCAGATGGGGATCAAGAGGCTGAGCATCCGCCTCAGTCAACAAGGTATCCTCAATCTCAGCTCAATGGGAGGTCCCGTCAGGTTCGCAACTCTGGCCCACGCGAGCGCGATATTCACAACAACTTCCTTAGCAATAATCATAATCAACAGGCTCATGTCCGTTCGACCACACTCCCACCTTCGTCTACGCCGTCGACGGCTGCACCTCGCCACTATCAGCACAACAGCATGAGTGTATTGAAATCGAGAAATATCACCAACGACATCATGCGTACAACTTCGTCTCAATTGCAAACAACATCGTCCAATCAGCCTCAGGCGCATTCAAAACACAGATCCATGAACTCTATCAGCAGCAGCATTCTTAATAACAGCAAGATTCACGATGACAACATTCATAACAATACCCACTTATACTCTGACGCCAGTGATATTCGTATTCCAGACGGAGGCTCATCATACACGGATATGACCTCTGCTCATCAACAGCAGCATCATTATCGCCATAATTATCCTACTAAAACCGCTGGCGACCAGGACCCTCCGTTTGGTAACAACAATTTGGACTCGAAGAAAAACACATTCGACGATGGGTCGTACGGAGTAACCACACATTCTTATACTCGAAATCCTGAAACTTATGATGTCCCTCAAACCTCCCCTCCACTCGTCTCGCCCGCTTTAACTTATTCCTCGAGAGGGTCTGGTGCGACACTTAGTCCCTCTACGCCTTATGTTGGGTCATTTACCTCATCTACGGGTCATGAAACTGGCGGGGAATACCAATCTGCGCAGAGGGTAGAAACAGAGGTAGGAGTTGGGGAAAGATAATGATTCACCGCAAGCATTTCGATTTTCCCTCTTTTGAAATTTGTTTGTCCTCAGTTTTTCCGCTTTCTTGAAATTCCTCACGCAACCCTCTTCCCTCAATGAACACTGTTCGCGTCTGTTAATCCCGTGTATGTTATTAGCTTTGACAGTCTTTTGCAAGAAGTCCTTTATCCAGTTTTCAACCCTACCTAATCACAGCTAGTTTGTCGCACTCGCTTCCATTATCGATACGCCCTTTTTTGTGATCTCCATCGTTCGCGTTTCCCGCCCACCTTGGCCAGCTCTCAAGCTTAATTGCCGTACTATACACAGACTCGCTCTTGTAACCATTGTATTTCCTCGTGTACGTAGTATCCAATAATGGCGTCGAATGAGCAGTATATTCTCTTGGATCTCGAATACCTGTTTGGTGATGGTCAATGTACTAGATATATTCACAACGTTCGTCGATCCCTAGTAGTCTCAACAAGGTAATAGCTAGTTGCCTTCATACTGAAATATGCAAATTTTTCTCTTGAATTTGCTATGCTTCCTTGGGAATGCTGACCACATTATCGGTGTATGGATACGTCCATTGTTTGGCTGTGGATTTCCTCCTCTACAACTGAGAGATCTATGGGTGTACGCAGTAGGTCGACAGTGGTAAACATAGATGTTATAGTTCCACAGCTACAGATTTCGATGTGCATAATACTTCAAGCTTCTGGAAGAAAATCTCGACCGAGGATTCTGTAAAGGCATCCCGCCTGCAAAGTCAGCCAAGCATTCTACCATACACGGTAGAGATGTCCTTTCATCGAATTATTGAGACATTCCTCAGCGATTTCGGGATCAAACGCATTCGATATATAGTAAGTGCTTTCCACAGAGAGTTCATTTCCAAGGAACTGGGCGGGTCTTCTGAAGGCCTGAGGGCCCATGTGCATGAGGATTTCTGTCTACATATAGCAGGTGGTACTTATAAGTGATTCATGAGAAGAAATTTGATTTACCGTTCTTGTCATCAGGCTTCTTGATGATGTACCCGGCGCTATACATAGCACAGAGACCGATGTTACAACAAATGAAAAAAAGCTCGCGCTGAGCTGAGCTGGAGCTGACCGGCGCCCAAAAAACTGCGATTTCAAAGATGGAGTTGTAATACATGGATCCAGTACGTGAGCATTATTTGATCTAGTCCCTAATCGCAACTCGGATTGACCAAAGACAAAATCCTGCTAGCGTGATGAGGGTTTTAGATGACAGAGAATACGGAATGAAATTTCCTTTTTCGGACGGATACTCTCACCGGAACTCACGCTGATACAGTCAAAAACCGGGCGTACCACCGCAAACCCTTTACCTCCTTCTATATTCTGTCGGAATGTGTTCTATAAAGAAGCTCCGTTCATGATCTTTGCATTGATCCCAACGGGCTGCTGTCGCTTGTCCCCATAAATACTGCAAACAGGAGATTTAACTTACTCACAAAACTGGAATTTCGTCATGTGTTTTACAAAGCGTCAAAGGAATAATTTCGATGATCAAGATAACAAGGTTTCAAAAAATGGTATAAAAAGGGCAACGGACGAAAACAAGTCAAATCCGCCTCCCACTTCTGAACCAGAACCGACACCAACCGATTTTACTGCACCTTCTACCAGTACCACAATGTCTTCGCCCAAAATTGCAATCGTTATCTACTCTATGTACGGCCACATCGCCAAATGTAAATTGCTCTTTCGAATCGTCTTTTGTGCACCTACTTACTAACTTCGTGCTCGACAGTGGCCGAGTCTGTGAAGAGTGGTGTTGAGGCCGCTGGAGGCAAAGTTACCATTTTCCAGTCCGTCCAAATTTTACTCTGTCCGTAATCAACGTGACTGAATACCCGACGTTAGAATCCCAGAAACTCTTCCCCAAGAGGTCCTCACCAAGATGTATGCACCCGCCAAACCAGATTATCCTCTCATCGACGCGGATAAGCTTACCGAGTTCGACGCGTTCCTTTTCGGTATCCGTGAGTGGCAATACAGTGTCTTTTTGTATATTTTTCCAACGATCCATTCTACCAGCCACTCGGTACGGAAACTTCCCTGCTCAGTGGAAGGTTAGTCTCAGCATTCCTCACTCGCGAGGTCGACTCTTATCTATGTTCTATCAAGGTTTTCTGGGACACTACGGGTGGTCTCTGGGGTAAAGGTGCCCTTGCTGGCAAATATGTCAGTGTGTTTTTCTCTACGGCTTCGCTCGGTGGAGGCCAAGAATCCACGGCTATGAACGCTATGTCGACGTTCGTTCATCATGGAATGATCTTTGTCCCTCTCGGATACTCTGTGGCTTTTCCGCAAATGACAAGTCTCTCGGAAATCCGTGGTGGTGTGTGGCTTCGCTTCTGATTCTCGAACGCGCGGCTCACACTTGTCTTCCTTAGGATCCGCATGGGGAGCCGGAACCGTCGCTGGTGCTCAAGGAGAACGTCAACCCTCTGCGCTTGAGCTCGAGATTGCAAACATCCAAGGTACTTTGATATTATAGTCTTGTTTACTCAGCTCATCGAATACTTTATACAGGAAAACATTTCTACCAGACCGTATCAAAAGTGAAGTTCTAATTCAGGTGTGAATAAGCGTTTTCGAAGTATTAAAGATCAAGGACGTCCGTAATTTAGAATGTTCTGTGCCTATATCCTCTACTATCACGTTTGAATCATATCATATGGCCTCATCAGTGTCGATGTGAGGGCTAGGGCAATATCGGGACAACTGTCATTCATGATTCCACCTGATTCCACTCAAAAGCTTCACCGGTGATCGCATACGCCCGCCGTCTTGTGGTAGCGCGAATGTCAAAAAGGTCCGAAGAGGCATTCTGCAGTGAATCATTATTCTCTATGTAATGGTATCCTATCTTCATCGGAAGATGCTAGGCCCTTACTTTGAGTACGAACAGGCGGAGATTTGGTCTGTACAAGAAGGTCCAGCAAGAGAGAGCGCAGTCAAGTTGGCTGCAATCTCTTTTCCAGCATTGTGTTTTAACCAATACTGCACGTCTAAGAGGCACTGAAAGCCAGTAAGTATGTAAGAGTTTCTGGCTTAATTCGTGGTGAGGCAGGTCAAAGCTGTCGATATCAACTGTTCTAGCGGAGCTTGAATGTTCAATAGCAAGTCATATGGGGATATTACCCCACATTCTCATCTTCAACTGGTCTCGAGACACGGTTTGGTCATGGGTCTGGAGACTCTCGGCTCTCTCCGGGTCCTAAATTCCCAGCAATAAAACACGAAGCGGGTGTATCCTGACGATTACACCTTTCTTTCTGATCCCCACAACCTAGTTGCGGAACCAGAACACTCGTCTCTTCGCTCGTCCTTCAAGCCCAGACTCTTTACGCAACCTTCATACTTCTTTGTTGACAATGGCCGAAGTCGAGTCCTCTCCCGCTACGATTGAGATCAACGACGCCCTGTTCTGTCAGCATTATAAGGAAGTTGTGAGTACTAGTACTCATCGTCGACAGTTGTAATTAGCTCTCTTACCATCGGTGTATCTATCTAGTGCGCCATTTGCGGGTATGATAGGATGTTTATTTCTGTAGTCAGACCTGATAATCAGAATTTAGGTACGACGGACGAGAGGAGAATGATGCATTTTTTGGGGTGAGCCATCCTATTCTGTTGTTAGCTTTTCGCATGTATAGTACTGAATGTGCCGTGTTCTATGTGCAGTTTGACCCAATAGACCGCGAGGGCATCGAAGCTCCCTCTGCTACCATCAACAAGGACGGTGACTACCAGTGTAAGAAGCACGCACTCACTGGTAAGTCTTCTTATCATTGATGACAAGCATAACTCTGAACGCAGTTATCATGTTTCAGCCTGCAACCAATGTTACGGTTGGAAGAAACAAATTACTCGTTTGCGTACCCAAGCGAAAAAGGCAGGGAAGAAGTAGATTTACACTACATTATCAACGGTACGGAACTTGTATGACTGCTGAAGAAACTTTGCTGTGAAATGTACATTATCAAAATGATGAAATTGTGTTGAGCCCGCATAATAGCGGCATATCATGGATCTCCTCATCCTAGTCTCACGTTCTAATTCCCAAGGCCGTCAAACTTGATAGTCCAGCCTCTCTGCACTACTTTGAATCTGCGTAAACTTACGTTTTTTAGTACAGTAATTTGAAATGAAAACGACGATTTCAAGGTTAAAAGTAGATTCTCAACAAATTTCTGCAATCTTACAATCCCGCCAAGCTGCATACATCAGAACTACAAAATTCTGCCCTTCTGGACTTCCCGCAGTGTATTGCGTCGTATCGCTCCAGTTGAGGGGATTGACAGCAGGACTAGCTGTTCCATTGGCTGTAATATGCTCTGCCAACGTCTTCCGTAACTCATCAGCCCAGTCTATGTATGTCCTGTCTGAACCATCGGCGTAGAAAATATCGGGTCGCAAAACGACAACTCGATATGAAACGCTCGCCAATAACGCTGTTCCGGAAGTTTCTCCAAAACCATGCCCGTCTCCTGACACATCGTCGAGGTAGTTTCTCAACAATCCATTAAGCGCTAGGGTTATATCCTTTCCCCTTATTGCACCATCCAAAATTTCCTTGATCCATTGCGTAAGTTCCGAAACTGCGTCGTCCTTCCATGTAAGTGTGATATGAGAAGGAGCTTTCAAGACTGTGGCAAGGACTCGAGTCATACCGGCCGCTGCCCAGGCATTCCCTGTAGACCAGACGCCCGTGTCCTGGTTAACGGGCCCGATGATGTGCTCCCATAATCCTTTGTACGATGTCGCTGACGAGACATTCTTTTGGAGAATTTGTCGGTATAGCCCGCACTGCTCCACAGTCTGTTGAAGCAGCAATGGATTAGATGTCTCCACAGCATAATATGCGAGAAATGGAGGTGCCATGTATACGAAATCGGCCCTAAAGGTTTGAACAAGTGTCAAGCTGGATATGTCGATAAACCCAGAAAACCTTACCAAAGTTCTGCGTACTCGACACGGTGACTTATCGCTCCGTTCCAGAACCTTGGAGCCCCCATCAGTAAGTATTCTGCTTCCCTTTCTGCTGCATCTCTCAACGTCTCATTGCCAGCTATCTTTCCCAGTAGGACCGCACTAACGCCTAAGCTTGCGGGATCTCCCACTGCACCATCTCCATCAGCAAGAACGTTTGCGCCTGTTCCAAAAACGATTTTTGCCTGAGCATAAACCAAAGATGGAACTGACATTGCAACCAGTGGATCTCGAGAAAGCGAAGCCGCAGCTTGGAATGGTTCAGGACCAAATATGCTCAACGATGGATTCCACAATTCGAGCAAGGCTTCGGACGCTGTTCCAAACTCCCATGAATGGCTAGGAAGAGAGATAGCTAGACCAGCAACAGATTGTATATCGAAGCCAGGATCAAATGCAAATGGATCAATTGGATCTACTGGGGAGTTCGCCAAAGTCACCCTGGGTTTCAACACAGTTGTAGCAGTTACAAGAAGGTTAACCAACGCTGAAACCAGACCGATCGCGACGATGCTCATCATCTCCGTGAGGACTGATGCACTGATGGATTGTTATTTTATGAAGGGGGACAAGAACAAGCTTCTTCACCGCTGGAAATCATTTAAAAAGAACACAAAACATCTTGCCAGCGTGATTAGAAGCGAGAGAAGTATCCTGAAAACGTGAATTATGACACTGACACCTGCCACTACTGAATGTTATTATTAAGCTAAGTATTTTTTTTGTCCCGACTTTCCAATCGTTGTCGATCAAGGCTAGCGCTCTTCTGTGAACATAGGAAAATCAGCAGTGGACTGCAAGAGATCATCGACGTTCTGCATAAATAGTGACCAATCTTCATCAGATTCATTCCTATAACGTTTCATGAATATGAATAATCAAAATAAGAAATGGAAAAATTTACCGAAGATCTTCATGGATGTCATTGCTTTGAACAAAGGCACTGGGGCCCCATGATGAGACAAACGATCCTACGAGATAGATCAGTCATGCAGCAAAAACAATTTTTAATGCAGGTCAGCATACCAGGGTGAGATTGGTCTCCCGAAGCAGAGTCAGGATCAATGTCCTTGTTTTTCTTTCCGAAACTCAGTTGTAGTGAAATGCCAAAGGATAATTTATGACTTACACTATATTCTGGGAATGTAGACACTGTGCTTAGAATTCCGGAATTCGGATGTGGAGAAAACATGATCGAGTCAGAGGAATACAGTGGGAGTAGCCCAAGTTCAGTAGTGTAGAACGGAAGAGAAGATCGAGAGATTGGAGTGTGCTGCAAAGTTCTTTCATGACTTCGATCGGCTGGTTGTTGGGCAAAATTTATCATGCTCATAGCATGCGAGCTTGCATTGGAATGTTCAGCTGGCTTAGGCAGAAAAGAAGAGCTGGGCTTCGGATCCCAATCACGAGCTATGTGTGTTGAGGAATCTGACTCCAGGGGGACATCATGATTCAGGTGTCCGACCGAGATGATTGCATTAAGGATATCACTGCTGACTGCAATCAGTTATCGTCTTGCAGCACACTACAATACGCATCTTACATCATTCGACCGGCTCCCTGATATCTGCAGCAAAGAAACAAAATACGAAATGGTGATTAAATCATTCAACCTCGGAGCATTTCATTACCTTTGTTCAAACGGCCTGATGATTTTGAAACACTTGTGTACATCGAACATCTCAGTTCCAGTACTCAGCGGCGCGTTTAATTTCTTTCCTCTCCAGAAATTTATGAGAAGCACAATGGCTGCACTGAACACTGAAGGCTGATATTTTGGAAGTTAAAATTGAATCTACATGCAAAATCAACATACCAGAGTAACAGGAGTTGGATGGGTGATGTTGCATGCTTCTGCTATATTGATACATGACCGCGCCGCATTTACACAAATTGTAAGTGAAGGAAACCCATTTAAGATGGTCTCTCGGCCAGGACCAGGTATGAATTTTTTGTGAACCTGATTTAGCCTGATGGGTGCTTTTCTGAAACTCGTTATAAGTGATATGCACCTGAATCTACATGGCGTATGAGGAAGGACTAGTAGATGATGCCAGACAACAACCACAATACCTGCAGCCAGTAGTATGAGGTGTAAAGCATAGCACTCTGTGTAAATAGGATGGCGTTGCTTCGTTTGGGATCCCATTTGACTGTACCATGTCAGTATCAATAGAATAAAGAATGAAGCTAAGCAGTTGAACTGGTGATATGAGAAATTAAACCAAACCTTGGTCAGGAATAGAGCCCACCCATGCGTTCAGAGCGGAGTCAAGTTCCATCACAGCCTTCTGGCTCAATGAAATTCCATCGATTCCCGAAATTTTTGACTCATCCAATTTCTTGATGGGATACTAAGCATTGTTAGGAGGAGTCTTGGAAGCATGGTTCAATTCTCACTATTAGTTTGTTGACAAGGCCTGCTATATTCATCAATTTTATGAAGTGAATCCAATAAGATGTTTGAGAGGGCTTGTCGGGAGGCTGAACAAACATATCTGATGCAATAGCTGTGGCGTTCCAAAATTCTTGGTCACAATCTACTGGCAGCTCAACATCAAAGCTGAAGCCACGTTTCTGATGAGAGTACTAAGGGGATGCGAACAGAAACACACGTACTCGTCGGTAGTCGTGACGCGAGGCCGTCCTAAAAACAAACTTGCACATGTGTCATAGGCTATGATTGCCCAAAATGCTCGGATGCAAGATTCTCTTTCAATTGTTCTAGCCTGGTCTGGTCGTTTCCGATGCATGCCCATAGCTTGCGCAAGACGCATTGCAATTCCTAGTATGATCCAACTGGACTCTGAGATCGCTGAAATTTGCAGGTACGTGACCATCAGCTAATATATCATTCTGTCCCTTTAGCGACAGGAATATTTTTTCGAATGAGTTCTACACGCACAACACAGACTTGCAAATTATACACCCTTGGAGCCTCTATGAAAGAAGATGTGTCGATTGATATTTGACTATACCAACGCCACCCCAGCGAATGGTCCGAGTCTGTCCCTTCAGGCATGTTCCTGGGATCCCTACTGCATCTTGAGGCTACGGCGCACACCGCCAAAACAACTTGTCCAAACCCGATGTCGGAGAAATGCAATCCTTCAGCGACTGATGTTTCAAATGTCGAACGATGCAATAACGGAAGATAAGGCTCGAAGTACACAAAATAATCGTTGATTAGATCATGCAGTAGCTCATTATCTGGGAATGTAAGCTTCCGACCGACTTTATTCTGAATATCTTGTTGCCACTGCATATGAATGCTGCATTTGGCATACCTATGTTGAATATGAGAGAAGAATATGACGCACTGGATATATAGCCCAGTATCCTTGTCTTCTGATGTTCCGATATGTCATTGTGTTCTGTCTGTACCCTGTTGCCTCTTGCTTGTAATCCAAGAGAGTTTTTACTAGTTGGAAATTGCTGGACATCCCAAAATGGCGAGAATGTTGTTGACCGAGCGTGAGTTCTTCTAGCCTCTTGAAGATCGTATTTGCATCAGGATCTTCTTCTACATGCGATGGGCAGTCATTTGGATATGGATTGGTGTGGGCGTCATGAGTAGGCGAACTCGCGAGCGATGGAGTCAGGGAAAGAGATGAAGGAGCAACGGATGTAGTATCCACTATTACAGATGACCGTTGGTCTCGAAGGCTCAATTCCTTTTGTAAAAAGTAGGTATAACGGGAGATATCAATAATCAGAGCGCGAATACTGTCCGGATCTTTGGGTATTGGGTAAGTCTCTGGCTCTGCCAATATACAGGAGACGAAAGATTGAGCAACTTCGAAGTTTTTTTCGATTCCGTTCTTTGGACTGAAGAAATGAGTTGAGATTAGGGTCAGCTCGGATGAGTGCTCACATAGGCTTCGGGCCTCGTTTCTGATTGAATAGTATGAGGCATTGTCACCACTCGGAGAGAGAAGGTAGAAAATCGTTGTTGATATTACCTTTTTCATGTGGTTGTGTGTGCAATCTGCGCCGGCATTCAGGCATCCGGAGCATATATTGTCGGGCATTATTCCGCTATCACCTGAAGTAAGAATGAGCTGGATAACCTCTCGAATATACGGAGGGCTTACAGCGGACTGAAGACTCGGGTCAGAAAACGCATAGAAATCTGATCAAAACAAAGCACCACCTTTCTTTTGCCGGCAGCGAAGACATGCATTATGTATCCGTCTCTTCTTTGTTTCGGAATGATTCGTATTCATGTAGATAGATAGATAGTAAAGTGTACTTTCTAGTAGTGTTGGAACAAGAACAACAAATTGACTCTACGATAACATATTCACGTGACAGCGCGTGCCGCGGTGCCGAGGATGAATAATCAGAATTACTGAATGCAAATATAACGGGTGCCTCTCCAGGCTCTCCAGTAAGCTCCTACACACCAGACTACCGAAACCCATCAATTTAGTGATAAGCAGGAGGCGCCGCCAATTCCCCGTTAGCCAAGCTATCGAGTCTTCTCTTCAATTCTTCTATCTGCGCATTAGTCACGTCTTGCGAGGGGTTACTGGACTCTGGTTCTGAAATTGTCGTTGTAGCCGGTTCTGTGAAGTAGCTTGGCCGGACTGGAGCAAATTCTCGATGCATTGTAATACTTGGTTGGAGGACTTATTGTATAAAGGCTATCAGCATCTCCGGCTGATTTGAGAGGACGCAAGAACCTACTACTTTTTTCAACCCGCTCGTGATATGCTTGGCGGTTCCGCCGACGCCGGAGAAGAAAGAACAGAGCAACAATCAAAACTACACCTAGAACACCCCCGACCACACCCCCTATGATTGCCCTAGTTTTCATTGAATGATTCACCGCAACGGCCACACCTGTGTTTGACGGTGAAGGCAAAGACGTCGAAGAAGATTCCGATCCAGACAATGCGGAAGCAGTAAAGTTGGGTTTGCTAGAAAGAGAAGAGAATGACGGCTGGTAGGTCAGGTAATCAAGTACAAAGGTTTGATTCCCGTCGACTTGAGTGATGTTCATAATAAGGCTATGATTGCCTGTTCGCAAATTCCCGGAAGAGAAGAGCTGATAGTGTGCAGCTTCTGGCTGAGAAACACTCGCGCCAGCTGGAACGAAAAGGACGGAGGGAGTTGTTTCACCGTCGAGGGTGAAATCGATACCAATGCTGCCTGTAGCGGTCCACTCGAAGATACCATAGACATCGATATTGTTGCCTAAGAATGAACACAAAGTTCGACGGTATTCGAAGATCATGAGGTGAGACTAACCAGCAAACGGGAATACAAATCCATCGCCTACGTTGTTCGTTCGATGGGTTGTATTCCCAAGAGGAGGTCCATTGATATAACTGCCTCCGAAGTTGAGTTCAGCGTCACTAGTTGTCCACCCACTTCCCGTGTAAGCAATTTCCGGGCTTCTGTCATCTACAACAATAGTGGATCCACTGAAAGGTGTCGTGGAACCTGCGGTGATGACTACGTAGTCTAGGTCGACGACAATACTGGACAAGTTTACGATGTGCAGGCCATCAGGGAGCATAGGAGTTTGATACCATTGGGTGTAAATTTGGGTACCGACATCAGGGAAAGAGACGTTGTACGGGGTGTTTGAATCAATACCAGCTAAAAACCAAGTTGGGGAGTTCGTAGCGGACGGAGTATTTCCAGTGAACGATATTGAAGTGCCTAGCAGAAAGCATTCAACATCGATGAGTGTGGGCTGTAGAGTACTTACCCTGGAATGAGACGATAATGTCCCCACCGGGAGTTCCAATAAAGGTAGAAGTATTTCCCAGCCAAGGGCCAAAGCCCGGCCCAGCTGTCATCCAGTTACCGCCTGAGAATGTCGAAGTCATTTGAGTATCATCAACGAGTAGCCAAACATCGGAAAGAGAGGGCATCGTCGAACGTGTGAGTGCAAGTAGACGGAAGGAATGTTGGCTCAACCAAGTTGTAGGATTGAAGACTACGAGTTGAGATGATGGGGGGAAGGGAAAACATAGCCTGTTCAAACCTGGGAGCTTATTAGGGAATTCCAGAAAAAGGATGCCCGAAATCCTTCAGTTGCCGTGATGCGCACTAGCATGTTTATATGAGTGTTCAATATACGGCCCTTGCTAGATAGATCAAGCTGCGCACAAGAAAAGAGTAGAGTGTCTATCGCTTCAATCTTACACAACGATTCTAAAGTCAACCCAGCGAACGAAAGGAGAGTTTTAGTTGGGCAGAGTATGGAATAGAATACGACGCACCGTGTAACATAATGAGTGCTCTTTGACTGTCAGGTCTGAGCCTAGTGGAATGACCCACATTACTATGTCAGAGAATCTATAAAGTAGCTGCTGTTGCTGCTGTTGTTTCGTAAACTGGTTGTTGCTCGAAAAACCTTCCACGGAAGAACTTTGCAGGAGCACGTGTCCAATATTTCTTGCTTTGACCACGCAGTGACGCACCAGCCACCTGCATTTTCTAACTTCTAAGTACTCGGTGTCCTCTGACGGCTCAGATACCGACGATACTTTCAAAAACTACGTGTAAATAGTTACATTGTATCAAATCAGAGTAGATTCGATTTTAAACCCATGCGCCCTCATTTATTCCTCCCTTAGAGATTCTGTCACCTGCAATGTATGATTCCAGAGGCGCTCGACAATCAGTTCATCAGCGGGCGTATACTTTAACGACTCTCCCATTTCACCATAACGGTTGAAACCTGGCGGCGATGCCATACACGTAGAGATATGGATTTTACCTACAGCCTTCAAGACATACCATGCTTAAGCATATAGAATAAAGTTGACAAGAGACAAACTAACCTCGGGTGCTTGTGCAAAGAAGGTGAAAAATGGATAGAAAAGATAGTACCATATTGAAGATGTTAGCATGGGCGAGCGAACGAGACCAGGGAATGCGTGGCTGAAACCAATCTGGGGATCTTGTTTGGCTAGTTTCTGTGGTCAAGGAGTTGAGTGTATTCTACGACAGTGCTCTCATTCTCAGTGCATAATGACTTACCTGCATCATCAAATCGTTATACGTCGACAAGGCCAATCTGCACCTCTGAATTGTATGCTTCTTTTTCAAGTCAAGGTCATCCGTATCCACTGATTCGAGGTCTCCTCTTCCCGCAGACAGAACAGAATACACCTTTGCGCCGCCACGAATTTCCGACTTTCTCAACAAAGGCAACAGGTCATGAATGAACGTCCATCTTGAATAGTAACTCAGCGCCATCTTTTCATCCAGACCTTCCTTGGTCTCTTTCCTCCTTGCAAACAGCGACACTCCTGGCGTCAATACCAGATAATCTATTCTTTGCAGGCGGTTCAGGAGACTCTTTGCCGTTTTGTGCACGTTGGATATGAGGGAGAAATCAGATGAGACGAATTCATGAAGGAAAATAGGGCCATCGGATGACGAGGGTTCTGTACTGGGCTCAGTGGGTTTTGGGAATGAGGTGATCATTTCGTTTGCAGCGGCCTGGTTTCGTCCGATAATGATGATATGTGCCATTCCATTCAAGTGGTGCGCAAAAGCTTCTGCCATGCCCCGCCCGATACCACTCGTTCCACCGACGAAAATTGCGACAGGCATTTGAGGCATGGTCATACGAGTAATGAAAAGCCCTGAGAAGGGAAGGAAAGGTGATGGGAACGTTTAAGCATTATTACTTATTACTTATGTATTTGGACTTCTCAGAAGAGCTAACGATATCCCATTCAAATTGCAAAATTATGATGGTTTTGATACAAGGTCAAGGTTCAGGCTCTTGACTACGGTATTAACGAGGACAATGACATTGAGTGACATCGAAAGAGATATAAGTATAGAGTTCGAAATTTGGACCTTTGACCACGGCGGCCTGCACATGTCTTCTCTTGGGTCTAGACATTGAGCACTTGAATTGTATGACCAAAGAGAAGCTCAAGCAATTTAAGAACACCTATAAAAGATACGTGGAGGGACAACAGGCTGAGTTAGAGTGAACGTACCTAACAATCTGCGTCTCCGAAGATAGTCTAGAGTCACACCCGTTTATCAAGGTGCGCATACATTGGGCCTACATATGTCGCTTGCTTGCCAACAACCGAAGTTGAGGTTGCTCGCTATAGATACCCAGCCACTCCGAAGATGCATACGTCTACGCCAGCAACGTTCGAAAGCTCAAAACGTTTCTCTAGCGGTGGCGGAACCGCTTGTTATTCACCACCGGAAGAACCCATATCCAAACCATGTTCCAGGCGCTCAGATACGATTTCAGGGAAGTCAAGTGCAGAAAATCATCTTCCGAAACCGGTTGCGGCAATGGTTAACCTAGCGTCTGAAATGTGGCGTTTAGGAGAGCCTGGAGATGTTGAAGAAGAGCAAGACTCGAAATGGCCACAAACATTCATCTCAGTTAGGGAGAACAAAAGAGAAATATCCGAGCAGGGATCGGGAAGAAAATTGGAAAGAATGTGTTTCTTCGCTGATGGAAAGCAACGATGGATGTACGACGATCTCGAGAAGGGAGAAACCGAAGAAGAACAGGAGACGAGAAAGCTTGGGCTTGAGTTCAGAAGGAGTTATGTTAGATACATAAGGACCAGAGAGGAATTGAGGGAGAACATGATAGATTTGGATGAGTGCTTGTTATGCCAGAAACTTGAAGAAAGGGAGGAAGGACAAGTTCGGTGAACTCGGTCCGGGATACCCAGCTTTTTCCACGCCCGCAACGCCACTGGCCATCTTCCAAGTTTTCCACGTCGGCGCGTCAAGCTCACGCCCGTCGGAATCCTATGTACCAGAACTACATATCCACCACAGCACGACCCAGTAGACCCAATAATTAGTGGTGACATTATTCTAGATTATTCTCCACAAAAGTGCTATTCAGTGCGAAAACAGACTAGCAATAGTTGCTGGTACTCGAAGGCCATGCTTCTGATCCTTATCTCTCTGAAAGGTGGTATCCAAGGCTGCACCTGGATGCCTCCGGATCCTGAAACGTATACATCAAACACCAAAAATTAGTCTATCTGGGAGGATGTGCGTCGGCTCACTTGCTGATGGCTCCTTGACGTTTTCTCCCACTCTTCGCTGCCAAGTATCGTGGAAGGGTTTCTCTAAACCTTCAATCTGTGTCCACACTCAAGGTGATTGCCATGACGGATTCCATAGAAGACCTCGAATCGCTTTATCGCCTCAGATACCTTTCCGGTACGTGCTTTTCCAAACTTTGAGGTATTCATTCTCATATCTGCTTTTCCTGCCAGGCGTCGCCCTTTCAGTAATGGTGTATGACCATCTACTCACGTTAAACGAGGAATTCTCGAATATCTGGGCAGCTCCGAATCGAGATTATTTTCAAAAGCTGATGTTTGTGATAAATCGATATTATACAGAGGCCATGGTTATGTACGTTGTATATGGTGCGCCGTACCCTCAAACAAGTCCATCAAAACAACAGCTAACGCGTCCTCTAGTTTGCAGTGGTTTAGCAGACCTTGACGACGCGGTATGTTCTGATATATCCCGCATATCTTCACGGAACTCATCGAATCACTTGATTTGACGACGAATTGTCACAGGCGTAAGTCCAATGTAACTTGCTCCGAGCGAGTCTCCTCAATGTCTTCATTTAATCCTAGCTGTCGCCGATTCGTCTGGGTTTTCGCTCTCACTGCAACAATATTCACCGCCACCACTCACTGTGTGTACACCAACTCTCAGCTAATTTCAGTATTACCGAACCGCGCTGACTGGTATACCGAGGCTGCAGTTTTCATCACCCTCCGAGTCTATCATTCTTGGGACAAGCGCAAGCGGGTGGCAATCATTCTACTGGTTGCATTTATTATTTTCATGGCCGCTGCTGCTGCTCTTGCAGTCATCTCTGCTGTAGACGTCCAACGTATGTCGGTTTATATAGTCTTCATTGCTGATGTGATATCTCATGGTCCCTCGACGTACTACTTAGCTGCTATCCACTTCGTTTCGTTCCTAAAGGCATGCATGGTTCCTGATATCCCAATCACATTTCCATTTATGATGGGAACCCTAGTACGTGTTACTAGTTGTGATTGTTATATTCTGGCGATCTCACGCTGTAGTTCTTTCAGCTTGGTTTCGATCTCTTTATAATCCTCGTAGCCTTTTTCAACGCATTCGAAACACCGCACAAGACACATGCGGATGTCCTGGATACCCTTCACAGAGATGGAGCTAGGTCATTTGTTGTGAGTTGTGGTCAAGCCCCTTTCTCGAAATATCTGTGCTCAAGTGCTGGTGAATACCGTAAAATCAAGGCTATCTTTTGTAAGTGACACTTGAATCTAACTGAGATAAGTCACATTCTCACCAGTGATCTCTAGTACTTCGACTAGGATGCTTGATCGTGTCTGTCATCGGGATGGTGAGTACCGCGTACGTCTTTCCACTGCATACTCTCATCTTCCCAAGCCTGCCGACTGTTTTGGCGCTCTAAGGTGAGTACCTCAATTTTGATAACACCTACGTTGAGATTCAACCAACACATTCCAAGCGTAATGTGGACTTTAACCGCTATCATCTCTTCTCGAATACATCTACGCGTCGAAGGATTGAAATTCACAACGCTCGCATTTGGTTCGTCATTCCTGGTGATATGATTCTCGCCAGGAGAGTTCATTGATAAATCATGTATCCTGTATGTACATATGTACAACCCACTGGTATAAACATCACAGTACGTAAGTACGTTCAACATAGGGAGAAGTATGTATATTGGGAGTTCTAGTTGTGAGTCGTTATCGTTATTCGTTCTAAACGAGGTTCAGAATAAATCAACGGTTACAGTATTTGTTCTTCATTATTCATTTTCTTATTCGCTCCCAGCGTAGCGCTACTGCCGCAGCGACCACGGGTAGTACGCTCACCAGTTCCCCCAGACCAGCCAGTGCTGGCGGGATCTTGACGCCACCTGCAGCAGAGAACGCACCAGCTCCCAGCGTGATAGCAAAGAGATTATAAATCGCGCTCCAGACAAAGTTGCACGCGATGCGCTGTGTGGCCCGCCGGCTGAGGCATATGATATCTAGGATGCCCGCCAACCGTGGTTGCAAAAGAATAACGGTGGCCACTGAGCGGGAAACTTCGGCAAGAGAGGCTGAGGAAGAACTGATATGTATCCCAATACTAGCTTGAGCAAGTGCGACCGCATCATTGGTCCCGTCACCACAAAAGATGACAACAGGTGCATTAGATGATGCGTAGGGCATTGCAAAAGACTCGACCGGCGCGGTACAAAGCGCCTTGATATATGCAGCCTTATCTGCCGGAGAGCAGCGAGAACGGACATTGTCCTCTGGAACGTCCAGCTGGCTAGCAATAGCACGCACCGGACCGTCGTCGTCGCCGGACAGTATGTGAATTGCGATCCCCCAAGTTCGCAGTTGTGTGATAGTTGAGATAGCATCGGGACGCAAGATGTCCTCCGCCAGACCGAATATGGCGCGGAGTGAACCGTCGACTGTGAAGCAAAACGCTGAGAGGCCACGCGAGAGGATGGATATAACGCGTGGGTCGGAACTCAGACCAAGCCAGTGCGAGTTTCCAGCTCGCAGGACCTGTCCGGATGGAGACATGCCTTCAACACCTTTTCCAACTACTGATACGATGTCGGACACATTCGTAACGATGCCAGATTTGGCTTGAAGATGTGTAGCTACGGCGATAGACACTGGGTGTTTGATACTTCCTACAAGACCAAGAAGCAAAGAAGCCGTGACACCTTGTTCTTCAGCCATGTATTCTTCAGCTGCAACAATTAGCTTGCCTTCAGTGAGAGTGCCAGTCTTGTCAAAGACAACATGAGCCGCCTTGTGCGCAATTTCGATACTCTGCGCAGACTTGAAGACGACACCATGCTCGGCGGCAACACCACTGGTGATGACAATGACCATAGGAACGGCCAGGCCAATGGCGCAAGGGCATGAAATGATTAGGACAGTAATGGCGTATGTGATAGCCTGGATGGCAGCTTCATTGCCAGATCGTCCTTGAACAACCATACCGACAGCAATCCAAATAGCAAATGTGATGATTGTGAAAACCATTACCACCGGAACAAACCAACTTGCAACGCGATCTGCAATTTCTTGGATTTGTGGCTTCGAAAGTTTGGCTTCATCGACCATGTTAGCAATAGTGCTGATGGTATTCTCGTTAGGAAGGCGGGTTATTCGAGCGATCAGTGTCCCCGAGTTATTGATGGAACCCGCAATGACGGAAAACTTCACGCTCTTCTCGACTGGTTTTGATTCCCCAGTAATCATTGACTCATCAATTGTGGAGAAGCCAGAAATAACCGTGCCGTCAGTTGGAACTCTGGAATCTGGGATGATCTTCAAGAAATCACCATACTGTAGGAGACGAGCATCAATTTCCCTTTCCGACACCCCTTGTTCGTCCACAATGAGTGCAGTTGGCGTTTGGAGCGAATGAACCGAGATGGACAGGACGGCCTTCTGTCGAGAAAGTGCGGCGACGTAACGACCAACCATGATCAGGGTAACAAGGAGAGTACTTGTTTCGAAAAATTCGCCAGTTGAGAGGGGATTACCAGACGCAAGGAAAGCAAATGAGATGATAGAAAATATATAGGCGGCACTGGTACTCAGGACAATGAGCAGATCCATTTCAATCACCCTAGAGAACACCAGACTTTTCAAGGCTTTGGTGTAGAACGGTCCTGCTATGACAATTTGTACGATAGTCGCCAAAGCCAAGGATACAGAGCCATAAGCAATGTCCTTCTTTGGAAGCGGAGCCCAAGCCAAGACCAAAACAGGAATCGTAAGAGCAACAGAAAGCAATGTCATGTATCCAAAATGACGAACGTGCTTTCTGCCAGCCTCGAGATTCGGATCTGCGAGTAGAGGGGCCAACTTTAGAGGCATAGCCCAGCCTCTCTCAATGAGATTTCTTGCACCTACTACCTTCGGGTCATAATGGACACAAGCGGAGGTCTTGCTGGTAATCTTCATGTCCGTGACTCCAAGCGGCCAATCCTGTTTAACAAAGTCGACAGCATTGATAGGTGTGATCACGTCGATGCTGGCTCCCTGATCTGTGATCTTTTCGCATTTAAACTCTGTCGCCCTTTCCAAGCGCTTCATGACGTCTTCCAAAGTCCCGATGCTAAGATCAAGGTCGAACTCAGCTCGAGATAGAACCAAGCTAGTCTTCAGGTGTTTTATTGAATCAATTTGCGCGAGTGCTCGCTGGAGCTTCGTCTCGCATCCAGTACATGTCATACCGGAGACGCTAAGGCTGACATGCTCGATACCAGATCCTCCTGTTTCGAGATCAGTGGCAGGACTAGCGGGAACATATCGTTTCGGCATTTCGGTAATCTCCTTTGGTTGATCTTCTGCACAGCAGTCCTCTCCACAGCAATCATCCTGTAAACTGACTACAGAACCGTCGTTCGGGCCAGAGCAAGGTTCTGTGGGATTGTTCGTCAATTTTACCTTTACATTGATGCTACTATCAATTGACCGACGTTGTCCTGTAGAACGACAGGAACGACAGCAAGAATCTACAGAAGAACGAGAAGCCGTCGAGGAGCAGCTATTCGTTCCCTCCCTCGAATGTTTCTCGACCTTCTGAGGCATGCAACAGGATTTTTGACCGAGAGCTAGCAGGATACGGCAGATACATCCAAGGCCTCCTAAGCTCATAGCAAACTTTTCCTGAGTAATGTGAGTGTGGTGCTCGCATGCTTTTCCGTCTTTGCTGCCGTCGCAGTGTTTGCTTGCCAGAACATGAGCTACTCTTAATTTTAATCAGTGAGTGGGGCCAGATGATTCATTCTACTCACTTGAGGATGTATCATTGCAGCGTTCTTCATTTTCACATTCACGAAGTGCAAGCCTATCAAGACAGGATTCATCACAGCAAGGTGACAATTTGCCTTCGCAACAGGGCGACTGAGACGTGTCTGTACTACCTGCGATGTTGCGCTCAACCTCAGCCGAGCCCCGTTCGATATCGCAGCAAGGTGATGATTTATCCTGGCAACATGGTGACTCAGACGGTTCTGGCTGGCCATTAGAAACATCAGTGCCGACGCCCACGAGGTAGCGCTCGCTGAAAGGTCCATCCGGTCGAAGAACGCTTGACATTACAGGTTATTCAACTTAGTGAGGGGTGAAAAAAGTTCTGGCAGTGGTTTGAGGAAGATTGGGCTTTCAAAGGCTTTCAACGTTCAATTGTCACGAGGCAAGAACGAACATCCCGGCCTTCCACCGAAGCTTTCATGTTTGCTGTCCCGTGGGAGCAACCTGCGGCGCATGGGTCGGGAGACGGTAAGTTATTAATAAGTTGCGCCGTCTATCAAGGGAACTTTGATCTTGTGGAAGACTATCAATTTTTTGCTATAGTATCTTAGAGTATCTTCTTTCCTTTCGTCAGTTAGTATAATTTCAATCCTCACTTACATATATATCTCTTGAGACGCCGATGGTCCCAATTTATTTGATAACCACATTCAACCTCACTAGGCTGATATTGTCAACATTATTCAATGCAAGAGGAAAAGCGAAAATCGAAAATTATCTGGCTCTGGAAACCTCAAGAATGAATAGCGGTATGAGTACTGTATACTATGTACATAAAGTCCCAAAAATAACTTATGAACAAACCTAAGGGGTCCGATAGCGTACATAGAATCGTCACGGTCAATCAAGAGCTTACAAAAGTCCCAGTGGATATAAACCATCTTATGAGTAACTCGGTGGTGCCTCTTCCTCCTGTTCCTCCTCACGATGGGCAAGCGCCAATCGTCGTTTTTCTGCGGCTGAAGTCAATGGTTTCGTCGTGTAGACATCTGATCTGGAGGAGCTCGAACCAGCCTGCGACAAGATTCTTAAACGGCTTGAAGGGAAAATGGGATGGAAATAACTTACCCCTGAATCTGAAGCAGCTCCTCCATAAGATAGAACTATCTGTCCGGGGGCGGCCAAAAACGAATCTGTATGAGGATTAGGACCCCCCAAAGCACCGTAAGAATCCGCCATGTTACCGCTCCCATTTGCCACACCATTGTGAGGAAGCGAGGCGCCTACGTGAGCGCCGCCCGTAGCAGCAGCAGCGACACCACTGGCCATGGCTGAGGAACTATTCCATGGGTTGTACGACGAGTACGGACGGTCAGACCCGTATTGTGAATTTCTATGAGACCCTTTGTCAGGCTGGCCATAGAGTTGCAAGCCTTCTCCATACTGGGACCCTGGTACCGGTTGGCTATAGCCTGGAAATGAGGACATCGCATTTCGAGGATGATCATTTTGATAAGCTGCAGAAGTGGTAGAAGAGCTTCCTTGGCTATAGTACGACGTAGTATTTGGATTCTGGTTAGCATTGTTCCCAAAGGATCCCGGACTTCCGAGGGGGACGGAAACCATGATTGGAGAATCAGGAGCAGCACTGGCATAAGATTTTCCTCCAAACTTCCGTGACGTCCGTCCTGCGCCTCCGACAAATGCTTCTGCGCCTGCAGCACCAGTAATGAAGGGGCGATTGGTCTGGTTCCGTCGACGTCGAGTGAGGCACACAGCGAACGCAATGACGATGAAAGCAATGACAATTCCTCCTGCGATTGCACCTACAATAACCCCGGTGTGGCTTGTGGACGAGATTTTGGAAGCCGATGAAGCCGATGTGGCAGACGACGATGACGAAGAGGAAGAAGAGGAAAAGGAGGAAGAGGCAGTGGTCGACGATGAATCCTGAACTGTATAACTGAACAAAAGGATGGAATCATTGAGCTTTTAGTTACGATGGGTTTTGAAGAGAAGATAGTCACATAATCGCATCCAGGGCAATATACTCTTCACTATCCCAAAATGAGATCTGTAGCGTGTGGGAAGAGTTACCGAGCCCGTCCATACCCCATAGAACAGCAGATGCGACATCCTCTGAGCCACCATCCGAGGTATGCGTGTGGTCTTGCATGTCGATGGATACAGGCGATGAACCATCAACACCGGCCTGAGCACCCACTGCATAAGGCCAGAGAGGCGCCATGATGTAGACGGCGATACCTATACAGAGGAATCGCTTTCACCTCAGATCATACACTACTAGGAAAGACATACCAGTAAATGTGAAGCTTGCTGTGGCTGTCTTGGAATCGGAAAGATGGTGATAGCCTCCATAGTCCAACGAATTGCTCCCAGAAGAAACACTCCAACCAGTCGAATAGCTGATAGATCCATCGCTATCGTCTACAGTAACATTACGATCCCCTGAAACATACTGGAAGGTTGAATAAAAAGCCAAAGCGAATGTCAGACGCGGAGAAAGGAAGTGGAAACGTGGCGTCATATCGTAGGGGTGAAAGGCAAAAAAAGTGAGAGAAGGAAGAGGAGGAGGAAAAGTAATGTCAGGGTTGCAACAATGAACCATCTTTGGCAGCGATCAGGGCGTTTGATGCAGTGGCACACCGCCCGCTATGCATTATTGTATACTTTACCCTTTCTAGTATGACATTGATACGAGACGGTACGTCGCTAAATGATAACTGACTAGATTTCAATCAGTCTTGACAATGAAACGAGGGTGAAACAGTGCTCGATACTGACTACACAGTCTTCCCGGTGTGAAGGAGCTGCAAATGTTTCTTGAGCCTCTCTTCCCCCCCACTTTTCTTTATGACAATCTGCCAACATCTAAACAACGACCGCCACAGAATTTACGCGCTTATACTGAGTCGTATAGGTGGCGCGCGCTTATGTATCACCAGACCCCGGTAGGTGTCTCTACAACCATGGTAGGTGTCTCTACAACCATGGTAGGTAGAGAAACGCAGAGCGTCTTCAACTTCATCGTACATGCACACCACCCAAACCTATCGTGGGGAATCTGCCAGTATCTGTCCCTCCACTACTTTTTTCTTCTCCAAGTCTAGTCGTGGTTGGACGATTGGACGACTCTCTATGAACAGGCAGGCACGATGTATCAGCGGAAGCATAGCTGTTGATAAAAAATGAGCGCACAGCTTCCATGCTGGCGATGCTGGACAACAATGTTTCAAGGAGAATTATGGAGAACCAAGAGAATTCCCAGTTAACGAATGCGCTCAGTGCATGTTGAACGCCACCAAAAGCACCATCATACAGTAAGATATCGATCTGAACATTTTAATTAGGTATCCAAGGGTGCAATGCCGTTGGTTCCAGAGATATCGACCGCGAAGTTTTGAGTCTTGACGGCAGATGGTGGGATGAACGCTGATGAACGATGTACATATACACAAATAGTACGGGCCGGTCCTATGTCTAATCTTGCATGACTTCGACCAGTATCTCGACCAAAAAATTATTCAACTAGGCATTGACAACCATATACTGTATGTACATGTACCAGACTCAGCGATCCTATAGGACTGTCGCGATCAAGAGCTTATGAAGTCAAACCGAAGACAGATCATCTTCCGAGTAACTTGGGGGTGTCTCTTCCTCATCACAATGGTCAAGCGCCAATCGACGTTTTTCTTCCGTTGAATTTCGTGGTTTTGTTGTATAGACGTCTGATCTGATCTGGAGGTGCCCGAAGCAGATTGAAATAAGAGTCATCAACGGCGTAAAGGAATTCGAGAGAAGATAGGATGGACTGACTCCTTGATGTGAAGCAGCTCCGCCGTAAGATAGAACTATCTGTCCACTGGCAGGCGCAATCAAAATTAAATTTCTATGTGAATTTGAAAACTTAGAAGCGCCATAGGGACCCGCTATTTTATCCTTAGTGCCGCGCTGGCACGGCAAGTCCCCGACTCTGAACATCAATATGGTCCGACGTAAGAACGAATCACTTGTCATGCCTTGCCTGATTTTGCTTCCTTACCTATCATATTCCTCCTTACTACCTCCCTATATCTCCCCACTGTATACCCAGAGCTCCCCTTGTCCGCTTTTACCATTATGTAATATGCCACATGGCTGTCACATGTATAGTATTTAGGCTGGGGACTCCCCTCGGAGCTCCCCAGCGTGTTATTGTCAAATCTTATCTGGAAACTCTTCCAACCTGGCTTGGTCCCTGTTAGTACAGTCTACTTGTACTTGCTAACAGGGCCTGACACGTCTCACCTGTCATATATTTCCTCTTTATCTGTTTCCCTCAACTCTGTTTCCTTCACCTCTGTTTCACTCAACTCTGTTTCTCTTCTCTGTCTCACCTCTCTGAACACCTCTCTCAACTTCCTGAGCCTCTCCTACGACTTACAGTCTACATCGAGGCTCCACACCCCCAACCACCTCCATCCTCACCAACTACACTTCCTTCCCCCACTCCAGGACCTTTGGCTAGGTCCACCCAAGCTCCGCAACCACCACTGGTCAGGCTCCCTACACCAGTAGCGGCACTTATCCCACCTCCCCTTGTACGGCCTAGGCAGCTGTCCTGCTTGCTTAGGCCCAGTCCAGATAGGACAAGAGCAGGCCTTTTGTGCCAGGCCTCACATCACTTTTCAATGTGCATCCGGAGTAAAAGTATGGTTCATTCGTGTAGTTACATATGGAAAGTTGTTGTTTGCTGGAGACATGTATACTTATTTTATGGTACGAAATGTTTACATCGTATTGAACTATTGATATTGAGATAGACGTAGGTCGCGTAGCATTGCTGTACTTGAAAATCGTCCAGTGTTCAAGTCATGTACGTTACCCAGCGTTGATCATAAAATCGTGTTTGAGGGAGCTTGCTTTTGATAGTGATTTGTCCGGATTTCGGTTTGAGTGTTGAAAGCATAGCTTGGAGATGGTTGAAACGTTCCGGAGGCAAAGAGGATCACACTTATTGGGAGTCAGTTATAGTATCGAATCCTACGATATCAGTGGACTGCCCTGAAATTTCGCAAAAGATTTTTCAGCGATGACTGAAGAAGGTACAGCCTCGATAGATATGCACATACATATGTTATTGATTTATTTTGGATGGGATCATTGGGATGGTTGTTCTTTGATTTGATTTTGAGTGTACAATCAAGACATTAGTATAGGTAAGGTATTATCTAGTGAACCTGTTATTATGTTAGCTACTACTCATTCGAAGAGGAGAGAAATCATGTACTTTCAAGCAGTAGCTGCACTTAAAAGAATCAGTTCAACAATCGTGGCCCAGATGATGGGCCAGCTTTGAGGAAATGTGAATTTCTCTATGTGTCTTCGTTGACCTATCTGTTAGGAATAAGACAAAATGAAAGCATAAAATAATGATGCGACGTACAAAGATAACAGTATGCTCGCGGCCGGTCGGTGCATGCCGTTTCCAACATTGACTGTGCTAGAGCCTCTGGTATGCGAATTGGATGTACCGAAAGTTGTTAAATGCAGTACTCACCTGCTCTATGTACGCCGATTAGAGACACTGGTGGCAGCCATACTCTGGACAGATTGGGGCAATCTCAAAACATCGACGGTCCAGACTCAGAGACACCTGATCGTCACTGTGGCTGTCTACGTCTCTTTCCCAGTCGTAACTTGTAAGCTTTACTTCATAACGACTGCTCGGCACTTGCGTCATATCTATCTAAAATCAATGATGCTCATGTACGCTTTTCACATAGATGCTGCGATTTCTGTTCAGCAGCCCCTGTGGGAAAACCCTTGACTCTTGCCGCAACTACAGCATCCGCAACGGATTTTTTGTGGACTCATGATACTATCATGAATTCCTCACCGGAAAGCCTGACAAACCTCACTATATCCTACTATATCCCAATGCAGGAGCAGTCGGCTAAACGGCAAAGACCTTTCAGAATCCAATCTAGACCCACCCAGGACCCACCTCAAAATCCAGACCACGGTAGAAGATTCCATTACGTATTGACATCAGTGCAAAATGATCTCACAAAAAATGACCGTTTGATACCTACAAGGACCCACTCTTTCAGAGTCGGTGACCGCTCATATTGCCTACATCACTGGGGAGGAAGTAAGGATTTTACGTAGGCCCAGCCCATGGCTGCTGCAGCCCTGGGCTGGGCCTATGTATGGGTTGTACGAGGACGACCAGATCCATACTGCGAATTTCTTCGAGGTGCTTCATCAGACTGACCGTAAAGTACTAATCCTTCACTATACTGGAACCCTGGGACCGATCGCTCATAGAATGAATACTACATCGTAGGCAGCCTATTTACTATATGAGGAGGATAGTTTGATAAACCTTTTGAGAAGTGGGAGGAGAACTTCCTTGGTTGTAGTATGAGCATCCAGATTTCCGAGGGAGACCGAACTCATAGTTGGAGAGTCAGGAGCAGCACTGGAATAGGATTTTCCGTCGAAGGTCCGTGACGTCCCGTCTATGTCTCCAGCAAATGGTTCTGTTATGAAGGGAGGTTTGGTCTGATTCCGTCGACGTCGAGTGAGGCATACTACGAACGCGATGGCGACAATAGCAAGGACAACGCCTCCTGCGACTGCACCTGCGATAAGCCCGGTGTGTTTCATGGATGAGGAAGATGAGGAGGAGGAAGAGGAGGAAGAGGAAGACACAGTGGTGGTTGACGAAGAATCCTGCACTGGATAACTAGATACAAGGATGGAATCGTTAAGCTTTCACAAAGGATTTTGAAAAACACGATCATATAATTGCATCGAGTGCCATATATTACTCAACTTCCCAGAACGAGATTTATGACTTGTGCGAAGAGTTACTGAGTCCGACCATATCCCATAAAACTGCAGATGCCACGTCTTCGGGGCCACCATTCAATAAGATATACATGTGGTCTTGCAGACGTACCGGTAAATGCGAAGCTGTTTTAGAATCAGAAAGATGATGATAACCTCCGTAACCCAGAGAGATGCCAGAAGAAACATTCCAGCCAGTGGAATAGTTGATAGATCCATCGATATCGTCGACAGTGACATTGTGATCCGCTGAGACCATCCGGAAGCTTGAGGAAAATAACAAAGCGAAGGTCAGAAGCGGAGAAAGGAGGTAGAAATGGGGCGTCATACATCTCTGAGGGGGCTGAGGATTAAGTGCGGATTTGTGTTGCAGTATACACAGGTAGCGCAACAATTGTCGGACCATACCTTCCATCGAAAACGAAGGCGGATGTACAATGCCAATGTTTCCGAACCTCCAACGAACCTCGCTTGAAATATTGAGAGTCGTGCATCTGCAGAGACATTCGGCACCCTCATAGTAAATGGAACAAACACCTCCGCCTAAGTTGAGGTTGAGATCCACACTCCTGATACATTGATGATTCGAGAGCTCAAACATGATAGATGTCGAGTTATGTGTATTAGGCAATAGAAATACAGTAAAGAACCCACCGAAATCCGACGTGGTTCACAATCATGGTAGGTACAAATCAAGGGATCATTTATACATATCGTAGGGGATCTTGTATCTGTCCCTCCACAACATTCTTCTTCTCCTCGTGCTTTTCCCGGTCCAGTCTTTGTTGGACGACTCTCTGTATACAGACACGATGTATCAGCGGAAGTCTCACTTCTAATAGAGAATGGTCGTACAGCTTTCATATTGGCAATGGTGGACAGCAATGTGTCAAGTGTGCTTTCCGAGAATTCCAAAACCTAATCGGACATCAGTCCAGAATATCTGACGCTGATTAACTAGGATACAAACATTGACGCCAACCTGATTCCCGATCTCCCGCATGCGTTCCTTTTCGACGGCCCAAGGATCCGACGAGGAGGTTGTGCTATTGCTACCGGAAGCGTTTTGAGATAGCGATGGGGTAGAAGCGGAGTTATTGGTCCAAGGAGCACTAGGGAAGAATGGTTCCCTGTTAGGGGAAGACGCCTGAGCTACCTCCTGTGAGGAGGGAATTTGAGAGGAATGGGAATGGCATCGATGTGATGACCATCCAGATTGAAAGTCTTCGTGCTGCTGGAGATGGTCACGTCGCCTCGTGTACACAGTGGCAGCGCCAGCACCGATGAAGAACCAAAGAAGATTGCCCATGATGTTAGTGAGTAGGCTGTCGGGTGAATGATGTCAAGTGACTGGATGCAGGTTTGAGCTCGGATGGGTATAATATTCCATCTATTTATCTCGAAACAGGATTCGAGGAGCCGTTAGACTCACGTCATTTCAAGACCACTATTGTACTGCGGAGACGTTTTGAGTTTTGCAGCTTGCGTGGCTGCTCGGCGCAGTTACAGAAGCAGTTCACGGCAAAAGCATCGTCATGCGCAGGTTATCGGCATCGAACGTGTTGAGAATCTGAGGGAATATAGTGGAAGCATTAGTTCGAGAATATCGAGCACTATCGAGCACGATGTTATGGATGTAAGATCCTGTACATAGTAGACAAAAGTGAATGAGCTGAACAGATGTAAAAGTTGACTATGGTACATTGAAATATCTCGGGCCGGTACAGTAAATCCAGTTTGTGTGCTCGATTCAAACTCCAAGGTTTTCCCAATCGTTCAAACTTTCAGGGAATTTCCTGACGTACTCATCGACTCTGTCAGACATCTGTTCCACAAATAATCGAGGCATCCATTTCGACTCTTGGTCGTCAATGTGGACCTGTTCTTCAACAGCAATCTTCAACATCTCCTTGATATCTGCAACGTCCTGTCGAACCCTCTTTTGTTCATGGCTTTTTTGCGAATGACGATGGTCTGTCCAGCCTTGCAGCTTCAGAAGCAGCAATGCTAGCAAAGGCATGACAGGCAGGTCATCGTATGGATGAATGTACAAAACGCGTGTAACAGGAACACGAGGAATGTTGAGGGAAGTTGATTTTCCAGTGGTTAAAATATCGACTTTGCAGCTGCGACCGGGACCAAGCCGAAACCACAGAACTTGATATGTGGCGTCCGGATTGACCGACGCGACAAAGTAAAATCTGTCATCTTCATCCACGAGAATCTGCTTCAGATCTTCTGCGTCGTATTTTCGGTTATTCAACACGACTAAATCCACATCCTAAAACGATACAGTGTCGGATGAGGGAAAGCAAATTCTATCAAAGTACCTTTGGATTCCGGTTCGTCATGCCATAAATATGGCAAGCTAGGCTTCCAAAAAGACAACAGCTCATCTCATATTCATCAAAGATAGTGACGGCTGCTCGGGCTGTCTTTCGAACTTCCTTGGGGGTAAGAGAGGACATGGTTCAAGTTGGGCGATCGAACAACAAAGGAATGCTTTTATAGACCGACGGCTAAATCCGAGGAACACTGGATGACTTCCCGCAGACTTTAATTGTCAAATTTTTGACAATTACAGCGTATTCAAAAAACCTTGTCAGTAGCATAAAAAATGAGATAAAATAAAATAAAATCGAAAAGGTACCCGACGTTTTAGCCGACCGCTTGGTGAGTGTGCTGTCACTTGCGCCTTTTGACAATGATCTTCCATGCCAGTGGTGGAGGCTGGAGGCTGGTGGAGGTAACAAGTCCACTGAAGGATCACAATGTCAATGGAACTCCTCCTGGCATGGTCAGACTCTCCAGAGGCATCATCATCTGTTACTAGTCCTACCTCAGAAGCAAGAGATCTGCAATCATACAAAGGTGGAGCATATGGAGGGGGCAGGCTGCCTCTAGATATCCTTGGATACATGAGAATGGCAGTCAGATGCCAGTACACGGCCAAGGCTTGCACTAAGACAACCCAGAGATAGCCAGAGATGTCCTGAAGACAACAGAGTCCAGACGAAGCACTGCTAACCAGTTGGAAGTTGTTGAAATGACATCTCACAACTGGACAGCACAGGAGGTGACAGGACAGCACTCGCCAAGCGGTCGGCTAAAGGTCGGGTACCTTTTCGATTTTATTTTATTTTATCTCATTTTTTATGCTACTGACAAGGTTTTTTGAATACGCTGTAACAGTTTTAATGGATGACTTCCCGCAGACTTTAATTGTCAAATTTTTGACAATAACGAAGTAGCGCCGGTGAACGGCAGGGCCCGCTACCAGTCAATGTGTGTCTGTGTGAGCACTAAGTACAAGATGGACTGAACGCAGATGCAGGGATGAGTAGTAAGAGGTAGTGTTTGTAGAGGTCTGTACTACAATGGGACCACACCTTGATTGGTGATGGCTAATGTACTTGTATTGTAGATAGAAAAAGCGGCGCGCCCCATGCGCGCCGCATGTAGATGCATCTGCCCAACCCAGAGTCTCCAGCTGTCTCCAGCAGTAGTACTGCAGTAGTATAATCAACTTGAAAAGTGAATGACCAAAAAAAACTGGGTCTACTAAACCCTTCAACCTCTACAGAGGTAGTGGGAATTATTCACTGGAAGTGATAGTTTTTACTGTAAGACGAAGGTTGTCAAGAGAGAAACACCCAGTTTTTGTCACCAGAAGATGATGGTTGTCGAGAGCAAGCACAAAAAGTGACTAATCAACTGACAGTAAAAAGATCGCTAAAAGGGGATATATTACTAAAAAATGATGACTAGGATGGATAATTTGGAAAAATTAGGGTCTACTAAACCCTTCAACCTCTAAAGAGGTAGCGGGAATTAACAGTTTTAATCTTGTCGGCAAACAAGTGACAGGTGTATTTAGCGAGCGATTTGAAATTTGAGGCCTGTTGTAAATCCCGAATTTACAACGGCCTGCCTAGGCCGTTGTAAGCTCATTTTTGTGCAATTTCCCTCAAGCGATCAACCTACTTGACCGTATTTGGGTTTACCTCCGATGATGCACATGGTGCCTTCTCTTGCTCGTTCTTTGTTCCCTAGAATCCCTACCAGAGTCATTCGAATGTTCAAAATGATATATATCTGGATAAGCAAAAGGGTGTGCATACATATCTATGTCTGAAGCAACTCGAACCCATGAGGATAATTTAATCAAGGATAAGAGGGGGAAAGGTTGTGAAACAAGGTCCACGCAATGATAGGAGGAGGAAGACAGGAGTGAAAAAATGTGCACAAGATGCTCCGAGTGCAGAAGCTAGTCAGAGGAGATATAAAATGCCACCCCCCGACACCCCAAGACCAGCTGCCCACTGCTACTCCTTGTTGCATTGAAACGTTATACTTCCTGGTATTGTCCAACTAGTATGTCCTCACCTCAGCAAAACACCAACCAAGCCCAAGCTCCAACTGGGACTACACCTCCCCCAATGGACCAGCCTTTCCACAGCCAGTACAATCATTCCCAAGTTGGTAACCAGTACGACAGTGATCACGAATGGTTCAGTACTGGACATCTGCATCAGGAGCAGAATCGACACAGCCAGTACAATTCGGCGTACTATCTATCACATCCAGAACTACCTCCTCCTGGACTTGGTCATCACTCGAATGGACATGGAAGGATTCTTAATCAACAAGCCACATCTGTAAGTCAATCAATCATATTGGTTCATAGAGCGACTAACAATTGGAGCAGAACAATGAAGCTAATCATCAACGACCTTCTTCTCAATATTATATGTCCACACCACGATCTCAAAATCTGCCACCATCACTAGTCAGTAATTCTCACTCTGCCAAAAATCATCCTCGTCCTCGTCCCCGCCCTCTTGTGCGGTCACCTCCGAACTTCGAGCTGCCTGATCACTTCGGGAATACACTCCATCAGAATCAGTCAACTACTCCATATCAACCTCCACCTGACCCTCGTCCACTTAGTCCTCCTTTGCCAACCCCTGCTGAGTTGGTAGTGAAGGCACAGAAAAAGGCAGTAGATCCGAAAATAGATAGGAAGCCAGAAGTGAAGGCCGAAAAGAAGAAGCGCCAACGGGCTTTACCAAAGAATGATGAGTCGGATTCAGGAGGAAGTGGGAATGAAGCACGCCCGAAGAAGAAAGGAGGTCGAACAAAAGGTGTCCTTACTTATGGAGATGAAGAATGTCGAGAGCTTGTTGAACGAGTTGGGGACATGTTGCCGATTGGTCAGAAGGGTTGGGAAGCAGTTGTTAGCACATACAACAAGTGGGCAAGAAAGAATGGCTATCCGGAGCGAGAAAGACGGCCACTGGCCAATAAGTTCAATAGCGTAAGTTATCAGTTTATAATTTCAATCATATAATGTCACATATTTCTTTCTAGCTTGTGACTATTGCGAAGACGAAACCCACTGGTGATGCTGAGCGTCGCCAGATGTATGCTGAAGCACTTATGGCTGAAGATAGTCTGAATGAGAAGGCAGCAATTGGTGATGTGCAGGATGATGTTGTCGAGATCTCCTCCAATGATGATGATGACGACGACAACCCACAGATGAAAACTGCAAAGGGGACCAAGAAGGAACCTGGAACTGTTCTTACTAAAGCGTACAAAACAGAAGCCCCATTGCGTCCACAGCCCCGCCGGAATCAGGCTACTGCTGTACTAGACTGAATCAGCTCATCTCTTGATCCTGAGATCCTGCGCCGTCGAGAAGATGATCATTCATCAGCAAACTTTCAGCTCATGATGCTCCAAAACATGCAGACACAGCTCAACATGCTCACCCAGGAAAACACTGAGCAGAGGCGACGAGCAGACAGAGCTGAGACCGAGCTCCAGATGCTCCGAAGTCAACGCTCCCCTTCACATTACTCACGGCATCATTATCGCTCTCACTCCCGCTCTCGTTCACGTTCACGTTTGCGTGGTCGTCATCGCTCTCGTTCACGCAGTTATCTACACAGCCGTGATTCCCATCATCATTCTTGTCATCGCCATTCACGACGCTACTCCCCATTGCAAAGTCATCATTCCTACTCACAATATCCATCACGTCGGAGTCATTCCCCCTTGCAAGATTGGGATACTTCTTACATTCCAGAGCCTCGGGCTCATACAAAATCACCCACCTCTCAACCTCTCATTCCTCCTCCTCCTCCAGTGCCACTATCTCCTGTACAGCAAGCCACACATCCAGGAGCCATGATAGCATCGTCGTCAAGAGTTACCTTGGACAATCTAGCATTAGTTGCTTCTCAACTTCCTCAGCTTGGACCTAATGATACAGTTAGCATTAACCCCGATAGTAACGGGTATTATAATGTTGCATTGCTCTCTCCGTCGAAAAAGTTTGTAGAAACAAAAGGGCAAAGTAGGTGGGAGTAGATATCAAGTAGTAGTTATTGGATAGGGAGAACATGGAATTGAGAGACGCGATCTTTGCACCGAATTTCCCCGAACATCATATCTCCTAATGCATCCCATAACCGTTCATCCTCTGAAGCCCTCCAAATTGGTAGATACACTGAGCGAATTTGGTTAATACCGACACAACATGAGCGAACATTAAATAAACGGCAACATAGCTCTAACAATCTCATGCGTTCAGACTCGCAGTTGATATCCAGGGGTACTCGAAGGCGCCCGAAAGATCCTTGAATTGTTCGCATACCCCATTCAGCAGTTTGACGGAATGAGAGGAGCTGACGGTTCTTGCTCATTACAAGTGCCTGTGCTTGAGGATCAGCTGGTATCCGCTCGCCACCTTTCATGGGTGCAACAATTTTTCCTTTGATTGAAATTGGGCCTCGAGGAAAGGCGGTATCAGAAACGACGTAAAAATTGTCGGGAATGCGAGTTCGAAGCCGCTCGAATATTGGCTTGGCTACATGTGCATCATGCCAGCTTCCGGGCGCATTCAAGACCGCATCGATGATGATTCCTATTGGAAAGTAAATAACGAGACTCATAGACTCACTATAACAAGCGACGTACCTTTTGGTGAAAACATTAGAACGTTATTGATTCGATGGTCCGTTTTCCAGCCATTATACGTCGCATTCTCAAGTTCGGGATCATCAGATACTTCAGCAACTAAGGAGAGACCATCTATAGATCCAAAGGCACCCTCGAGAAGGGAATGACGAGCTGTTATCATAGAAGAGAGTTCCTCAAACTCATGAATAGAGCTTGGAAGCACAATTTGGGCCTCTCTCATCTTCCGAAGTGTTGAAAGGAGAATGTGGAGTGAGAACGAAAGATAACGTGAGAGGACAGATGGAACGATGGCAAAGATCTGCTGAAGCTGGATTTCATGGATAGCTGAGCCTAGATAGTGTAGAGCAAGTCCTAATGCTCCAGCAGCATCCAGGGAACGCCGCTCGACACGTGGAACACTGGACAAGGAGACATCATTCCGAGGAATTGGTGTACTGTTCCAAACATCCGCAAAATGACCTGGACCTTCTAACATAAAGCGGAAAGTTGCTACATCGAAGCCCATGGTGGTTATGAAGGCACGGTTTTCTTGCCCTTTCCACAAGCGGATCCACGGTGACTCTATTCGGGGATTTGGTAATAGCTGAGGACGAGTGAGGTAGAGGCGAGATGGATTGCGGCGTCGAACACGTTCTGCCTCGTGGTCAAATACACCTGAAACAAGTGTTGCCAGAAGGAGAAGCCTCAGCTTGTCTTCGTCTTCTTCGTCATTTTCCTGTTGTTGCTGAAGTACCAGAGGAAGCAACTCGTTTCGCATGAAGGCAGAAGGAAAAGCTGACACGTCAGCGCGGCAGCTCCTTATCAAAATCATCAGGTGTCTGATGGCCTACGGGATGGATAAGGCGAATAATTTGACAAATAACTTAACTCATAATTTCAGAAAACTGTTATATACTGGATTAATTGCAGCGGGAAGTCATCCACTCATCAATTTGACTAGATTTGACTGCACCATTCTCTGCCAAGCTTCATGTATTTCCATAAGCGCTGATTCAGGGTCCTTTGTACGATAAGACTTCCTTGAAGAACTAGGGTCAAGATCGTGAACTTTATTGCTACATGAGGTTACAAGGATCATAGAATACTATGCACAATTATGTATGCATGGCAGCGTACTTGAAGGTACATGAAAAAAGAGACATACAAATGAGGCAAAATTGAGGTGAGGTATCCAAAAAATGATAGATGCTTACAACCGAATTGGGAGTCGGAAAGGAGCAGGCAGCGCAGGTCCCAGGAATCGGACACAACAGCGAATTAGGACGTACACACACAAAGGAAAAAGATAGATAGAGAAAAAGAATAATTTATACTAGAGCAAGTTACTTTTTGAAAAGATGGGTTAATATGTTTAGACGTCTTCAGCTGCCGAAGTCACATTTACGCCGGTGACGACCACGGGTGTGACCATCGCACTGACAGGCATTGCACGGATAGGCCCCGTTTGTTCGGAAGCCAGCAGTCCAAAAGACGTCCTTGAGCTAGAATGCGAGTGGGAATAAACCGAAAACGGAGTATGCGAAGCAGAGTGTGAGTGACTCTTATGCTCCGAAAAACGTAGTGTGCTGGTATGTCCGTCATCTAACAGAGAAGACAAAGGTGCGGGAGGAGTACTCCCTGCACGCATCTGTTTCTTGAGATTGTATGGATGATGGAAATGATGGTGTGAAGTGTGGTGAGAGCGCTCCAATGAAGAACTGACATGTCCTCTGCGAGGCTCGCGATCAGCAACATTCTCGGGAACCTCGATAACTGATGTTTCAAGAGCGAGGTCGGCAAAAGTACTTCGTCTGTGGCCTTCACTCTTTGTCTGAATGATGCTACCTGGACGATGGTGAAAGAGTGGGCGAGATTCAGATTGGATAGGCGGCGGAGATATGTTCCTCTGGAAATAAGACTCTGAAGATGTCAAATAGTCTTGATCCATGGCCATACTAGCAGCCATCTCGTTGGCTTGTAACAGTCCATCTTCAACAGAAGAAATATGCCACTCTGGCTCGTCTTCGGCAGAGAAGACGTCTGGCGTAGTGCGTTGTTCCAAAGGGGTGTGCGTACCAGACTTCGACTGATGAGAAGGAGCGATACGAGGAAATCTCAGTCGTCCTCTAGGAATACTACTTGTGCTAGCTCTCGATCCCTCCGCTCGCTCTTCGAGGGGCGGAGGGGAGATGAACCGGGGTGGATTCACATCACTCGGTGTAGACGGAAGGACACTGGGACTGGGGGACCTCGACATGGAGGTTATATGAGAGGATTTCTTCAAGCGACGACCCCGTTTTTCTTCTTCAATCCCGCGTAGAGGCGATGGAGATAGCAGAGGCGCGTAATCAGGCTCTAGAGGACCCGCTGACGATATCGAAGAGTGAGTAGATGAGGAACGAACGCTGTGGATCGAGGACTCGACAGCAGATGTAGGAGGTGAAGGATAACGTCTACGACCTATCTCACTGCGTTTTGACAAAGACCTACTTCGTGCCGAAACGGGTGCTCGAGAGAGAGAACGTTGCGCTCGAGACGCGGATCTTCGAGCTGAGGCATCTGAGACAGCCGAGCAGGGCACATCGCTTTCAACTTCGGCTATTGGAGAGGTAGATGAAAGCGACACGTGTGGTCGAGACTGTGAACGTGAGTTGAAGGAAACAGTCGTTTCCTGCCGTAACTCCTCATCCGTGACAGGAACACTGTCACCTTCGTCACCCCACCCGACGCCCCAAGCGACTTCGTCCACCATAGCTACAGTCCATCTAGTCGCCGCGTCCTTGTCCATCAGACCTTGAAGAATTCGTTCAGTACCACGCCCGACTCCGGAAGGCATTTGAAAAACCCCTGCAAGAATATGATCAGAGTCTTGACAGATATTCATTCACGGGAAAACCATTACCATGCATAATTTTCATCTGAAGCCGGGGTTCAAAAGAATCAAGGAACGGCAATCGACCGGAGAGAAGGGTGTATAACATGACACCTAGAGCCCACATGTCCTGAGCGGGATGAGGCAGGCGAGGTTCGGAGTTAGAGGGCGGAAGAAGGAGTTCAGGTGCAGCATAAGGAAGAGAACCAGGTTGAAAGACTCTTTTTGGCAAACTGTGTGGCGTCGACGTGGTAGTCGAGTTACGATGACGTGGACCGCGTCCTGAAGGTCTGATGGAAGAATCATGAAGAGGAAGCCTAAGTTTGGCAAGTGGAGTTGCATAAGATACAGAAGCAGCACGATGGACTCCATAGGATATATCTACGAAGCCACCCGCATTTTCCCGATCTTCCTCCTCCTCTTCCTCGTCAGCCTCAATGGCCTCGCCAATTTCCTTTGCCATCCCAAAATCCGTGATCTTGCATGTACCGCTTTCATCTACGAGGACGTTCTCTAGCTTCATATCACAGTGAACTATCCTCGCATCCTCATGTAGATACCGAGTGCCCCTCACCAGCTGTCGGAACATCATCCCAGCATCATCCTGCTGCAATGCTGGTCGCCCTTCCCGCTTTAAAATGTCAAACAGCGAGCCTGCGGGACAGTAGAGTGTGACAAAAAAGTCGGCGTACGAATTGTGCATCGAAGTGAACAAAGGTAAAATATGTTCGTGGTTGAGCGAGGACCATATGCGTGTCTCGTGGTCGAGGCGTTTTTGAGCACGGACGATATTTCCCTGCTTAGAAAGATCGGAGCGACGCACAATTTTAATGGCGACCACTCCACCGGAAATGGAGGATGCACGTCTGACGATGGAGAATCCACCATAGCCAATGATAGGGCCAAGTATGTAGTCTGCAACAGCCTCACCTTCATCGTCAGGAAGTGAAAGCGTTGAAGGCGAAGCACTGAAGCCTGAAAGGAACATGGCAGCGGGTGATACTGCTGAATTGGAGGGAAAGGACTGAGGCAGCGATGCTGAGAGTGGAGGATCATCGTATAGGGTTTGCTGGGTACCGGAAGCACTGTAAATGCTCTCAATTCCCCTCACACTTTTCGATGAGCTATCTCCTTCCACAATATGAATTCGTGGTCGTCCCGTAGGAACATCCGAAAATTTTTCCGCATGAACACCGGGATTGGAGAAAAAACGTCCTAGAATTGATTGAGCAGGCACTGTGTACATCAACTATCAGAAGAAAGATTTGGCTTCCAGGATTGTACTTTGTGGTAGAGAAAAGGGACGAGAATGGTGAGAGGTGGTAAAGATCGAATCCCGGGAAGGCTCTCCGCTCTCCTGTCACAAAACGTGGGAATTGATTGATCTTGAGTCATTTGTCATAACTCATCCTTAGCGCCGTGCTGGCACGGCAATCCCCGACTCTGAATGGTTTCATGACAAGCAGGTATGCTGATTATTCGCGATTATAGAAGTAAATCAAAATTATGTTCAAGAGGAAAATAATATGATGCAGTATGGTGGTATGTAACTGTTGAATATATGTGATTAGATACAGATTGAGGTTATTGTTAAACTTTTGCATTGTGGTGTAGTGATTTTTGGTACGGTTTACAGTGTCTGTAATTTGTATTTTGAAGAATGTATTTATGTTGAATTTTCAGTTTGTTTTCGCCTAAAGATACATTTGTTATACTGTTGACATGGAATATCAATGACAAGATTGCAAAAAATGAACTCCTTCATTTTTGGTATACTGAAACTTCGGAATCAGTCTAGTGTTTGTGCGGCCAAAATTGGTGTTGAGAATTAAATCATGGTCACTGTTGGTCGACCTAGTGCATTGTATAAACTATTAGAATTTTCTGCAATGGCTATCTGTCAGCATGAGCAATTGCACTGTAATATACAAAGTTACTGGATGAAAAGGAGTTGGAGATCTTCATTGTAGGATCAGTGATCCATTCATGAAAGAATGAGTGACCTCCATTTGTAAGTTCAGAGGTCGGTTCCACACTGGCAGGATAAGTTTGGCATTGACAATAATAATAAGTACAAGGGGAGGTCAAGCCGGATCAGATTGATTTTCCTGTATTGTCATAATACCTGGACATTGTTATATAGACATACATAGTACTGAAGTGTACTCTGCCCAGAAAAGCAACAATATCATTAAAGTATGCGCACCATTCAGAGTTAAACTATACAATGTAAGAAAACAAACTACACGCACTAACTCCAAATCGGTTCACACTGTTACTACAATAAGACACCTATACATCATACAGCTTCTCCGAAAGATATTATTCACCACACCTTATACCAAAATGGACAGCAATGAATTGATTACATACGAATGAATAGTGCAAAATGATCTCACAAAACACGACCATTTGAATCCGACAAGGACCTCCTCTTTCAGAGTCGGTGAGGGTAACTCACTGCCGGGGCTTGCCGAGTACCCGTCACCTGATCGTTTCGCGGCCGCGTTTGGGATCATGATCTCTGCAATCGCGATCACCCCCCTATACTCCCTATACTACTCGTTCACCGAAGCACGACCGAAAAATTTCAGATGTGTTGCCACTGCAACTATATGTGAATACCACCTAATACCTTCAATAAGTTATAGCTCTCCAGGTAGCCTATCGAGTCTCTGAGTCGCGCGTAGCTAGACCGACATAAACACTATCGTACATTACTTTCCTGGGTACATAGTACACTGTAGCTGGTCTTAGGTGAAAATTCCCCCAAGTCACTCCTCTTTAGCACCTTCAGACCTGTAACAATCATTGTATTGACTCTTCAATGATCAATTTAATGGTGTCAGTGCTTCTGCAGCCTTCCATGTCTTTTCGGTGAAATCAACCAAGCTTTGTTCTTGCATCCTCCGAGTACCCTCCTATCTACCCTCTTAACCTCGGGGAAAACATGTAGCCACCATATATTTAGCTACTTTTCAAAGCCAACATTGAATGAAACATCTCGTAGAGGATCGAGTAACATACACTAAAGCATATATATGTTTGCCAAGACCGTCGTCCTCGGTAGCTAATATCTTTGAAGCTACCTTAACCAGCTTTAACCATATATTACCTATTATCCCAAGAGACAGCATAACATGAAAGGGCATACATAGGATATATACTCACTTACTCCAACAGATACCAATGGCATAAGTACCACTAAACACCAGGCATTATCACCAGCAACCTAAGCGCGGATAATCTGGTCTTATTTCTGCACATTCAGAACGTAACATACGTACGTTAGACCGAACGGCGAAAACCGTCCCTCTATGAGTGCGAACCTAGCAAGGTTTCGTCTTCTAGTGGGGTAAGAGCTTAGTACCGTTTAGTCTCCAGTTCAAACATGTGTAAAACGGGTATAAAATCTTATTCCAACCTTGGAAGTTGAGATGAGATGAGTTGGTGACATAACACACGATGAACAATGTTGCTAAAACAGTAGATACTACAGGAGTAGATAAGCAAAGAGTTGCGGTATTTGCGTTATGAAGCATTTGGATTCTGAAAAATTATATTATACCACTTGGTTGACTTGATACATTGCCATTGCCTCAGGAGAAAGCAACAGATATCAGACGATTCAACCGAACAATTGTCCGTGATAAAATGAAAACCGATGTGAGGCAGCGGAATTATTCGCATGACTATTATGCGCTCTGAAAGTCCAAGTCAGCCCGACTACCCGCGGTTGGTTCACGAGAATATTGTGTTCGTGAATAACGCCAGGCAGACTCAACATCCGCGAACGACTTTGGAAAGTTTTCTAAACTCCACGAGCATGGTCTAGGTCTAGAACCGGAGAGTAAAAACTTTGGGGAAGCCCTAGCGAGTCATATAGGAAGAATCTAATGACGCAGCGTCAGCAATTGATATGAGAAAGAGAAAGTATGGTTCAGAAGGAAGGCAACGGAATCATCCACACGAGGTTTATGCGCTCTCGGACAGCGAGTCGTGGACTCTACATCCGTACTTTTTTCATCCTGACGGAAATATGTATTCCTTGAGCTCACCTATTATTTGCCACGCCTCCACAAGTTAACTAGTCGCCACGGAATATGAAGAACTTCAAGAAAATAGTGTAAAGGTATGAAGAAAGGAGGAAAAGAAAAGAATCCCGTGTATCAGTGTCACGAGGTGTTACGGAGTAGTAGTTGTGACCAAAGGTTCTCACACATGCCGCACGTGCAGCAAGTTTATCGATTCTTTGAAGTTCAAGTTTAGTTTCGTCAATTGTAAATGTATACTTACATGAGATGTACCATGATTATGCGTATATATTTATGCGTACGATGAGAGAAGTGAAATTTGAACTTGTATAAGGAATCACAGAAAATGACATGAACATCAGAATAGCGTTGCTCGCAACGCCAAAATTGAACACAGGTACCCCATATATCACGTTGTCCGAGTGTCTTATGAAAGCCGTGAACGTGAATAAACGAATGTGAGCTTGCCATTAGCAGACCAGGAACATTGTGTCTGGTGGAATGAGTACAAAAGGTTATTCTAGAGAGTAACCAAACAATGAATCGACATGTTAACTGGAGATGAAGAAGAATGAAAAGAACAATTGTCCTGTCGTTTTGAAGGCAAGGTTGGGAATAAACATCGTGCAGGGATAATGATCAAGACGGTCCAAAGGTTCGCTCGATGCGAAACTATAGTATGGTATAGGCATGATGAGAGGACAGGTCGCAAACAACATAGAATGTCGGCCAATGTTGACACAACGGCAAAACCTTGCAACGATGCGTTCAACCACATCTATCTGGAGCTCTGACTTTGATTATAGCAAGGAAGAACCGACAGCCAGAACAAAAACGGCAATTGCTGCTTTCGGAACGAGCGTCCAGGCTACTGATGTGCTACGAGACTGCTGGGCACCGTTACCCCTTCTTTGAATCACCTGAGTAGCGACAGTGACGTTCCTAAGCTGTTGCGTCGGAAGCATGTTCGGGGTCGACGAGATCTGGTACATCGGAGCCAGCGGTGAGCCATCGAATGTATACAATTGTAAGGCGAGTCCAAGGGTGACGTCGGTATATGTGTAGTATCCATTGACTAAAAGCTCGGTGTCATTGTAGTTTTCGATGAAATTCGACACCGCAGCACAAGGATCTTGGATCTGTTGATAACCGTCGCCGTTGGGGGTAAGAATTATAGAACCATTGTCTGCTTCAGCGTAAGTACCATGCACCCAATTCATCGCTGCAGTAATGCAATTGGGCTGAGAACCTTGGAAAATGGCGTCAGTTAGACGCGAGGGAAGAGACTGTTAAATATTCACCATTTGAAGTAAAACGGTACCGCGAGATCTCATACCAAGGATCTCCGTCAGAAGTAGAGTCTTTGGCGGCACTAGCGCAGAGTTATTGACAGTACGATGTTGAAGAACAAGAAACATACAAAGAGTAAGATATTCCACTAGTGTTGGGGTATGTAAACGACACTTGGGCAGGGTTTGCAAATCCCTGATGAATAGAATTAGGTCTATATCAAAGTTTGAACATTAACACTCACACTACCCGTCTGAACCTTCATCGACCCGGACGACCAAGTTCCAACAAGGACAGATATATCCGCATTAACACAAATTGGCACTGAGGCCAAGACGAGGGCAAGAATAGACGTAAGGGGAGCCATCATCCAGATGTTTTCTGAGTGTTTTCTACGAGGGGTATTGAAGGCTTTGCTTCGAATCTAAAGGCGGCAGGGAGAAGGGTGTTACAGACGGTAGAGAAGGAAGGGAAGTGACGACTTGATGGGAAAAGAGTGGAGTGGACTGTGGATCTGTGTTTGGCGCAAGTTGGCACAGGAACGCAAGCCGGCCGGCCGGTCCTCGCTCCTTCCGGCCGGAGATGATTTCGTTCTCGCGCACATGCTACTACATACATAGTACAGTACAACCAGACTACAGCTCTAAGTATGTGCAGTAGTTCAATTCACCAGATGGATTTCCTGGGACATTCAAAATCAACCACGATGACCGTGCCCGTCAAACCTGGAATAGTCTGTAAGTCCAGTCTCGTACCCAAAGTATGGACTCTGGTCATGAGTTTAATATGGAGGCGTCTTCACAAACTCTTTAAACCGTCGCTCAGGTTCGAACGACAAATATTAGCTCTTCTTCGAACGGAGATGCGCGATTATCTTAGGAATTGACTTTCTGCCGAAATGTAGTAGATCTTATAAAAGCAGAAATTTCGGATGCATACACTTGAGAAATACATACATACTGTATAGGGCTCACAGAAGACAGCAAAGCATATCGTACACGTAGGTCGTGTATGACAGGAAAACAGAAAGAGTCGTGGGGTAGCATCGACGTATTTCTGAATCAAGCTCAATCAAATAGGCTTTGGTGGCCGTTTATGTTGACGGAAAGACTGATATTATGTATGTCAGTCCATTCGAGAAGCTCGTACAGCAGTATGTGTAGGTAACCTCTGATAACCTTAAGTATGAGCTGCCTTGAAGTGTCCTTGGACCCTTATCTTCCGTTGCGTATGGTCCTGGACCTTGGAAATTACAAGAGCTTTCAACAACAATTCAAATCTATAGATGATGTGATGACATTACGAAGAGGGTTTTCTCCGGAGACCGACACCCGCATCACTTCGTTGAGGGGATTAGGTGGGGCATACTGCCGGTGCCAAGGCTTCAGCTTGTATTTTGGTCCATGGACGACATAAACAAGTAAAAATAACCTAGATATCTGAACTTCAAATTGGCATTGTTGCCCTTGACTCTAGAATGAACTGTAGAAACGATGTGTATGAGTATGTCACAATCAATCAATAAGCAGATCTTCGGGCAGTCACTTCGTCAAACATGCGCATATGCACGCAAGAAGGCTTGTCTCAACCTGCCTGCTCTAGAACGTAACATGCGGCCAGTGCTTAATCAAGCCTGGTCTAGCCAGTTGCAAAAACGCGGAATCAGTCAGGATGGATGAATTTGTAAACGGCAAGTCAGAGAACTTACTTAGACACCGGTGAGGTATTCAGTACTTGACTCCTAGATTGTTGCATCTGACAGAGCTTCCATTGGGACGAAACGAAAACCGAGAGGGAGGAAGAGGAAGAAAGTGTACATGCTTGTTGTGCCTGTATATTATGTTGATAAAAATAGGAGTCGACATGAGAGTCACTCACTTGTTGTAGAAGTAATGGAAACATCTGACTGGCTCTGCAGTGAATCATCGCAGCGAATGAAATCCAAATAGTCGGACCTATCGAATTCGATTGAGTAGTTACTCACCGAGACGCGTGGACCAGTGCGTTCGCGTCCGCGGCCTTGGTAGCCATCAGAATGAAGGGGACTGTGTGTACTGGAATTCCCAATGGGATGAAGAGTGAAGTATAGACATATATTACCACGTGAAGCTAAACGTGAGATGCTGGTACCTAGCGAAGCAAGTGGTCCTGTTGTCTCATGAGAGTTGTGGATTCATCTTGGAGCGTACATGCTCGAATTAGTAACCGCCGAGGCGCGGAGAAGGGAGAAGATCTGTAAGCTGGGGCTCCGGGTCCGTCAAAAACGAAGAACGCTTTTGAGGAGCTGGGGATATTTTAATGCTGTGATCAGAGAAACCAGCGGATTATACGGAAAAATGTCCCCACATATACCCAAGGTACGTACATAGTAGATATGAACGTGGTAATGAGCAAGGAGCTCTGGCCAAGTTATGCCAATGATATTTTCGAGGTTGTAATCATTTGCTGTATGAAATTCTCGGAGAGAAACATCACTTGTCAGGAAATGTAGCGTCATCGGACGTTTAGAGGTATCAAGTCTTGACCATCTGTCGGTTTCTCAAGTTAGTACGAATGCATCACTAGAATGTAGACGGAACGACTCGGTGGAGCTCGCTGACTAGCATACATGTGGTTTCCTCCACCGACCATTGGTAAAAGTATACACCGCCCCATGGTCGGCACCACACGCCAAATTGGACACAGTCTAATAGTAATAGCCGAACGCGTTCATAGACCTTCCGAAAACAGATTTAGAATTTTTTTGAGGGCAAGATGATAGGACCTGTTGAACAACACACTGCTCATACCGAGGGAAGCCAATGTTACCGTTGACAAGTTCAGCGCCTTGGGTATGGACGCCAAAGAGCCCGAGCTGATCATCATTCTTCCAAAGTTGAAGATTAGAAACGCGAGCTGTGATACATACATCCTGTTTAAATCTCAAGATAGATATTGGTTTTTACCTATGCTCGCCGGCAGCGGTGAGTTGTCGGTAGAATTCTACTAAAGGCAAGTCAAAGGGGTGAGATACGACGATACAGGATCGAGAAATTTTCTAAATTTCAGGAACCTACAAGTCGCTTCCCGCGCCTTTCGAGGGTTGTACGAAAAAAGCACGCTCAAAAGGGATAGAGTTTGGTGCATATGTAATTCTGATTCTCTCGCTCCAGAGCACGATGAATGTAACGACGAAGAAATTACTTGATAGAACTGTCGGCGAAAGTTCGGTAAGCAAGAGGCATTTGATTTTCCCACCATAGGCCGCGTCAGTTAAGTAAGAGCTTACGCACTGATCCTGCTTGCGCGTCTTCACTAAGAATTTCCTTAGAACCCGCATCGTCTGAAAGCACCGGGACCATAACCACCACACTACATTCTATATCGTACGAAATGCCTGACATGGTTACCCTTCCCTATTCGTCTCCTGCAACACCCCAACAACGACAGTTCAATCCATATAGCGAAAATGGGGGGACGATTTTGGCGATATCTGGTGCAGACTTCAGCGTCATTGCAGGCGATACGAGGCAGAGTGAAGGATACTCAATCCAAACGCGGTATGCACCCAAAGTGTTCAGATTGTAAGGATAGACGCGTCTGCTAGTTGGTCAAAACTTCATTCATCCCTCTTTGCAGAACAGATAACGCTGTTTTAGCAGTCAATGGGTTTGCTGCAGACGGAAACATGTTCGTGAAGCAAGTCAGACAACGTTTGGAGGTGATTTTCAATATGGATTGCTGTTGAGCTCGCGCTCATCCTAGATCATAGTGGTATCGACATGCTCATGCAAAGGATATGCCTCTGCGCGCCATCGCACGTTTGATTCAAACAATGCTTTATTCCCGCAGATTTTTTCCGTACTATGTGTACAACATTTTGGGTGGAATAGAGGAAGACGGTATGCTGCGTTGATCTGACTAGCTTCCTCGGACTAATAGCTTTCCATCGTATTCCCTGTTCCATCCCGACTTCGTTCCCTCTACTCTCCGCATGGTATATTGCTCGACACTATAATCGTCACAGGATCTGGAGCAGTGTACTCTTTTGATCCCGTGGGCTCGTACGAGCGTGAATCTTGTCGTGCGGCAGGCGCAGCCCAATCGCTTGTTCAACCCTTCTTGGATAACCAGGTGAGATATCGGTGGTCACTGCTTTCCGCTTTCTTCCTATGTTCCTCCGTCCATTACTTTCAAGGACTTTTTCTGCCATCTTTCTGATGTTATGCCTTGCATTCCGTTTATCTGGTTATCTTCCGTGCATACACGTCCCGATTTCCGGCTGTTGCTGTTGTCTCTTTTCCCCGAGACGTAGGGAAGTGGTGCGTGCACCACGGGTATGCCATCCTATGATGGACGAGTAGCTTCCGATGCTTCACCGACTCCATCATGTTGCTTTTTTTTCCTTTTTCAACCCCAGTTTTCTCCCCAGTTTAATGAGGCGCGTGCGGTTGGTGGCACATTGCTGCTGAACATGCTGCCCGGGTTTCTTCTACAAATCCCAACTCTTTTTCCTTGTTTGCCGCTGAACCATGCACTTGCCTCATTCATATAATCGCTCCTTTGTGCGGCACCTTCTTCCGCTTGAACATTGGAGTGAATGGTGGAATCAGTGCATTTCCTGAAGTATATTTATAGCTTATGGAGTACTAACACGGATCTGCCCGCTATATATCTATGGGTGAAGGGGGAAAACCCAAGGAAACTGTTCGAAGTCGGTGGCTCCCTCGGATAGACCTCCCTTTTCATTTGCTGCATTTGGTCAAACTCGGGAAGGACTGGATTTGTGTTGCTTGGATTCATTGCTGCGCATCACGGTTACTTACGGACCTGATTTGGGGGTAGGGTCAAAGGATCGAGAGATACTTTGGCTGGGGAAACATTACTTCCGCTCTTCACCATCCCATTTATGGTTGGTTGTTCTCCAGTCTCCTGTATTCAGGAAAGATCACGCATCGTACGGCGCGATACGAGACTAGTTCTTTTTCGGAGCCTCATGGTCATTTTTATACAAAATGCAAAACAGATAACTAGTCCTAGTGCCCACGACCGATGTATGGATAGGGACGAGGCCAACTCGGGTGAATTAGGCGAATGTCTGCAAAAAAAATTGGCCACCATTCGCATTATTTGCGTTCTTGATTGATTATTTCCTGTTCTTTCCTCTGGTTATCGCCTTTTTCTCCTTTGCTTTCATTTCCGTGTCGTGCCGGCTTCTACGTTCACACTAAAATCCGTATACTGATTATGATACTCAGATCTACTTCAAGAATCAAGTTCCTCAACCTGGTCACCCCCATCCTCAGCATCTCCCACTAACGACAGTCATTCAACTAGTAATTGACTCGTTCACGAGTGCAACAGAGAGACATATCGAGGTAAATTTTGTCCATACTTTGTTAGACATTTCTATCCTTTTATCCGTGGCTGAACAGCTATTGTATTTTTTTTTTACCGCTGATGCTCAATATGAGTCATATAATTCTTCTTCCTCCCAGGAGAACCCGCCTTTTATTTCCTTTCTACTTTGAACAAATGCTCAACGTTGCTTCTTGTGCAGGTCGGCGATGGCCTCGAAATGTTTATCGTTCTTGCAAAAGGCAGCCCACTCTATGGTTTAGAGAATATCGATGGCGTACAGGAGATGACTGTTACAAACGAGGGAGAAAGAATATTTGTGGTAAGGAGGAATTTGAAAAGGGATTAGGCATTTAGTGCGATATTACGGCGGTGGAAAACTGTCAAGATAGGACGAGATAATGGGACACATGACTAGAGATGAGCAGGCTTTGTCAAATATGACAGCGAAGGCTACGCGTCGAAAATGCAACGGAGACTTGAGACCGCAAGATTTTTTGTTCTTGCCGCAACATTAGTTTCTGTGATTCGTCTGTCCTCCGACCTGCTCCTTTCTTGGTGATGTCTTTTTTTCATTCTTGCAATTGTTTACACATAGATGAATGTCGCATCCTGTTGTCCACCTGTAACTTTCGCGTTGATACATTGGACTAGTCTTCGTAGCATCACTGTTCATCAGGACTTTTCTGTTCCATTATTCACTGCTACTCGATTGTACTATATTTTCTGCTTGTAGCTACGTTGAAAGAAGAACTGTTCCATTACTTGAAGCAAAGAGAAATATCAGAGTTAGTGATCAAAAAAACTGCCCGGACCCGCTCGTTATCCCTGGTTTAAACACGTACATGTATTTGCCTCAAATCAAGAAGGGCAAAACTTAATGAAGATACTCGAAGCAAAAATGTATTTATGGCCAACGTGGGGATCGAACCCAAGACCTTCGCGTTCATACATAGAACGTATTAGCACGACGCTCTAACCAACTGAGCTAGCCGGCCCGTTGTCCTATTGAAGGATCCAATCTAGAAATTGTAGAGTGGTTGTTTTCACTCTTGTTTTCTGAAGTCCTTATCTTTATGTATAGCACAGTATAGCACTTGGCAGCAGTCTTATCCAACGTACATCCGACGATTCCGACCGATCTCCAGGTCACTCCAAATGAATAGAATGTCGTCACCGCGTTCCAGGGTAGTTATTACTAGCCTTCAGGTTTCCCTAGCCTTCCTCGATATCTGACACATTGATTTTGGGTTTGACCAATTACTTACTTTGTGAAATTACTGCACGATGCCATGCTATATCCACTCCTCGTTGCGAGATAACGGAACAACGCATCTATCAAGCCGGCGGGAATTTTCTTTCAGGATCTGGATTTATGTCCTTTTCTCTCCCATCCGCCAATACTACTTGAAGTTGGAGACGACAATGTTGGTTTTGAATTTGGTATATACATCCCATCGGACCTATCATGGCCTTCATCGTCCAACGTTCGTCTTGCGGTCACAGATTGAGATTGATGTCAACTTGAACATGGGAATACCATAGTAGGACCGTAATCCTCGTTTCGAAGGTTGGAAGTACTGTTCAAGATGATATGAATAATGAGCTCGAGGCACTCGAGTTTCATATCTACTCGAAGCTTGGGCAACAGGCAGCCATGAATTCCAGTCTTCTTTGTATTGATTATCATTTTCTTGACTTTGCGACACTGACTCTAACAGGATTTAACGAGAACGGTTGTATCACATGTGCACAGAGTACCTCTCACTCACTACTCAAATTCCAGTGGAAGGAAGGCCAGAAAAATCACTCGGGCATGTGCCGTAGCAAGGTGATCTCACGACAACTTCATGAAGACTAAGAAGTACTAAAACCGATGAGACTAGTGATGATGGGTTCCAATTTCCGAAACCAATTGCAGCGCTCGACGAGATGCCGCTATCGGGGTAGACCTTTGTATAAGTATGAGAGAGCTCAAAATCATTGTCAAATGATTGCTCTCAACCTTGAATTTGGCTCTTTATTATCCTTCGCCATCTGTGCGACTTGCTACAACTCGAAACAACAAAATGTGTCAACAAATAGCGTAAGTGTGCCTCAAAGTTTGCTCGCTGCGTCTTCTTAAACTGTATCTCTAGCGACGGAACACGATGGTTAAAATGTGGTGTATGTGCAAGTTTTCTGACCTTGCAATGGCGCGAAAGCTAAAAGACCTCCAGCATTTTCAAAGACATTTAGTTACTGCGATCATGGATTGTAACTCCAGTCGTTGCGAACGAAGCTATGCTCACCCACAGCATTGTCGATTGCTGACCTGCTCAAAAGTAAGTCCAGCGTAATGTCCAAATCGAAGCGGCCGTTTGAATTTAGGTTGTACCTGACCACATGAATTTACTTTGTTCTGCAACGAACAGAATTTTGGGCGAGAGATACAGAGAGACATTGATAGGGTGGATGAGTACTGTTTTGCATGTAGGGCAGCACAAGCTCGGGAGGCACGATCGAATGGCAGGTAGATTGATGAAGAAAGACGAGACTTTACTTACTGGTCTAAGAGTCAGTTTTTCTATTTTTTGTACGTGTTCGTCATGCGCCATCCCTCATTGTATCTGTCAAAAATTTGGTTAACGCCATTTTGCGATTTAGAAAATGTAGCGTAATCTTCGCTGCAGTCAGGCGGTCTTGATTGCGGTAGGAAGAATTAGCCCATGCGCGACCCATTATGGTAGTATTCAGATAGATTCAAACATGCGTTGGCGTACCCGTGGCTATGGTTCCACGTTCGTTGAAAGCTGTTGAAAGTTGGTGAAACCATGAGCGAGCGTGGTCATGATCTTTTCGGCTTGGATAGCAATAAGAACCAGGAGTAGCGACGTATTGAGTTTTCCAAGATATGCGGTTTCGATGATCCGTCCGTGTTGCCTTAAACTTCATGTAGTATGTAAGCTTATAACGGCTCACTATCACACATTCGGGGAAACCGAAATCTACAGTGAACACTCTGACAAAGACGTATCCACAGTTATTTGAGCAGCTCTGATTCAGCGGACGATATGCAGAATGATGGGTCTTCCGGTGAGATAACAAATGAGCTACCGATTCCAAATTTCGAGTTGGTAAAACGTATACATACAGTTTTATAGGTCAACAAAGAGTCCCTTCGCGGATAACATCAGTATATAGAGGGCTACGTAGAGGTCAAGGATTGGTTCGACATGATTTGTTCGAACATTTGTAAGGCCGCTTGCCCATATGCCAGGTTACCGAACTGCGAAAAAAATGAGTTTCAATATTAGGCTATATGATGCAGCCAACCTTATACGCCGGTACCTAGAAAGCAAGAAAAGTCCAGTGAGCAAAGCGCAGATCTACGATAGACTGTTTAATACCTCATGACCCGCTCCATATATTCGGATATAAGAAAATGTGCCAGCGTTCTTGACCTGTCCTGCAAGTTGTCCACCAACAGTCCAAGACTCGAAGGACTGAGCTTGTAAAATAGAGGTAAATTGCATGTCGAGGTTGTTCACCTATTTAGTGCATGAATACACGTGTCTCAGAAGAACAAATTCAAGGTACTGACCATAGCCTCTACGCCGTTGAAGTTCAGAATATAATCCTGAAAGCAAACCTACTTCAGTATGAATGGATTCGTATTTGAATCGCTATTGCGTACAGCGTCGCCATCATAAACGACCACACGGACCTACAGAAAATATTCAATGAAAAAATGAGAATACAAAGAGACCAACGTACACCTGCATCAATGACAGTCTCTAGGTCGGGACGAGAGTTTCTCATCCAGTCACCTGGAGAGTATATAAAAAACGCTCAAACGAGGCGGAGAGGGAGTTTACCAGTGGCCGCGAAATTATCATACACATTGTCGTTGGTTTCCTGCCAAGTCGACTCAGCGCCAACCTTCGTTTCGATAGTCTTGAGGTAACTTGTCAGATCTGGAGGATATGGGTCGGGATTTGTCGCAAGAATATAGTAGACCTGTCACAAAATTAGCTAGGCGTGTTCAAGAAGAGATCCAGGGTTCGCTTTAACATACATCAAAGTCGCCTGCCAAAGGCGACAAGATATTGTTGTTGCAGAATGACTGGGCAGCGGAGCAAACGGAATTTGAGCCACCATTGTTGCATGCAGTAATCTACGCGAACGGTAAAGGTGAGAAGTTAATTACATAGTAGATAGTCGAGGTGCTGATGCGCTTGATCAATATCAATATTCCCTTGCCCATCACCACCTGCTAAAAACAGGGCTGTACGAACCTGTTCCTTGCACCCAGTAGAAGAAAGCCAAGAGGTGTTGGCACGAGTGATAGTAGATGTTGAAACAAGAGCATGGTATGGGTTTGATCCCGCGTAAGTGATGTATCCAGGATATTGCGACAAGGGATCCTGAAAAGAGTGATTAGAAAAGACATTTGAAGCTGGTCAATGCACACAGCCTCACCGTCAGACCATCACCCACTCCCAAGGTTTTGAGATTTAACGTGATGCCGGATATGGTTCCTTTTGCTATGGCAGCATTCTGAGACAGGAAGTATCTAATGCCAAATAATCAATCCCGCTTTGATCCTGATACGAAGCAACAACCTACGCCGCGAAAGTCGGCCCATAGTGACCACCATAACTACAGCAGTGCATTTGAGATCTATGTGTAGAATGAAAAGAAAGATATCTCGCACGATTCTGTCCAGATAGCAAGATCATGACTTTGCAGACCGGAAAATCTACTATCAGATAGAAAGATTTGCAAGAAAGTCCAGACGTCAGCGGCGGCCTCTTCTGACGTTCCAACGCTCATAGTTCCGTGCGAGAAACCTAGCAGAAGCCCCGAGCCATTGTTTTTGTTTGATCCAATCAGTATGATTGTGTTTACCTACCTACTCCTACTGGTTGGTCTATGAACAATAGGTTTGCCTTGGTGTTCCACGAGTTAGGATTGAGCGATACTGCCGTGCTGGCGTTATTGATTCTACAAGGTCCTAGTTCTTGGAACAAGCCGAGCATGCTGGAACTTCCAGGCTATGAACGAAGAAAAGATGAACTGTAAAGTTTGGAAAGACAGATGTGCACTTACACCTCCGTTAAACCAGAGTGCGAGGGGGGCAGTGTCATTGTTCTCTCGGGCTGCGAAATACCAGAAGCTATTATGAAGAGGGTCAGAAATATAAACTCCAGTTGAATATCGACATACAACAAACTCTCTGTAGAAGTTAAATCTCCATACCCGGAGGCTGAATATACACCAGGCGTCGTTTCTGCAGGGGGAAACAGATTAAAAGATGGACAAGGTATGATAGCTCGGGACAACTCACCACAGATTCCTGTGTTTTCGACAGCACGAATTTTGCCTGGAGTGGTAGCGGCGACGGAGAGATCTGCTGGCTTGACGGTCCCTGAACTACTTGCATTCGTATTTCGTACGCCACCGAGAACACCATCTACGATCGGAACTTGACCTCCCAAGACGGAGGGCAACGTCGCCAAAATTATAGGAAACAACGAGATCAACATGCGATATTATCTAGTGCAAGCATCCAGAAACACTCGGTATCAAGGTCTTTATACCAGAAGCATTGAATTGAGAACGCAGTGTATGCAAACAATGATCATTGCTACTGCAGCTGATGTACCATGCAGTAACAAAGGCACTGTTGTTTGCAGTCAAATGGTCGTTATCCGGTCCCTACGTCCTCCCATGGAGAGAAGACTAGGAAGCACATGCCCCATGTCGGTCACTGTACTTCTTCGGAGAATAGAGATAACACCAATACATGACTTTGTGCAAAAGAATCAGAGTTTGAAATTCTGTATCAATGATTATCGATTCGGATGTTCTGTTGAGCTTGAGTCTCATATCTCTGTGAGCAAATGTTGCAATTCTGCGATACGACATCGTGGACTCTGGAAAAAGCCATGGGGGATTTGGAGAAACTTCAGCGGGTCTGGAGGAAGTGCATGTATACGACTCTCTTGTAACCCGGTCAGATGTTGCCAAATTGAAGATAAAGAATGTTTGGGCAGGCACTAGCAATTAGGGGGGCTTAGAAGGAATTAGGGAAGATAAAGTTCAAGTTGTGCTGTTCAGCGGTCACGGTTTGGTTTTACGTGATCAGTCGAAGCTAGTCAGTGTCTATCTCTACCCACCACCTCTCCTCGAGCTCTTTCCATTGTCTTGAGCGCGTTGTTTGTAGTTCCCATCTGAGTTTCTCAAAGCCTGTGATGCCTCACAAACGAGCTAAACGATCTGTCAGGGAACAACAGCGCAGTCAAAAGTGAGCTTGCTCAATGTTTCCTCTTTGCACCTCTCACAAGCGGTACAGGTCACTAGATCTTGCACCATCTCACTTATCTATTAGCCAAGAGCCAATACCGAAGTCTCTCGCCCGCGCTCTCAACGCAGCGAAGGTTCGGGAAGAGTGGAGGAAGAGGAAAACAGAAGACAGAGAGGAAGAGAAGACTGGAGCAGATCGGAAGAAACGGAAACTGAATGGGAAGGAGCAAAGCAAAATCTCCAAGATTCTGCCCGGAGAATCTCTACAGCATTATAATAAGTGAGCGACGTCTATTCGCTCACCACCTTTCATATTGAAACAGCTTTAGGCGAGTAGAGAATGACATGCGACCTTTGGTGAAAAATGCTGTCCATTTATCAAAGATCGCAGTACGTGATGCTCGAAGGCAAGAACTTACTGCTAAAGCTGCCAAAAAAGCACCCAAGCTGAAACCTGATGTTCGGGATCACCTCGACGAACCGGCAAACGAACTGACATCGAAAGTATCAAGTCGACCAACAGAATTTGAAACATTATCTACATCAGTACCTCGACGACTGAACGACATTGCTCAATCGCCGCCAGAACTCAGTCGGCTTCCCCGAGGAGTCTCTACCATGAAAGTCGCAAACGCGAAGGTGGACAGACGAGATGGTGTAGTCTCCTTGGCCCAGAAGGCTATGATGGAGGAAGAACGAGAAAAGGCTATCGCGCGGTACAGAGAATTAAAAGCTTATCGGAGAAAGGATCGCAATGAGGAAGAGACCGAGGATTAAGTCTTCAGGCACTAATGCTCGACCTTGGAACGTGCAAAGCATTTTTAACCCGAACTGCTTGAGGTATAAGGTACCGTTTGCTCTTGGTCTCTTCGTTATCTGATAAAGGTATTCTCCTCCAGGCACTTTGTTCTCTGTTTGGCAATGCATAACACTCGCATTTAGTTGCCCATCTCAGGTCCTCGCTCATGCATGTGGTGCATCGATCTGGAGGAAATCTCTACTATTTCCTTCATTGGATTTCACCTGACTCCATGTCCTTGTACCCTGAGAGCAGCACGGAATCCGTTTTGCTAGAAACACGATATTTGCGGTCGATCTTTACTTGACTGCTTGACATTGTGTGTACTACTCTCTGTCAAATAGCGACTTAGAAGATGTTGGTTCTGTTTTTTTCCTAAAGAGGTGACCTTAGTTGTCGACGTTATCATCATCGGGTCTACGTCAAGATTTTGGAATCGGATTACAGGTTTCATGATGCGTGAATTTGCTTATGATCATCTTGGCATACACTATTTGCCCCGACGGAAGAGGCGCAGACTAAAGCTAATGGATTTCATAGCGTCGCGAACGGACGATGCGGGGACATCTACCGCTGAACATTAGACTTCCTTGACCAGATTGCTTACTATCCATCTATAGCGGCGTTTAAAACGGCGTCTCCAGACCAACAAATGCGGTGATAATTCGTCTTCCACTTCGGTTTTCGAAGACCTACAAGTGCTTCGAGTGCCTGGAAGATTAAATATTACCGAGGGGAACTATCGAAGGTCCGAGCTCGAGGGAAGTCGCTGCTCTGCTCAAGTATAGGTAAGTAGAACTTTTTGCCGAATGTGACTCGTAGCCTTATCCTCAACGTGATATCCTTGTATGGGGCAGGACTCAGATACTCTGTATACCTTTGGATGACAGCATGGGCCTAGCCCCAACTGGGACTACCATTCGTCCTGTCGTCGCTGTTTCGCAGATGGTTGTGGGCACAGAGGTATGTTCGGATGTCCCGTAACAGACGGAACAGTGAAAGAATGATTGTGGTCGAGATGGCGTTAAACGGTCGCATTACAAGCTATGCTCGTTGGTTGAACGCGACGTGTGGTGCCAACAGCGCAGCGCATTTCGTTGATGCAGTTGCTTATTTTCGCGTTCAGATACTTCTCAGCTTCCAATATTGGCTTTTTGTTTATATATACGTGTACTCTACACGTACTCGCCGCCCTTGACATTTGCGGTCAAACCACAACTGAGGCTATACTTCTTGCATCTCCTCACTATACAATGTATCAGGTGCACTATCGATTCCTCCACGGATATCTTAAATCTTTGACCTCTGCACAGATTTTAACGGCGCCTGAATTTTACTGGCATAACGACATTACAGCCCTTCCCGTACTTGGCTTTCTTCTTTACCAATCCGGTGTTAACGGGAGCGGCGCATCCAGGGCGGAGTTCTCAGATCATGATTGGGTTGTGTCAGAGTGACCAGTCTTCTTGTTTAGACTATGGACATCACTCATATACCGTTGGTGCGCAATCCTATTCTTTCCCGGACCTTCCACTGAGCCCATCCATCTTCTCTTGAGAAATTTTTCGCTAGTGGCTGTCATGTCCGACATTGAAAAGCAGGTCACACAGTTAGGCGACGAGCTGACATCAGAGTCACAGCGTATCCGGGATAGCACTGCAACATACCCCAGTTCTGCACCTGTCGAAAGCATCGATGGGCACACCGAAGAATCATCCTCCAGCGAAATAACCCATGACAGTACCAAAGCCTACCTGACGATTTTTGGTGCTTTCCTGGCCCTTTTCTGCACATTTGGGCAAATGAACGCTTTCGGAACGTTTCAAGCGTGGTACACCACACACCAACTGAACACGCTCGATGCCTCCACTATATCGTGGATCGGTTCTTTACAGCTTTGGGTGTTCTTTTTCTCGGTACGCTGAAATCCTTCTACTGTTGAGTGATTGTAACTTCGGCTCTAGGGAGGTCCTATAGGATACATTTTCGACAAATATGGACCGCGAATGTTGATGATGGTCGGCACGATATGCTATGTACTAAGTATAATGATGACCAGCATATCCACGCAATACTATCAGTATATATTGTCGCAAGGTGTTCTGTTTGGGCTGGGAGTTGGTTTATTGTAAGTTGCACTTGTCAATGTCTCCATATTGGCTTTCACAAGAGAGATGAACGCGAACGTATCCTAGATTTTACCCTTCTCTGTCAAGCGTCTCAACACACTTTGCTACGTACCGCGCTACTGCCACGGGATTGGCTGTGGCGGGATCAGGTCTAGGTAAGCTGTCATTTTCCTCGGGACCAGTGCGTCCTCGGAAATTGACTCGATAAGGAATACTTTAAACTCATAAATTTCTGCTAACGTAGGTGGAGTAGTGTTCCCCATTATGCTCCAGAATCTGTTCGAAGGTGTCGGGTTCGGCTGGGCTACTCGCATCTCAGGCCTTCTCTGTGGCGTACTTTGCGGGATCGCAGTCCTTACTGTGACGACAAGCACTTCGACCAAGAAAGCCCCGGCGCAGCTCGCCGGGCTCAAGTGTCTGAAGGAACCTCGATACATGCTTTTAGCTGCTGGTGGAAGTTTGGTGGCACTCGGTGCGTGTTTTCACACTTTAAGTCAGCGATTCTTGAACGTTTGATCCTATTGTAGGCTGTTTTGTCCCATACTTCTATGTTGTCGACTATGCACAAAGCCTGGGCATCTCTTCGCATATGGCATTTGTTGTGCTAGCACTTATGAACGCCGGAGGAGTTTTTGGCCGTGTTGCCCCTGCAATTCTTTCCGACAGCATCGGTAGATTCAACCTCCTCGCACCCACCTCCTTCCTTGCAGGTTTATTGATTCTGATCTCTTGGATGTTTGCGCGCACATTGTCGACGCTCATCGTATTTTCCATCCTCTATGGTTTCTTTTCCGGGGCCTTCATATCTGTGATCACGCCATGCGTAGCTCAAATATCGGATATACGAGAGATTGGGATGAGGATTGGGCTTATGTACAGCATCATTTCGTTCCCGTAAGTCCCCGTTCTGACAGTTTTCGAAATGAAATGCCAATTTTACTGATTAACTTTCTTCTGCTACCTAATCACTAGGGCCCTCATAGGTGGACCAGTAGCTGGACTAATACTGGGCTTCAACCACGGGTCCTACAACGGGATGATCATTTTTTCTGGCACGACAATGGTTGCAGGCTCCCTGCTCATTTTCGGAGTCAAATTTCTGATAAATCCAATTTTACTCGCCCGAGTATGAATGGTCTCTCCTCCTCGGTTCCAGTTTCTATTCTGCATCATCCATCTACCATATTCAAAACACATGTCTGTTTACGATCTCACTCGGAACGAGCTTCATAATGATATATTCGACGCCCTTTACGTTCATTCAGCATTCTGATACCCCAAGCATCTACGTTTTTTTACTCGATCAATGACAATACAATGTACTATATTTATACCTATCTTTATCTGAATCAAGTTTCTCGTCAACCAGAATTGTTGTCCTCTGTGCGTATTTGACCCTGTGCCTGTATTTTCGCCATCTGAAGCCCCGGCGATTTGCAGCGCGACAGAGCAACCGCATCATGCACGCCCGACAAAGTTTGAGTTCGAGCCTGCGACGATAGTGAGGCCATGATAGATCGGTCAACAATTGAGAATAGACGTGAACGACTTCATCGAAGAAAAGAACTCATGGTCAAAGAAATAATCAGTCAAACAGAAGCAGGTTAAGATTAGGATGTACAGTGCACAAGAGTCAATAAGGAAGAATATGAGTTTGTATAAGATGTTCGATTAGGAAGAATATGAGTTTGTACCAATACATCAAGACAGCTATGAGACGATCCGGTGTTAAAAGAAAAGGGACAAAGATGGCCTAGAATGTTTCTTCCTCCTCGTCAACTACAGCTCCACCTTCAGGAACCTCGAATCCGTCCTGAGAATAGGGCATTAGCCAAGTTGGGAGCAAAGATCAAAACACGCACACGCACCTCTGTTGAATAAAGTATAGCCTGGATTTTTCGCAACGTAGGGTCGTCTGGATTACCCTCACCCTCTAAGTGTTCTTGTACAAGTATCTCAATTTCCCGCAACTAGCCAGAGAGAATTAACATCGAGTTGAGGGGGAAAGATCGAATTGTGGTACCTTTTCGAAGTAAAAGTCTCTCTCCTTCTCTAGCCCCTCAAAATGCCCACTCATCTCCTTCAATTGAGCAGTAAGGTGCTGGACAGCCTCATTCGGTTGTGCCGATCCCGAGCGATGACCAGAAACAGGTGTTCTACCACCCGCCCGACTGCCACCGACATTGAGACCACCGGTGCGGCTGCCGCCGGTAGACAAAGGACCGACAGTAGCAGGAATGTCTGCTACGCCTTTACGCCGGGAGACTGGGTCGTAGCCTTGTCCACCATAATTTGTGTCCCAGAATCGTTTTATCCATTGGAGAAATTCGAGGTTATCTCTAAACGACGGATTAGCACTTGACTGGTTTCCACACCATGTTAAAGACTGCATACTGCATCTTGCATTTGACAAGTCTTTCCACTGGTATTGGCTAAGCTAAAGTCAGAATTCGCGCGTAGAAACCTGCTTCCATCACGTACCTTGTCGATTTTCTTTGCTTTGAACACATTTTGCATCACTTTGAAGTTTGCAATGAATTCGTATTCGTGTTTCGCGCCGAACTTGACTCTTGACATTGGTAGATCTCCTAAAAGAGATCCAAGGACCATTCAAAGAGAGCACGAAACGAAGAATGTCTGTTAGATCGCGTTCGATGAAGAAGTGTTCATACCGTACCATAGATTGAGTCAATAATTTGACAATAAGCTGCACCTGTACCACATTGTTCAATTTTCGTGTAGTTAATTTGAAGAAGGTCATTCAACCAAGCAAGAAGTTCTGCTCTTGAGGCCATCGCTGCTGGCGTTCTCAGACGATTCGGATGTCGGCAAGGATGTCGGTGGTGTTAAAGCCAGAATTAGGTCACGCTTGCTCGGCGTGGTTAAGGTGTGGTGATGTTTGGCTAAAGCTTTATTGTAAAACCAATTTGTTTTCTTGAAGTCCCTCACGCTCCTCATTGTACCTACGTACTATGTGAACAACTTGTCTTCATTCATAGTGGATCGTGGCCCCGAGACCAGCTCTTTAAATTTTCAGTGCTCTTTGACTCATGAAAGGAAGTTTGTCCATGCCATAAAGCTTGCCACTCACGAAACTTCTAAACGAACAATCACGAACCGGGTTTTGCCTTAGCTCAGAGCAGGTGTAGGCAGAGCTTACATGTTCCTATAACAAACTATTGACCACTTCCCTACACGTTTAATTCTCACTTCAATTGGACAAATTTGACTGCCCGCCACTGATGCTGGTGAGCTGCACCTGGGTTGCCACACTCAAGTCGCGCCTTGACTGAACGTTCCTCATTGCCCTTCTTGTCACACTAGACTCACAACTCGGGAAATCATTCGAGCCACTCAGATCACCTCGTGCAAGTTCCTACTAAGGTACTTGACAATATCTTTCCCCAGTTGGCATAACAGTGGAACTGACATCGGATTGGTTGAAGAAACGTTTCCGTTTCATCAAGTTCGAACAAGATGGTCTGATTCCCGCATCGCTACAGTGCTGCGCACTAGATGCCGGAGATGGGAAACAGTCTACGATTGTTTGGAAAGAACAGCTGGTACAAGGCGGTCGCCGATTGTACGACTTGACGATGGATGATCATTTCAAAAACAGGGAAGGAGCCGTCGTTAGTTTGTCAATTGTTTGCTACTGAGGCTCTGGTTTACATCACATTTCACAAAGATCGACTTTGGTGTGAAGATGATATCACTCGCAAGTACGCCCGTCCGTCGTCTTCGGGGACTTGAATGCTAAAGTAACCCTCGGAAAGGTCAGCGAAAGGATCTTTGGCTTCGTTCCTTTGCCTATGTATACGACGATAATTGGCCATGGACCATTACCGTTTCAGTGTAAGCTACCTATATCATTCACTAGTTTTATGGTTAACACATATGTCGGGCCATGTAGATCTGGGGATAACAGTGCTCAGCGCCTGGAAGTTACAGACTATACACATCAAGTCTTCGCGTTCGAAATGGGGGAAAAATGATTCCAGCGTGACTATTTTAGTGTACATTGATGAAATCCGTACAACATTGTTTTTGAGTTCGAAGAGGTGAAATTAAAATTATTACATCGCCTTCGCCATTCCGTTTTCCATGCTCATATCGTTTTCCATCATACCCATTCCACTCTCCATTGGCATCGGGTTGCAATGACAGTTCATATCGCGGTTTTTCACCCAGTCTTCGAGGACTTTGCCAACAGATTTGAGGTTCGGGGCAACCATGGCGAATTTGCTGAGTTCATAGTCATCTGGAGGAACATTCCACTGAATCTAAAGGGGAATTAGTTGTCGAACTGAATTCAACAATTATTGACCTACCTCGCAATCTTCGAATGGTCGGATAACACCGCAAGCAGTGCACTTTCTCCAGTCCCCTCGGGAAGGAATCCAAGTGCGGCATTCTCTGCATTGAGTGTGGAATCGATCTTGACTCGCGTATTTCTTCTCGTCCCATTCCTGCACCGAGTTTCATTCACAATTGAAATTAAGAAGCCGAGACAGCGTGTCTTACCAATTTTGGACCGAAGTTTCGTAGCTCTCCCTCATAACGGAAGGGGAATCCTTGATACTTGCCAGCTGCAAGTGCCTCATCCTTGACCTTCTCCGAAAAGTTGATTACATCGTCGACAATTTCTTGGGGAACGGGTTCATCAAGGTTAAGAGGCATGAGTTTCGCCTTAGTGTATTCTGCGACCTTGACCCAATCGTCGACCTTTAAGAACAACACCGTGAGCGAGAAGCAAAAAAGAAATCCGGCAATGGCATATCCCATACCTGAGAGCCCCAGAGCCAGTGAGTCGCGTACTCGGCGAAGTTCTTCATGTCGACTGTGAATGCCGATCTGGGCAAAGAGTACTTGGGAAGAGCGTGTCCGATAACGATGGTCCATAAGAATCCGACACGAGGACCAAGCATTGGGTGCATGAAGGTAAGATAGAGGAACTAAAGTTCGAAGACGCATTAAATATATGGGACTTTCGGAGAGGACGCACAAATACTCACTTGATTCATAAGGTGGAGCGACGGTACAGCACCATCACAGTAATCATCGTACTTCTTCCATACTGCAAGGCGTTCTTCCTCCGACTTGGCTTTGAGGCTGGCCAATGTCAGATCAGCAGCGAATGTGGAGGAAGCCATTCCAGCGTTGATTCCAGGACTCAGAAGGGGGTTCGTGAAACCAATGCCATCGCCAATAGTGACCCATCCGGGACCAGAAACGACTTGCGACTGGTAGGAGAGTTGCTTACGAATGTACCATGAGGTTCCTGGGCCTACGTATATCGAAACATGAGTCAGAAAACGGATGCGAGGGAGCCAAATCAGAGTTAACATACCGTGATAGTCGGGCAGCAGGGCGAAGTGGCGCATAACGTCGCCGAGCTTCTTGTATTTCTTCGTGATGAAGTTGAATCGACGTTCACCTTCAGATGAACCGTAGCTAGCTAAATCGGCGGGATAGGTGGTATCATCTCGAGTAGCATATCCAATACTCCAAATCCACTTCGTCTTGCAATCGAACATCTTAGCCAATTCGTACGTCTAATCTTGATATTAACACCTTGACTGGGAGCGTAGACAAATGAAAACTAACCGAGGGCATTTCATCATGGGGAGTTCCTAATTCGGCGTGGTCGAGAACGTAGTTGATCATGTCGAGCAGGTTGGCCATTGGGGATCCATGCCAAGAAAGCATACGAATGAGATACATCCAGCCTTCGGGGAAGCATATGTGACTAGTGTGGCCACCTTCAAAGCCTTCAAGTTCCTAAAATCGGGAATGTCATGTCGGTTCGGTGAAATGGAAAAATGCTTCAAACTAACATCCGGAATAGCATCCTCGTTCAAAGCCTCGAAGTATCCAAAGAAGGCGTCAGTATTGAAGTTTTCAAATCGCTTGACACGAGCCGCTTTGCTGGCTAATTGACGGAAACGACCAGTTCCATCGACGACGAGGGGAGATTTCGACACGACTGATTTGGTCTTGTCAGATTGGCGGACGATGGGAACACTGTCTCCATCTTTGGAGAGAATAGTGTTTTGGATATCGGCAGCATGGCCGTGCCAGACATTTACGCCAAGGCGCTGTGCGAAGACGGTGAAGACAAGCTCAGACATGGATCGTTGGAGCTGGTATCCTGGGGCAAGGAACTAGATGATTCGGAAGATATATCAGTGTTAACAAAAGTAAAACAATACTGGTGGGCTGGCTTACAGGTGGTGGTCCGTTGTTGCAAAACGCAGTATAGGTATCAGGGTTCTCGCGATCCAGATAAAAGAACTCCAGTCCGTTGTGCAGACCGAAGAAACGCAAAAGGTACTTCGGGGAGTGGTTAGCCCGGATGCTAAACTCAGCCTGTGAATACAACTCACCTCAGCCGCCATTCCTGCAGATTTAGTCCACTGAGCGAAATGAGGAAGGGTTGATTCGCCAATCTGAGGCCCTATTAGAAATTATCACACGAATACTAGTCTCAACACTCACCTTCCACTGAGGCTTCGGGGCCTTCTCGAAGACGGAGATCTTCAAATTGGCTTCGGGATGAACCTTGCGAGCATGGATAGCATAGATGAGTCCGTGAACACCCCCTCCGACGATAGTAACGTCGCTTTCCGCAGCAGGCTCAGTTTGAACATTTCCAGAGTTGAGGATTTCCGCTGTGAAGATGGAGTGAGTAAACAAAGGTTGATGAACGTGCGAAACAAGCGATAATTACTTTCGGTCATGTTCGGGTTGGCCGCAGCCCTGTCACGGAAAGTTGTTTTCGGTAGAATGAACATGCTTGTAGATGAAAAATGTGTAGTAGCAATGTATCCAGGAGAAGACTGCCTTCAGATGAGAGTGGATGCCCTCTGCTACTCGTTTCCAGTGGTATTTATACCCATTTTTTTTCCTGTTGAAAGTTGAGATGTTCCCAACTTGCCAACAATACTGTTATTCAGTTACATTGCAGTTACTATCGGAGGCAGATTACTTACGCCGGAACATTCTGCCGTCTGAGGGTCGCGTCAGCCTGAGGTCGGTCTGTTTTGACAGTTAATGCATAGCTGTCCGTTGATAGCGCTGCATATATTCAACGTTTGTATAGCCTCAAAAAAATTGGAGGCCCAAGGGAGAACTTCAGTCAGGTGCAAGATAAATTTGTATATGAATAACAAAAACTGGCAGACGCATACACCTACGGTTTACATCTCCATTTAGTAGAGCATCAAAGAAATCTGGGGGGATCAGCAGCACATGGTAAGTTTTTTTGTCTAATCTTCAAAACAGAGTGCGCCTACTTTGAATTGAAGGCAGTCCGAAAGAAGTTCAGAATCGTCCGAGTTCTTCGATGGTAGCTTAATGAACTTGACGCAACAAATTACCTGAGGTGTCGGAGCAGAAAGTATGCTTCACACTCTCGCAGATGCGGATGCAGATCGAGGACATGAAACTTGCAAAGCCGTAACTCTCGGGAAGGCCTCGGCCTGAACGTTGAGTTGATCAGTTGATGCTGATATGTTCAAAAAGTTAGGAGCGGGACGAAGCAGGTCTGTCCTTACATGTACCGTCAACATACTAGGTACCGGCGTGCAGGAGCGGGAGTTTTGTGCAAAGTCGAGACCTCGAGTTCGGCCAATTGGCCACTGTAGTACCACTGTGTGCCCTATGTTATCCAAGGCCCAGTCCCCAATTGCCGGTTTCGACAACGTGAGGCAAGGAAATTCAGACGTGGAAGACCTTGAACATCACTGATGGCGGGAACAACTGCTCAGAGACTATATCGGTGAAATTAGTGGTCTGATAAAATTTGTGAAATTCACAGGCGTAGTTAACTTGAAAGAAGAAGATATACATGATGGAACCCAATCCTGTCGCCTGAATATCTTGATCCATCCCCATTGAGAGAGATGAAGGTATGCTAAGCAGACCAGCAAACTTATGTACTAGCCCTCGGAAATATGGATCACCGGTATATGATCATTACTGGACGAGCCTTTGTACGTTCGAGGATAAGATACTAGTATTTTAGAGGGATCAAAAAAATCTGAAATAAAACGCAATGCCTTCGAGAAAGAGTTGCAGTTGCAGGAGGGATGGTACATTAACAATAAGGGAAATTCCTGAGAATAACCTACCATTATCGAGTCGTATTCTAAGCAGGCTAGTCAGCGCATATACTCCGAGGTTCAGCGCTCAACGGCTGAACGGGATTCAAGTCAGATTCAAATAGATTCAATATTACTGACTATCACCACTCCGAGGTACAAGGGTCGGGACTCAAATCGCCAATTCGACGATTCACAGGAGAAGTCCTCCGGCTTCCTTACATGGAAATGCAATCATGCAGGATGCAAAGAACTGTTGGGCGCTGATCAGACGAGAATACTATATCAGTGAAGGAAGTTCTGGAACGACGCGCATACATAATATAAACGCGAGGAGACCCTCCTCACCGAAGAGGAACTTTGAATAATGAGCCGGAATTTCTTTGACCATCCATATCGCGCTGCTCCGACTTCCGACTTCTCCCGACCTCACAAATTCATCACAGTGATGTATACATGCAATAGAATCATGGTCTCTAAAGAGTTTACCTTCTAGCCTCGCGACCTTGCGGACGGGAGCGTAAGCACCACCGCGATGATATTACGAACTGCCTTCTTTGCGGAAGACCTCGGAAAGTGCGCAGGGCCTAAATTTACAGGAGGCCCAGACGAGTCAACTCGTCGGTCGGTAGGTTTGATGAAGAAGTATTATTATACCTATCGATGTGCATGCGCATGCGTATGTTCTAGCCACAGTGGCGCAACAAGAATCAAGAACGCAAACTCTAAATGAACTCAATGTTAGTCTGTTCCTGATAGGTATTGAATGGGTCGTGAGGGGAACTTGTCTTGTCAACAGATAGACGTACGCGTTCCGTCGACTTCCATTCCATCAGGCTCGCCGAGGTACAAGCAGGTGCTGAAGGAAGTTCTCGGGACCGTCAGAATCCTTCATCTCGCATCTCAAGCAACGCCTGGAATGCACAATTGATCCCACCGTCTGCCAAACTGTTCAGAAAGCGACATCAAAATCCAGATCCTTACCCATCTCTACCAGCTCCCTTCCCGTCGTACACTCGAAGCAACGTGACCGCATTATTCATCGAAGCGTGATGCGTATCCCGCTGAACGGTGGATATAGAACACCCCGTATCGTCGCTCGTCACGTTGATGCTGAATATTTGAATATTCGCGTTAGTCAATGAAGCCATTGATCATATTCATCCACATTTCCAACACACATTTCTCCACTATATTTACCCCACTCCCGAAAACGTTCCCAGACCAGACCAGACTGGGCAACTCTTGGAATTACGGCGATCTAGAAATTCACCCGCTGTTATGATCTAGTCTCCATGTTCTTTTTTGCAGCGATTGCACAGAAAAGATTGCAAGTTTCTTTGTTTGCAATATTTCGGATGGCGGGACGAGTATACCGACCCCCCAAGTTGCATGTAGTTTGCGTGTATCCTACGTACTTGGCTGATGCATACACCGTAACACTTGGTCTAAAACTTGGCGAGATAAAAGCCAGACTTTGGGTTTGATTCTAGTAAACACGTACCCGTGAGTGATTACAAGCTCAATTGCGGAAATTCATTTGACAGGCGGGAAGGGAGGCAGATGGTAAAGCCTGGAAGTAAGGCCCAACAGGACGTTGCAAACATCTTCGCCCTGACGAACTTGGGAGCGTGTGATTGAGACCGAGTCTCATCAAGTGTAGTTGCGTTGCTGTCAATTTTCTTCGGGTTGTTTTTCTTGGGTCTAGACCTCCATTAATCACTGTGGTCGCACTAAGTTGGCATTATTGAGGAACACTGGTACTGGTACACGTTGGACAGACAGATGGGGCCGGGAAAGGGAGACAGAGAGTACCTGTACAGAAGGCAAAGAGGGAGGAAAGAAACGTCGTATTCGATGATTTGCGGGGGGAGTAAGGAGATGATGGGATCCTGATGGAAAATATGAGCCGACAGCCAAGGATCGTCTGGGGTAAATGTCCGAAGATGTCTGGGTATGTCAGGAAATGGATGATCAACAGTTTCGAGGTTCGTAGATCCACATCATGAAGTTTGTTTTTTGGTTCAGTGTTTGACAATGACAGAAGCTGCCTCCACCAATGCGATTGCTCAAGTACTCATAAACTCAAACCACACATCATCAAATTTAGATGGAGAAGAATGGACAAGACAGGAGAATACTGACCTCAGTTTCAGTCTAAGTCTGTCTGCGTACAGCCTCGACTACAAAGTAGACCCACCAATCCTCGCCGTCCTATCCAACATGAGGCCGATGAATAGTAGTAAATGATTCATTTTCCCATTATTGCCTTGGGCACCGGTGGTGTCGGAGAGATGGAAAGATAAAAAGATATACAAATTTTCTTCTAGCTCCCAATTTTCGGCAAAGTTTGAGGCAGATTTAAGGATTTGTTTAGAAGGAGAGGCAGGGTCCAGGAATACGGAGACCAGACTACTGAGGAAAGGGAAGGATGAAACAAAACGAGATGGCTCGAAAATTTCGCGGTCATGTGCAATTAGTGATGCGATCGCGTGACGCGAGACACGACTTGACAAAGGGATCTCTTCAGCTTCGTTCTCAATTGCGACTTCTCTAGCTCCCTATCACTGTTTGCTTGCTTCAATTACGCATTACCTGATTCCTTGATTGTCACGAACTGTCTGTTTAGACTTTATGAGATTTCTATGAACACATTGCAATTTCCCCTTGTGTCCCGGGCCTGCCCCGGGTTGACCGAAAGCAAAAAAAAAACAAAGGCAAGAGAAAGAATGGATCCTGCAGATATTAAAAGGCGCTCGATGAACAGCTTGGAGACTCTCGTGTAATTCACCGTGTATGTACTTAAGCCAGTTGACCGGCGCCCTTGTCTCCTTTTGTTTCCTTATAATTACGCTCTTACGGCCTCCGACTCCCTTTTACTTATGGACATGATAGGGTGAGTTTCACTTATGTCAAAGTGAGTAACGAATAACAGGTAGCGGAGCGTTAACTGCCAATTGTCTCGTTAGTCCCCTGCCGGACACAACACGGACAGTCGAAGATATAGCCTGAATATCCTTAGGAAAGAAAAGAAATGTTTTTTGGACCGGCGCCCGGCCTCTATGGGCAGGTCGTGTGCCAGTTCAAAAATTTGGTTACATCACGTTCTCATAGTGTCTCGTCCAATAACTCCTTCAAGTTACGACTTGTAACTCCCGCACTTCATCACAGTATCAGTATATTCAGAACTATAACTTTGCCCCCAGTCGGGGATTGCCTCTTGAGATTTGATTCGAGGGCTGAGGACGTGTGCTAAGCACGTTTAGACTCTTCAAACTAAGTACATAGTCCTTCTAGTTCTTTTAATTTTGTTACACACCAATTAATTATTGACTCTTCCTATTAAATTTATTGACCTCTATACATTCAGACTGCATAGGACTACAGTCGACTCCCTCTTAACCCATACCCCTATAAACCCATACTCCCTTATACTCCATACATTTTCTGGGTTACCGACCTCGTTTGCAGGGAAATGCCATGCATAACCCATAACTCTCCCATACCCCATAATCCATACCTTTTTGGGGGTATTCTCCGCTATATTTTTACCCATAACCCATACCTTGATTGCCATCATTGCATTTGATACTCCCAAAATGGGATCAGTAAGTAGACAATTGGCACAAAATCAATACAAAACCAATAAAATGGTCGATTTACACTAATTTTGAGCTAACATAACCCATGATAACCCATGTATGGGGTGTTACAGCTCCCGATTAGGCAAATTGTCACGCATGTCACTTGGTGTGACCACCCCATAAACCCATACTCTCCCATAACCCATAGGTCTGGACCTCCACGGAGGGGTATGGGTTAAGAGGGAGTCGACTGTATCTCTATGTAGACCCCATTTAGACATCGGTTAGATGGATCCGAGGCATCCCGGGCCCGGGTTGAAGAAAAAAAAAGAAAGAGTACATATCAGTTATGGGAATTCAAGTTCACCGTTTACCGTGAATCCAGTCTTTCCGCGCGCCGAGTTCTCCTTGAAGGAGGTCCCCCTCGCACTTCCAGGCAGTTCTAGACGTTTCCCTGCATCTCCTTGCTTTTCCGACCTTGACTCACTGCCAGCGGAGTTAAGTACCACTCCCCTTGTCTGTGTCATCTCCTGGTATTTTCCGCACTCAGCGTCAACTTTGATCCAACCGCGACCCTGAGGTCCTCTCTCCCTTGGTCATTTTTCAATGTTAACGGTTGACGCGTTGACGCGTTGAAAGCTGAGTTTGGAATTTAACGATCTATGTACAGTGACGGTCATTTCTCACGAACACCCCCCAATTTAGTAATAAATTCCCATCTGCGTCCGAAGGCCTTGGCTCTCATTGTACCGTACTTAATTATCATTATAACTCTTTGTAAACAGCCAATTGGGCTTCCATCTATCAATTCAATGTTACTATGACAAAATGGAGAACATCAGCAAATCATGTATGGAGTGGAAGCCAGGACCATCTATTATATTTTGAACTCATCTATCTGCATTTTTTGGTCTTTTTTCCTATAGAATGTGTTTTGGTATGAAATGTGATAGCTATAACTGTACAATAGCATACTTTATACTCACAGTGCCTCCATATTTGCAAGGAGCCAAGGCTTCCAATGCAGATGGAAATTTATTACTAAATTGGGAGGTGTTCGTGGGAAATGGCCGTCACTGTATGTACCATGTAATCATATGATGCGCGCCTTCAATGGGGTCTGTCTAGTCTTCGTTTGGCCTGGTCTAATCTTTATTTGATGACAGAACCACAGTCATACGGTTACCGCAGTCCGAGTCATATTTTTTACATCGATGAATCGATGGTACTTGTAGTCTTGCGTGGTCTGACCATGAATCCCTGACCCCGGGTTTGATTAAAAACTTATGAAGGCAATCTACACAACCTAGAGAAAACTGTAAGAAAGCTAGATTAAGCTTGAGCCTTCGCCATCCAAAAAATTGCAACTAACAACATCACCTTGCAAGTTGCTTGCCATGATAGTACGGTCCTTTCTTCCTCAATATTATACTAAGCGCGCAGCGGAAATGGTGGTGTTTTGAAACCAATCCAAACTTAGCGGCTTGATGAGCAGTGGGTGATCGAAATGAGAAAACAACGGATTTGCATGAATGCTAGGAATGAAAGAGAGAAAGAAGACATGACATGGCCAGCGTATATCTTGATTACCGTGACATGGCGGGATAAGGTATGTATGCCAAAAAAGGCAGGATAAAGAGCGACAAGAACAAGCGCCAGGTATCGCGAGACCTTCGCCTCTCTGGTGAAGGCCCGTCTGTACTTCGATGCACTTAGCAGTCAGTGTCTGTGATGAAATTTGAATACGTATTTGGTTTCTTGTGGTTTATTGCTGTTGACTGAGCTCAACTTGGCCTCTTGTCTCCTCTTGTGTGTTCGATCGTATGTCCGTCTGGGCTGGGCTCACTGGAAAGCAAGGTTTGTGTCCCTTGGGGTGGCAACAGGTGGCAACTACATACATAGTACTGCAAAGAAATTGCCTGAGAACGATTGAGTGAGAAACGAGGAGATATACATATACTACACGCCTACATATTTACATTTACATTTACATACACCCCATTGTCTAGTTATACCAATACACCGAGAATCATCACCTCCGCCGAGTTCTCTCTAGTTCTCCCAGGTTCGACTCTAAGTCCGCCACAATTGTTTCCTGTTTCCTGTCTCCTGTCTCTGTCTGTGGAGTCTCTTTGACCTTCCCTCCCCCCTCGCGTTTCTTTACGTCTGGTAGTAGTACATGGTTGTCTATGGTTGTTTATAAGTAATTCCTGGTTGTCCTGCTGGAGCGTTGGTGTTGAGCCTCTCGTAAGATGTATATGAATGACTTGGGGAAATTCGGACTCAATGAGCCCAGAACAATTTCGGAAGGGAGTGCAAGGGGAGTGCAAGTTCTAGCCGATCCCATCTTACACTCTGAATCCCTAACACATCTCCCTAACACCCTCCATCCCCCCAACCAACCTCCTGCACACCTCTAATCGGGTTTTGCGGGTCTTATCGGCACGGGTGTTGGTACCCGTTGCGGTTGCAAGGTCCCACCATTTTGGGGGCGGGGGTTGGGTTTGCGTTGTTAGTTTAGGAGAAGTGAGTGGAGTGGGGAGAGTGAGGTCTAATTTGTCAAATGGGGTTATCGGGGTGGGTGGAGTACTTGGGGTACCAGGTGAGGATGGATAATCGGAAGAGTTAGTGTCAGTGTCGCTGGAATTCGAGGAAATTGGAGAGGCGGAGGAGTTGGGGGAATCGATTTCGGATTCGTCATGCGGTATTGAATTCTTCAAGTTCATGTATATATCTTTCGTAGTAGCTTTCATATCCACATCCAAACCCCTCCACCCACCCCTATAAAACGTCCTCAGCTTCGCCTCGCTCCCGCGCTGGGTCTTGTCGATGAGCGGGCGCGCGTGGTGTGTCCACGACGGGGGTGGGTTGGAGTGGGAGAATCGCGGTGGGAGAGATGGAGAGGATGGTGGAGGAGTTGGTGATATCGTTGAAGGCGACATCGGAGGTGTGGAGGGAGGTGTGAGTGGAACATCCATAGTTGTATTCGTAGTTGTCGCGTTCACCTCGACCTCCCACGGATGCACCGACACTCCATTCGTCGCGAACACGATCGCTGGGGGGACAGTTATGCGGCCGTGTTTGAAGCAGATCCGGGAGACGGCGATGGTGTGGAGCTTGACTCCGTTGGGGTCGTTTGATTCGTGCGTTGGTAGTGTGTATGAGGAGGAATTGGAGGAGGGTGCCGGTGATGGTGGTGATAATGATTGGACGAGGGGAGTCGGAGGTTGGATGAGTATACGGGGGATGTTTGTATTCCTAGGTTTCGGCGTTTTGGAGTTTGAATTTGTGTTCGTTTTCTTTGACCTGGCAACGGTAACGAATCGACAGACGATGTAACACTATATATACATAGACGAAATGAAATCGAAATCGAAGGGGATTAGAGAAAGATGAGAACTTTTGTTTCAATCAAAGGAATCGTTGGAAACTCACCCATTTTTCATCCCACGCACCGATGCTGAGGCGGATTTGGTATTTGGAGAAGAGGGGAAGTTCGTTGATGAAGTGGAAGTGGGTTGCTGAATGAATGGATAGGGATGAATGGAAGGAAGCAAGTTTGAGAGATAAATAAATCGAATCCGAGTCAGATATCCATATCAACAACAAAAGAACTTTTTACGACGTACAAGACAATGCCACATGTCCGCCCACACGTAGAAACTGAGGAAACAACTCTAATGAGGCTTTGGTACGTGCGAAATCCAGGATCTGGGAATAGGAAATTAGTTAGGATTGGAGTGACCTTCTAAGGGCCAGCACTACACCAAACACGGAAATGGGGATTGTCGAAAACGTACCTTTGGATAACTGGAATTACTCATGTGCATGTTGAAATCACTATCGTCGGGACCTACGTTAAAAGAATAAGTAAGCGTTAGTACAAACGATGAGTGCCAAGTTGAAAGGGAGAAATAAACGCCGAGTGCAAGGTAACAGCAACAACAACGCGGGGGAGAGGGAAAGTAACCAAAGCACGGTCAAAAGAATTATTAATTATCACTCACCGACCCACGTATCGTACCTCCCCTCCCACTCAAACGGATGCGCACCCACTGGCGTCACTGATTCGAGCCAGGTTTCCATTTCGCACAGACGGAGGTGGTGAAGATCTTTCAGAAATTCCTTATCTACATCCGACTTCATTGAGCTCGTTAAACTCAACCCCGAGCCCGAGTCCATATGTATAGTATTTCTTTCGTTCCGGATCCGCGTCGATCGCGTCAAAATGATTATATACGCTGTCAGATACCTCCAGAAATACCTCCCCCACGCACACGCCCATGCAACGCCGTATCTCGTGCGGACTTTGATGACGCACCAGAGGACGCGGAAGGTCCATGTGAGGGGGAGGGAGCGGGCATTGAGGATGAGGAGGAGGAGGAGCGGTGCCAGTGGAGTTTGGGTGATAAAGGTGAAGAGAAGAAGGGAGTTGGATAAAGGGAAAGGAGTGTTGAGAATGCTACTACGGATGATACGGAGAATGTTGAGGGAATGAAGGATCCGAGCAATGGTTTTTGTGTACGGGAGTGATAAGGATTTGGGTGGACGTAGACGATTGGGTTTGGGGGTTAGTCGTATGGACTTGGTGAGTTTTGATAGGCTTCGAATAGGGAGTCGGGGAGAGCGAGAGGACATTGTGAGTGATAGAGCGAGACAGAGAGATAGACAGAGATGATTGAGGATATACTTCTACCCAGGGTGACACTGTGCCGTTAAAGGATAATTAATGGATGGGGTTTGAATATTTGAATTTTGGGATGTTGGGGTAGGAGTCGGACTGAGGTACATTATTTGAATCGTTATCTAACCTGTTTTCACGTGGTACTAGAACCCAAGTTCACCGACGAGTGTCCGTTCGTCTTCGTCTGCGATATTCGAAAGGGAAGCCCACCTTCTACCTTTCTCAAGGACATACTACAGAGTCGTTAGAGTAATAGCGCTGCAGAAGAGATCTTGGCGGCAGGTTATAGTGTGTTGATCATTAAAGCACCAAGCAGTGGATGGGCGAGGCCCCCAAGGTCAGTCCGTTGAGGTTGTTGGTTGCTGAGGCCTTGGAGTCACCAAAGATCAGTCCGGTGGAGACCCCTACAGAAGGAGGAGGAGAGTCGTCGGATGACCCGATGACTACCAAGAGAGACAAGGCGCCTGCTAGGCCTTATCGATGGGCTAGCCACGCACTCCAACCCGAGTCAGAGTCATATTAGCGGGAGACATTGAGAATGGATGACTTCCCGTAAGCCTTTGCCCAATAATCTGAGTAAATAATTTTTGAGCCGGTCTGATGCGACTGACGGATAGTTGATGCGCTGTTCGCTTATCCCAGTAAGTGAGTGCAGAACCGTCTAGGGAGGGGTCCGGACCCCTCCCTAGACGGTTCTGCTCGAGTTCTGCTCAAAATCCGTTGATCGGACTAGTTCGCTTAGGACGTTTAGAAACTGTGAGAGATAATTACTGTCCAATAATCCTTACGGGAAGTCATCCAATGTGTACCATGTTGTAGTCCTGAGGGGAAGGGGTGTTGTGCGGGTATCCGGTATTGATCACAAAGCAGATCAGATCAAACATGCACAACTCATTCTCACAATACATGGCTAACAGCGGACAGACAGCCTGCAGGTGAAATGCTCATTGAAAACATGTGTGACACCACACCATCCGACTACATATTAGCTGCGTGTTAAACGTAGGCTGTTTTTTCCCCCACTTCAGTCTATGATGTCTCGAGCAAATTCCACAAACCAGAATAATGAAGAACAGAAAGGTCCTGATATCCAGGGTATAACCTATTATCCCACAGGAATTTATATCATTCGGGCTGATATCATTAATTGCAGAGCAACAAGTTCTACAGTCTCAATCTTTTTCAAATGGGAATATGAGAGGGGAAGAGAATAATGTTGGTTCATGTGAGGAAATCATCCAGTTATTCTTAGATGTAAATTATGATTATAATGTCACCTCACCCAGCTTCAATAATTATAGATATTACAGACCCATTCTCTCTTGAGCCTGAACACAAAAATGTACAAGAGGATGTAAATATTCCAGCCCAGAAGCAGGCTTCAAGTCCAAAAACCATGAAGAAAGATGAGCCTGGCCTCTTGGGGATTTCCTCTTCTCACTCTCCAAATCCAGGTGAGATATTTCTGATACTTGGGGGGGGGGGAGCTTACCAGTTGAAATTTTAAACAGGAGGGAGGACATTTAATTATGAGGAGAAATATGCTGATGAACCTCTTGGTGAGGAGTTGAGGGAAAACTCCCGAGTGTTCAAGGTTTATCTGGATGAGGCAGAGAGCTTTGATAATGATATGATGAGAGGATTCAGAGAAACAATTGATTCTTTGCTTGTATTTGTGAGTATTTCCCTTACCCAATCGTTTGAGCTAACTGGAGGAGTTCAAACAGGCAGCACTTTTCTCTGGTGTTGTCACATCTTTCGTGATTGAAACCATATCTGCACTCCAACCAGATTATTCCCAAATCACTGCAGTCCTGCTGGTGGAGCAGGTTCAAATCCTCAGAGCTGCAGGAAATTCCACTGCCATCAATACTGTTCCTAAATCTACTGTGAATCTACAGAATGCTTCTGTAGCTACTGAAGATCTTTGGATCAATGGTCTATTCCTTGCAAGCTTGTCACTAGCCTTGACCACTGCACTCTTGTCAGTCCTTGTCAAACAGTGGCTTCAGGCTTATTGCTCCATGTCAGCAGGAAGTGCAAAACACAGAGCTTTGGTCCGTCAATTCAGATATGCTGGACTTGTAAAATGGAAGGTCACAGAGATTGTGGGAATCCTTCCCCTTATCCTGCATACATCATTGGCTCTATTCCTCATAGGATTGTCATTATACATCTCAGAGCTCCACAACTCCCTGTCCTGGGTTGTGGTCACTGTAACAAGCCTGGCATTTGCATTCTATTCAGGAACTCTGCTCATACCCCAAGTATGGCTCGAATGTCCTTACAGGATACCTTTGCTTTTTGTGCCAACAGAATATATGATCTATCCCTTCAGGGCCCTGTCATGGGTCATAGTCATACTTCTGGATGCTGTGGGTATCAAAAATCTCAAGAAGGGCAAATTTCCATTATTAACACACACCCCATTGAGGACTACTGAGCTTGATTATTTGAAGAATGATGAAGAGTCAGTATTGGAAGACATCCTTGTTTGGCTTCTTTCACTGGAGTCAAACCAATCCATTCAAGAAATTCTTGCTCAGCCCATTTGTGCATTTGTGATCCATGACAATTGGCACACAAAATATCCTAAACTTGGAAATTGTGCAGATAGAGTTGCTAAAGCCATATGGGCTACATTATCAAAGTTTCAGGAATTTGATTTTCAAAAGTCAAACTTTGAACTTGCAAAAGTTTTCAAGATAATCTCCTCATCTAAAGAGGGGGCTCTATTTCTAAAGGGTACAGCAGATTATTGGAACCATCTTGTTTCCAATAATAAATCTCAAATAATTTCAAAATGTCTTGAGTACTCCCAGTCACAAATAATAGGGGGCATTGATTTTGAAGATTTGGGAATAACCAAAGAGTGGATAGACAATGCAATACTCAAGGCATTGTCAATAAAACATTTGGAAATGATTAAAGTTCTTGTCAATGCAATTGCTACACAGAAAAGATATTTCAATATATTGAACAAAGCAGAATGGTGCAAATATATGGATGTGGTTGAGTTTCTTGCAGAGCAAAATGCAGATGTCAATGCACAGGGAGGATTCTATGAAAATGCACTGCAGACAGCATGTTATGGGGGCAATCTAGATATTGTCAAGTTTCTTGTAGAGAGAAATGCAAATGTCAATGCACAGGGAGGGGAATATGGCAATGTACTGCAGGCAGCATGTTATAAGGACAATCTGGCCATTGTCAAGTTGCTAGTAGAGAGAAATGCAGATGTCAATGCACAGGGAGGGAAATATGGCAATGCACTGCAGGCAGCATGCTATAAGGACAATCTGGCCATTGTCAAGTTGCTAGTAGAGAGAAATGCAGATGTCAATGCACAGGGAGGGCAATATGGCAATGCACTGCAGGCAGCATGCTATAGGGACAATCTGGCTATTGTCAAGTTGCTAGTAGAGAGAAATGCAGATGTCAATGCACAGGGAGGGGAATATGGCAATGCACTGCAGGCAGCATGCTATAGGGACAATCTGGCTATTGTCAAGTTGCTAGTAGAGAGAAATGCAGATGTCAATGCACAGGGAGGGGAATATGGCAATGCACTGCAGACAGCATGCTATAAGGACAATCTGGCTATTGTCAAGTTGCTAGTAGAGAGAAATGCAGATGTCAATGCACAGGGAGGGGAATATGGCAATGCACTGCAGACAGCATGCTATAAGGAAAATCTAACTATTGTCAAGTTGCTAGTAGAGAGAAATGCAGATGTCAATGCACAGGGAGGGGAATATGGCAATGCACTGCAGGCAGCATGTTATGAGGGTGATCTGGATATTGTTGAGTTGCTAGTAGAGAGAAATGCAGATGTCAATGCACAGGGAGGGCAATATGGCAATGCACTGCAGGCAGCATGTTATGAGGGTGATCTGGATATTGTTGAGTTGCTTGTAAAGACAAATGCAGATGTCAATGCACAGGGAGGGCAATATGGCAATGCACTGCAGGCAGCATGTTATAAGGGTGATCTGGATATTGTCAAGTTTCTTGTAGAGAAAAATGCAGATGTCAATGCACAGGGAGGGCAATATGGCAATGCACTGCAGGCAGCATGTTATGAGGGTGATCTGGATATTGTTGAGTTGCTTGTAAAGACAAATGCAGATGTCAATGCACAGGGAGGGCAATATGGCAATGCACTGCAGGCAGCATGTTATAAGTACAATCTGGCTATTGTCAAGTTGCTTGTAAAGACAAATGCAGATGTCAATGCACAGGGAGGGGAATATGGCAATGCACTGCAGGCAGCATGTTATGAGGGTGATCTGGCTATTGTGAAGTTTCTTGTAGAGAAAAATGCAGATGTCAATGCACAGGGAGGGCAATATGGCAGTCCATTGCAGGCAGCATGTTATAAGGGCAATCTGGCTATTGTCAAGTTGCTTGTAGAGAAAAATGCAAATGTCAATGCACAGGGAGGGCAATATGGCAATGCACTGCAGGCAGCATGTTATGAGGGTGATCTGGATATTGTCGAGTTGCTAGTAGAGAAAAATGCAGATGTCAATGCACAGGGAGGGCAATATGGCAGTCCACTGCAGGCAGCATATTATAAGGGCAATCTGGCTATTGTCAAGTTGCTTGTAGAGAAAAATTCAAATGTCAATGCACAGGGAGGGCAATATGGCAATGCACTGCAAGCAGCAAGACACCAGAGAAGATATGATGTTGCCAATTTCTTGGAATCCCATCACACTGTAGCATCTACGGTCATGCACTCAGGGACAATGGCACAGGTTTGACCAAGTCCTGCTCCAAAGGATTGACCCAAGATCAGGAAGTGCCAGGTAGATGTACTTCTTTTTTATTCAAAAGGTGTTCCTCCTGTTTTTAATGCAGTTTGTTTATTCTGGCCACTATATGTATGTAGCTTTCATAAATGCAACTATGTTTCATACTGTCATTCTCTGAGATGATGTCATGTTTTGCCTGCTTTTGCTTCCTTACCTATGATATTCCTCCTCACTAAAATATTCCCAGAGCTCTTCTTCTCTGCTTTGACCATTATGTAATATTTTACATAGCTGTCACATGTTCTTGGAGGTCAAGTATCTATACGTAGAGCGAATCACAAACAAAACCTCAGCGTTGAACTGATGAGAAACAGAACAGCTCGGATTATACCTATACGTAGAGCGAATCAGAAACAAAACTGTGTAGTAGATGAGTAACTGTAATGTAGGTATAATAAAAGAGACTTACCCTCAGCATCGAACCGATGAGGAACAGAACAGCTGAGGGAGAGGATCATGCGAAAAAGAAACTAAATAGTGCTAATTACGTGTAAGCGGAATGAATCGGCTAAGGAAGGAAATACTCCGTCCAACACACCCCCACCGATGAATGAAGTGGTCAGGTAGTAGTAGGAAGTGGTACTAGACCAAGGGATAGAGAATGTTTGTAATGTAAATCTTTAGGGAGGGATTTAGTAAAAATATCGGCAATCATGTTGAGAGAGGAACACCAAATGGTAGTGATGGATTCATCTTTGATATGAGATCGAATGAAGTGATATTGGATATCTATATGTTTTGAACGGTTGGAGAGTGAACGTGTCAAGTCCATGCCGCGGGCCTCCATTCCGCCGCTCGGTATTCCGAAGATCTGCTCTTATTGTAGTCTGCCTCTTATTGTTCTTTCTCGCTACACATACCCTTTCGTTCTAGTCTCTCACTATTGTCTTTTACCCTTTCGTTCTAGTCGCTCCTTATTGTCTTTTACTCTACCCTGCAGGTACTACTCGTATAGCTCCTAGTAGTTAGTCTAGCGCTCCGCACCGATGCGCCGTTCCGTAGATATAAATACTGCCTGTACGCTACTGTAGTTCCTCAGTTTAATTATCAACTTAGATCAACTTAGATCTCCCTCCTCAACTTAACTCTTCTCTAAGTCTTCAGGCTCAACGCCTCGAAGTACGTTCTCCTCGACCTTAGGACTTTGACGTTCTCTGGTCCGCTCCTCGTCATCGGCGATACCGCCGCTCCGACCTGGCTGCTACTTAGCTCCTCTCTCTCTACTCTCGCTCTCCGGGGACTAACGGCGTAACGGCGGTGTTGTTAATAACTTCACTACTGTCCCATTCGTCTTCCGCACTTAGACACCCTGTGGCCTTGGCACGGTTACACGGTGTACATGATCTTAACAGTATAATTAAACTGAATCCGTTAACGTCGTACTGACATATCATTTTTTATGCCTCCGAAAACTCGAGCTCAATCTAGAGCTAACTCCGAAGAAAATACTTTCTTCACTACAGCCCAATCATTTGCCCCATTCTCCGACTCTATCTCTGCCATCGGTCAACCACGTCGCCGTAATCGCGGTTTCGGTCCAGCTACAGTCCCAACTACGTCTACTCTTCCTGAAGCTATGGAAGAGGAACAACAATTCGAATACAGCACCTTGTACACTGGTGACGGACAACCTGTCCAAGTCCTGACCCCTCGCCGTGGACAACCCCCCGTGGTCGCTCCGGCTCGGGGCCGATCTACTACTCGAATTGATTCCCCAATCCTCCAAGCCATAGCCCGCCGTACGGGTAAACAACCCCAACGTCGAGCTGCTTCTGAATCTCCTCGTGACCCACCTCCTCACTTCAATTTGGACACCGGTGATCACGAAGATCAAGACCCTCCTGTCGACCCCGACGATCCGGGCGCCGATAATAACAATGACGATCTGGATGATGATTCCGGCGGTTTACCGCGTGGTGAACCTGGTGACCCCAGTGGACCTGGTGGTCCTGGTGGTCCCGGCGGTCCCGGCGGTCCTGGTGGACCTGGTGGACCTCGCTCTCCCATATCTCCTGACATCCCCAACGAGCAACGTGCTATGTTGGAACTCCTCTCGGGGTTCAAGGGTTCCATTGAGACCCTTGGTACCGTCCTCGCCGCTCTCGGCCGCCCTTCTGACAGCTCTGAATCCAAGAGCAAGGTCAAGGAGCCAGAGGTCTTCGACGGTTCGGATCCCCGAAAACTCAAGACGTTCTTCGTCAATCTCGCCCTGGTCTTCAATGACCGTCCCAAGTACTTCACCGACCAACGGAAGGTGAACTACACCCTTTCCTATCTCAGTGGGTCAGCCAAAGAATGGTTTGTCCCTGATATCCTCGACCCGGATCTCGACTCGCTGCCGGCCTGGACATCCTCCTTCAAAGCCCTTGTAAAGGAGCTTCAGGATAATTTCGGCGTTTACGACGCCCAAGGCGAGGCCGAAGATTCTCTCGGTAATCTGAAGATGAAGGAAACCGAGAACATCCGGAAATACAACATCCGGTTCAACACCCTGGCTGCTAGTACCAACTGGGATTCTGCTGCCCTGAAATGGGCTTATGGACGAGGCTTAGCTGAGCGCATCAAGGACGAAATGGCGCGTTTGCCCGAGCCGGCGACGCTCGCCGATTACCGTCAAGAGGTTCTTCGTATTGACAATCGTTATTGGAAACGCGAGGAAACTAGAAAGCGCGAGGCTGGTAAGCCTTTTGTTGCACGGAACCCGAAGAAGGGTTCCTCGGACTTCAAGACTGGTTCTACTAACCAGCAAAACAACTCTCAGCCATCTGGCTCTTCGGCGCCGTTCACGCCGAAGCCTAAACCCTTCTCTGGTGGTAAGCCTAACAACAATGGTAAGCCCCAGAACTCTTCGAATTCCGGCCAATCCGGCGGTCAGCGCCCCGCGTTCAACCATCTTGGTGCAGATGGGAAAGTCCTTCCCTCCGAGAAGGAAAGAAGGATGAAGAACAACCTTTGTCTCTTCTGCGGTGGTAAGCATCAGATTGCTGACTGCAACAAGCGAAAGGCCCGAGAATCAAAGGGCCGTGCTGCCGAGGTTGAAGAAACCCCCGAAGCAACCATTGAGGTTGTTGAAGAGGAATCGGAAAACTAATCCGCAGCTCTTGTTCCCCGGTACGAAACGGGAGCTGCGTTGATCAGGTTCGTACCTCACCTGGGGAGTTATATCTCAACGCGTCCGCTCTTTCTTCCATTGAACGATCTCTTGTAATATCATTAACTACTGAATTTCCTTTATCCGATTCGGCCGCGCCGGCCGAACCTATCTCTGCTCTTCTTAAATTTCCTACTCTTGTTGATTCTGGTTCTACTGACTCTTTCATTGATACTCGTTATGTTTCACAAAATTCTATTCCTACGACCAAAATCTCTCCTGTTAATCTTCGTCTCTTTGATGGTTCATTATCTTCTAAACCCATTACCGATATGGCGAATATCGCCGTTCGGTTCCCTTCCGGCGAGCTGCTTCTATTACCCTTTTATGTTACACATTTAGATTCATCTTGTAAAGCAGTACTAGGTTACAGTTTCTTATCCCGCTACAATCCGTTGATTGACTGGGCATCTCGAAACATTACGTTCCGTAACACTTCACACCTTGATTCTCCACAGACGTCTGTGCCTTCTGCCATCAACCCCGTTGCTGCAAAGGTCGCTGTTCCGCTACCGGAACCTTCGCCGTCGGGTTCACCGACAATTCTGGAGACCCCTCCTGGGGACTCACTTCGCCCTCGCTCTCGCTCCCGCTCTCGGACTTTACGGGCCAAGCCCCTTTCGTCCAAATTCCCCTTTGAACCCATCTATTCTTACCCTACGGTCTCTCAATTCGCTGCTCAACTGGAAACTCCCGAAGTCGACATTGCACTTGTCAGTGCTGCAGTCTTTAACAGGACTTGCAAGGACGCTGGTATGGAACCCATCTTACTTCGTGCTATCCACTCAGAGGTCGCGGCCCGCGCCGCCGACCGCTCTTCCACCACTCCTACTGTCCCTCCACTCCATCCTTCTATCCCAGAAGAGTACGCGGAGTTTGCAGACGTCTTCGACGAGATTGCTGCAGATTCACTTCCTGAACACAGACCTTACGACCTGAAGATTGACTTGGAAGAGGGCGCTTCGCCGCCTCTCGGCCGTATTTATCCTTTGTCTGAAAAGGAGCTAGTCGCCCTTAAAGACTTTATTGACAAACAGCTGGCTACTGGTGCCATTACCCCATCATCCTCTCCTCACGGCGCTCCGGTCCTTTTTGTCCCGAAGAAAGACGGCAAACTTCGCCTTTGCGTCGATTTCCGTGGACTCAATCGTATCACCAAAAAGGATCGTTACCCACTTCCACTCATTTCAGATCTTCTCGACGCTCCGAAAAGAGCTAAAATATACACCAAATTGGATCTCGCTCACGCTTATCATCTAGTCAGAATCGCTGAAGGTGACGAATGGAAAACCACCTTTCGGACCCGCTACGGCTCTTACGAATGGAAGGTCATGCCGTTCGGCCTTACGAACGCCCCTGCGGCTTTCCAGCGGTTTGTTAATGACATCTTCTCTGACATGCTCGATGTCTGTGTCATCGTCTATCTTGACGATATTCTGATCTACTCTGATACACCAGAAGAACACCGAGAACACGTTAAGGAAGTTCTTCGGCGGTTACGGAAACATCGGCTTTACGCGAACCCCGAGAAGTGCGAATTCAATATGGATACTGTTGAGTATTTGGGTTATATTCTTTCTCCCGACGGATTGACTATGTCCAAGGAGAAAGTTCAGACAGTTCTAGAGTGGCCGGTCCCGAGGAAGGTTAAGGACATCCAGTCCTTCCTGGGTTTTGCAAACTTCTATCGTCGTTTTATTTATAATTATAGTGATATCGTTGTGCCGATGACTCGGCTTACCCGAAAAGGCGCTTCCTGGATCTGGGACAGCAGCTGTCAAGAGGCCTTCGAAAATCT